GTTCCCCAAATTGATTGGAGTAAAACCACAAATTACCTAAAATAATTCCTGAAATAATCCATGAAATATTTCGCGAAATCATTTAGCAATCTTTTTAAGAAATAATTACTCACTATTGGCCGTAAACGATCAAGGTAGACGAATTGCGCCGGAATCGATTTCTGAATTAATTAGCCTTCTACTTAGTACTTAAGATAACAAAGGTTTAGTAACTTACGGTCGAGGAGGGAATTGATTCGTAAATTATTTCCCAAATTGATTGCTCTCCTTAGCCCTCTCTCGCTCCGTTCTCGATTAGCTTATTGGTGATTTAATTCAGGAATCGGTTCGCGAATTAATTGCTTTCTAGTGTAGCTTCCTCGTCGTGGTTGTGGTTTAAGAAAAGAGGAAACAGGAAATCCAGTGTGGATTCTAGAGCTTATAAGTATAGTGTACCATCAGTCACGTGAAATGCTAGCGCAAAGCCAAAGTATGGTGCAGCGAGGGTGACTTGGCGAAGTGGAACGTGCCCCTCGCACCTGAACTCAATTCAATGGTACACCGACCCGTGAACACATGATATATCGCCCCCTTTTTCCCTTTGTGGAGTCCATCTACCTAACCCTAAAAAGATGCAGCTTCCTTGTTTGGTAAAATTCTTCGCTAAGTGCAGACGGATGATAAGCAGAGATAAAAAAGCGGGAGGTAGTCAGCTGTACAAGTTCATGTACTTGGAATATAGTAGGTAATTCTACCCCGCAGTGGATCTTTATCATTTATGTACCGCACAACATCATACCGATGGGAAAGCCAAGTAGTATACGATTATAAGTTGTGTCTTTGCCTCACTTACCTTGTTTATTCTATACAGTATCTAATTCACCAGCAAGACTCTCGCCAGAATACCTTATTGTTATCCTACTCCATGGCCGACCCTCCATCATCACCAACATCAACAACATCAGAACCTCTCCCCATCGCCATCATCGGTATGTAGAAACTCACGCTACCAAGACATAATTTCTTTCCATCGAAGAATTTTCTTCTCGCTGCTTCTTTTCTTCATTCTCACAAACAAAAAGAAAATAACAAAATCAATAGGGGCCGGAATCGCCGGTCTCGCACTCGCTATCGGTTTGCATAATAATAAGCATCATCCTTTTATACTCTATGAAGAAGCGTCTGAGTTTTCTGCTGTTGGGTATGTTCTTGATAATGACGAATGATGATGACCAACGAGGATCGCAAAACGCTATCCTCTAACATTACTTACTTTCTCCCCTTTCTCCTTCTTCTTTGTCTTCTCTCTACTGAAATAAAAAACAGTGCAGGAATAGGCTTCGGTCCCAATGGAATTCTCGCAATGGATTTCCTCGAAGCAGGATTTCGTGCAAAATATGAGAGCGTGTGTGTCGGGAATTTGGCAGCAGAGGATGAAGATGTTTTTTTCGAGGGCTTGTTGTGTAAGGAAGGGTTGGGTGAGTTTTTTTTTTGGATTTGGGAGGTTTGATTGTTTGGGTTTTTTCTTTTTTTTTTCTTTTTTCTTTTGTTTTTTCAATCGGTAGGGCGAGGTTCCGCTGATCAGACGATGGGGTTTGGTTTCTAGGTATGAATGAGAGCTGGTATGGGCGTTCGTCGTGGGGAGCATCAGGATATCAAAGAAAGTCTGTACGTGGGGCTCATTCATCTATCTACTGCTCTCGTTTCGTGGGCGAGAGAGAGAGAGAGAGAGAGAGGTTTCTGACTTTCCTTTGGTGGGGATAGGCTCATCGACGAGAAGTCTTGGATATTCTGACGAGCTTCATTCCTCGGGATCGTGTACAATTCAACAAGCGTCTTACGGATATGGAGCAGCGAGAGGATCATGTGGTTCTCTATTTTGCAGACGGAACAGTGGCTCAAGCCGCGCTTGTAGTCGGAGCGGACGGCATACAAAGTATTGTGAGAGAGCATGTCCTTCGATCGATCGACCCGGAGGGAATTGCTCCAAGATATGCCAACTCGTATGCATATCGCGCTGTCATTCCTATGGCTGACGCAAGAGAGATTCTTGGCGACAGACTGACTGATACCGCCAAAATGTACTTGGGAAAGGATCGCCTGGTGGTGACCTATCGTGTCAGTGGAGGTGCAGTAAGTGACTTTGTGATTCTGGACAGAATAGGAGAGGTGAGTTAGAGGCTGATCGAATCTCACATAGGAGTTCAACTTCTTGCACTGTGTTTGCGAGCCGAACAGCCAGTGGCCTTCACCGGATCGAGTGACCCAGAAGGTGACCAGCGAGGAGATGCGCGCAGATTTTGCAGATCGCGGTATCGATTCTCGACTACTTCGGCTCCTTGAAAAAGCGCCACCGACACGATGGGGCCTCTTCCACCATATCGAGACAGCGACATATTATCGGGATCGTGTGGTACTTGTAGGCGACAGCGCACATGCCTCGCTTCCGTATCAAGCTGCTGGAGCCGGTCAAGGCGTAGAGGACGCTTTGATACTGAGCAGTGCACTGGGCGCGATGGACTGCTCAAAGAAGCCTTTACCCGACCAACTGCGGAAAGCTATGCGTGTTTACGATGAAATTCGACGTCCTCGTGCGCAGCGCCAGGCTGAACAGAGTCTAGAAGCAGGCCTTTTGCTCAGTTTCCAGGACCCGAGGGCTGGATCTGATATGGAGAAGATTTTGCCGAGAATGCAGAATGGTCGATTTGATTGGTTGTGGTTTCATGATCTTCGCGATGATGTTCGGCGTGTGCATGAGTTGATGGCTCGGGATTGGACCGCTTCACATGCAGAAACTGGAATTCTGCAGCAATGGTGGATGTGGACTCAGCCATAGCACCCTAGAATCATGTCGTCTCACCCTCCACCCGAGTTTTCCCTCTCATAGTAGACCCAGCTGGAGTTATACGATGGAGGGCCAGGAAGAATGTTTGTTGCTAGTCCTTCCAAATGGACTTTCGGCATAGGAAGCAGAGCAAAGGGCCTAGTCGAGATGTCGCTGATGAGTTTTGGTCCCTACCACTATCGCAAACACCAAGTATCCGGAGGCAGAGACAGCATGAGGCGGCAATTTTCATTTTTTCCGAGCGTTGTATGTTTTCCCATGAGTATCACTGTCTTTGAGAGTATACCGAGCGACCCATAGTCGACGTGATCAAGTATTCAGAATATGTACGAGACTTGCCCGTGAAGAGGAAAGAAATAAATAGGAGGAAGTGAAGTCCAGTTTCATATTTTCATGTGAAAGATCGGCGGCACCTTTCCGCCCCATTCACCCACCTAACACCATCATCATCATCATCATCAACCCCATCGTCCACAATGAGTAGCGCCAGCGTACCTGTAGAATACAGCAAAAAGCGCTCGCGTTCTCCTCATTCCCACCATCACCGCTCCGAAGATGTGAAACGACATCGCTCGCGCTCGCCGCATCGCAAACCTCATCATCATCACCATCACCACCACCACCACCGCCGCCGCCACGAACCTCGCGACGTCCCCACCTCGCTCCCACTAAACGCGCAACCGCTGCACAAAAGCCAATTCCAGCACTACGAAGGACTTTTCGCGCGCTATCTCGACGTGCAAAAGCTGATTAACATTGACGATTTGTCCGAAACAGAAGTCCGAGGTCGTTGGAAGTCGTTTGTGGGGAAATGGAATCGAGGAGAATTAGCAGAGGGTTGGTATGATGCTGAAGCGAGATGGCGCGCGGAAGATCGTTGGAAACATCGTCGCGTGGAAAATGAGGAATTGAGGGTTGGACAGGTGATGGGTTTGGATCCGCCGATTGCGAGTCCTGAGCTGCAGCAGCAGCAGTTGCAGCATGATGGGAGGCGAGAGGGAGAGGAGGAGGAGGAGGATGATAGTGATGATGGCTATGGTCCTGCGCTACCCAGTAGAGACAAAGGCGTTCTCGGAGCGGCAATACCCAATCTGCAAGACCTCCAACATAGAAATGAACTCGTCGAAGAAGCTCATCTACACGACCGAGCAAATCTCCTCCACGAACGCAAACTCGATCGAAATCTGCAAAAGGAGCGCGTGGAAGAACTCGTGCCACGCGCAGACCCAGGTTCGAGAGAACGACAGATGGAAAAAAAGGCAGACAAGACTTTTACGTTGCATCAATTTCGAGAGGCGAAAGATGGAGGGGATGTGGAGGTGGGAGAACAGGAATTGATGGGTGGTGGTGATGGGGAGCAGGAGTTTCAGCGGGAGGTGAAGCAGAGGCAGAGGGCGAAGAGTGAGAGGGAGATTCGGAAGGAGGAGGCATTGAGGGCGAGGATGGCGGAGAGAGAGGAGAGGATGAGAGGGGTGAGGATGAAGGAGGAGAAGACGATGGAGATGTTGAGGAATATTGCAAAGACGAGATTTGGGTGAGGTGATTGTAGCATGCAAGACCACGGTTTCGTATATTTCATGCTATTCGTCACACTTTGGGCTGTTCTTGGTCTTGGAAATGAGTGATACACTTTCGTAGCTACCTAGCGACTATTATGGCTATAGTCGTCAAGGAAATTCCGACACCCCGTCGCCCTGCATCCACATATCCATCTCCATCGCAGACCACATACCTTAGTATAAGAATAATAATAAAAATAGAAATAAAAATGTCAGATGAATCTCAGTCAAGCTTCCTCCACGAAATCAAGAAGACGCTCCGGCTTATTTGCCATCCGTTGTTTTTTTCAATCTATGCCTGTAGACGGGTACCGAGGGCTTGTGGAAGTAATAGCAAGCGAACAGTTACAGCTGCATCTTGTGCTTGCTGTTGTCGAGGCGGTGGAATTATTCTGGTGATGATGATGATAACGACGACGACGGCGCTGGGAAGTGATATATAGATATTGCTTCGTGGCGCGTCGATGCTTGGAGGTGGTAGAGTCACTGGTATTGGAGAGTACTGTACTGTATTGTACTTTACTTTGCGTGGTATATGAGAGGTGAGGTGGTGCGAAGGTGAGTGAAGTCGAAGTCCGCTGGTAGAATTTCGTTGGGCTTGGCGAGAACTAGGACGATTGTGGTGTTGCCCGATATCGCTGTATCACGTGCATGCTGGTAGACACTTAGTTCGTCAACATCAATATGAACATCAATATCAATATCAACATCAATATCAACATGCTTATTAGGTATGACAATGTGGTTCTGCAGATATTCATCGACAACAGTAAATCCTGCGATAAGGAATGATGAGATATCAAGTACCTCCTATGCCGAAAAAAAGAGGAGATGGAACTGAGGGCCGTCGGCGCCTTTCGTCATCACCAACTCCAGGATCTCGTCTACAAGGCTACATGTATAAAAGAAGTGTGCCGACGATAAGATACAATAACCTGGCGTCTTTCTTCTCCATTGGAATTGTAGTGTATCCATACACCTCACTAGTGTCACGGATTCATTCAATTATTCATTCACAGCAGAACTAATCTAACCATGTCGGACAACTTTCTCGTCCCTCCCAAAACGCCGCCAGAGCTCAAGATTCCAGCGTCCAAGAACACAGTCAAAGTGTCGTGTATCGACAGGTACGACTACGACGGTTGGCGTGTCCCAAGTTCTACAGCAGCAGCATTTTAGTAGACTGAGTGACTAACTGACACATACACCACATATAGTACCTCTCGCTTCAAATTGCCCAACTCGCACTTCATCCAACCCGACTATACAGGCCACAACACCCTCAACGGACCCTCTTTTTCCTTTTTTATCGAGCCCCTTTCTTCATCTTCCTCATCATCCAAACCCATCCTCTTCGACCTGGGCATCCGCAAAGACTGGAAACTCCTCCCCTCCGCCACCAAACTCCAAAACCTCCACTGGGAAATTTCCGTCGAAAAAGACGTTGCAGAAATTCTTCGCGAAAATAAAACCAACAACAACAAGATCGATATCGATGGAGGTGGCATCGCCTCCATCATTTGGAGTCATCACCATTGGGACCACGTCGGAAACGCCGCAACATTTCCCTCGAGCACAGAAATCATCGTCGGACCGGGTTTTATCAATGCACATCTACCCGGATTTCCCATCAATCCTCATTCAACTATATTAGAATCTGATTTTTTCGACGCCAAAGATAAAACAAAAAGACGAAATATTCGTGAAGTTGACATCCAAACCCTCGGAAAAGGCTTCCAAATCGGTCGATTTTACGCCTGGGATTTTTTTGACAATGGAAGTTTTTATCTGCTGGATACGCCCGGCCATGCTATCGGACACATTTGTGGTTTGGCTCGAACGACTTCTGATCCGGATTCGTTTGTGTTTATGGGTGGAGATGCAGCGCATCATGGAGGAGAATTTCGTCCGACGGAATATTTACCTTTGCCGCGAGAATTGGGCCCGCCGTCTCCTCTTCCGCGGAAACAACCCGTGTGTCCTGGGGAGTTGTTGAGGGGGATTCATCCATACAAAAAAGCGGATCAGCCGTTTTATTATGTGACGGAGAGTTTTGCGCAGGATAAAAAATTGGCGGATTGGACGATTGAGGGGTTGGGGGAATTGGATGCTCAGGAGAATATTTTGATGCTCATGGCGCATGATGATGCGATTGTGGATCCGGGACAGTTGGATTTTTATCCTCGAGCACTGAATGATTGGTATCGGAAGGGGGTCAAGGAGAAGATTAAGTGGTTGTTTTTGGCTGATTTTGATGAGGCGCTTGCGGCTAAGGAGAAGGGCGGAGAGCCGTTTAAGTGGGTGAAGGATTCTTCTGCTTAACATGACTTGTACGCGCAGCAATTTCATGTTCAGTAATACCAAAAAGAAGAAGCAAAGAAAAGGAAAAAAAAAGAGTCCCTGCAAGAGACCTCGCCATCTCCTCTCCTCTCCTCTCCTCTCCTGTCATCCCCTCCCCTCCCCTCCCCTCTCCTCCCCCCCATTTCAAGCACAAGGCTCCTTCACCCCCGTCCTAATCAACCACCAATTAATCGGCACACCCGTCCAATGCCCACACACCATTCCCACCTGCATCATCCACCAATACGTGACCGTATCCATACCCAACCGCCCCTCAAACAGCGCAATTTGAAAAACCGCCATCCAAGCAAACAGACCCATTTCAAAAAACACCAAAGACAAAAAATCCGCTTGAGCTGCTCTCCATACGGTTTTCCAGCCATATTCTCCTGACATGGGCGCGATGGAGTAGTATTGGAAAATTATGCCGATGAAGATTGCAAAGGCGAAGTCGATGGGGAAGGAGAGGTAGAGCATCATTTTTTCGGCGTTGTGCATTCGGGCGTGCTGAGTGCTGTAGACGAGCCATTCGCCGATGAGGTCGCCGAGGACACAGCCTGCGCCGCAGTGGCAGACTGCAACGGTGATGGTGGCGAAGAGGGGTCTTGGGGGTTTTTCGGTGAGAGGGGCGTGATGGCAGCAGGATGAGGTGGGTTGAGGTGCTTCCTGGGATTCTTTCGGTGGTGGTAGGGAAGATTCGTCGGAGTCGTGCGGTGGAGGAGGAGGAGGTGGTGGTGGTGGTATCAGAGATTTTGTCTTGGGGTTCACAGCTGGTTTCTTGGGTCGTCCGTAGTTGAGATATGTCCATAGTGTAAGTGGCCAGAGGTACAGTGCGTTGATGATGTATACTGGAATCCTGGACGTTGTATATACTGTTGTTAGTGACGATACCTAGATATGGGAGGAGGAGGAGGAGCAAAGAAAGTTCTCCTCTCATCGTGATGATACATACATAATGGCCATCATGCTCCTCCAGCCTCGACGAAGGATGATGTCGATGAGGATGAATAGCGCTGCTAAAGCCCCGAGACCCAATGAAATGGACGAAATGATGACTAGCGCGAGCGGTTCATGGTAGGATTTGTTGTGGGCCGACATGTTGATGATTGTTGGAGGGCGTTTCGAGTAGGTGAGAGAGAAAGTCGTTGCTCTGCGGATATTGTGCTGTCGTTTTCCAAATAGGTGTTTGTTCGAAAATGAGAGCAAGTCTCTTCTGCCTTACATGTATCTCATATCTGATCAAGTGAGGTGAAACCGGCAACTGCGTCAGACTCCAACAACAACTCACAATGGTCTATATGTTGCGAGTGCCTTCCACACGCACACACATACAAACACACACCCCCTTTCTTCATGATGCACAGTCAAGTGAATTGTTTGCTGTCAGTAGTAATACAATAGTGGTAGTAGTAGTAGTAGTGGCACATTATATGCAAGTCTATCTGAGAGCTCATTGGCTGGGCACAAGTACCTCATCTCTGTATCGCTGATAACCAGAAAAAATGTCGAGTACCGTGGATTACTGCTGTGTCTCATAGTGTACTTGTGTGTTGTGTGTGTTGTTTGTGTCAGGAGGAGGAGGAGGAGGAGGAGGGAGTCTTGCGAGATGTCTGGCCAACAAGGATGTGATAGTTTGTCACATAGCACCAGAGCCACTAATGACTTGGCTAAGTATCAGGTACCTTGGCCTTGATCTGAGACGGAGTAAGTACATGTACCTATGCATACATGGGTTGATAGGTACCATCCTAACCAAGTAAATGTATAGTGAGTGAAAAGCAAAATATGCCATAAGTTGCCCACTTACACGCTACCTAAATCGTCTCTAGGTGATTGCGTTCCAGCGATCAAACGTACTATCCTCAAGCGAGTGAAAGCGGACTCATTCGAGACCACTTGGACATCAAAAGAAAACAAATAGCAGAACATTACACCAGCAGCCTCGCACTCTCCCATCATATGTGTACAGATCGAAACGCAAAAGGAAAAAAAAAAACACTTCACCCAAACGGGCCATCATCGCCCTCGATCATCCTACTAACACTTTTCCTCCTCTTAAAATCCAAAACTTCCTCCAAATGGACTTCCACCAAACAATCCGCCTGCTGCACTGCTCGTAGCAGGCGCTGCCGGAGTCGTGGTGCTAGGGGTAGTTCCGCTGCCACTGCCACTACCACCTTTCGCGACTGCCCCCTCCAAAAACTCCACAGCAGCATCAACATCTGCCGTGTAGGTCAAATGGCCTGCGGTGACAGCCAGCGCACCCCCGCAAACTCCATCGTCAACGTTGCAAAACACTTTGGTCTGTTCCGGTGGGTAGTTTGGGATCTTCCCATCATTCTGGGCATTCTTGGTGTAACCATACAGAACCACGCCTTTGACTTGTGCTTGCGCAGTAGCGTCGAGGGTGGACACGGCGCTGGCCATGAGGGCGGCGCCTTGGCTACAATTGGGCACGGGATGTGAGTGAGTGGGCATGGGAGGAAGGGATTTGGAGAATCGGGATAATTGGGCGGGGGGGAAGGAAAAGGGAGAAAGAGGGGAAAAAAAGGACGTACGAGTAACCTCCTGCAACAATAGCGGCATCTGGGCATTGACTGGCTGCCAATGCGAACATTTCAGCTGCTTCCCTCAGACCTGCTGCGCTAGTTCCCGAAACAGAGACGTTGTCCGCGATGGAAGCGGTATAGCCTCCTCCGACACCTTGGCAAATGGTCTTGGAGTTGGCGGATTTCAGACCGCTGCAGGTTGGGGGTCCGACGGTGATTCCCTGTGGTTTGAGAGGCTTCGGTCAGTGGTTGCGAAGAGGGTGGTTGTGGTTGGAATTGCTATTACTGACCATGTTGCCAGTCTCGGTGGAGCCTCTGGCGAAGATGAAGATAATGTCGCCGCAGGAGCCATCTTCAAGCTCGCTGGAAGTTGAGGAACCGAATTGGCGGCGAGCGATGGGTGTGCCATGAGCGATGGCAGCAAGCAGCCAGAGAGTCATTGTGGACTTCATGTTTGTAAGAGTGCTGAGGGTGTGAATGTGAGACTGTATGTGTGCGTGTGTGTGCAGTGGAGTTTTCAGAGATACTGATTGTGTAAAAGAGTGTAGTGGCTACTGATGTCTGCTTGAATACTTGGATTTGCTCGTGGCATATATACTGACCATTTGCAGGCGATATTCTTCTCAATCGCATTCTCATTTCAGTAATTGCATAACTGCAACTACTCCATGCCTTCACAGTCTAGATTTGACTTGCTCATGGAAACGAGGGGTTCCCGCGACGTGAGGCTGGTATCAAAGCCGCCATACTGGTTCGAACGATCTACAACGTTGTACTACACTGAACGTGTTGCAGTCTATCACGGCAGTGTACTGCCAAGAAGCCAAGAGAGATCGGTGCTGTAAACATGCTTATACCACCCAAGATGGTGTAGCACGGTAGCACAACCGTTTGCTTTGGGGAATGGCGTACCTCGATGAGTTTCAACTGATATTCACGTCGACTTTGGACATGTTCGGACATTTGGGCAGAGTGCAATCGTCTGCCTAATCGCTGAAAGCCTCCAGTCAAAGTCGGGTCAAAGTCGGACAAATGTCCATATGCGATACACCTGAAGTCGGAGAAATGACCGTATGCACTACACCTGAAACGAGACTTCTCGATCTGGCAGAGTGGTTATCTTTTCGGCAATGAGGCCTTGTGAGCGCGTTCGCGAAGCTCGTTCAGCGTTTAGTGCGACCTCAACATCGCGACATGTTCAAGAGGCAGATAGCGCGTGACGAGAGTGTTGGTGCAGGTCTGAAAATCACAGAATGGCAGGGGATCGCAAAGATCAACCAGGCTGTTGCCGCCTTCAAGCACTCTCACGTCGTTCCTGTGAACGTCTTGTTCTTCGTCTTCTTTCTCTGCTTCTTCTTGCTTAGTAGCTCATCAAGGTAGCTCGTAGATTTATTCTTCTTCCTTGGCGGACCACCATCTTCACTTGCTGGCGGTTCTTGATGTGCTTGACTGGTACCATTTTTCATAGCGGCGATAGTTGCGGCATCGTCCCTTGGGTCCGGTGGTTCAGCATCTTCGTCAATGGGTGTTGCGCCTCTCCGGCTGCTGCCTGTGGCAGCATATGCAGGCAGATTGTTGTCTCTCGTTACTCTGTTGCCCGTGAATGTGGCAGCTCGTCCTGGCTCGTCTTCATCCTCGCTGTCGTCGTCGACAGGTCTGGATGGCGTTGCAGAAGTGCCCTTGGCTGGTGCGGGAACTGGAGCAGCGCGGCCTAGCGCAATGTTGGTCTTCGTCTGCCGTGCGAGCGCCTGCTCTTTCTTCTTCGCCGCAGCAGCTTTCTTGCCCAAGAGCTGTTCGAGCAGCTTGTCATTGGAGGATGCGTGTCTCTTCTTCAATATACCATCGACCTCGAATTCGCTCTCAGCTGGGGCTGTCCCGAGACCCGCGCTCTCGGTCATGGCGACAAAGTCGTCCTGGTCGTCGTTGTCCTCCGCGGGAGTGCTGGCGGTATTCTGTGCAGTGGGTAGCCATGACTGCAGCAACCGCTGGCTTCTGGCCTGCACAATATTGCTTCGACTGAGCCAGATGTCCGCTTCGGTGATGTGGTCTGCCGAGTCTCCCATGTCCAGGTACAGTGGTTATGATGATGGTGATGGTGGTGGTGGTAGGCCAGTACATAAGCAAAGTAAACTTCGTCTCAGTATTCATCGGGAATTCACGGACCGCAAAGCATGAAAGCCAAAGCCTGACGGAGCTCAGAACAGCTTCACTCTGCTAAAACACGACCACGGCACCCCTTCTCTCCTCCGCGCCGCTCCTCTCCTCTCCTCTCCTCCCCCGTTTTACTCTCCTCCATCCCCGGGCCCAGCATGTTCAAGGTCGCCCGTAGCAGCAGGCACTTAGCCTCTGCCTTCCAGGTCAGTTCCGCCCAGCACCTCCGATGGACAGAGAGATAGACAGACAGACAGGGATGCAAACTAAACACCTTTGGCCCCCATATAGAGCCCTCTGCGCCAACAAGTGCGCAACCTCTCCATCCACGAATACCGCTCCGCCCAGCTGCTCGACTCGTATGGCATCGGCGTCCCCAAGGGCAGTGTGGCCCACAATGCAAAGGAGGCAGAAGAAGTCGCAAAGACCATCGGCGGCGATGACATGGTCATCAAGGCGCAAGTGCTGGCAGGAGGTCGTGGAAAGGGCCACTTCACCAACGGCTTCAAGGGCGGAGTGCGCATCGTCTACAGCCCGCGTGAAGCCTCGATCCTCGCCGACCAGATGATCGGCCAGAAGCTCATCACCAAGCAGACGGGTGAGAAGGGCAGGATCTGCAACAGTGTCTACATCGTCGAGCGCAAGTTTGCCCGTCGCGAGTTCTACCTGGCCATCCTCATGGACCGCGCCACCCAGGGTCCTGTAATTGTCGCCTCCAGCCAGGGAGGCATGGACATCGAGACTGTTGCCAAAGAGAGCCCCGACGCCATCATCACCACACCCATCGACATTCACAAGGGCGTCACAGATGAGATTGCACGGGGCATCGCCACCAAGCTGGGTTTCAGCGAGCAGTGCATTGAGGACGCCAAGGACACCATCCAGAAGCTCTACAAGGTCTTCCAAGAGAAGGACGCTACACAAATTGAGATCAATCCTCTTTCCGAGACTTCAGACCACAAGGTCCTCTGCATGGACGCTAAGCTCAACTTCGACGACAACGCCGAGTTCCGTCAAAAGGAGGTCTTCAGCTGGCGCGATCCTTCCCAAGAAGATGCCGATGAGGTCAAGGCAGGCGAGTCTGGTCTCAACTTTATCAAGCTCGACGGTGACATCGGCTGCCTTGTCAACGGTGCCGGTCTGGCCATGGCCACTATGGATATCATTAAGCTGAACGGTGGCGCACCAGCAAACTTCTTGGATGTCGGTGGTGGTGCTACTCCTGAAGCTATCAGACAGGCTTTCGACCTCATCACCTCGGACCCCAAGGTGACGGCCATCTTTGTCAACATTTTCGGCGGTATTGTTCGTTGCGACGCCATTGCTAAGGGCTTGATTGGTGTGGTGGAGAGCATGAACCTCCGAACGCCCGTCATTGCAAGATTGCAGGGCACCAACCACGAGGCAGCCGCCAAGCTGATCAACGAAAGCGGCTTGAAGATTTTCAGCATTGATGACCTACAGACCGCGGCAGAGAAGAGCGTGCAATTCAGCAAGGTTGTAAAGATGAGTGAGTGAATTCCCAACCAAGGGGTACATGATTTGCTATATTTGACCATGCTAACTCTTGCGTGTGTGCAGCGCGTGACATTGACGTGGGTGTTGAGTTCACCCTGGGCATATAGATGGGTTATGGGTAGCATATGGCGCTGCTTTACGATGATTGTATTCTGCTCTTTGCGCCGAGTCGCGGATTGCGAGGCGTATTGTACCTTTGTTCTATATCATGCATGACCGCGATACTAGATGATCAGAAAAGACCAGCGACAGGTTCCGGATTGATATCCACCAGCTTTGCATGCTACTAATGGCCCACAGAGGCGTCGAACGTATCTTCAGCGAGTTCACAGATCATCGGCGCACCACAAATGACAAGTCCGGAGTCTCTCGATGGACTTGACATATGAAGAAGCAAAGTGTATGGGACAATTGTTCGATGTTAGCTGACAAGAACACTAGTGCTACGAGCTTCGTGCTGAGTGTAGCTGAAGTGCGGAACAGCCACTGCCTTGTGGACAGCCTTGTGAATGCTAAGCCATGCGTATGTCTAGGCTGTATGGGTGATTCCATCTCCGCAGTCCGGCCAGAAAAAATTTGGGATAGAAACAACTCAAGTCGGGAACTTTCCAATAGAAGTTCGGGCATACTAACTCGCTCATGTAACGCCGATTCAAGTCAGACGCGACGCGATATGTCGACTCCGGCTGGAGCTATTGCCGTTTTTAAGCGCGGGATCGAGAGGACTTGCATCCCCGAATTCTTTTTCTGAAAGCGTTTGACGGGAAAGCAGGTGTATAGCACACTCGAAATAGACGTTCCTGGACAGCTGATGATCGTCAAGGTAATGGGTGAACATCACGAGACTCCGCCTTATTGGTGCGAGTGTATACACCATGCGAGAGGACAGGCTGCTGAATTGAGAGACAATGAAAAGCGCGATCAAGCGGTACAGAAGGCAACTCATACTACCTACATACGAGTCGTTGGGCGGCGACTTGCTGGACAGTTGTGGGATGATGTTTTCGCAGAGAAGCAGGGGCGTGGCTTGCTGTTATCGCGGGGATGAAAGCCGTGTTTACCTGGCTGGCAGCTTTGGTCTGGCACGAGGGCTGATGATCAGCACAGCATAATCATCACGATACAAGTACGTGACTCGTGTGATGGCGCTGTGGATTCTTTGGCCATTTGAGTAACGACAGCCCGCAACGCCTGAAGATCGCGCCCCGTAGCAAACGTCAGGTAAGATAAGATGCGAGAGTGGATGCCCACTACTTTTACGCATATCACACGAGCAGCATTTTGCACTCGCCACACGAAGATTGCTCGTGTCTATAACATGCATCATACTCGCCGATGGCCAGGCGGTTGTGGCGCGTCGAGACACCATACGCCTTGCAATATCATTCTCACACCCTTCAATACCTAGGCAAGTTTGCCCCTAACAGATGCTAATCCTGTCCACGAAATATCTCACCTGGCTTTACAATCACTCGCCGAGTGATGTGCATATCTCGTGCATCTAGACAGGCGCCCAGCTCGTGTCCTATTGTCAGTTTTGCCCCGGCGACCCTATAAGGTCCTGCCATATCTTGCTCTAGGGCACTTCATATCGAGTACTGGGGCACTCCAACCATCCTGCTAACCACACACCGGGACTCAGTATGCTCAAGTCATTGGCCATCATTGCCACCTGCATCCTTCTGGCCAACACTGTGGCAGTGCCTATATACACTCTTGGAGACAACGAGCCACCTGAACAATGGAGACCAAGCGCGGCAGGTCTTCCTAAATACATTCCACCTACTCCAGCTCGACCTCCCTACCAGCCGCATGGCCCTATTCCGGACTCGGAACTATCAGAGCCACCTGTCATGCCTCTTCCCGCAGGCCTAAGTCCTCAAGCCACAGCTGGTATTGCATCTCTTCGGGCCATGTTCAAAAGCTCGAAAGACGTGGATCACTCTTCCTTGCCTGCCTCGGCTGTCAATGCACCTTCGCAGTTCACTCGTGCGGCAGATTTTACTGATCTCGGCTGGACACAGACTGTTGAAGATAATTTCAAACTTGTCAATTTTGGTTTGGAAACTGCTTTCGGTGATCTGGGAATCAGCAGTGATCCAAGGTTTTGGAAGAGGGTGGTCCAGACACATTCTCGCGATGGTCAGAGAAATGGGCAAACGTACAAGAAGTCAGGTAAGTCGTTTCTGCCTCCCTTCAAGTTCGTGCCGAGTAGTTTCTCGTGAAAAACAGACAAGCTTACCTTGAACTCCAATTTCAGGTGCAATGGCAACAAACATATTCAATCCGCAGCAAGGCGTCATCGTCACTGGATCCCTTCTAGGTAATGTGGACTTCATTGACGCCTTGGTCCAGCAAGGCTCCAGTACTCGGATGGCGGAAGTGTCGCCTCTGCGTTACTGGCACGACCTTTGCTACCTCGCCTGGGCATCCTTGAATGGTGGGAATGCTCCGCAACGCAAGGCAATCACTCACATCTTCTACCACGATGTCCAAGATGCAGAGATGCGACGTCTGCTCACCTTGCTGGTGGACTTCAGACGTCAGCGAGGTTATGACCGCACGTGGCCTTTGCCACCCACAGTAAGATTTTTTTTTGTTTCATCCTGTCACATGTCAGGTTTTCCATCATGTTACCGCTGACACGCTTCTCTCACCTCCTAGTGGCAAGGTGTCATGATCAAGCATGCCGAGGATAAAAGACAAATTCCTCAGGCAGCTGCGGTGCTTGACATCTTCAAGGAAATTACAAAGTTCATCACCACTCATGAGCCGGCTAATATGCTCGGGGACAAAGGCATCGACAGGATTCATATTTTCGCGTGTCCTCAGTATTTCCCCGATGGACGGGAAAAGGTTGGAGTCTGGTGTGTTTACTTTCATCTGAGAACCGTATGAACCGACTTGAGGATGGGAAAAGCACTGCTGAGTGCATGTGCTACTATTACTCTGCTGCTGAGATACTATTTCCTATTGGTGTTGGCGAGTTTGTCTGAATTTGGACTGATGTTGGCTGGAACACGGTGGAGGGTTGATGTTTAAAGGCTCAATGTGGGACGAGCCTACGGAATAGCAACGGCATACATATATGGAGTGGTGATTCGTCACGGGATAGAACAATCAGCTTCCACTGAACGTCCACCGGGTCGAGAATGAAGTGAAGTGAAGTCCATATGATCGGAAGAACAAGGGAAGTCTCTTCCTTATCCGAGCCTCCGAGGGCGCTCAAGCCGACCAATGCCGCTCTTCACATCCGACATCGTCTCCACTCCACTAGGTCTCTTCCGACATCGTCTCAATGCGATGGCAAGGCATTTGTATGATTACCTATTCCACGAAGCGTAAGTACCCGCTCTCTGTCTCTCGAGCTGACGCTGTTCTTTTGACACCTCTCATCTGCTTCTCCCTCATTTGCTCCTACTCGCCACATACATTATCACCAGAGACGCATGAGCTTGAGTGTAGCTCCGATATAGAGAGATATATACCTTACCTACCTTACTCACAACACGCACGCGATCATGGCTATGCAAAGGGGACTGAAGAACATACTGGCCATGAATGCCGACGACATCGTAATCCTGTCTGCTCTCCGTACGCCCGTGACACGAGCAAAGAAAGGCGGTTTCAAAGACGCCCACGACCACGAGCTCCTCTCCCACGTGCTTCGAGCCACTCTCGCCGCGCATCCCAACCTCGATCCCTCCAAAATCAACGATGTACAGATTGGTACAGTCCTGTCCGAGCTTGGTGGCAGCAAGGCAGGCCGGATGGCAGCGCTTCACGCCGGACTGCCCGAGACCGCGACCTTCCAGACGGTGAACCGAGCTTGCAGCAGTGGACTGGCAGCCATCACAGGCGTAGCAAATGCCATTCGAGTTGGAGAGATTGATGTGGGAATTGGTGGTGGCATGGAGAGCATGACTCGCAACTACGGCTCACGAGCTATTCCCACAGCTCTGTGGGGTGAGCTGAAAGAATCGCAAAACAAGGACGCGCGGGACTGCATTATGAGCATGGGGATTACAGCCGAGAATGTAGCAGAGAGATACAAGGTGTCTCGTAAAGAGCAAGACGAATTTGCGGTGGCTTCACATTTGAAAGCTGCGAAAGCACAAAAGGAAGGATTGTTCGACCAGGAGATTGTGCCTGTCAAGACGAGAACTATACCTGATCCCGAACATCCGGAAACTACAGAGGAGGTGACGGTCTCCAAGGATGACGGAATCCGTGCAAAGAGCACAGTCGAGAAATTGGGCACGATGAAGGCTGCTTTTAAACCGGATGGCGCTACGACTGCAGGAAACAGTTCGCAGGTGAGCGATGGAGCTGCGGCAGTTCTCATGATGAGGAGATCTACAGCTGCGGAACTGGGCCTCTCAACTTCCATCATTGGCAAATGGGCAGGCACACAAGTCGTCGGCTGTAGACCTGATGAGATGGGCATCGGCCCAGCTCTCGCTATCCCGAAGCTCTTGAGCCATACTGGAATCTCGAAGGAGGATGTCGGAATCTGGGAAATCAATGAGGCGTTTGCGTCCCAGGCGGTATACTGTGTGCGAGAATTGGGTATTGACCAGGCAAAGGTCAACCCCAAGGGTGGAGCTATCGCGTTGGGACATCCGCTTGGTGCTACTGGCGGTCGGCAGTTGGCGACTCTACTGCCAGAGCTTGAGAGACAAGGGCAGCAAGTGGGTGTGGTCAGCATGTGTATCGGAACAGGAATGGGCATGGCTAGTTTGTTCATCAGAGAGTAGAACGACCTCCTCCGAAGTCTAGCGCGTAAAGCATATGTCTAAAAAGTAGTGCTTTTATCTGTCCATGGGCAAACATTAGAGGTGTAGACCTTCTTTGTCGTTTTGCTGTTGTTGTATGTCGCGCTTCTAATGCGTCTCACCTTCCGCGTGGAGAGTCATGGTAGAAGCAGGTGGTAATGTAGGTAACAGAGGTGTCGGTACATGACTACATGTATGGAGGCAGTTCTAGATCTAAAGTATACCTATGCTCACTTGCATGACAACGCCCCACTTGGTGTAAACAATGGACCCTGCAACACGTTGCAGATCCCAGCTCGGATCTTTGGAGTTGACCAGCATCGCAGCATCAATCACTTCGTCGCTGGGCCACGCTTTGAGGACACGCCCACGCCCACGCCTACACCCACTCCCGCCGCACAAGGACACCATTGCCATCATGTCGCGCGGCCATGAGACGGGCATGGACTTCGAGTGGCAGAACAGGACGGGCCAGATTGACGTGCGCTCGCCCTTTGCACAAGTGAGCCAGAACGCGCAGCGCTTTGGCACGAGCACGCCGAGCAAGCAGCGTAGGTACATGCAACAGTTCCGAGGAGACAATCTATGTGTGGACGACGATGCTGATGGTGACGTTTAATAGGAAACAACAGCGCCTTTAGCTCGCCGTTCAAGAGCACCGCCAACCTCCAAAACTCGCCTACTCGCAAGCCGCTCCCTCCACCACCCGTGTCCGCCTTCAATGGGCTCTTCAGTACGCCTCGCAAATTGAACAACGACTACGACGATTCCAGCGCAGGAGAAACACCCAAATCGCCGGAACGAAGCGACAACGACGCTACCCCCGATCACAGCAGAGCAAACCGCCTGCGAGTCGCAAAGAACAACTTCGAGACGTCCACGCTGCCAACCATGGCGCTCACCGAGCGTGGCAGCCCAACGAAAGAGCAGTCGCGACCGGAGATTATACGGCGAGAAAGCTGGCTTGGAGAACTCTCCGCCAAGGTCAAGCGCAAGCTTCACAGTCCCGGGCGAGGCGAGATTCATCGATCAGACCACTCGACCGCCGTGGAGAAGCGGCGGTCCAAGAAGAAGCGCGACCAAGTACTGGCCCGCAGTGCTTCCAAAAGAAGAAGGCATAGTGTGTCTGACTCTGGAGAAGACAGCGAGCGACCGGTCAAGGGCGCACCGAGGGCAGCGAGTAGACATCAAAACGATGACATGCATAATCCGCCGCAGAGACACTGGCTGTCAAGGACTTTCTCATTCATCGCCGAACACCCCACTGTCCCGAACATCCTTTCCTTCTACGCTCAGCTCTTCTTCAACGTCTTCCTGCTGGCAGGTTGCGTCTATCTCATTTATTGCTTCTGGTCGGCAGTCCAAGGAGACATCGACAAGAAATCACACGAAGCTATGGCCGATATCATGGCTGAAATGGCCGAGTGCGCTCGTCAATATACAACCAACAACTGCGATCCTAAAATACGCGTGCCCGCTCTGACCAACGTCTGCGAGGGCTGGTCCAAGTGCATGAATCGCGACGCATCCAAAGTCGGCCGCGCCAAAGTCAGCGCACACACCTTTGCAGAAATCTTCAATTCTTTTGTCGAACCGATCAGTTGGAAAGCAATGGCTTTCACATTTTTGTTGGTCTTTGGATGCTTTGCCTCCGGCAACCTCGCCTTTGGTTTCTTCCGAGATAAGACGAACCAAGCAGCGCAGTATCCGCCACCACAATACTACCCACCTCCGCCGACCCCGCAGAGGATGCCTTCGGGGCAGCAGCAGCAGCAGCAGTACTTTGGTACACCTTGGCAGCATTTTGAGCAATTGGAACCGAAACCAAGTGGGTTACCGCAGCAGCAGCATCTGTTACTTGAGGCTGGGCAGCATGGTAGTCCACAGAGAAGCCCTCAAAGGGGTGGCGGTGCAGTGAGAAAATTGCAGTACGAATAACAAAAAACAGATGAAATGATTTCTTTTTATTCTTTTTTTCGGCATTGGACATTGCGAGAGAAAAAAGAAAGAAGAAAAGGCTTGGGTTTGATGTTGACAACATACCTACCTAGGAGGTACCTACTCTGCGCAGCTGTAGAGACGAGTAATTCAGTTTCATTCAATTCGAATGTTCGTTCGTGATTAGTGGTATGCTTTTTCTCGGGCTCATCTACTGAGAATTATTCTTCTTTCTTTGTTTTTCCTCTTTTTTTCTTCCCAGCTGCTGCTAAGGATATTCGTAGTTGGTATATTTGCATGTACCTAACAATCGAAAAATGGTCACAAGTAACAAGTACAGAGAGAGAGAGAGAGAGAGAGAGAGAGAGAGAGAGAGAGAGAGAGAACAAGGCAGAAAAGATTCTTTGCATTGAGAATACATGTATGTAGGTAGGCCGCTGGTACAACTCCTTGCAAGGTCCATAATCTAGCCAGTGACCAAAAACACAGAAACCTGACTATGAAAACTCTACTTCTACTGGCTCTGTACAATAAATAATACATGAACTCTGGTATCGCTTGATTCACACATGCGCCCGCATCTCTATCGCTCAAACGGCCGAGATGGCGACAGCAATGACTTGTACATCGCTGTGGCTGATCGACACAGTTGTTGACTTGACCCCTGCCTGCTTTGCTGCTGCCTGCGCATCTCCGTGAAGCTGTGAAACTTGTTAGCAATCTGTCTAGCACGTAGCGCGGAAGCATGCTGGGGGTTTGACTTACTCGTACGGACGGCGCACCATTCTCATCATTAACAATCTCAATGTCCTTCATAGGTGCACCACCACCACGGCTGGCCACCTTGAAGCTCTTGAACACAGCCTCTTTGGCACTCCACTTGCCAACAAAGGATGCCTGTGGGTTGGGCGCCTTGCGGCAGTAAGCGATCTCTGCCGCAGTAAAGTTACGCTCGATAAATGTGTCATTGGAGATGTCGATGGCATTGATTTGCTCAATGTCAACACCAGGATTGGAGTTTTGAGCAGCGTTGACCTTCATCAGCGTCTCAACCATCTCAGTCGTATTCTTATCCTGCACCTTCTTAGGCGCAGTCTTGGCATACGTGAGCTCGTTGGTCTTCTTGTCGACCGACACGCGAACAGTTGGGTCCAGGAAGACCTTGCTCTGCTGAGCGTCCTCATAAGGTGACTTGTTCTTGGCGCGGAACATGGTGTTGTTGATGAGACCATCGTGGAAGTACCGGTAAGCTCTCTTTTGGCGGGCATCGACCTTCTGCTTGTAGGTCTGGAACTGAGTTTGATCAAGAGTGGCGAAAAGGTACTTGGGGTGAATACCAATCGCTTGAGCACCTTTTTGACCAAAGCCAAAGGAAGTGACGGAGAATGCCTTGATCCCGTCTGTCTGGATGCTCTGGCTAGGATAGACGATGTAGTCGAACTTCTCCATGACCTTGTCAACATTGTCGGCGTTCCTGTTACCCGGTACAAGACCGGAGTTCAATACCTGCAGACATCCGTTGAACATCCAGGCACCAGCAGCACCCTTAGGGTGACCGGTCAGATACTTCTGGAAGATACCCAAAAGTGCATTGCCCTTTTGACGACCAAGATGCTTCATCTGCTGGCAGATGACATCGGATTCGTTCTTGTCGTTGGCTACAGTCGATGTTCCGTGGAAGGAAGCAACATCAAGGTCGTCAATCGTCAGGCCCCATGTCGCGAGCGCACCCCGGATTGGCGCGATGCGAGGATCTTGCTTCCAGAAGTTGTTGCCCAGGCTTTGCAGGGCCTCCTTCTCCTGGCGTCTGGCCTCACGCTCGATGTGGTGAGCCCGATCCTCCATATATTCGGTCTCGTTGAACTGTGCGCCCTGCTGCTTCATGGCGTTGACTTCTTCTTCAAGGTACAAGAGTTCGGACTCTTGCCAATTCTTGATCTGCCTTTTGCGCAGATCCAATTGCCTCTTGCGGTACTTGATGTCCAGTAGTGGAGATGGGAACTTCGTCGTTTGCTCACGAGCTCCAGTGAGGACACCTTGGCCAGGTGCTGGAACAGAGCGGCCAATTTTGTCAGTGGCAGTAGCGGTGTAGCCGAGAACACCGTAAATCGGCACTCCCATGTCAAGTGCCAGCTTAGCATCCATGATGACTTGCATACCACAACCTTGCGACTCCATGAAGCCATTGCGAGTAGTGGTAGTAGGACGAGACATCTCCTTAGGAGTGCGGCCGTGGGCAAACTCATCGCGCGCGTTGCTTGTAGCACCCATGTTGGCAAACTCGTACGAGCCCTCCTCTTGGAAGTCATCGAAACCACCGACAAAGCACATACGAGCTTTGCCTTCGACGATGCAATCGTAACCAATGTCAATAGACTCAACAGCAGTAGCACAAGCTCCTACGGGTGTCCTGATTGGACCAGTAGAAGACATGAGTAACATGTTGATCCACGCGCTCATGGTGTTAATGAAAGACTCTTGCAGAATATCCTTCTGCAGAGGTTTGTCCAGGAAGCGGTCCTTGTACATTCCACGCAGGGCGGTAGTACCACCAATACCGGAACCTATGCAGTTACCAACTTCTGAAATGTGCACATACTTGTAGAACTCGTATGGATCGGTGATACCAGATGAGAGCAGGGCTTCGGCGGTAGAAACCAGCACGTAGAGCGTGACCGGGTCAACTTGGGAGATGATGTCGTCTGGAACACCGTACTTCTTCGCGTCCCAGCCAGTTGGCACTTGCCCAGCAACAAGACGATCGAAACGGAGTGCCTTTGGAATGAGGAGCGTCGCTCCTTTCTTCAGACGTACTTGGAATTCACCAGACTCCAGCTCAAACACTTCGACCTTGTCGCCATGCTCGCGCTTGAACTCCTCCGCGGTCTCCTTCGATGACTCGAAAGGATCAAGGTCCTCTTCGATTTGGATCTCCTGCATCAGCTGTTTCTTGTTCGGGTCGTAGCCGTTGAAAAGCTCAGGTTCAATGAGGCGGATACCGGCGTGGTCGAGGATGTGTTTCTCGTACTTCGCCTTGATGTCCTTGTCGTCGACGGGCTCTCCAGACTTGGCATCCACCCAGCCGGAATAGCTCTTGCCTTTCATTGAGCCATTGAAGTTCTTGATCAACCCCATGATCCAAGCCATCTCGACACAACCCTCGAGAGAAAATTGGCCGTAAGCTTCCATCTCCCAGCGGGTACGTGAATTACCCCATGGTCCAACTTCAGCGAATCCAGTGACAACGACAACCTTCTCGAGATCAACCATACCCTTGAGGTCTGCATTGAGCGGCTCCACCTCCTCCTTCCAATCAGGAAGCTTGGGAAAGTCGAACTTCAAGTTGGCGCGCTTCTCGACTTTTACTGTCTTGTACAAGGCTTCACTGTCCTCTCCATTGACGATCTTGTTCTCAACAGCAGTTTCGCGCGTGACTGCCTTGCGGATCTCGGCAGTTTCTGTTATGTCCTTGCGCAGGCGAGTCATGAGATCCTTGAGATTTGGCAGGAACTGGAGTCCACCGTTGAGATCAGCGAAGACAGGCTCCGTTTGACAGAGGTTGACAATGGCAGGCGACATGAGCCCGAGCAAATTGAATGCCATCTCCTGTTGCGAGAAGGTGCGCACTCCATATCGCTCGACACCCTCGGCGACGACGTTGTTACCACCCATGAGTCCAGTACCGCGGGTCCAGCCAATCACCGCACCGCAGATGGTCAGGAAGTTGCCCCAGCTCTCGGAATGCCATCGGTTGAACAGCGTTTCCAGTGCCAGCTTCGATTCAGAGTAAAGACCGTCGTTGCCGAAGGTGCCATGGTTTGGTGACAATGGCAGGATGACTTGAGCTGGCCGAGTTTCGAACCCACGGGTCGCCTTCTGGGCCTTGACCGCGCCAAGCATACGCAGCAAGTTCGTAAGCATGATCCGGTGAGCTAGCTCGGACTTGCTGTCGATGTTGTCAATCTCGCGACCATTTTCGGGAATGGCAGCAAATGGCACAATGAAGTCAAGATCCCAGCCAAGACCCTTCTTCTCATCGTAGATGTACTCGATAAGAGCATTGACGTCCTGGTTGCTTCCTTGGTTGAAAGGTACAACCACGAGTTGAGAGCCGCGAGCACCGTAGCGTGCGTACATGGACTGGTAGTACTCGGTGACCTCGCGGGAGTAGCGAGAAGTGGTGACTACAACCTTTGCACCACCACTGACGAGGCCCTGAAGAACCTCTGCGCCGATGGAGCCTGCTCCTGCACCAGTCATGAGCACGTTTTTGTTCTGGAATGTAACGCCAGACTTGGCAGCCTGCTCAAGCCCTTCGAGATAGACTCCCGTGAGTTTCTTGCTGTACTCCCATCCATGCTCCTCCTTGCGCTTCAGGTGCAGGAAAGGGACGGTCTCGATCTTGCCCTGCTTGCTCGGGTTGATAGCACCGTTCAAGCGACCGTGACGACCCTTGGCGATGTGGCCATTGATCTTGCCATTCTCATTGGGCATAATCTGGCCCTCATTCATGGACAACGACCGCACAATATTAGTGTACAGTTGCTTGATCTCGAGTTGCGATGATTTTGAGAGCTTGTGCTGTTGCCTGATCAAGCGATAGACGCGCTGCAAGTCGTTCTGAACCTTTGTCCGGTTGCCGTACTCTGATATCTTGCCTCCGTCGGCCATTTCTTGTACATAGTGCTCGAGCTTACGAATGCTCCCACGGGGAATCTCGGCATAGTTCATGTCGCCACGTGGGCTGATGTCGAGATGCGGCGCCGTGGGAACGCTCACGTCTTTGTAGACTGGTGCTTCTCCAAGCACGTCGCGGCAGTTGTCGATGAGTTGCGCTCCAAGCTCTTTCGCCAGCTGATATGTTTCGCCGCGTTCGGTCGGGCAGTGATCGATGTGGTACTGCATAAATTCAAGGAGGGAGGGATTCGACCGGTTCATGATGAGGATACACCTTGAAACAATTTCACGATCCACAGCGGTAAGGCGACCAAAGATGATGTCGTAATACATCTTCAGAGCATCCTGTCTTGCCCAGTTCCACGAGGAATCGTATACACGGGCTTTGAGGGGACTGAAGCTCGGCTCGATGCCGGCAGCGTAGAACTCGCCGTGTTCTGTATTCCATAGATCGAGCTGTGCTTGGAGAGCCGTTTCGTTTTGCTTAGTGACCAATGCTGCTTTGTCGCCGGCGCGGAGGTCCATCTTAAGGTAGCGGGCGAAGAGCTCGAGTTGCTGCTTGAACAACGCGCGCTGGTCCTTGGTAAGTGCATCGATGGCTGCAGGATCCATCATCATACCGCCGCCGCCGCCGCCAGCATCTCCGCCAGCCGGAGCCGTGGCCAAGCTGATCCCGGCCTGAGTCGCGTATTTGTTGGCGAGATCGTCCAGCCATGCCTTCGCATCATTTTCCGATCCGAGACGTGCTGGAGGTTCTGATGTGAGACCAAGTATAAGGACACCATCTTGTCGTCCCGAGCCCAAGCCCCATCTCGTTTCTAGGTGCTTGCGCACAGCTGTGATGTTGAAGCCTCCAGGCATCTTCGAGGATACCATGCGTGCGATGAGGGATGATGACTGCTTTCCAAGCTGGCCGTTAAAGGTTGCTTGCATGGCAGCTCCGAGCTCGTCGAGAGGTGTGTCTTCGGGCTTCTCTGGTGTCGAGCCGAATTCCTTACCAAGATCACCTAGAATCTCATTCTGGAGGGTAGATTTGCCTGGCCGCAGATGTTAGTGCACATTGACCGAGTGAAGAGAAATACGCGCTTACCTCCGACCAAGTCTTTGATGGCCTTGCTCAATGGTATGTCCTGGAGTGGCTTCTTCAACTTCTGAGCTACCAGTGCGCGCAAGATGTCAACTGCTCCAACTGGCGCATCTGCTACTGCTGCTGCAGGTCCCGCACCTGCAGCCGGTGGAGGCGGAGCGGCGGCCGCTGGTGCTGGTGCTGCTGCTGCTGTGGGAGCTGCTGAAGATGCTGCGGGAGCACTGGCACTGCCAGAGGGTGCTGGGGCAGCAGCCTCCTCTTCCACCGGGTCAACGTCATAGTAGATGTCCTTTGCGTCCTTGTTGTAGCACAGGATCTGCCTCTGCACCGATCGTGCTGCATCATATGCCTCATACTTTGCTGCCAGTGTTCGCTTGGCCATACCACCGAGAGTGTCTGCTGGCCCGATCTCCACAATCCGCTCCGTCTCCTTCTCGCCCAGAATGACATCTTGTGTCTCGATCCATCTCACGGGAGAGGCGAACTGATATGCCAGAAGCTCGACCAGAAGCGTATGAGCAAGGTCCTGCTCGACTTCGGGTCTCATACTTGCTGTGGTGCGTTGAGCAGCGCGATTGCAGGAAGGGGAGTGTGTCAACTAAAAGGAAAAGAGCGTATGCATCAATCGGCGCGCGCAGTGATGTTTGGGCCAATGGCCAAGTGCCGTGCAGTGTAATGGATCAAGGTCTCGGTGTGATGGAGTGGAAGTGGATGGTAGGTGTCGGGAGCAGGAACGGCAGCCAGAGATTTTTCGGAGAGAGAAGTGTTGACTCCTGGCCCTGTCCGGTAGGCGGTTTGGTGAGCGATGAGGATGGCGACTCCTGCGATAAGGTGGTGTTGCTCGAGCCGGCGGTATCCGTGAGCTCAACTGCGTCCCAATGGTTGGTATGCAGGTACTGAATGTATGAGGGCGGACCGTTGAATTATTGACGAGGTTTCGAGACGAGCGCAGCCGGGTAGGCGAGTTTCTCAATTGGACTGGAGACGGGAGCTTCCCCAGGTCTCAGAGCGTGGCAGAAAGTCTTGGAACTGCAGCTTGACCCTGAAGATATGCGTCGGTGGCTCTTTTTCCAGTTGATCCTCAACAAACAACGCACGCGACACAAGGAGCGGTGGGAGGCCGTGTTGGGATGGAAGTGGATAGAATAGCTAATACCTGACCTACCTGCTATCTGACCTTACCGTCTCGCAGGCACCAGCAACGAACACCTGGCGCTCTTCGTGCCGACGCTGAGCACCTGTTTTACCTATGAGCGTAGCCAGCGTGCTCCTCAACCTCGAGTTTGATGCAGGTTTGAAACTAGCGCGCGGGACGGCACTCCTGCACTCTATCCGCGCGTCGATCCCTGTCAGATGATGCCTCAACAGCGGTTCAGGAAGCAAAGAGCTCTCGTTGGGTTCAATGCATATCGCCAAGTTTCAGCGCCTCGATGGAAGCTGGACACATAGCAGTGAGGTGGGAGGTCGCACTTCCTCTGTCTCCAACACTCCCTCTCACGCCGTCACGCACCATTGATTGCACTTGTTCGACTCCCTTGAGAACGTGTCGTCGATGTTTCTTGTGCTGCCATCCTTCCTCTCGTCCGCCAAATTCTGACCCCGGCATCCTGGCCCGCAGCGTCTGCGCTTTCCCGCAGCTACCGTAGCTTGTCGTCAAAATTCCAAACCTGCTGTCGAATGAGATTCCAGGCATTCACTTGCTATAAACGAGAACGACGTGAGTGATCCATCCATCATCCTCATCTCGGCCCAGTGGAGTGCGCGGTCGCAACGGCAGCAGTTCTCGCCGCTTCCGCTTCAAAATCTACTGCACACGCACGCACGCACGCCCCGAAGAAACGGAGAGTCAGCCTGGGGCAGAAGCAAAAGCACATCAATCGCGAGAACAGCAGACCTGCCGAGCTCACTTCGAGGATGCTGCAAACATGAGCACTCCAGCGCAAGAACTAACAGACCCATTCGTACAGTTCGATCAACAGGCAGAGTCGCCAGCAACCTCTTCTTCCCCCTCCGCCACTCGCCGACGCTCCAAGATGTACGGCAGCGGCTCCCAAACTGGCGTCTCTACACCGCGCTCGCAAGCCGTATCACGACCGCTCACGCTCAGCCACGGCTCCCTCGAGTACACCTTCTTAATACCCACAGCTCTCCACTTCAACGCGACACAGCTCAAGGACCAGTTCCTCTCGACGTTACCCGAGGCCACTGAGGAGCTCGCGCAAGATGACGAGCCTTCTTCCACAACGGAGCTTGTAGCTCGATACATTGGTTTTGTTGCAAAGGAGGTCGATGAGGGCGATGATCCAGAGCTCTTTACTGAGGTTCTGAAGCTTGTTCTGACGGAGTTCGAGCGCACCTTCCTCCGCGGCAATGAGGTGCACGCTATCGCATCACATTTGCCTGGTATCTACGAGAAGAAGCTCGTTACCGTCCAGGCATACTACGCTGCACGCGCTGCCATCAAGCGGCCGATCAGATCCCACGAGTCTGCGCTTCTGAGAGAAGCCGCAGACGAGAATGCGTATGTATACGCTGTGTTCGGAGGCCAGGGCAACATCGAGGAGTACTTTGATGAGCTTCGCGAGATCTACAATACCTACCCATCCCTGGTACGGGACTTCCTCAATGTGGCGGCACAGCACCTGCAATTCATGTCCCGAGACGAGCGAGCGTTCAAGAGCTATGCAAAAGGCCTGGATATCATGCGATGGCTCGACAACAAGGACTCTCAGCCAGACACCGACTACCTCGTCTCTGCGCCTGTCAGTTTTCCATTGATCGGGCTTACACAGCTCGCGCACTACGTCGTCACCTGTCGGGTACTCGGCACTCACCCCGGCCACGTCCGAGATCGATTCGCAGGTGCCAGCGGTCACTCGCAGGGCGTTGTTACCGCGGCGGCCATTGCAGCCTCGTCCAACTGGGAGACATTTGACAAGCAGGCTAGGAACGCTCTCACGATCCTCTTCTGGATCGGCGCCCGCAGTCAGCAAGCCTACCCACGAACTTCCCTTGCACCTAATGTGCTGCAGGACTCGATTGACGCCGGCGAAGGTTCGCCCACTCCTATGTTGACGGTGCGAGATCTCTCGCGTGAGACCATTGAGAAGCTCATCAAACAGACCAATGAGCACTTGCCAGAAGACAGGCATATCGGCATATCGTTAGTGAATAGTGCTCGCAATTTCGTTGTGACGGGCCCTCCAATGTCACTTTATGGCCTTAATCTGCAACTACGTAAGATCAAAGCACCTACTGGACTCGACCAAGCACGCATACCCTTCACCGAGCGCAAAGTACGCTTCGTCAACCGCTTCTTGCCGATCACTGCGCCGTTCCACAGTCCCTATCTTGCAGGAGCCATGAAGCACCTTGAGAGCGATCTTGCTGAGATCAAGATTGAAGCCTCTGAGCTCGGAATTCCAGTATTTAATACTTATACCGGTGGCGACCTAAGAGAGGAGGAGGAGGGACAAAGCATTACACTCGCGTTGGTCAAGATGATTTGCCAAGATCAAGTGCTCTGGGAGAAGGCCACGGTCATGCCCAATGCTACTCATATCCTCGACTTCGGTCCTGGCGGGATCTCTGGTCTTGGGGTCCTCACGAACCGCAACAAGGATGGAACTGGTGTCCGGGTTATTCTCGCAGGCACTATGGATGGCACGAATCCAGAAGTTGGCTACAAACCCGAGATCTTTGATCGTGATGCCGAGCATGCTGTCAAATACGCTGTGGACTGGGTGAAGGAGTTTGGACCGAAGCTGGTTAAGACTTCCGCAGGACAGACATTTGTCGACACGAAGATGAGTCGCATGCTGGGACTGCCGCCGGTCATGGTTGCCGGCATGACACCTTGCACTGTGCCCACCGACTTTGTGGCCGCAACAATGCGGGCTGGCTACGAGATTGAGCTTGCTGGTGGAGGATATTACAACGACAAGAGCATGACCGAGGCCATCGCCAGGATTGAGAAGGAGATTCCTGCTGGACGTGGTATTACGATCAACTTGATTTACATCAACCCACGCGCCATGGGCTGGCAAATTCCAATGATCGGGAGGCTGCGGGCTGAGGGTGTACCCATCGAGGGCTTAACCATTGGTGCTGGCGTTCCCTCCGTGGAAGTCGCCAATGAGTACATCGAGACTCTCGGAATCAAGCACATCAGCTTCAAGCCAGGGTCGTCTGAGGCTATCCAGGCTGTCATCAACATTGCAAAGGCCAACCCAGGTTTCCCAGTGATGATGCAGTGGACTGGCGGCCGTGGCGGTGGCCATCACTCTTTCGAGGACTTCCATCAGCCGATTCTCTCCATGTACACCAGAATCAGACGCTGCCAGAACCTTGTGCTTATCGCTGGCTCTGGCTTCGGTGGTGCTGAGGACACATACCCCTACCTCACCGGTCAGTGGGCCAAGAAATTCGGCTACCCTCCAATGCCATTTGATGGTGTCCTCTTCGGCAGTCGTGTCATGGTAGCGAAGGAAGCGCACACTTCACCTGCGGCCAAACAGGCTATTGTGGATGCCCCTGGTCTCGAGGATCACGAATGGGAGAAGACCTACAAGGGTACCGCTGGAGGCGTCATCACGGTGCGTTCGGAGATGGGCGAGCCTATTCACAAACTCGCCACGCGCGGTGTCCTGTTCTGGGCAGAAATGGACCAGAAGATCTTCTCTCTTGACAAGGCCAAGCGCATTCCGGAACTGAAGAAGCATCGCGACTACATCATCCAGAAGCTCAACGATGATTTCCAGAAACCATGGTTCGGTCGCAACAAGGCTGGCGACTGCGTTGATCTTGAGGACATGACCTACGGTGAAGTCCTGCGTCGCATGGTGGACCTGATGTACATCAAGCACCAGAAACGCTGGATTGACAAGTCCCTCACGCGTCTCACTGGTGACTTCATTCGTCGCATCGAGGAGCGTTTCGCCAACACCAATGGCTCAGGATCGATCATTCAGAACTATACCGAACTTGACGATCCATTTGGCACTGTCAACAAGGTGCTCGAGAGCTATCCTGAGGCTGACGTCCAGCTCATCAATGCGCAAGATGTACAGCACTTCCTACTCCTCTGCCAGCGGCGCGGACAGAAGCCCGTTCCTTTCGTTCCGTGCTTGGACGAGACATTTGAGTTCTTCTTCAAGAAGGACTCCTTGTGGCAGTCAGAGGACCTTGAGGCTGTTGTTGACCAAGATGTCGGTCGTGTTGCCATCCTCCAGGGACCGATGGCTGTGAAGTATTCCACGATCGTAGATGAGCCTATCAAGGACATCTTAGATGGCGTTCATGAGGGCCACATCAAGTTCTTGACGCGTGATCTCTATGGTGGTGATGTTAAGAAGATCCCACAAATTGAGTACTTTGGCGGCAAACTCATCGAAGCCAGTGCCGAGCTCAGCAATCATGAAGGCCTCACAGTCAATGAGACAGAGCACAAGATCCTGTACCGACTTTCGGTCGTTTCGGGCACCACTTTGCCGCCTGTTGAGAACTGGATTCAGCTGTTGGCTGGTCGCGCACATACATGGCGTCACGCCTTCTTCACTGCCGACGTCTTCGTTCAGGGCCAAAGATACCAAACTAACCCCACACAGCGCATCTTCGCGCCGACTCCTGGCATGGTGGTCGAGATTCAGCACCCGAACGACCCTATGAGGACTACCATCACTGTCAAGGAGCCATCGCATGGCAACGAGTATGTGCACACCATCCATGTTGCCCGAGACGCCAATGGGGAGATCACGGTCAACATGATCGAGGGACGCACTGCCACAGGCAGGCCCGTCGCTCTACCACTCCGCTTCACATACCACCCGGAAACTGGTTACGCGCCGATCAGAGAAGTCATGGATCATCGTAACGATCGCATCAAGGAGTTCTATTACAAGATTTGGTTTGGAGACGAAGAGTGCCCCTTTGACGTGGATGTCACCTCTCGGTTCGATGGAGGTCGCGCCACCGTTACGAGCGAGGCGATCAACGACTTTGTGCACGCTGTTGGCAACACCGGCGAGGCGTTCGTGGAGCGTCCCGGTAAAGAAGTCTTCGCGCCTATGGACTTTGCTATTGTTGTTGGCTGGAAAGCTATCACGAAGCCGATCTTCCCGCGGACGATTGATGGTGATTTGCTCAAGCTGGTGCACTTGTCCAACGGCTTCCGTATGATTCCAGGTGCTGCTCCTCTCAAGAAGGGTGATGTGCTTGACACCACTGCCCAAGTGAATGCTGTCATCAACCAGGCTTCCGGCAAGATGGTCGAGGTCTGCGGCACTATTACACGTGATGGCAAACCAGTCATGGAAGTTACCAGCCAGTTCCTGTACCGCGGCAGCTACACAGACTATCACAACACGTTCCAGCGCAAGGTGGAGACACCAATGCAAGTGCACCTTGGATCTTCCAAGGATGTCGCAGTCCTGCAATCCAAGGAATGGTTCAAGATCGAGAACGAAGATGTCGATCTCCTCAACCAGACGCTAGTGTTCAGGCTGAACAGCATCTTGCGCTACAAGAATCAGACTGTGTTCTCGTCTGTTCAGACAGAGGGTACAGTCGAGCTCGAACTGCCCTCGAAGGAAATTATCACTGTCGCCTCGGTCGAATACGAGGCCGGCACTTCGTATGGCAATCCAGTTTTGGATTACTTGACGCGAAATGGCTCAGCTCTGGATCAGCCAGTCAATTTTGAGAATCCTATTCCTCTAAGCGGCAAGTCTCCTCTGGTGCTCAAGGCGCCCTCCTCTAACGAGACTTATGCGCGCGTGTCTGGTGACTACAATCCGATCCACGTGTCGCGTGTGTTCTCGCAGTATGCTGGTCTTCCGGGCACCATCACCCATGGCATGTACTCGAGCGCTGCCGTTCGCTCCCTCGTGGAGACGTGGGCAGCCGAGAACAATGTCGGTCGTGTGCGCAGCTTTCACGCGTCTCTGGTTGGCATGGTCTTACCTGACGATACCATTGAAGTGAAGCTTCAGCATGTCGGTATGGTCGCTGGTCGCAAGATCATCAAGATTGAGGCGCAGAAAGCCGAGACAGAGGACAAAGTTCTTCTTGCTGAAGCAGAAGTTGAACAGCCTGTATCGGCATATGTCTTTACTGGTCAGGGATCCCAAGAGCAGGGCATGGGTATGGATCTTTACGGATCTAGCGAGGTGGCAAAGGAAGTCTGGGATCGTGCAGACAAGCACTTCATGGACAATTACGGCTTCGCCATCACCAACATCGTCAAGAACAACCCCAAGGAGCTTACCATCCACTTCGGAGGTGCCCGTGGCAAAGCAATCCGCAAGAATTATATCGACATGACGTTCGAAACTGTTGGTGCAGATGGTGCAATCAAGTCCGAGAAGATCTTCAAAGAGATTGACGAGTCCACAACTTCGTACACCTATCGATCACCCACCGGTCTGCTTTCGGCCACACAATTCACGCAGCCTGCCTTGACGCTCATGGAGAAGGCCTCTTTTGAAGACATGTTGTCGAAGGGACTTGTCCAGCGTGACAGCAGCTTCGCTGGCCACTCTCTTGGAGAGTACAGCGCCCTCGCTGCGCTGGCTGAGGTCATGCCAATCGAGTCATTGGTGTCTGTTGTGTTCTACCGTGGTCTTACCATGCAGGTCGCCGTCGAGCGAGACGAGGCTGGCCGATCGAATTACTCTATGTGCGCCGTCAACCCTTCGCGTATCAGCAAGACCTTCAACGAACAGGCGCTGCAGTACGTGGTGGAGAACATCTCTCTCACCACTGACTGGCTTCTTGAGATTGTCAACCTGAACGTGCAGAACCAGCAATACGTCTGCGCCGGTGATCTCCGCGCTCTGGACACCCTCACTGGCGTTCTGAACTACCTCAAGGCACAGAAGATTGACATACAAGAGCTCATGCAATCTTTGAGCCTTGAAGAGGTCAAGGCACATCTCGTGGAGATCATTCAAGGGTGCGCTAAGCAGACCGAGGCCAAGCCCAAACCTCTTGATCTACAAAGAGGTTTCGCTACGATCCCATTGAAGGGGATCGATGTGCCCTTCCACTCCACCTTCTTGCGCTCGGGTGTGAAGCCTTTCCGCTCATTCTTGCTCAAGAAGATCCACAAGACTTCTATCGACCCAAGCAAGCTCGTCGGCAAATACATTCCCAACGTCACCGCAAAGCCATTCGCTCTCACGAAGGAATACTTCCAGGATGTATACGACCTCACCAAGTCTCCACGCATCGGCAACATCCTGGACAACTGGGAGAAGTATGAAAGTGACGAGCCCCATCTGCAGCGACCCAGAGCTGGTTCAGTGGCAGTGCCCAGTGAGGTCTAGGAGGCCGATTTGGCGGCTGATCGGGCGAACCCAGCAGTAGTTGTCAGCGCTGTTCTCACGAAGATCGTCAATGACCAGGTCTCGAGGGCGGCATCGGAGAAATCAGAGTAGGCGTTGTGGTGTCGCGAATTTCTGCCTTTGAAGGTGCTCCTGTGTCCCTGGCAGCCTTCGGGTCTGGGTGTATAAGAAAGATTCTACATAGAGAGTTGTGTGAATAGTTTGAATAGATGTATTAGTTCTACTTATGTTAGCTTCACTCTGCCAGCATCGACCTGGCTGACTATATGTATCGCAGGCTTTCCGCAAGCTCTCCGCTCACTACTTCATCAGTTTTAGGAATTCGCAACCTGATTGTCGCAGAGCGGTCGAAGAAGGACATGTAGGTTCTCGTATTCTCCACGAGCTCTACTCTACGTACATCACGTGCATGTCGTTTCAGAAAAATGAGAGCGAACCTGGAATGAATGCATTTCTCGGTTGCAATGTATAAAAGCAGCATCCAATAAGAGCAATGACAGGTGTGCTTACCATGCGACAAAGAGAACGTGGCGATAGAAGTCTCCAGATCTCCTGCCGTTCAGGCTCCCGTGTCGTGTACAGCCAATCACAAGTCAGCAATTGTCAGCATTAGCGTCATCTGGCTCTTTCGAGATGAAATCTGATAGAGTACAATGTCCTCGTATCAGATGTGAGGAAGTGCATAAAACCTGTTGCGTCCTGATCGTAGACCTCACTTCTCTTCTCATTACCAACATTCAGTCAGAAACAACATCTTGACATCGTACATCAAACTCCATTCGACGACTCAAATCCCATCATACCCAACCCAACCAAGCATTGATCGATATGTCTGCCCCAACAGCTGCCGTTCCAGCTACCTGCTGCGGTCGTGAAGGCGGCTGCGTCTGCGCCAAAGAGGCCATGTGTTCGTGCGGCAAGCAGTCTGCACTGCACTGCAACTGCGAGAAGGCTGCGACTGAGAATAAAGTCGAAGGAGCTCGATGCTCATGCAGTAAGCACATAGTCCATCATCATCATCACCAAAGCGGGAAGAAGCTATGAAACTAACGACTGTACTTTTTAATCAGACCAACGTCCGGCAGGCGCATGCACATGCTCTCGTTCGTCGACTGAGAATGCCAAAGTGATGGGTTCTGCTTGTGCTTGTGGCAAGCGAGCAAAAGGTGAGTACCTTGGTTACCTAGTTGGTTGTTCATACCTCAGCCACCACCATGTTACCTTGCCTTAGTCAGCATCGGGTTGAATACATGGTACCTAAATACCTAGGTATATGCTGACTGGAAATCCCGTTTTCTAGATTCTTGCACTTGCGGTGGTACGGAGTCTGGAACTTCTGAGATGGAGACGGACTTCACTACTCGCCGTGCATGAGCGTGCTGGCCGAGGGGGGGATTCGAGAGACGTTTGACTGTACCGTTTTGACTGAGCGAGGCGTTTCGGAAGGAATGGGCTAGTTGGTAGTAGTAAGCTGCTGATGAGGTTTCGGGCAAAAAGGTGTGATGAAGCCTATTCCAGGCCCCGATAGTATATCATCTGACTGCGAATGAAATGAAACAACGTCAATGAACACCATGAGATGAATTCCACGTTTTGGTGTCCGAAGAGTGTTTGTGTAAGCCTGTAAAGTAACTTAGGTATGCACGTGCAGCTGGATTCCCGAAGGGCTTTCACCATCAGGGATCATGATACGCAAACAGCCCCACGAACTTCTATTGGATCAGTTGTGCATGACGCTAAACAATGGATGCATTTTGGCGGCCTGCCAGCCTCACTTGGCATGATAACCTTCGACATCGCGCGCTCGCTCTCTCTCTCTCCCTCTCTCTACCTCCTAGTACAAGTCGACGCACTGCTGTTTCATATGTACTGCCCTAGTCTGCTGTCCCTGGTCTGCGGACTCCGAGAAGTGATAAGCGCGACTGCACGTCAGAAGATGAAGAAAGAGCAGCGATATGGGGGAGGGTGATCAGTAGGGGAGGAAACCTAGGGAGGGGGTGTGTACAAGTCCGCAGTCGGCGGGTGAGCAGGAAGAAAAAAAAATGTGTCTCGCAGGCAGAAAAGCACGCACGTGGTCAACCCAAAGGGCTGGTGGACTGGCCGTGTCTCATACAATTGTCTCACTGGGGATCTGTGGCTGAACAGTGACCACTGCGAACGAGAACATTCCCGAGGCGGTATACCGGCTGTTGGCGCTGAGATATTTTGCATACCGCCAGTCTCCAGCCAGCCTGTGCCGCGGATGTGAGAGGCAGAAAAAAGAATGAGCGCAAGTCTACCTAGTAGTTGTCTAGTGCTGTGTGGTAGTTGCGCGCGCAGAGACAAGAAAAAAAAACACACGCACTCACACACACTAGTAGGTTGATGCGGCAAATCTACTGCTAGTGGTCGCGCGAGCTGGCGGTGTAACATTTCCAATTTCCAGGTCATGCCGTCGAGTTTCCAGGTCGTGCTGTCTCCAGTCGACGAGCGAAGATGAATAGAGCCAGGAAACACACCTCAGACAGTAATGAGCAGACGCTAGACGCGGTGATATGTCTCGATTGAGGTTCTTGGCCTCAGCAACAAGAATAACAGAAGACCGCCAAGTTGGCCTCTCCAGCTTGATGCGCGCCTCAGTTGAGACTGCGTCTATTCTAGCGTAGTGTATCAACAGACGAATGGTGGTTTCGACCGGGTATGCCGTTGTACAGCAGTCCATGGATTACGGCCCATGTCTGGTGCGCGACCGGACTCAAGGGCCAACTCTCGGCATGCCTTCGGAAGCAAGAAGAACGCCCGCAATCAAAAGGTCGGCCCACAAATGGTTGTTAATACCCTGACACCGTCGAAACTCGAGCGAGCCTTAGGATGCGGAGGCGCAATATCTATGATCCTGCGCTCATCTCTCTTATCGAGCAAGGCGTGAGCCACGACCAACACACTCAGCACGGTCATCCATTACCTTACTACCTTAGTGCACAACTACCGCCCCGCATAGCCAGCCAGGATGTCCCAAGTGCCATACCAAGTCTTTGCCGAGAACGACAGACAACGCACATCTTGTGGAGGACCTGCGGCACTTGTTGTTGCTCTTGCGATCGCCCCCATTCCAGCTGCGGGTAGCAGAAATAGATGGCCACTCCACCATCCGCGACGGCTTCCCTGTATGACCTCCTATCCTTTGATGGTAGTAGCCATGGGCCATGGTGAATATATTCCATTTTATCACATACACGCACTTCAGACGAAACTGACGTCTTACTCATGGGGAGTCGTGGGGGTCATCTGACGTGTCAGCCCTATCGCTAGAGAGAACTCGATTGCGACCTCCCTTGTTCGCACGTGCAGTCGGCCAAACGACTGCCACGAGGGGCATAGTCCTGCTGTTCGCCATTGCCATGGATCAGGGTGCGATACGATGGTGATTTGTCTCGAGGTGGCGAATGATGAAGGAGGGCAGTAAAGTCGACCATAAGCGCGATTGCGTGCTGTGATGTCTGGCTGCTGATAGCGCACCATGTGCTTTTCCCTGCACGATGAGGTCTCAGAGAGTGCGCAGATCAGCCCTCTGCGCACTTTAGACTCTGAGTCGGTGTGCACATTGTTACCAGTTGTGGTATGACTGTATGAGTAAGGTATGCCAGTTCAACCTAAGAAGTAGTCCGCCATTGCGCTGATATTGACCTCAATTCGAAGGGTACCTGGTTAGGTACCTTAGTAGATACCGTCGATATCCGAATCGAGCAGATGTCCTCCTCGCAAAAGCGCCTGTCCTTTTGAGGCTCTCAATCTGCGCATGGAAAATAGTAATACGTAAGTACCACATAGGTACTCGCTGGTTCGAAAAGAGCTTGCTGACCTCCCGCGATCGAACAATCGCACTTGTCGTCTGTGCCTACGTCGTCGCTTCCGGCCGTTCCTCTCCGCTCCCCCTTCCCCCCCTCTCTCTCTCCTCGTCATCCTCGTCATCCTCCTCCTCCTCCTCACCAAGCTCCGAGGAGAGTAGGTGAAAAGGAACCAGGTTACAGGACACACGCTTCGCTTGCAAGCTCGCCCTCCCCCCTTCCCTTGCTAAAAATATCGTATAGGGAGAAACGGTGTCTCACACGGCGCGATATCAGCGGAATGGCAGCTGATTGCAGGATCGAGTTGTGACTTGTGGTAAGTATGACCAACCGTTCGTCCTCACTGATCAGATAGATACCTACCTCAGTCTAGAAACGGCGCTAGAAGGGAGTTCAGACAGATATCCCACACAGCGCGGGCACGCTAGAGAGTCTCTCTGCCTCTCTCTGATGAGGGCTCCCTCTGTCTGGAACTACCTTCGTACTAACCACTACCACCACTACTACCACCACTACCACTACGTACGGCCTTTTCTGAAACAAGTGATGTCTTTCATCACGGGAATGCCAGGTAGGTACATATCTAATGTACATACCTAATGAACCTACGTATATGTACCTAGGTACATAGGTAGACAGGTCGGGCTCGCGACAATAGTACCGCCGTTGACTTTTGAAATGACCACATCGCTCTCTTTTCACCAATCTGCTTTCCTGGGTCTCCCTTACATACCTACCTAGTTACCTTAGGTACCTACGAACCAACCCAACCCAACCCATCCCAACCAGGCTCGCGCAAGAAAAGAAGTGACATCGTTGTTACAAGGAAAGGGCTGCTGCTGCGCATCGCAGGGGTGTAGGTGAAGGGGTAGGATCACGGGTGGGGAAACACAACAACAAGAACAAAATGAACGTCAGGTACATGTACTTACTACTTACAGTACTCGTGTTGTAAAAGACTACCGCCAAGGCAAAGACTGCCCGAAAAGAGAGAAGGCGTTCCTGGTTTCGGTTCGGGTCGGTCATATACCTAGAGGCTAGGCTAGGCCGGATATATATCCTGAAATCCTTGTTTTAGCATTAACCTCTCTCGTCTTTCCCGAGTCTCTCTCGTCTCTCTCTCTGTCTATCTCTGCTCTCTATCTCTCTCTATCTCTCAAACCCATGCGTGTGTTGGCTAGGTGGGTCCAACAACAACAACAACAACAGGTCGGGGTAGGGTAGGTAGTAAAATTGGGAAAAGTGTATCATCTAAAGTTCGAATTTTCTTTGATATATATTTTTTTCAAAAAGAAATTGTTGGTAGAGATGAGTTCAAACGGATCGGATAAAGATAGGATAGTATAGGATAGGATAGGATAGACAACTGTATGCCAACCCGCCGTAGCCAAACAACGCTCCCCCTTACGGAAATACCTGCTCGCCAAGAACTTCGATGCATTTTCTCGAGAAAAAAAAAAGATGTGTTTTTGTTAAAATGGTTTTTGTCCTTGTTGCGTCTTACTGTTTGGTCTTTACTTATTCGTATCTTTTTTTTATATATTGGGTTATAGTATAGTATAGTATAGCGTTCGACTTGTTGTCCGGATCTTGAAGTTAGAAAAAAAAAGGCAAGAAAAGGAAATGCCGAAATGATGGTACCTTTTTTTTTTCAAGGAAGGGGGTTGGCCAACTTGGCCTGGCAAGAAAAAGCTTTCGTGGTTGGTATAGATAAATTAGTTGGAATAGATAGATACAGGAGGGAATCCTTGCGGTGGCTGGCATGTACTGTATGCAATGTTATCACAAAACCTTTTGATTTTCTTTTCCAAAAAAAAAGAAAAAGAAAAGAATAAAAATGTACCGAAACGGTAAAAAAAATCAATACTTACCCTTCCCCTACCCTACCCTATCTGACCCAACAGGCTACAGGCTATAGGCTGCTGGTGGTGGGTAAGGTACAGTACAGTATGTACAGTACCAGGTTCGATAGATGGGTCGGTAAGGTAAGGTAAGTTGGTAGGTAAGGTAGTTGAAATGGGTTGTTGGGAATTTTCCCCCTTGAGCATTCTTTCTACTACCGACCGATCCAGGTAATCCATGGGATGTATGTACCTAATAACCTTGTGTATGCATGTATGTTTTTAAAAAAAAATGTCAGGTAAGGTATGCTATATCAAAAAGAAGAAAAAAATCAAAAAGAAGACAAAAAACTCTTCAAAGCCATAAACGACAGGGTGGGTATATACAACGTATCGCTTCTCTCTCTCCTTCTCTCGCCTTCTCGCCTTCTCCCCCTCTTTCTCCAAAAAAAGACAAAATCAAATGCCTGCCGCCGCTGCCTGCCGCTGCCCGCTGCTGCTGCTTCGTAAAAACGTAAATCAATGCCACCTAACAACGCAGATGCAAAAAACAAAACGTTTCAAATACATACACAATTCTCTCTTTCAATCTCTCTCTCTCTCCAAAAAAAGGGGCACAATGCGGCTTTTTTTTAAACCTCCAAAAGAATAGAAGATTCCCTCCCCAAGATGTAGTGCAGCCGTCATTCATTGATGAAATTCTTTCTCTCTCTCTCATATTCATTCGATGCATGAAAAATCTGTGTGACTTGACCAAAAATCAATCAACCAACCCGACCCGACCGACCCGACCACGTGTCGACTCTGTAGACCCGTGGGCAAAACTCTCTCTCTCTCTCTCTCTCCTCATCAGATACCAGGAGTAGTAGTAGTAGTACTAATAGCAGTAGCAGTAGCAGTAGCAGCAGCACCAACAATCGTCGACAAACGACGACTCAATTCCTGATACTCTCGCGCCTTACGCACACAAGCACGATCCAGCAATTCAATCGTATGCAGAGCCACCGACAACGTCGTCGTCTTACTCTGCCGTTTGCCCGTATTCTTCTCCGCCACGGGATCCGGCACTTCGAGTTTCGTGGGCACTTCCCACTCGGGCATGGCCGTGCGGCAAATCTCCATCGTGTCCGGACTCGACACGATGCGGGCCAATGTGGCATACCGTTCGTTCAAGGTGGATCGGTAGCGCTTCTCGACGGCGTAGTGGGCGCGCGTGCTCAGTACTTCCGAGGGGCTGGAGGTGCTGCTTTGAGGACTGCTGGTGCTGGGACTGATGATCGTATGTTGTTGTTGTTGTTCGGCCGCCATCTGGACTTTTTTGCGTTGCCCCAGGTCGATTGACTCGGGTGATCGCTTTCGTTTTTGTCGCATGCTGGGTACGGGGATGGCAATCACCGGAGGCTCTGGCAGCTGTGGCATCTGGGGCACCATGGCGATACGTGGGCTGATCTGGGAAGCCGGTATCCGGGGGAAGAAGCTGGTTCGGGGGCTGATTTGTGGGCTCAAGGGCGTCGTTGCAGTCGTTGTCGTCGTTGTCGTCGTCGTCGCCGTCATGGGCGCCATGGTTCCGCATGTCATGGGATTTTCGGAATACGCATGGCAGAGGTCGTTGTGGCTAACGGTATACCAGGACTGGTGATGCGCTCCATTGTTGGGCGACCACTGAGAATACCAGTCCGGCGAAGGGAGATAGTCGAGTCCAACGTCTGGCGTGAGGACGCCACTAGCTGTGTGGGGGGTCAGCGTCTTGGTTCCCTTGATCGATCACCACGTCCCAATGGTGAGATTGACTGCGAGTTCTCACTTACAGTGATAGCCAGATGATGGGAAGTAGTCATGCTGCATGTCGTTATGCATGACCAGAGTGTCGCCATACGCAGCAGCAGCCATTGTCAGCCAGGCACAGTGCCCTGAGTATATTCCTTCTAGGGCTGATGTGATGATCGGTATGCTGACCGACCGTGCTCGAATGCTGGATTAAGTTTGTGAGAGTTTCGCAATGGCAAGACGCAATAGAGTGAGGCAACGGCAGGGAATTTGACTTCCGATCACAGTGTGATGAGATGTTCCGGGACCAGGCCGCCTTTGTATGTGTGCACGCTGGAGCACTGATCATCAAGGCATCCACCGATTACTCTCCTCCTTGCAATCAAAAGGGCTACGGGTTGCGGAGGACCTGGTCAGCGATCCTCTGCGTCTCGGCGCCGCTGCTGGCCCTACCTGCTGCCTGTCTGCCTGTCTGTCTGCCTGGCCCTGCCTGGCCCTGCCTGGCCGTGGTCGTAGTAGGAGTACCTGTAGTTGACTAGTCAGTAGTAGCATGTCGAGCAACATGAGACAACACCGCAGGCCGCCCGCCCTTCTCCCCAACCCGGGCCTCACATAGGTCGCTCGCAACCCTAAGACGACGTGGACTGGTCGTCCACGTGGGTCCTCGCGCCCGGACATGGTCCTGGGAGGGAACCAAGCATTGGTGAGGTGCCGCTGTTGTCCCAAGCCCTGCTGGTGTCCTGCTGAAACACGACTACACCTCTGTCGCTCACTGCCCGCCCGGGGTGGGTGAAGCGTGGTCGCTATTTTGGGCAACGGGCACGCCATGGTTCGTGCAGACTTGCAACTTGCGCCCTACCTGGTCCTGGTGAATCGGTGAGGAATGATAATGGGCCTTCCCCACATCAAATTTTGCTTTAATTCCTGCGCCTGGCCCTGTCAAAGTGAGGGATCATGGATGGATTGCTGGGGTTGTGGCATGAGAGGCATCTCGATGTCGCTATCCTGTCGCTATCGTCCAATAAAACTATCCACCTGCGAAGGCATCTTATGGCACGTGGTGCGTCTGCTCCCGGTATGTCGACGCATTCGGGACGAGTCAGTAGTGCTGAGTACTGAGTGCTGAGTGCTGAGTGCTGAGTGCTGAGTGTACTGTCAGCTCCTCCAGCTGCCTGCCTCCTTTTTCCCGTAAAACTAACTCCCCACAAGTCCAAACTCGCCACACAGACACCGGTAACTTCACTTTCAGCCCTGTATGTTCAACAAGCCTCGTGCAATGAATTAATGCTGCAGCAGCCACTGATGAAGCACGAACGTTGTGGGCCGCCAACTTGCAGCCTCCCTGGTTAACCTGACCTGACCTGACCTGACCTACCTAGCCTCCTACGGCTGCCATAGTGCCAAGCGTGTCGCGGTTGAGCGGTCGGGTTCAGCTACGCCGAATCATCCTAGCGCGTGGTTCTCTTCGGCACGAGGTTTTGGCCTGGTCGCAATCGGACCGGCCTTTTGACGTCTCCCTTATGATTGCAATCATCCGAGCAGAATGGCGGACACTGGACGTGTTGTGGCGCGCTCGAGGGGCAGTAGGGAGGGCATTGTCATTTCTAACTACAATCTGATCTACTCTTTCTCAGAACACCACTACTAGGTAGGTAGCAGCAACACGTTATGCCCTCATTTGGGACTGTGAGTGAGATGGGAGGTGGTGATGTGGCAAAAAAATATAATAATTACTCTTGGAAATAGATCATCCCGTAAGTTGCCGGCCACAGGCGCAAAGTCGCGCACCGTTCTATAGTGTGATAGTACAACGCACCGGCCGGTCATTCGTGAGAGATAGCACGCTCTAGTAGAAAGGCACCGCAGCGCTGATCACCCAACCCTCTTCGTATTTTCGGTCATCAGAGAGGCAGAGGCTCTGTCGTCCCCGAGCCACTCGCGAACCTGCTGACGAAGAACCTCAATGTCGTCATCGTATTTGCGATATGTCTCGATTAGATGCGTGGTATATTGTATCGCTTTGTCCAGAACAACAGGTTTGGCTGCTTGTTCGGGCTCACTGCCGTCCAGACTGGACCGAGCCCTCTCCGCCGGATCGAGAGAAAATGTGCCTGAGGCTGGAATTGCTGCGTGCAGCTGCTGCAGCTTGGTGTTGACTGTACGCCGGTACCGTTTCTCGACCGCAGCATGTGGTCGAGAGGGCATGGACGTGGACAGCGAGTCTCTCGAGCTGGGTGGACGTTGATCCCGCTCGTACTCTTCGCGAGCATCCGTGTAGCTTCCAACACTATGCTGCTGGTGCAGTTGCTGCAGTTGCTGCAGCTGCTGCTGCTGGTGCAGTTGCAACTCCTCGTTCGACTCCTCCTTCTTGACAGCGGCCATGGACTCATGCCACCAGAAGTTGGTCACGTCCATCGGCATTCCCATCATGCTGTGCACTCCAGGGTACGACTGGCTCTGCGTTCCGGCATCTTGGTGTACAGGCACAAGGCGCAGTGAACGCTGCAGCAGTGCCTGTTCGGGGTATTCGAATGTCAGATCTGATGCACCAGGACCGTGTGGATCGCCTGACCAAAGATCTTGCTCTATGTGTTGTCCATACTGCGAATGTGCGATGCCACCGCGCGGGGGGCTACCCCAAGCGCTTCGCTCGTCGGTCATCTCCAGTCTTGATCCTCACGCACCGCCTTGAATAGTCGAAAATCGTAGGAGTCGATCTCCGAGTAGCCAGTCCAAGCGTCGAGACCTCGTATGTCAGAGAATCCCTCTGGAGATGTGAATATGCCAGCTCAACAATGCCTGCTTCGTGGATGTGAAAGCTTATTGCAGTCGCTGGTAACATGAGCTGCAGATCGGTGTACACCAAGCACATTATCATGTCAACCTCTTCTGCGTTTTTGGGGCGGCAGAAATGGGGGTATTCAATAATACTCTGCTGGTACATCGTACAGGTGAAATCCCGTACAGGAATAATCGAGAAGGCTGGACACGTACGATTCAGCCAATACCGTTATTACCCACCGGGATGCCAATTAACCACTACTTTACCTCGCTTCAGCCATCAGGAAGTGGTGAGTGGATATCGTAACAGGTCTGGTCGTTCAGCATGCATGGTCGCGCTAAGCGGCCGTGGTCATATTAGGCGCCTTGTTCATTGAGGGCACCCCGTAGATGCGTAGGTAGCCTATGACACACATAAAGCTACGCTGGCCTGGGGGCATAGAATGCTGCTACTACGTAGCGAAGGTCTATGAAATTCGCACGATAGCGCGACTGATATGAGGTCCCGGATATTAGCCAAAAGCAACGTACAGAAATTGTCCGAAATCTGCGCTTGCCGCGCTGTTTCCCGAGAGTGCACACAGTAAGTCAGGTAAGGTAGTAGTACCTGTAGTTGTGCCTCCCCATCGCCACGACTGATACGTACTGAGAGTGTGAGAGTGTGAGTGATATGGCCCAGATCCAGACGTGCATCCGTTCGTATCCAACGCGAATTGTTTTGGCGGACGATCTTCGATCGCCCACAACTTGATGACTACTATGTGCCGCGCGAATGACAACGAGAGTACGAGACCCTGCGGAGGAAGACGAGGCACGCACGCCCGCACTTGATGCTCCGCTTGTGCAGACTCCAGAAGAGCGCCCGCCGTGCGCTGTGAAGGCCGTCCGAGACTCCGAGGGCATGGCAATTGGCATGGCTCGATGTCGTACTGGAGCCTGGAGGGGCTTCGACCCCTCGTTGGCTGGCTGGCCACTAGACATACGCCGCAATCAATGCACAAGGCTTGGGTGCTTTCAGCAATCCAGCATTTCCCACCCTCGCTTGAAGTCCGGCAAGTCGTATATGCTCCTTCAGGGTGAGACATAACAATGACCGGGGGGTGGGAACTTGGCGGCGCCGGGAGCGTCACGACCGATTCTCCAACCCGGCCCACAATTCAAGCGCAACATATCGCCAGATGCCAATGGGCGCCGTCCTTCGTCTCACGCTAGACACTTTGAGAAAATGGACGACCAGGCAGGGGATCAGCCGGAGCCCGGTGGAGGAGGAGGCGGGAGGCGGGAGGCGAGAGGCGTGATGAGGGCGGGCGTGAGGAGTCTGAGATGAGGAGTTTGATGAGGAGGAGGAGTCAGGACGAGCCTACGAGCAGACAGACCCGCAGAGGGCGAAAGGCAGTCGGGGACGGGGAGTAGGCATGGACTAATGACGATGAAATCGACTCCAACACACTCCCAACACACCGCAGTGTCAGACGCTAGAAGCTCTCGTTCACTGACCTAATCGCACTAGCAGAACTCAATAGATTAGCGTCTTTTTGTGAGAGACTGCCAGTCGACAAACAGTCAATACAGCCTTTGTTGCTTCCGTTTGATACTTCCGTTTGATGCTACAAACGCAATACCCTTCGACGCATACGTAAGGTACATGTAGTCCTGTCATACCATTGCAGCAAGCAAAAATCAGATCCAAGAAAAGCTCAGCTGTGCCGTTACGACGAGTGGGTGGGTAGGTGATCACGGACATTTCAAAAAATTCAGCTCCGTCTTACATACAGAACGCACAAAACAGCATTTGTTACCAAGGTGCAAGAGCAAGCCAAGGATCTGTTGTTGCGGTGACGACTGATCTTGGTCATGCTCTACCAGGTAGCCATGGCCAGCGCGCCCAAGAACGCGCAAGGGAGAACAGCGTGCTCAAACAGGTAGGTCTCCAAATATCAATCACATCGCGAGGTAGGGGTAGGGTAGGGTGCAACTTTGAACGCCTCCCCGACTGTACGACGACGAAGCTTCTCTCACCTCGAGCTCCCCGAACCACGTCGGATGCTACACACTGGCTTCACATAGTAGGCAGGCGGAAGAAGGAAATGAGATCAGAGGAGGTACAAGTGACGCCCTTCTCAAAAGGGGGTTTTTTTTGTTTCATTATCGCGTCTTCTATACATACAGCTATCGCATCCATTCTGGGTTTTGGTGAGATCGCGGGCGAGCTTTCGCTACTTTCCAGCGAAGACAACAAGCAAGAGCAGAAGCAGGACGCCCACCCGCAGTCTAGGTTCTCGCAATCCAATCTGATAAAATACCCTTGAAAAGCCTTTTTTTTGTCCCAGATTCTCATAGGCTCTAACTGGGTAGCCATGATCGAAAGTCAAAGACAGTAGGAAAAGCCAGAGAACGTGTATGTGCAGCCATTTGGCTGTAAAGAGTGGTTTGAGCACTAGCGCAAAGCAGTATATGGATCACCGCCTGTCAAGGCTGGCCATTGCTGAGAGCTGTGACTCATGGTCGTTGGGTGGAAAGTGTGCAAGATAAATTGCGGTCTTTTCGAAACTTTTTCGAGACTTTGCCGTCGGTGAGAGGAGTCGCCATGCCCCCTAAGATGGCTTTATTAACTTGGCCGGGTCCGCACCACGATTGATAATTTCCTCAGTGAGCAGCTTTTCCTTTTCTGCGTAGAGCAGCTTGTATGCATGGCGGATGGTACTGTCGCTAACCTTTGCCACGGCCATGATATCTTTAGGAGTCTTTGCCTGCCCCATGAGCATGCTGGCCATGAAGATGCAAGCGGCAGCGGATGACAGAGGAGAACGACCAGCGAGAGCACCGGTCTTAGTCATGACTGTGGCTAGAGCTATAGCCACATTGGTGCTTCGCTGATCCATGTCCAGCATGCTGCAGTACCGCTGGCAAAGGTCTGCAGGATCGGCGGTAGTGGTGGTGTATGCATTATTGTAGACTAATAAGTTTAGCAAGAGCACAGAGAAGTTAGCTGGTGACGCGCGAGACTTACCGTCAGGAGCGACCGCAGTTTTCGAAGCACTCTTCTGCTTGTCCCTCTGCCTAATGAAGTCTTCGAGCATCTTATATGTCTTGCCAATCTCCTTCTTGGTGACTTTAGTAAGATCCATAACCTCGCGAAAGGATCGTGGTACTCCGTTGCGGCGACAGGCCAGGAAGACGCAGCCTGCGATGAGCGCGTCCTGACCCTTGCCTTTGAAAATTCGACTCTCCTCAGCATCCTTATACAGGTGCTTTGCAGTATCTGACACGGTCGAAGGAAGTTGCCAGCCATCGCAGAGTGCGCCGATCTGCTTGTAAGCTTGCAGCAGACTCTTGTTGCCCTTGTCCAGATTCGCTTTGTTCTGAGCGCGGTGTAGGTCCTTGGCCTTCATACCACCATCACCGAAGGCAATGTTAGTATTGAGCTGCGCGCCATTCAAGAGAGCGTTTGGACCATCTCCGACACGACTAGGGTCATCGTTACCCTGGTCATCGTTTGAAAAGGTGCGCCATTCACTGCTCGTGTCGATTGAACGCTCCTGCAAGACCAAGCCACAGCTTCCGCACAGGAGGTCACCGCTCGCATGGTCTTCGCGGAGATCTGGAGGATCTTCGCAACATTCTCTGCACATGAGGCGTACGTTCAGATTCTCACGCCACTCTTCCTCCTGTGCCGGCACTGGGATCGGATCGGGCACCGCGCCCGGTGACAGTACTTGTGCCATGACGGCTAGTGGCTTGCGCACGGCAAAGTCTTTTTTGATCGAGTCCTCGAAACGTAAAGTAGCCCGCTTTTTGATGCCTTTTGAGCTCTTCTGGAGCTTGTGATTCTTGGCGAAGCAACGAATGAAGAGTGGAGAATGCGTTTTGGCGGTATTGAGCAGGTTCCGGCGGTCGTCGTACCTTTTAAGAGTGAGGTCGCGGCTAAGGACTCACGATGTCAGCGCAGTCGCCACAAGATTGCCTTGAAGGTAACCCAAGCGCAGAAACAAGTGCGTCGTCTGAGTGGAACGAGGTGATTGCGACTGTAGTAGTGTCTTTGAATGTTGCGCACAAAGACGCAAACGGCCAAACAGTTCTACGGTGAGGTGGAGTGCGCACGTACCCTCACACCCGTTGAATGGACGGCGGACCGATACTCGGCAGCGTCAGATCGACGAGTGAAGTGACGGCACAGAGCGAGAGAGCTGGTTGGAAACAGAGGTGCGCGCTGAGTTGTCCGGCCGGAAACCAGTGAAGGTGTCCTTGAGCAGAGCGACAAGAGTCAGACTTGACTGGTGTCGCGATTCTCGTAGACGTCGGCCGTTAGATCGCGCAGGTCGGGAGTCGCTAAAACCAGTCGCCAGCAACTCGGTGAGATATTGTCTGATGGACGTGGTGGTTTCCGCGGTGCGACAAGCGGTTTCTGAGACAGGGAGCGGTGGAGGGCGGAGAGGGTGTCGAGGTGGATAGAAGAGAGAGGGCGGATGTGAAAGAGATGACTGTGACGAGAATCACGAGATCGTCGAGATGGTGGGAGAACCCGAGCCGGGAATTCCGTCTTTAGCGCTTCACGTGACTTACACTGAAGAGCAGCTTCACGTCGGGTTAGTAGTCTGAACAGTGTTTGACGGCCGCCATTGATTGCACCTCACTGCCCTCGCCACATTCAACCATGCAGGCATTCAGACTCTCGGTCTGTGTTGTCTACCTACCGATACCTGAAGTGCCATCACTAACACCTCCCAGCGCAACGCGCTCGTCCGAGCAGCGACTAAGCAAAATGCCACGACCTTCCGCCGCACCTTCATCGCAACTCCTGTCCGCTCGGGTATGCCCTTCGCCTGTCTACGACCTCTCAATGCCCTCCAACTGACTGTCGATAGCCGATATTGTCCAGGACCTCTACCTGAAAGAGCTTAAATCCTACAAGCCTGCGGCAATCAAGGCCAACGACTCCGAGGGCCAAGTGCAAAAGTTCGCCGTCCCTAAAGCGCCACAATCGCCTGAGGAGGCCGATCTCCAGAGCGGTCTGCAGGAATACGAAGCATCGACACCCGAGGTTCAGGGTGCGGCGACCGATGCCAGCGCTGCACCAGTTGAGCAGGATTGGTTCGTCGAGGAGGAGGAAGAGGATGAGGCGCATGGTCACTAGATGTGGGAACAAGTGGGCTGCGGAGGTGGACGTGTAACATATCTCAGTGAAGCAAAGAGCCAATACCAGTCAAGATGTGTATGTGCGACATGTGGGAGTGAAATTGTTTTCTTTCAAGAGCGCTCGCTGAGCTGCTCAAGGTGAGCTGGATGCTTGGGTTCACAATCAAGTCTCCATGGTATCCGGGTGTACGTTTCACGCAAAGCACTGCTTGGAGACTGAACATGGGCTGGCGTCCATGCTACATGATTCACCTATAGGAGGCAGTATCGGCAGTACAGATCACGTGATACAATATCCCTCACATTGGCATCAGAATGCCATGGACGAGCAAGCCGTTAATCTGACTGATGTCTTCAAGTTGACCGCTTTGGCAACATGCCTCGGGGGCGAAAATGTTGCATAAAGAATCAACGCTTCTACAGTCTCATCTGTGACTGGACAGTGTAGGTCTGCACTTCGCGTCAGAAGTTGATATTTGCAGGACGAGATGGACTTCCCACCAGGCCTTTTGACAATTTTCCTCTACATCAGCGATAAAGTGTAAACGAAATCACAAGTGTGCCTGGGGGGACTCGATTGGACAAAAGGCTTTGCCATCTCCGCACAATTTGGTAGTCGCAGTACTCGCCTCTTGCCATACCGGTCTTTTGTCAGCTCCGATTAGGCAAAGAAGAAGAATACCATGGATTGGCCATGATCACAGGCTATACAGGCCGAGATCCTCTCGGGAAGTCCTTATTAGTCACACGCAAGACAAGAGAGTAAGGTAGGTAATATACCTTAGTGCAAATTGTCTTGGGTATTGAGACATGATCTGGATACAGGTACCCATCATCTACACCCTTGCAGCCCGCAAATATCCAACAAGTCCACTACAATATCCAGCTAACTTCGCCACTCTCTTCCTCTCCCCGTCCAACGCATCCTTGTACTCATGTACAGCATCTCTCACTTCCTGATCGCCAATCACAATATCTCCATGCACACGTAAAAAGACTGCCATCCAAGCTTGTACGAGCTCGAAATCTCGCTTCGACTGCAGTAGCCAAGTCAAGCTTTTCACAAAACTGACATGCTCGGCCGCTTCGAACGAAAGAGATCTAATTTCTACATCGGTGGCAGCTGGACTGAGATTCTTCAGATGCTCTAGGAATGGTGCGAAGTCCTCTGTCTCGCCCGAGGCGCGAAGGAGTGAGGTGAATTGGCTTCGCATACCATCTCTCGAGAGTTGTAGAACTCGTGTACGTTCCTTCTCGAGGTCTGCTTGCGAAGTGCCTAATGAGTCGTTGGCATTGATAGCTTTCTGGCCTTGGCGATCCTGGAGAGATGGCAGGAAGAAAGGCGCTTTTTCTGGTTTCTTCGGGGCCTCTGTGGGTTTATTTCGTTCACGAATCAGGTCGAGATGAAGGAGATTTTGCCAGCGGGAGCGAGGGACAAGAGACAGTGAGAGAAGATTGGCGGACAGAGAGTCGAGATCTGCGTTCGGATCTTCTGAAATATCGAGGTCGATGTTTTCGTCTTCTGAGTCGGATTCATAAGCAGTACCTGCTATGAGATTCAATCCGCCTTCGCCGGAAGTCGTCGGTGCTTGAGCAGTGCTTGATTGTATGACTGCCAGCAGCTCCTTCTGAGTAATATTTCGTGTGGATACATGCATGAAGAGGCTACGGTTTGTCCAGATGTCGACCCCTACGTTGTCGTTGGATGCAGTAGCGAGGTATTCACCCGTCGGTGACAAGGCCAGCGTTGTACACTCAGCTCTCAACTTGAAAACGTCAACGAGATGGCCTGTTGGTAGATCCCAAAGAAACACGAGTGGTCCAGCAGAAGCAGTAATCCAATGTCCATCAGTGGAGAATTGAAAGTCCGAGAACTTGAGGTCCTGTAGCTCAGCGAGCGGCGTACGTGAGCGCCACAACTCACGTATCAGCTTCTGAGTCGAAATGTCTATAACACGAATGCAGCCATCGGTACAAGCGAAAGCAGCCAAGTCCGCACCGCGGTGGAACCGCATACCAGTGATGCCAGTTGAAGTCGACCAGTCGAGCTGGTCTTTGAGCAGTCCGCTGCTGAAGTGCCAAAACTTGATCTTGCCGTCTGCACCAGCCGATACGACCGTCTTGTTGAGGCTGTCCACGGCCAAACCCACCACCGCAGCGGCATGCTTGCCCTGTCCACGATAGAACTTCTTCTTACCCTCGTCTTCCACGATAAAGTGATCACGGTCGACATCCAATCGCAGTTGCTTGGCTTGCATAGTCGTCAATCTGGCTGGAAATCGTTGCCGCTGTATCCCAGATTGCATATTGAACATGTCTATGCCTCCCTTGTCGGAGCCCACCAATCCAAACGTGCCGCATGGAGAGATCGCGACCGATGTAACATTGCCGGCGTCGCTGGTTGCAAAAGCCCATCGACCTGCACGCTTTCGGCCCCAGAACCAAGTTCGAGCTTTCGAATCGTTCTCATGCGCCGTTAATACGCTTTCCCAGCCAGTCATTGCACTGACTTCAGCACTGACTTGTTTCGACTGGCCGTTCTGCCATATGGGGTGCTTGCCGGGCAATGCACCAATGCCGCCATCTCTGTTCAAGCCGCAAGCCATACTCGTGATGGGCGGGCACTTCAGGTCTTCGAAAGCATCGCGTTCCCCAGATAACAAGCCTTGCTTCTTGGCTTTCTTCTGTACAGCGCCTTGACTGAGTTCCGTGCTCTGTCGGTCTCGTCGCAAGGACCAGCCCCAGAGACTCCTATCCTTGCTGGCAGACATCAACCACTTTCCATCATCGTCTGCTCCATCTGAGGCTGTCGGCAAAAACATCAATTTCGAGATGGGTGCACCATGGCCGCTAAGCTCATGCAGAATACGTGGCGTTGGATCGAAAGGTGTCTTATCGAAGATCCAAGTCTTCAAGCTATTGTCCAGGCCGCTGCTCACCAGGATTGCCTGACCCGATAGAAACTCGATTCTGCTAGTACCTCCCGGAGTGGTCGCTGTAGGCTGCGCGTGAGCTGCCCGCAACACGCCAGCTTTTCGGCCACCGTTGTTCAGGTCCCAAAGTGTCACATCTCCTGATGCAATAGAAGCAGTAGCCATGACACCGGCCAGTCTACCATCCTCTCCAGCTCCCAGGCCATCTGTTCGAAACGAGATGGAAGTCACGGGTGAGCCAGCAGGAGTGTTCAGCTGAATCGCAGTCTGGTCCGTCTTGATATCATGAATGAGAAGGGGCCCTCTCTCATACGCGATAGCAACCAGAGAGAGGACGGGAGTCGGCTCAATGGCCGTCACAGCGCCGTATGCAGTGGAAGGGGGAAGCACAGTGTAGACCAGCTTGCCGCTCGAAACGTTCCAGATCTCAGCACTGCCATCCTGTCGACCTGCAACAATTTTGTTCAAGAACGTCGGTATTCCCGAAACACACCCGGTAAACGGTACGGGCGAAATGCCTCGGAGCGATGTGTAGAGCTCCAACGTGGACGTTTTCCAGACGAGCAGCTGAGTATCGCACACGCCCACGATCCAGCTGCCGAGGAGACAAAAAGCCTGTACATTCTCTTCACAGTCCACCGGCCACTCCAGCTCGGCCTCTTTCTTGCCACGTTTCATCACCCACACGCCTCTTCCCGACGCACCGCCCTCGCCGCCCCATGCTGCAAAGAGCTTGTCCTTCCACGCAACGCTGGCGGTGATGACCTCGGGGGTCTGTGGTCTGGTGATGAAGACCAGGTTCAAGCCGCGTCGTAGGTCGTATGTCTGCAGGCTCCGGCCGACCGAAGTCGTGATCTGAAAGGTCGTCTTGCCCAGCGCAACACTCGTGAAGGGAACTGCTGTGGGCGACACCAGACCGACGGTTCGGTATGGCGCAAACACTCTCGACTCTCCCGCGGGGCGATGACGCCTGGCGTCGCCAGTGGCCAACTTTTGTCGCTTCGCGACGCGTCCGTCAACCTCCATGTCGACGTGGATGCGTGCACCTTCTACCACCATCAACAAATCTCATGTTCAAAATTTCTGGCCGAGACAAGCTTTTGATAGCGGCGATCTCGAACTCTAATTGAGCCGCAAAGCTGGGCGGTGACGTTGGAAGTTTTTTTTTTTGGCGGGGGCTGCCCTCCGAGAGTCTGAACCTTGATTGCAGGTTGCATTTTCATGATTTTTTGTGCTTGTGCTTGCCCGTGCTTGTGTTTGTGCCTACTTTATCCCTACCTATGTACATAACCCGAAAGCCACCTCTCACCTTACCTGATGCATACACCGTCCTTCCCTGCCGGCGTGCATCCCTCGGTGGTAGTTCCCTCACAATAATGGCCATCGTTGACACCTGCGGTTCTGGCCAGTAGCAACACGCCAATGGCTGCCACCAACCACACTTGACACCAACCACACCAACCACGCCACTATGGATCCTCTGACTCGCACCATATCGAGCACCTCGCACGACAGCGCCCACTCGCATTCTTCCGCTCATGTTCTGTCGGCATCTACTAGCTCTATCGTTAGTCGCAAAGGCCGCCATGCTGAAATTGACGCAACCCCAGATCACTCGCAGAGCGCCAGCATTTCCATGCCACCGCCCGCTCCTCCAAAACCTAATCCCCTCCTGTACCACGCCGCGAGTCGACGGTCGTCGCGGGTAGAGGCGCCCTCAACCACGCCTTCAACTAGGACACTTAGCGCCGGCGAATTCCAGCCAGCAGGACTCTCAATGGACGTCCCCGACTCCAGCGACACCACTCGGAAATCGGAGAGCAATACGCAGGCGCAATCGGACTCAGGTCTTCCAACCCGTCGTGCTGAGCCTGACCTGGACAGCAACAGGATGTCCTTCTCGTCGCTGTATGGAAGCGGAAAGTACGCAGGCGTGAGCGCGCCGAGCTCAGTGGGAGGAGGCTCTGATGTAGATGCCAGTAGGCCGGATGGAGCAACAACTGCTACTCACAATCTTTCTATCACCACACAGAGCCAGAACGGCGCGCTGTCGCCCACCCTCAGCGGCTCGATTGGAGATAACACGCCGCACGGCAACCCTGGACAGTCAGGCACTTCATCTGCCTCGCCGATCAATGGCCCGCCAGCTTCTGCAAGCACCCAGCCCTCCAGACAAGGCAGAACGATCGTTAACAATCGAGGAAGAACGCCAGCTGCATCTCGCAGAGTGTCTGGCAGTGTATATGGTAGCGTGAACAGCAGTGTAAACGGCAGCGTTACTGCTAGTTTTCCTGGGAGCGCTCCTCCCAGTGCCTCCCACTCGATGGAGCGACATACAGACAACTCGAACAAGATTGGGACAATAGGCATTTGTGCACTGGACTCGAAAGCGAGGAGCAAACCATCTAGGAACATCTTGAACAGACTTGTGGGCAAGGACATCGACTTTGAGGTTATCATCTTCGGAGACAAGGTCATCCTGGACGAGAATGTTGAGAATTGGCCAGTCTGTGACTTCTTGATATCGTTCTTCAGTGACGGGTTCCCTCTGGAGAAAGCTATTGCATATGCCAAGCTTCGGCGACCTTTCTGCGTGAATGACTTGCCAATGCAAACAGTCCTTTGGGACCGGCGCATGTGCTTGAGGATATTGGACAAGTTGGGCGTACCTACACCGGAGCGCATAGAAGTCAACCGGGACGGAGGGCCTGTGGCCTTGACTGCCGACATTGCAGCTCGCATGAAGCAACTTACTGGCGTCGAGCTGATCGGCTCGGACGATGGGAGAGGTGGCGGGCAACCCCCACCCAGTGATGTGCACATGGAAGACGACGATGACACGTTGGTTGTCGACGGCCATAGGCTGCACAAGCCATTCGTCGAGAAGCCCACGAGTGGTGAAGACCACAATATCAATATCTACTACCCTAAGTCACAGGGCGGCGGCGGACGTCGTCTGTTCCGTAAGGTCAACAACAAGTCCAGCGAGAAGGACGCCACCCTCGTTGTACCCCGAGCGGTCACAGAGCCAGATGGGTCCTACATTTACGAGCAGTTTCTCAAGGTGGAAAACGCTGAAGATGTCAAAGCTTACACTGTCGGCACAGAGTTCTGCCATGCCGAGACCCGCAAGTCGCCTGTAGTAGATGGCGTTGTCAAGCGTAACCCGAATGGCAAGGAGATACGATATGTCACCAAACTCAACAAAGAGGAGCAAATGATGGCGGCAAAGATTGCTTCTGGATTCGGTCAGCGTGTTTGTGGCTTCGATCTCTTACGCGTGGACGACAAGAGCTATGTCATAGACGTCAATGGGTGGAGCTTTGTCAAGGACAATAACGAGTACTATGACAAGTGCGCTCAGATCTTGAAGGACATGTTCATCCGCGAAAAGCTCAAATGGCAGGGCAGAGCCACTCCCAGCGAAGTGGACGATGGGGAAACCAGGGACGCTGATTACATGTCCAGAAAATCAATGATTCCCAAGGAAAAGGAGTTACCTAACAGTACCGGACACCGCGGAGTGCTTGGCAGTGTTTTTAGGAGTCGCAGCATCTCACAGCTGCGCGATCATGTGCACACTGTAGCATCACACGTCGGACACCCGCATGCCGCTAAGTCCCCAAGTGGGACTTCCAGTCCGATCACGTCGCCGACGTTAGCCGAGCGAAGAGGTTCATCTCACAAGCGTCATTCAACAGTGCCCCTTGTGACATCAGAAATGCCGTCCGCAGCAGTAGCAACACCATTGGATCATATCAGGGATAGCTTGAGCGAGCGTCCAAAATCTGCTGATCTGGAGTCTCTTGTGCCGTCTGAAGCACCCTCGCATGCTCCTGCACCTGCGGTGAAGAGTCAATGGAAGTTGAAGGGAATGGTTGCCGTCATTCGACATGCGGATCGAACGCCGAAGCAGAAGTTCAAGTTCACATTCCACACCAAACCATTCGTTGATCTGCTCAAGGGCCACCAAGAAGAGGTTTTGCTTGTGGGTGAGGCTGCCCTGCACAGCGTTCAGCAAGCTGTGAAACAGGCCATGACCGAGGGCGTAGAAGACATGAACAAGCTTCGCACACTCGCCAACGCACTTGCGAAGAAGGGTGCTTGGCCGGGAACTAAGGTGCAGATCAAGCCCATGTTTAAAAAGCCAAAGGAAGTCGAGGCAAGCAAGAATAACAGTAAGCCAGGCGATAAGGAGAGCGGAGGCTTGAAGCAAAGCTTTCCCTGCATCGAGGACCAAGCCCATTCTAATCATGCAGCTGAACACGTCAAGCCGGAAGACTTGGCCGACAGTCAAGGCCTCGCTGACTCTGTTGGCGATCGTGCGCAACAACGTAGTGACTCTTTGGGTGAAATTACCATGTCGCGAGCTGCTGCTGCTGATCAAAACCTTGTCCTGGATAAACTGCAGCTGGTCATGAAGTGGGGAGGCGAGCCCACTCATTCTGCACGGTACCAAGCTACTGATTTAGGAGAGAACATGCGCGCCGACTTGTGCCTCATGAACCGCCGTGTACTAGAGGATGTATCGATCTTCACATCATCAGAGCGTCGTGTTAGGACCAGTGCTGGCATCTTTGCAAGTGCTTTCCTGGAGCAAAAGGATGTCGACGATGACCAGATTCACATCAGGAAAGATCTGCTAGATGATTCAAATGCTGCTAAGGACGAGATGGATAGGGTCAAAAAGAAGCTTAAGGGGCTTCTGCGCAAAGGCGAAAAGGCGCCCGAACAGTTCGCCTGGCCAAAGGATGGCACACCGGAGCCTTATGTGGTGGTACGTCAGGTTGTCGAATTGATGAAGTTCCATCGCAAGGTGATGAGAAGCAATTTTGCAAGACTGCAAGGCTCAGAGGCTGTCACTAGCTTGGAGAAGATTCAGAAGAGTCCAGCTCGAACTAATCAGGGCAATGAAGCAACGCCACTGAATGAGACTGCTGCACTGAAATCGACTTTCGAGAACCCCACAGATGCCAAGGCGTCGACCATACAGTCCAGATGGTGTACTGGCGAGGACGCGGAACTGTTCAAAGAGCGCTGGGAGAAGTTATTCAACGAGTTCACCGACGCTGAAAAAGTTGATCCCAGCAAAGTCAGCGAGCTCTACGATACCATGAAGTTCGACGCCCTTCACAACCGCCAATTCCTCGAGTGGGTCTTCACACCTAACAAGTCCATGCTTCACGAAGCGAATGAAGCGAGTTCGCCCAACCTCAAGCGCACGGAGAGCGACGAAGCGCGACAGGAGTTCGAACAGACGCACGAAGGACAAATCCCTGCTTCATCGAGTGAGCCAGGTGGCTGCAGCAGCGAGCTAGCGGCCATGGAGAATCTGCAACTGCCACCACCGAGGAGAAGTGACACAACTAGCACGATTGCATCCAACATGGAGGCTAGTACTCATAGTTTGCGCAAGAATTCAAAGGATGGCACTACCAAGGAGCCTCCCAAGCCGACTCTCTCGCAGCGACTCGGCTTTCGACGTAGAAGTGCTGAACTACCAAATGATCTTCTGGCACCTCCAGGCAAACCACAATATGCGCATGCGGACGACCCCTCGGCATCGTATTTCAATCTATTCACAGGAGGCAATCCGGGGAACAACTCGAAGGTCAAACATGACGTTCGTTTGGAGAAGCTCAATGAAATGTACAAGCTCTCCAAGATTCTCTTCGACTTCATTGGACCTCAAGAGTACGGTATCACAGACAGCGAGAAACTGGAAATCGGCCTCCTGACCTCCTTGCCACTTCTTAAAGAGATCGTCAAGGATCTGGAAGAAGTGCAGGCTTCGGACGATTGCAAGTCGTTCATTTACTTCACCAAGGAATCACATATTTACACGCTGCTGAACTGTATTCTTGAAGGTGGCGTCCAGACTAAGATCGCTCGAAATGCTATTCCAGAGCTTGACTACCTCAGTCAAATTTGCTTCGAGCTCTACGAATCTGAAAACCCGGACGCCTGTGCGCATAATGCTGCGAATCCGGATGCTCCTCAACAGAACCTATTCAATTATAGTATTCGCATCACAATATCGCCGGGTTGTCACACATTCGACCCTCTGGACGTGCAACTGGACAGTAAGCATTGCATTGGCTGTGCACCCCGGCGCTCACTCACTAGTCATGCCGACTGGCGTGAGGTGTTGGAGACTCTGAGAGCCAAATTCAAGATGGTCAAGCTGCCAAAGAGTTTCACTCCTGTCAATCTTTCCGAGAGGCATCCCCAGGCGTTTGTGAATGATGTGGAAGAGACTGCATTACAGGAGTCGTCTGTCGAAAGTAGCAGTAAGAAGCCGAGCTGATAGATTCAGAGGCTACGCATGCTAGCCAGATTACGGCAGCACACTAGAGTAGAGTACAGTACCTTACAGTAGACCAGGGATTCGCTTGTATACTTACGTAATGATTAGAATCAATGTGAGGTCAGGATGTTTAAACGTGATGTATTCCATTCCTCTCAGAAGCAACGCCTAGGGTGTTTCACTTGCAGAGAGATCTATCATATTAATCTCGTCGTTCGACTTCGGCATTTATATTGCAACAGCAGTGAGCACGGGCACAGTTGGCTAATCGATCCATGCCTTGGCGTACCTCGGCCCCACATCATAAAGTCTGATCAAGGTATCCTAGCACATTGGCATATCGTTCCCCATTCGAGTGCTGCTCGTGGTCTACGATATAATGTAGAGCTTGCACCCACATACAGCAGCAACAATTGACTCCAACTCATTGATCCGTCCTCGTCATCCATCATGGCATTCATGCGATATCTGACAGTGGTACCACTCGCTGGCCTTGTGGTTGTTGCCCATTTGGCCCTCCAGAAGCAATTTGAACAGAATGGTTTATGGTCGCTGGATAGCATCAAAGTGTACAAGAATCGAACCCTTCCCAACACCAATCTTCCCATCAAGCTACCTTCGACAGGTTCGGAAACTCTGGATAACTACTTTGCCTTTATGACTGCTTTCTTCTGGACAAGCTTCGACCCTCGCAATGTGCGAGCTCATCTTCAAGGTAATCACCTACTTGGCACGCTCTCGAGTATCTGGATTATTCAGCTTCTGGAGGCGCATGGGACTATGAGAACAGCATCCGCAGGAATGGTGTTCGCTACCTACTTTCTCGAGGTCATGGGCGAGCTGTTGGGAATCGGCTTGTTCACACCCATCTGGTGCATAGTGCATCTCTTGCTGACTGCAGCACCTACCACGAAGGCCAATGTCAAGGTCACCAAGCTTTCAGCATCGAAGAGCAATATGAGAGCCCTGGGCTATGCGTTACTATTCGGCCATGTAGTGCCCACTCTGTTGATGTTGCAGCTTGATGCCGACGGGGATGGTCTATCGTCGAAGCAGTTCTGTAAGTGAAATAACAGTTCGAAGGCACTGCCTTTTTTCTCGTTGTTGCACAAAGCCTCGCACTCTCCTGGGTGGTGCTGACTACTACCTCTAGGGACGATTGCCCGGCTTTTTCACCCCCTCTTCCTCTTGGGAACTCTACAAGTCTTTAAGCCTGTTTTTGGAGGTGCATCGACTGTCAGTGAGCCGCCAGAGCGACTTCTCGCGACTAGACGTAAGCTCTATCAATTCAGCATATTGGCATCTGGGTTCTTCCATGTCACCTCGTTGGGTATGCTGCTGGCAGAGCGAATGTTCACGGGGTGGTTGAGGGAGGATGTGGTGAGCAATCTTCACATTGGAACAATGTTCATTCCGGCTCCTTTCTGGACTGGAGAGAAGATGACCTGGGAGACTGGTGTTGCTGTCTTCCTACAATGGGACTACACTTGTTCGTCTGCTGCAATCCTCCTCTGGGCTACCTCTCAATACCTGGAGGCGAGTTCATCAGTTGGCAAGAGCAAGGGAATCAGCTTGTTGGAGACAACTGGTCAGGCTCTTCTTCACGCGGTTCTGGCCGGGCCAGCTGCAGCTGCGGCTTTCTTGTTGCAAGAGCGTGACACGACTCTCGCGGCTGGATTTGTGGAGTCTAAATATGTGAAGCAACAGTAAGGAGTACCCAAGAAAGAGAAAGGGTGAGAGTGAGAGAGAGCGAGAGCGAGAGAGAGAGAGCGGCCTTGAACGGGTCCAGACACCGGGAGAAACCTCAAGCGGGTCTGTCGGGAGCCGAAATGGATCCACATCTCAAAAGTTTGGATTTCAGATAGGAGAAGAACCGCAACGTGAAAAAACATCTCAATAATAATACCTTGGATCTCTGCCACTACTGTACCATATTTTTTTTTTCTTCTCATGTACTTGTAAAATACTTATGGCGCCGGCGTTCCAGCATGTCTCGACTTTTTCATCCCGACCTTCACAGCCATCTTGCGCATGGGGGCTTCGTCCGAACCACCATTGAAAAGCTATATCAACTCGACTTCACACACCTGGGATCTATTGTTGCTGTCGCCGGAATCATACCTGCTGCATGGGTGTATATCCGCAGCGCGTGGAGAGAGACATCAGCATGGGTGCGACACTTTTTCATTGCTTCGGTGTCGATTCCCGCGCATGATCCCGTCAACAGAAGCGTCAGCACATGGCTCCACGAGCACGTTATTGAGCCTCGACGACTACGATTTCACATTGCGCGGACAGAGCCCGGTCGTACGTCAGATCCGGGCGCTGCGCTGAAGAAGAGTGCACCTGTGCAGTATTTGCCCCAATGGCAGAACATCTGGTTCCGGCATGAAGCGAAGATGTTTGCTGTCAGTCGAGATGGCTTCAGTTCTTCAAGCCGAGACTCGGACTATGATGGGTTCGGTGGAGGAGAGCTCTGTATCAGCTGTCTGGGCGTATCTTCCGAGCCTATCAAAAAGCTGATTGAGACGTGCCGCCTGGCAGCAGATCAACAAGCCCAATTCTACGTAATCATCTACTGCAGAGATCGCTATGGGATGAACTGGAAGCCTCGACTGCGAAGACCACTTCGCCGAATCGACACTGTGCACTTTGACGAGCGCGTGAAGAAAGCGCTCATGACAGATATCAAGACCTACCTCGACCCTCGGACACAAAAGCTCTATCAAAGTCGAAGCATGCCGTATCGGAGAGGATACCTGTTTTATGGTCCACCTGGTTCGGGAAAGTCTTCTCTGTCGACGGCAATAGCCTCCGAGTTCGGTCTCGATCTGTACGAGGTCAAAATTCCGAGCATCTCGAGCGACGCGGATCTCGAGCAAATGTTTTCAGAGGTGCCACCACGCTGCATAGTGCTTCTGGAAGACATCGACGCTGTATGGACTGGCCGTGAACGCCAGTTGCCTGATAGTGACGATGAGAGTAGCAATTCTTCCAGCTCGAATGTCACACTATCCGGCCTCCTCAACGTCCTTGATGGGGTGGGATCGCAGGAGGGTAGAATTGTGGTCATGACCACTAATAGGCTTGAGGAGCTCGATAGCGCCCTGATCAGGCCTGGTCGCGTGGATCTGAAAGTCCACCTTGGATTAATTTCGCAACAATCTGCGCGAGACATGTTCATTTCCATGTTCGCGCCCGACCTGTTGCACTGGGCACGTATCTCATCAGAGACGGTGGACACTCTCGAGGATCATGTATCGCTGGAACAGGTAAAGATACTCGCCGCGCAATTTTCCGAACAGATTCCGGAGGATACCTTCACGCCTTCGCAACTGCAAGGCTTCTTTCAACTGCACCTCAAAAGTGCGGTTCGTGCGACTTCCAGCATTGCAGCGTGGGTAAAGCAGCAGCGGTTGCCCGATTCGGAGAAAGAATTCGAAGTCTGCTAGGATGAGCAAGACCTTGTGTATATTACTGGTCGACGACCAACGCAGTTGCGGTATTGTCTACGGGAGTCCGAATCGAAAGCAGATGTCATCGCCATGCGCCAGCCGTTAGAGAGAACCACCATCGCACCTTCCCTGGCTGGCTGATATGCCTTGGCGTTGCTGCCATCGGTTCCAGTTCTCTGGTGGGATGCGGTATGATGCGAGGATAGTATTGTTGTGTGCCCAGGTACCTGTACCTACCTGTACCCTACTACCTCCTACCCACCACTTGCTATTGCATTTGCTGAGCGCTCCAGACCAGCTGTGGCGCACCTGTCCACACATGATCGAGAGCACGAAGTAATGAAGTAATAGAACTACCTCCTAGCTGCTGTTCGGCAGATGTGGGCCGGGGTGTTTCGCCTTGGAAAACCGAAAATGCCATGTATAACCGGGGGGGAAGAGACGAACCTGGAGGTTTACCGCCTCGAGACGGTTGACGGCAAACATCTCGTCGCGGGGGGCATATCGCCCGTCTCCAAGACTGGTGGACGGGTCATTGTTGGCCACAAGTAATGTACATCCAGAAGGCGAGACGGCATGTCCATGATGATCGCATTACCTCCACCAGACCGACCGACCGACGCGTTGTGGCGATACAAGGCCGGACGTCTCGATTTCGAGGTGGTTTAGAAGACGAAAGCGTTTCGATGGGCACGCGCGGGGCCCGATCAACGGGCTGGACCGTCAATCGCGAAGGCGCTAAGCCGCTCTGAGCGCGCGCACATCTGCATGTCATCAGAGATGGCAAACAAAAGACCTCCTACCGCGTGGCCTGGGAACCCTTCGTTTGCGCTTTTGATTCGAAGTCGGCAGACGGGGCGTCGGATGACGATGATCCTTGCTGATCCGGATATCGTGCGCTGCGCTGAAGCAGGGTAACACCAGTGCGGACGGAGAAGTCGATGACCACTGCTACCTCCGTAGGTTACTGGTGTGTTTCTTCAATACTTCTGACTGACCACCCCTTTGCAGGAGTATTCTATCCATCGCTTCACACGCCACTAGTGTGCGTCTCATCCACCAGCAGCAACACTCTCCCAAAGTCCGATCGCCACCCAGGACTGCTCTTATACTGATTACACCTGCGCATTGCGGACGACAACCTAGCCGACGACGTCATACCCTCCGCGAACACAAACACCACCACGATCACTCTGGCGCTGGCAAACCAGCGACGCCGAGACCTTGCTCCCTTTGCAGCGCGTTGCGGCAGATCCTCTGGGCGATATATGGAGCGGTGGAGTGGGAGTAGACTCAGCATATGAGTCCGCCAATAGCGACATCCTGGATACCTCTGACGAAACGCTGGCTGAAGACCAGCCTGGCGGTCTGGCCACTGCCACAGAAAAGAACTTGATGAGACACTATGGCGGGACAGAAGAGCAGACCGTACCCTCTGATGTTCTAGCTGTCCACGGGGAGGCCAGGCAGCTCGTGCGTTTGATACAATGTCCACAATGCTCAAAACCATTCCGGAACCCTGTCACACTGCCATGTGGGAATTCGCTATGCAAGGCGTGTCTGCCGGAATCGCACGAGAGAGAGCACATTTCATATCCAGACCTTCCCAGTCGAAGACGCGGAATCGAGTGTCCCTTCCCAGATTGCAATGCAGAACATCCGGCCTCGGACTGCAACGTCGATGTGGTCATGTCCAAAGTCATGGAATCGATCGCCGAAGTCGTTGCGAGGTACACGTCCGTCGTGGAGAACCAGCTCGTGTCGCCGGACAATGTCGCTCGCTACGATGAAGTGATGGGCTCGCAGCCAGAGTCTGAGAAAGCCAATGTTCAGGATATATCTGCGGGACGGTTGATTGCCACGTATCGACTTGCGGCCAAAGGACTTTTGGACATTCAGAGTGATTTGGTTTATCCCGACGACACGGAAGTTACAAGAGCAATGGATCTCAGCGTCGTGCACGATGTTCTAGAAGCAACTCAGAAAGAGGTCGATTGCCAAGTTTGCTACAATATCATGCTCGATCCTGTTACAACTTTTTGTGGACATACACTGTGTAGGAACTGTATGGCACGAGTCCTGGACCACTCTCAGCATTGCCCGGTCTGCCGTCGCAGTCTGGCCATTCCTCCATCGCTACAACGCCAACCCAGCAACAAAGCAATTGTCGAGCTGCTGGACGGCTGTTGGCATGATCTCATGGTGGCCAGAGCAGCTGATGTTGCATTGCAGGAGCGAGGCAGTGACGGTTCCACAGCTGTGCCGCTGTTTGTCTGCACACTGGGGTTCCCCAATCAGCCTACGTTCCTGAGAATCTTCGAGCCACGGTATCGGTTGATGCTCCGTCGTGCTATGGAGGGCAACAGGCAGTTTGGCATGTTGATGTACAACCGATACTCCGAGCCGCAAGGGGAACTCGGATCCGTGCACTTTTACCAGTATGGAACCATGCTGCACATCTTGCATTGTCAGGTACTTGCGGACGGCACGAGCTTAATCGAGCTGCGAGGTTTACATCGATTCCGAGTCAAGTCGCACGGGACGCTGGACGGGTACACAGTCGGTGAGGTCGAGCGCATCGACGATGTCAGTCTTGAGGAGGAGGAGCGGATTGAAGCCGAAGAGACGTCTTCGCCTTCGGTGGGTGACGAAGATACTGTTGCACAGATCAGCGCAATGTCAACACAAGCGCTTCACTCGCTCGGCAGGGAGTTCATTGTGAAGATGCAGGCTAGGAGCGCCAACTGGTTGCAGCAGAGGGTACTGGATATACATGGACAACCCCCTGATGACGCCTCTCTTTTTCCGTACTGGTTCGCGAGCGTACTTCCAATCAGTGAAGAAGAGAAGTACAAGCTATTAGGCACTCGGACAGTGCGAGAACGGTTGAAAATAACCGCAACCTGGATCCGAAGGATTGAATCACAGAGATGGTGAGTCTACACTCTCTCCTTATCGATGAGCCACCTGCTCATGCGCGCTGTCTCGAAAGATGGCACTGACCGTCTGCGCTAGGCGCTCCGACGAAGACAACCACGACTGACAATGGTCAGGTACCAAACCAATTCTTGTCGCGTCTTATGACTAGCCGCGGCACGATTCCTGGGACCAACACTACTGCTTCTTGTAGCGATTTGTTTGCACTGGATACGACCTGAACAGCCATGAAACCCTCAACCCTTACTGATACCCCATGGTCCACTGGTCGTTGATGCATATGAGTGATGCTGGCGGCAGGGCGCTGACGCATAGAGTACTCGGAGGACGCGCAGATTGCATATGTTGGCGTTTTGTCATTCGGACTGTTTACGCCTTTTGAGCGAGCGATGGGCATGGTCAGGAATGCATCAAGGAAGGTCTTCGGCACAACGAGCACAATGGCCATCGATATAAATATCGTGAATTTGTCAATTTCCTACTTCTGATGATAGCGATCTCCCTAGCGGTACACGTAGGTACATGTACCTCGTGAACAAATCGCTCCCAAGCATTCACCTTCCACAGATCTCTCTGTGAGCATGATGATGGCACTCGATACTCGTGATAGGATCAGGGGCCACGCAGAGCCAAGAAATGTTCATGTTCGGATGTGTCGGTGAGGTGGTTCTCTCATTACAGACTAAGCAGGTGTAGCATCGCGATGGTGCGTGACGTGGTGATAGTGGTGATTTGCGGGTGCCAGTCCTGCATGAAGGGAGATATCGTATCCGGCCACGTACCTGAATGCAGCTCTAGGAGAGGACAGCGGGCGAGACAAGCAGTCGGACGGAAGGGTCGAGAAGGAGGAGGAGGACGAAAAGTGTAAGAGCTAAAGGCGAGGATGCATGCCGCGTGGACGTTTGGCGATATGAGTGGTGGACATCAGGTATTGGAGAGCCAACCCGAGCGCAGGGATACGCGCCGGGGGACACTGGGGACTTGGCGTCCTGAGGCCATTCCTGCTTGGCTGCTCTTGTCGTTCAGCCACCGCGAGGAGCTTGGGAGCATACTCGGTCGGAGCCATTCGTTACGCGCTCAAGCCGTTCTTGTGGCTTCTCCGCGCTGCGCTGTCTACTGCTACCTATGTATTGGGCAGGCTGTTATTATGTGTGCGTGAGTCCCACTCCCATCTCTTCTGTCGGTTGCTATCTTCGACTCTTTGCGACATAGTGCCGTCGATCTCCAGTGATACTATGCCATATGTGTGACCCGCCCACGATCGGTCCAACAGTACCTCGAGCTTCAGGACGGGGGTCAACCAGACCGCGGCACACGAGAAACCACAGTCTCGTACGCCGTATAGAGAGAGTGTGTGTGAGAGAGAGAAAGAGGGAGGAGATACATACAAGTTGGGCGACATGTCGCTCAAGCAAGAGATAGAAACCTGGGTTGCTGCGCTGGCCGCATATGATCACAACGAGTTCGACAGTGCCATCAAGTGCTTTGAACAGATATCAGACACGTCGAAGATCCTCTTCAATTGTGGTGTGATCCATGCCACCCTCGGGGAGCATGGAAGGGCTGTGGAGTGTTACCAACGCGCTGTACAGCTCGACCAGTACCTCGCCATTGCCTACTTCCAGCAAGGAGTGAGCAACTTTCTGATGGGCGACTTTGAGGAAGCGCTGGCCAACTTCAACGATACCCTGCTCTACCTCCGCGGCAACAACAACATCGACTACGAGCAACTGGGCTTGAAGTTCAAGCTCTACTCGTGCGAAGTCTTATTCAATCGCGGACTATGCTATATCTACCTGCAACAGAAAGATGTCGGCATGCAAGACCTGATCTTTGCAACCAGGGAGAAGATGGTACCGGATCATGACGTGATCGACGAGGCCATTCGTGAGCAGGCCGAAGGATACACTGTATTCTCCATTCCCGTGGGCGTGGTTTATCGGCCGAATGAAGCAAAGGTCAAGAATCTGAAGGCGAAGGATTATCTCGGCAGAGCCCGGCTTGTGGCTGCGCAAGAATACCAAAACTCCAACCCTCGGCGAGCGGCCGCGCTTGCTGCCGCAGGAGTGGACGACCGACCAGGCGAGAAGTTATCCTATGCCGCTCTGAACCTCGTGAGACCAGATCTGCGAAGTAGAGCACACCGCCAGCAGTCCGAGCCACCACTTCGTAGAGACGTGTTTCCACCCACTCCGCCACCGGAAGTCGAAAGACCAGACTCGGCACATGGCAGCACCCCCCGACGCAAGTCCACCGAAAGCACCAGTTCCGAGCGATCCAATCTGCAAGCTGCGCGACCAGCAGCCAAAGCCTTGCGGCTGGAGCTCGGCGTGGCAGCTTTCGAGCAACAGAAGTCGCCAGAGAAGCAAAGATCAGCACCGCGGCGAGCAGAGTCAGAACGTCCACCGATGCGTCGCGAGTATTCTGACGCTTCGGCACGATCGAGTGATGGCAAGCGACGAGATCGTGAACACCGATCCAGCTATCGCGATGGCCCGGAAGTGCGGGTCGAGGAAGACCCGATTGAAGCATACAGCGAACAGGCAATGCAACAGCAGACGTCCTCCCATCAGCGCACGAGATCCAGTGTCCAGCGTAACCAGCCTATTCCGATTGCAGAGGTCGAAGAGAACGATCAAGGGTGGAATACTACTACTGATTCTCCCTTGGCCTTTGAAATTATCGCCCCCAGACCCACGCATCAACGACAGCAATCTCACTCTCGCCGCGCCCCGGAACTTCGCAAGATACGATTCAAAGTGCATGCGGAAGATATGCGATATGTGATGACCACACCGACCGTGACATTTAATCAATTGTGCGAGCAGATTCAGAAGAAATTCGGGTTTCAGGACCCCTTCAAACTCAAGATCAAGGACGAGGAGGGTGATCTCGTCACCATGGCGGACTCGGATGATCTCGACATGGCCATCAGTATATGCAGAGCTGCTGCAGCTCAGGACATGGCCGACATGGGGAAAATGGAGGTCTTTGTTCAGCAGACGTAAAAGACAATGTAATAATGAGATATATACCCACACCATCCACTTCAGTTCTTGATAGTTTCATTGCCAAGTAGTAATGTACCTTATTCGCGCATCATCATCCATATATGTCATCTTGTATAGCACTCAAGGTAGACAGAAAGTACATCTACTTAGTATATATATTACATCCCAATTACTTTCAACGATCAGGCCTACATGATACGAACTAGCCTTTCCACTTTCCGGGACAACGACAGGTAAAGTAGGTTACAGGTAGGTACAGGTATATACCTAGAACCAACCTCGCAGAAAAGGAAAACAAAATCAGGTACATAGCATTTCCGTCTGTCGTTCAAGCAACTATTTCTACCTTCTACCTTCTAGGTACAAGGGGAAATAATAATCTAACTTTGGGCTGTCTAGGCAGATATAGGCAAGGAGGTAAGTATTAGATCAGGGTCCTGTTTAGGTCGTAAGGTAAGGTAAGTGTATATATCTACCTGACCTGACCTATATAATATATCTGACCTAGGTAATAGTTTTAAGGTACATACATGTAGATTAGGCAGAAAGATTTTTGCTCGGTATAATCTAACTGATTTAATAGGAAGAAGAAGGCAAAGAAGAAAGAAGGAGGTATAGATAAGGTAGTAACAAAGTCTACTATCGGAATAAGGTACTATATCGTACCTTTCTTCTTTTCCTTATACATATTTACTATATGTCTTCCTACAACTCGGAATGCTATAGGTAAGGTAGGTAGGCCTTCTAGCTGTTCTCGCTATCTTGCTCCTTTGCTCGTTGTGCGAGATACTATACTAACCTACCTATATAGTAGAGGTAAGGTAAGGTAAGGTAAGGTACGTAATTCGGACACGCGTCGTCGGCTTAAATCTTTTTTTGTTCATTCTTCTTATTATCGGATACTTGTTTATAATAAAACTCCGTGCTCGCATTGGTAGGACAGAGATATGTGGATATGTCATTTGATCAGAATGAGAAGTCACTGTTGGAGATAATAGGGAGAGGGACGAATCAATAAGAAAAGAGGGAGTTGGGAGATAGAGATGATTATCAAGCATATCTACCTGAGGTGATGCGTCCTGTGATCGACAGTATTTGATCGAAAGAGTCATCTAACCCTTCCCTTCCCTTCCCTCTCCAACGTTTTTTTTTTTTCGGGGCTAGTTGGTCAGTAGGTCAGGTCATTCGTTCCTCAACTATCCAGACCCTTTTCCTTTTTTGCTGATAAATAGATGCAGGTGGGTAAGGTAGTGGATACAGTACAGCTACATGTCATTCTGGATAATAGCCTACATGTCATTCTGTCTAGTAAGAAACAACGAATGACCGATGATGATGATCATGATGATAAATGAGATCGGAGTTCGGAAGCGTTCAGAAGATCGATCTTCTGCTGCGATGAATTGCAAATCATCAAATGCATATGTGTCCTATCTGGGAGGTATACCTCGTAGGAGGTACCTGGTACTTAGGGTAGGTACCGAAAGAACAAGAAAAAAAAAGAAGGGAAGACGAAAAAGTGCACATGTTCATTATTCATATCATCATCGATACATCCTATCATTCCTATGTGGCCAAAGATACATGTACATGTACATGTACCAAAAGAACGAAAAAAAAGGAGACTGCCTATCAACATCATCATCATTATCATTATCATCATCAATCCATTTCTCCACGTACAACCAAACCAAACCAACCACAAACAAATCCCACCTCCAATCTTTTTTCTTTTTTTTTCTTTTTCCCTTTCCCTCGAGTCTTTTATGAAAATAAATAATGCAAACAAGAAACGTCCGCGTGATCTACATTTTGCACAAGGACCCTTCTTTTTTTGTGCACACACAATAGGGTGCGATGTCGGAAGTCGGGGAGTCGGGATGTCGCTGGTACCTGTTACCTGTTACGTGTTAGGTAAGCTACGGGTCAGGTCAGTCGGACTGGGGGAGACCGGAGACCGGATGTGATGCGGAATCTTTTGAGAAAAAAAGTTTGGTTTGGTTTGGATGGTCTGGTCTTGTTAGGTCAGGTCAGGCATGATGGATGATGATTGAGCGATGATTTTTTTTTTCGGTTTCTTTTTCGGATGGAGGAGATGCTTTAATTTGAAGTAGAGTGGATTGAAAGGAAATGAGGTAGAGAGAGATAGATGAGGTAGAGATGAGGTAGAGGCATGTGTGAAAAGTGTAAAGTATGTGTAGGAAAGAAAAAGGCAAGGTAGAGATGACTTTGTTTTGAAATCTAGATAAGGTAGTCTTTGTGTGAACCTTTTTTTCTCTCTCTTTCGTTCTGTCCGCCAAAGGAGGGACTTGCCCTGCTATAATCTTCCATTCTTAAGATGGAACTACTGAAACCATAACCATAATCGTGTTCCTGATATTGAGATGAGAGATGAAAGTTCAGCTTCCTTGAAGAGGTATCCTGGTACCACCACCATTTGCCCAACTCCTCGCTAAAAAGAAAAGGGAAGAAGTAGAAGAAGAAGAAGAACAAAAACGCTCGCTCGCTGAAACGCTTTGACAACCCAAATGTGTGATCAGGCAGTAACTGAAAAAAAGACTCTAGCAGGCCGCAATCATGGGCTGTTGATGTTGCTGTGCCAGTAGTGCTGTTGCTGCTGATGATGACTTGATGTCGTAAAAGGTTGTCGTTGCTATTTGTGCGCGTTCCTTGTCGCTGAGCTCGAATAGTGGCTGCTCGGGGGAGGATGGTATGTCATCCTCATCAGAGTCAGAAGAGTCGGAGTCGAGTGTGAGTTCGGGAGGAGAGTGTTGGTTGGTGGGCGCTCGGGTTAGATCCAAGTCTTCGTCGACCTCGTTGTCAGAGTGCATGTCTTCGTCATCCATGGCCTCGCACGAGAATTCGACTTGTGGTGATCGAAGCTTGCGGATGGGGATGTTGAACAACTCTTCGGCTTCATCGTAGATCTCAGAGCCGTCGTCAGACTCCATGTCCGAGTCGTCCTCGTACTCCTCCGCTGCGAGAGTGTCGGACCATGGCTGGTATGTAGCCTCTTCTGGCGTCGATGCCGTTGTGACAGACTGGTGGAACCAGGATTCTTGTTCCCGTTCCGCGTCTGCGAGCTCCACCATGAGCGTATCCAACAGGTTGGCGTGTCCGACCAAGCGTCTCAGATCGTGGTCTGCACGACCAGCTTCCCTTCCCAGCTTGCTGCGGGCAGTGGACGCCACATAGTATGTCTGTGTGAGAGACATCTTTTGCTTCTTGGCTGGTGGTAGAGATGGCGATGTCTGGATGGTTGCGTTGGCCTGGAAGGGCTCGAAGGAGGATTGGAGTCTCAAGTGGGAAGACATGTTGAAGTAGGGATCCAGTGAGTCAAAGAAGGTGTGACTCTGGCCAATATCGAATGGCGAAGGAGGGAGTAGTGCCTGAGTCACCCCGAAGCCAATAAAGCAGTTGGAGAAGATCTAGGGTATCCAAGACCGAAGTTCTGTGCAGGCGATGGGTGATGGTTTGTTGTTGCTGTTGTTGTTGTTGTCTTCTTCTTGGGTTCTTTGATCTGGCAATGATGTGAGTGGATTGATTGATATAGCTCGAGCGAGAGAGGGCAGTGGATGTGGGAGGAGTGCGAATGTATTAATGCTCCGTCGTGTCTTGGTGCTTGGTGCCTTGTTGAATCCCGAATCTCCGTGCAGTCCGAACTCTCCCAGACCCTGGCCAAACCTTGTCTTCGGTAGGTGCGTCAGCAACAAGAATGCAGCCTCAGCCAGGGAGCCAATCGCCTGTCGCGAGCCCGCAGGTCCGGTTGCCTTGCTCAGATGAGTCCTGTGAGCTCTTTTCGCTTTTCTCAGCCTGATTACCAACTCTATCCTATGCCGTAGTCGGTACCTGTAGGTAGGAGGTACTGACATATCCTCTCTGACGCTGCCTCGCTCGGCCTGCTCGCATAAGCACAGCCCCTTACTAAACTCACCCAACTGCTCTCGCTCACCCTCACCCTCACCCTCACCCTCACCCTCACGCATGTGCCAAAGCAGGATCTGCTGTACGTCCGTCGTCCGTACGCCGTTCGGGAAGGGGAGACTTGTCTTTGCTCCTCTTGGCTCCGACTGGGTTTGCCAAAACTGCGCCCGTTCTGGTGTCACAATTAGCACCCGCCAAGCACACGCTTTCCCCAGAGCGCAGGCATTAGGACTATTCATTGCTGGCACCGCTAGAGCGCACCATCGTAAAACAACGAACAAGCCTCGTCAGGCCGCAGCATTTTGATTATTGTTATTTGCTTTCTACTACTCCCAGCGGCCTGCTGGTATACGTGTTGCCAGGCCCCAGCCCTCAGGCAGCAGCCATATCGCCTCAAACAGACATCTTAGTCCCCTTTCGTCATTCGTCGTTTGTGCGCAGCCGAGTAGATACCTGAGCCTCATTGTGCTGTGCCTAGTCCAACCCCTCAGAACTACGGTTCGGGTACGTACGTGTGTGCGTGTGTGCGTGTGTATGTGTGCATGTCGTGTGCACGCACATGAACACGATCGAGTTCGGCTTCACCGCGACAGCGGCGGCCGGTGTGGCTGTCTCGCACCATGGGCTGCATAGTGGTAGTGCATACATGATACCTCGCAACACCTGTCACCGGGCTGTACCACTAGATTTCCACGGCGCGTGGCGGGAGCGACCACAATCCGTTGCCAAAACACCATGTCCGAATATGCAACTTCTGCCAGTCACAAAAGCCTAAAATCTCTCTCATTAACAAAAAGTGCATACGGCCGTACCACTCCTCCGCTCCGTTGGGCAGACAACCACCGCCCCCACGCCCACTACCACTACTACCAATACTACCACTACTACCAACTACTTCACCTACTATTGTGCTGTCTGCAGACATCATCCTCGTTGCCTCGCGTTTGATGAAGATTGCCCGTCAGGATGTCTGGGTCTCTGGGAGAGCCATCGCTGTCCGCCCCATCCTGGTCCGGGGAAAGCAGCACAACAGGGCAGAAACATGAGGCTGCCAAGATGACATCTCCAGCTGACGGTCCGTTTCCGGAGACACCGCTTTCCTGAACAGTAAGGTGGGTTGGTACTTGCTACTACTTGGTAGGTAGTATTTCAAAAAGCTGCCTGTTGCTACGGAAGATCCGAATAAGAGAGTGTGAGGGTGCCTGCCTGCCTGCCTGCCTGCCTGTCTGGTCTAATGCTCCCGCAGCGACGCGAAGCTCGGATCCGTGCGACATTGTCCACTTGCCAGACATGTTCACCGCAAAACTCCGAGACCCACTTGCCCTGATTGTGCTGCTGGCTGCTGCTGGCCTGCTGCCCTAGGTCACACTTTCATGCCTGAGGAGAATCTGAGGGTGCGTGCCCTACAACCAGATAGAGCGCTCCTAAGAGAGCCTGAGGATGCGTGCCCTACAACCAGATAGAGCGCTCGTAGGACAGCCTTGATGAGGATGCGTGTCGCCGTGCCCTACAACCAGAGAGAGCGCTCACAGATGGGCCAGGATAGGTTGCGGGACCATCGCTCGCCGAGAATAGTTTTTCTCTCTCTCGCCCTCTCGTGCCCTCTCTCCCTCTCTTCCTCTCTCTTTCCTGAACGCGATAATGGACATGCCACATGCGGACTTCGAGCCACGAGCCCTGGATGCCACCACCACAATGCCCTGCAATGCCGACCACGAAGAGCGACAGCAGCAGCAGTAGGGCAGGACGTCGGAGTCGCAAGCGGCTGATCAATTGACCCTACTACTGAACTACCCGCTCCTCCATGTACGCTGTGCCCACCATGTCTCTCCAGTCTGTACCTTCTTAGTAACTAGGGCTAGCAGAGATCTGTTTCTAGTCGTGCGGCAGACGCTACACTTCGAGTACTGTTTTGAAAAAGCCCTCTGCTGACAAAACATGACTACTCCACAATCCATACCACTTCACTAGGAGGAAGAACCCTCTCTCCCTCTCTCTCCCGCTCTGTGGGTCCCTGATCAAATATCTCCTGCTATGCTGCGAACTACGGTAAGATTATGCCGAAGCTTAGCTCTACATTAATCAGCAGAACCAGAAAGAAACGGAGAAAAAAAACGGAAAAAAAAAGAATATGTCGTGCTTACCTATCAATAAAATGATGATGACGATGCGTACCTCCTTAGCGAATCAGTTTTACCAATACAGGTACAGGTGGATAGGGATGTACAGGACGTGTGTACTGTATGTACTACTGCCACATTGCTGACACTCCGTCAGCCCCGTTCCTGAAGAGAGGGAGCGACCAAAAAGAAAAACAAATATACAAGCCACACCGCACACGGGATGCTAGGATCATGCCCTTTCCTGATAGGAATGACATTGACGACACTGATTGATAAGATCTTCTTGATCAAGGTGTACTACATACATACTTGTTCATGTACTATCAGGTAGGTACCTATCAGGCACAGAAGAAGACTGAACCCTCTCTATAGCGCCGATGAACAATCGTGTTGAAAGCGCTCTCTGCCTCGAAGCAAAGTAGGTAATTGTATCAAGCAATGAGCTATTTCTTGTGCTCTAACAAGTAAGTGCTGAAGAAAACCCGTTTCCGAGCAGCTTGTCAGTCCGTCAGTCAGGTGAGTTTGATTGTACGTGCAACGGTACAAGCAAGCAAGCAAAGCAAGCCCTCAAACGCATAGATGCGTCCCCCCCTCCCCCAAAAATTGCCGACTACCTTATATTCGCCATTCGGGCTCTCGGCGTCTGTTATAAGCGTACCTACCTGACCTGACCTGACCTGACCTGCAAGTATTCTTCCGAGAGATCGCATACCGTTCAACCAGGGTCGGCACCTAGAAACATGGGGGGGAGGGGGAAGGGGGAAGAAGCTGTGTGGCAGTGTGTGCCCTAAAATACTGTAAATTCCTAAAGAGGACCCCCAGGCCTTTCTTTTTTGGTTTCTCTTTTATATACCCTAGTTGCCGAATCCGGGTGAGGCCGCCCTACTTGATGAATAGGTATACAGGTATCTAGATAAGGTAGACTTAGGTATTCACCTTAGTGGGTAGGTAGGTACCTGGTATGAAGTCACATCGGAACGTGGATAAAATGTCCTTGACTTCTAAAAACTCGGATGAGCAGGAGCGATGAAAAGGAAAAGAAAATAGAATGCTGCTCGCGATTCAATAGTACCGTAGGTATGTAAAATTGCGTATAATGATCAAAGACTCTTCGCATACGCAATACCAGAATACCTACATGTACCTACAACCTATAGCGTCATGAACGACATGACCTAGATGGATACGAGACGGTGCGAAGTCCTCTCTACTGCATCCGAGCCCACACCCGAAGTCCCGACCGACCCCCCACACACACACCCCCCTTTCGGTGTGCGGGAGAAGATGGTTGCAAGCAAGTTGCATCATCATCATCGATCTATCTAGGTCAAGGTACCTGGACATTTTAACCAAGCTTTTATTTATTTATTTTTTTCCTTTCGGATTCATGATACCATGTCTGCAGCCGGACAGCGCGAGCGAGCGAGCAAGAAAAAAAAAAGAAACAGCTGCAGGTTGTGTTTCATACCCCCCAGGGCCCTTTCTTGGCGGATCGACTAGTGTTTTGCGAGCCGGTTAGCTGTACAGTACCTGAGAAACACGATGCGGGCATTATGCGAATTGGCAATTGCTTGAATGCTCACTGCATTTACCTAGCAAGCTAGCAAGCAGATCATACGTCACTTTTCTCTTGCGAGTTGCATCAAGAATAGAAAAAGCGAGGTCGAGTGGCATGGATGCAGTGTGGTCTAGACTTGTGGTCTATATGGGAGGCCTGATGAGTAGGTTAGGTACAGGTGAGTGAGTGTGAGGCACTCGCGTAGGGTCCGGTATTCTTTGTGAGGAGAGAAGTGCGAGGTGTGTGTGATGTAAGCCCTCTCTGCACTCTTGACGCTCTACCTTATGGACTCACTCAGTATCTTGAATCCATATTCTCAAGGTCTTGCATCTCCTCTTCTTCTTCTTCGTCGTCGCTTGCTCCCAGCACCACCGAATGCGCTTCGGTTTCCGCCCCATCATCATCGTCGTCATCATCATCATCATCATCATCATCATCATCATCAGAGTCTTCGTCACTTTCGACCACTTCTTGGGCTGGATCGTGGAGTGACGATTTGCTCAACTCCAATCCGAGCTTACGCGTGTCTTCTGGCGTGATGTTGAGCAGTCGGGCTTGTTCCGGTGTCAGATCGACTATCTGCGGAGCGTATTCGCCCGTCTCATCATCTTCATCGTACATGGTGCTTTCCACGTGCAGCTGCTCGCCATCCTCCAATTCGAGTACTCCAGAGCGAAGGTGGTCACCGCCCAGTGTCCAGCCATGCTCTTGTCGCAGATAGTCTTCCAGGTCATCGAGCTCATCGGCAACATCTGATACGCCAATGCCTGTCATGCCTTCCAAACCATTCCTGAACCGTACGAGCAGCGTCTTCAGCAGAGAACCGCCCTCATCTGCGAGGTCGATCAGGCCGCCTTCTGCATCCTTGCAGTGCTGAAGCTGCAGTCGCAGTGCAGCAATGGCTTTGATGAAGAAGTCCGACTTCTCGTCTACTACAGACTTTGATGTGAATATCAGCATGAGAAGTCGCTTCCATTGCTCCAAGCAGCTGAAGTTGTTGATGGACAGGATCATCAGAAAGCAGAACTGTAGCTCGCCAAGGATCTCATTGATATCCCGATCTGTACACTGAGTCTCTACCAGATGCAGGAGTGCCCAGGAAAAATCTTGTGCAGCCTCGGTGCGCTCGCGCCCTGTGGCACCTATATATGTGACCTGAGGTAAGTAACGATATAGACCAGGCGGCGACGAATCAGACTTCGACTCACCTTCTCGCCAGGTCTTTTTGAGATCAATAGGCAGAAAATTTAGTTCTCGATCTGCTTGCATTGCATTCTTGTCATCTTCGTCCAGGCCAGGAATGTCTTCAATATCTCGCCGCGCGGAGCTTGCTGATGTCAGGTACCAGTGGTTTGCATCGCCTTTCGTAGTCCTCGTTAGTACCTGTGGATCCACGGTAGGTCAGTATACGAAATATTCGTCTAGTGTCAGGCGAAAGGAAAGCCGTTGTCTTCAACTTTCACGCCGCTGTAGCACACATAGGTCTAATAAGCAAACACGAGGATATTGTAGCATGTCTGAGGTGCCTGCAGACTGGTGGACATGACTTACGGACGCGGTAATGGCCGAAGTCAATGCCGGCCAGTCATTGATCTCCTCCCTTCCGGCTTCCACATGCGTATCTGTGCTGGTTTGTCGATAAGGCGTAAGCCCTTCCTTCCAGATGGAGCCCAAATTCGCCCTCCATCTGAGTCTCTCGGTTTCATCTGTCTCGGTCTTCAGCGTCTCTGTAGATGCTTCCCACTTCGTGATGAACAGGTGCTGTCCATCGGACGAAGCCCTACCAGGCACGCGGAACCAGAGGCCGTGACGTTCTGAGAAGGCGGTGCTTGTACCGACAAAGGCGAAATGAAATCCGGGCGGCAAATTCTTTACGCCTCGAAAGCGAGGTGTCACGGTGAAGGAGAGAAGATCGATTCCAGCGAGCGCTGCTGGTAGGAGGTCGAGTAGCAGGAGCGCCGGAGTATCAATCGAGTCCATCTTGTTTTCCTTCTGCTGTTTACGTCGAGCAGATCCGTGTTGACTCGTCCCTAAGACTGGCTTGATGGAAATATTCAGATTTGCGCGAACAGAGGACTCTTTCTTCCAACGTCACCTTCTCCGTCAACAGCAAATCTGATGGCTACAACGCGTGCCCGGGTTTCCTCCCAGGTTATGTCGATATCAGTTTTGTTATGAGTTTGTGCCGTTCCTGAAGGACACAGGACGAATGTGAAGTCTGCACATAAAATCCACCTTGGTCTGGATGGCTGAAGTCATTGGCCACCGCACGTGCGACTTTGCACAGTAAAATGGGTTGGATACAAAAAGTTGTCAACGTGTGTCCAAAACACTCCCGTCGCCATGCCAAAAAGCACAAAAGAGATGGACGCTGTGGGAATTGAACCCACGACCTTTCACAGTTTGCGATGACCGAACGAACGGAGATGCGAAGCGAAAATCATACCCCTAGACCAAGCGCCCTGAACGTTGTGTGTTCCTACGACGAGGCTCACGTGATGGAAGGTGTATATCTGAACAATATATGATGCCTTATTAACAGGTCAGCTGCATGAAGTAGCCACGGAAACTTGACACTATGCCCCCGCCGTAGTTGTCACTGTCACGATCATTAAGTAGGTATTCTCGACCCTCCACAAATCTCAACAACCGTGCAGCAAACGAATGCGTCAACTCTATACATTTCCCATCAACGTACAAAAAAATCAAATGCATTGCCCGGGGATTTTGAAAACATGATCTCGAAAGTTCTTCCTGTACCATGCCTTATTGATACCAGGTACGTGTATAACCATTCACGATTGGGGGCTGGAACGAGGCTGTAGAAAGCACAGAGCTAGTCCATTGGTCATGCTGCCTGGCTTGTGATACAATTTTGTACAGTAGTGTATGCATAGAAGGTGTGTATTTTTGCGCAGCAGCACACCTCTTACCTTTCCTGCAGTCGCAATCCTTCCTTGGCATTTTGCCATCTGCTTCCAAATATGGGCAGATCGCGCACCGCCAGTTCTTCCTCGATTACCTTCCATCGTCCAATCCGTTTCTCCTTGTGCACCGGAGTCCGACGGGACTTGTACACCGTGACATTGGGAAGTGTCTTGGCGAGCTCCTGGAGCTCTGGAGCATGAGCCAGCTTCTTTGCCCTCTCTTTTGTCTTGAATGCATTATAGATATCACCGAGGGTTTTGGCATTGTTCAATTGTATATCGGGAATGCGCTTGCCAGACAATTGCATTACACGCTTGGAGATCTGGGAGTTTGTCAGTATGTACGTGGTACCTGTGAGATAACAGCAGCTCTCTTACTGCAAGCTTAAGCTCTACATCTTGTAGGCTGATGTCCACCCAGTCCACATCCGACTCCGAGCTTCTGATTTGTGTTAGCTCTGTGGCGAGGTCTTCCGGCTTCGCCCTTGCTTGCTCAAGGTCAATCTTTTGCTTGGGCGTTTCGGGAATGCGCAGTGGATTGCCAGACTCGATTCCAGCCAATACAGCCTCTTGGTCCTGTGCGCTGGCAAAGCGGACTTGTAGGGCGCCATCATTCAACTGTGACAATTGTGCCTTGGTAGTGTGCTCAATCAAGCTGCCTTGCGGATGAGCATTGCAGACTTCCATCGGGCTTCGGCCGGCCTGTTGCAAAGCAGCGATCTCCACAACGACACTATGTAGCAGTCGCTGCCATTCTACGTTCGTGAGGTCCGTCTTCTTGCTAGGCACAAACCTATGCCGCCGTCAATGATAAGTTCGCAGCCTCCTTTCAAAGGGCTTCCTTACCCAGCATACTGCTCGCCCATGTCTAGACGCTTCCTAACCCATTGTTCGCCACCAACGCGTTCCAGACCGCCCCAGGTTGCCGATGGGACATATTCCTTGTTGGTGGCGGGATCGATGCGTGCTGCGCGCTCATATGGCACCCCATTGAACTTCACCCTGGATGGGCCCTCGGTGCTATTGCCTTTCTGAAGGCTATCTCCCCGTGCTTGTGCCTCCTCTCTCAGCCTTTTCTGCTTCTCTTCGGCCTTCTTGTCGCCGAAGATGGTTTTGGAGATGCGTTTGAAAAAGTCGTCTGGAGCGTCCCGTCGGCTTGTGGTATGCAGCTGGCGGGCCGCTTGTGCTATACACGACCGACAGACATATTGTTGCTTCGAGGCTCCAGCGGTCGCATTCCAAGCGTGCTCGGCGGCTCGGATGTGTCGCATGGTCGTCGATAGATGGGCAGATGGGTGTTGTTGAGGGTGGTGGAAGAAGGGTCGGAGGTGCTCGTGGTCTCCGCAGGTAGGAAGGAGCGGAGGAAAGAAGTCGCGAGCCAAGCCTGAAAGGTAAACCACCTCCGGCCTATCCTCTCCATCTTCCAAGCGACAGCCAGGCTCTCCTGCTGTATGCAATGTCCAACAACTCACTGTCGCGGGAAAGTGTCACTGCCTGCGCCGTATCGTCTACAGCTCCTTCGTCGGAGGCTCGTATGTGATGGCCTCCTTAACTTGGAATGCGATATGCTCTACTCCATCTCCAGCCTTTTCAAGACTCTACCTCAGCTTCACTTCACCCTCCACCATTAACACAGCTCTCCGGCGGATGGGCTGACCCTTATTCTTCCTGCGCTCGTTAATATACATCACGTGTAGCCTTTCTGTTTCGATGGTCCCGGCTCTGCGCCGCGATGCCTGCTGCTGAAGGTGCCTTGCTACTATTTCTTGCGTGTGCTGCATGCCTCGCGTCGATATCCCAACATTGTGCTCATCACAACAAGGGCCGCCGGCTCAATAACGACGGAACGCTGCTCACGGGACGAAGTGCATCATGGACGCCGAGGAGCAGATCATGCCATCTGGTGAAGACACCTTGGAAGTGAACTTCCATCCCACTATAACGCCTTATAACACCTTTCGGTCTGGCCCTTTTGCGGACACAGATTCGAGTTCCAACTACTCAGCCGCAACCTCCGATTCTGAAGTGCCTAGCGTAATAGTACATGCTAGACTGCTCGAATCGCTATCGGACTCACATTCAAACAGCTTTAGCAACAGGCACAGGCAAAGGGCCGATGCCCAAGTGATGCCTCGTACATAGAGTGGCAACAGGCTAGAGCTTCATGCAGCCTCGTCTACGAGAACCGAGCACGATAGCGAGGATCGTGCAGGTGATGATTATGCACACCAGCGACGCGCCATCGAAGACTTCTACGACTCCACCAGGAGCCACATCAAAGAGCATGCGCAGAATGACAGCGAAGACGACGCAGATGATGAACTCGATGGACGCAGCTTGGTCTCAATGGAAACTCCCGGCGTAGATGACGACCTGAAACTGGTGTCCGATGTTGAGGATACCATCGAAAGTGGTTTGCCGCCACGGACAAGACTGGCCACGTTCGGGACTGACTCTCTGGAAGGGCGCGCTAGCGAGGAATCTGAGAGTGACGAGGCCAGGCAGAGACAACGATCAGAGAATTTCGAATCGGAGCGATACGATGCTGAGTCCAATAGAAACCTTGCCTCTGCGTCCTCGCCATCGCGGGCATCATACGACCAAACCCATCTGAGTCCGCAAGAAGGACTCTTTACCCTACCGTCCATTACGGAGGAGAGCCTACGAGTCTATGAAGAACAGGCCGAGGGAGCTTTTGCCGACGAGAACCAGGCTTGTACCAACGAGCAGTTCCCTGCGTATGAGGATCCACCATGCTCCTCATCTGCTGAGCTGCATGGACTCGAGATTGACCGCAGGCCATCCGAGACGCAATCAGCTCCAGCGCCTGTAGATCGTCGAGGTCGCCGTATGACCAAGGCTGAAGACCATCCGCGTCACTCATCCTTGACCGACTTCTGCAGGATGAAAGGCCGGACCAGGCGGCAGTCATTCCTTTCGACCAAATCAAGTCCAGCTCGACCAGCCATGACTGCCATCAGTGTCCGAACAGCAGACTCTCTTCGGGTCAACACTGTATACGAGCACCCCAAAGCACGATATATGCCTTCCCCTCCTTCCAAACGTCCTGTCAAAACAGCACAAACGTTCCAGTCAGATCTAGGGCTATACCAGATGATATGGGAAGAGCTTCCCGAATCTAGCTCGGGCGACAGCAGTAGTACAATGCTTGAGCAGCGTGGTGCTAGGAACGCACTGGTCATGCCCAAAGATCAATATACCGACCAATGCATTGCGCCGACGTCAATCATGGAGAGGATTCAGTCGAAATTGACTGCATGGACGTGTGAGAAGGAGCTGAGTAGTGAGATTCCAGAAGATGGACATGGATAGCTCCCACTTCTAGACACTGGTAAAAAGCATCCCAGGCTTTCCGATCACAGCAACAGCCACGACATGCCGCCAGTACCTCCAAACACTGCACAACACTCAGCAATACCATCGCAGCCCCAGACACCAAGCACACACTGTTCTTCAGAAGAGGATGAATCCGAGGCACCCGTTGAGATTCGCGTCAAAGGCGTGCTTGCAGATTCCTCGAAGCCGTACTCCACTGACCACACACGCGCCGCAACTCCTATTGGCTACTTTCTCGCGCCTCCTCGAAGCAATAGCCTTCCAGCATCGCCTAGCATTCCACGTCAGCTTTCCAACCTACCATTTGAGGAATTACAATTTCTATCGCACCGCGACTCGGTAGAAATTGCTCGTGGTCAAATGAGACGAGAGCTGCTTGACCGACAGCATCGAGAGCGACCAAACAGTTTACTACTGGCCACCAGAGACTCATACGGTTTGACCAAGAACAAGTTTGACACCATCCACCCTGCCACAGCCGCGCCAGAAGTGCATGGTTATTTGACACCCACAATCCCCAGCATTCAGTGGACTCGTTTTGGTGGCTTGAGTCCCATTGCTGACGGCAGTCCACCGAATGAAGGCATATGGCGTTTGGGAAAGCAGAACGGAACAAGTCCATTGGGCAGCAGTCCTCGGCTGAGCCCTAGGTCTCGCGTGGGGTCTCCAGCAGGGAGTGATCAGGTGTCGGGGTCTGGCCCCTTGCAGGAGCGTGTGGAGCATTTGGAGGAGCGGATGAGGATTCTCGAAGATCGTTTGATTTCTGTTGAAGAAGGGCGACGACTGTCTAATGGGGATGGTGGAGAAGCCTGGTAATCTGAGGTGGTCGAGGCCAGATCTCATAGCCTAAGGTAGATGTCATGTGAACCTGGATCCTGAGATCGCAAGACGCGCCTCTTCTGCCTACCGCACCTGCTCGAGGTACGACGCATCAGAGCAAACTGTGCTACAAGGAGCACGTAGATGGGTATACTACAGTTGACCTCGTTTATTGTGCAAAGATAATGAGCTCTCTGTTCCTGTCCTGTCCCGTCCCGTCCTTATCCTTTCCAGTACGCCTCGCTTTTCCCTTTTCATCGTTTTTCTCTTGCCATTTCCCCACCAGCGATCTCATATACCACCACCACACGTACCCACTTCTTTCCTCTCGACTTTCATCAAACTCTCCCTCCCCAATTGAAAAAAGTAAAAAGACCTGTATTGCTCTCTCTCTCTCTTCCACAGAATCCACATCTCAATCCACATCCACACCCTTGCTCTTCAAATCTTTCCTCGCCTCCTGAATCTGCGCCATCAACTCCTCGTGGGCTTGCGGAACGTCGTTGAAGGTGAGAACTCCGTAGCCGAGTTTGCCCAGGAGATAGGCGCCGAAGGAGATGAGAGCCCAGAAGGGAAGCTGTTTTGATAAGAGAGAGAAACAAACCATTAGCGATGAGTTGGAATAAGGAGAGTGAGAGGCAGCAGATTGATTTGGGTAGGTAGGTGGGAGGTTGGTTTGGTTTGATTTGATAGGATAGGACAGGACAGGACAGGACTTACGTATGGTATTACTTCGAATTGGAGCTTTTCGGGAAGGGGGAGAAGACCCATGAAGAGCATTGTGTAGAGCTGAAGATGGGTTTAGCTCAGTTAGTGGAGTTTAGGAAGAGGAGAGTTAGGGAGAGGGTAGTTGATGGTGGTGGTGATGTTCGTACGGAAGCGACCAAGAGGCCTAGAGAGATTTGTTGTTGAGCGCGCGTCATTTTGGATTGATAGACTGGCTGGATCGGGTTCGAGAAAAGAGTGACTGGAGAGTGTGGGTTGGTCGGTGGATTTGGGAAAGGTGTAAGTAACTGAGAGTGAGGTATCCTCAATCCTACCTTAATTCTATGTTCGCGATTTGAGCTCGAGACGAGACGTTGCCAGATGGTCCAGGGGTCGGATATTCAGCTGCACATTCGCCGACGTTTTTCCAATGCTACCATTGCAACACTCAGTCACGTATTTTATTTTGAATGATGTTCAAAGAGCTCTCGAGATTGTCAGGGGTTGAATACTATGTTATCAACTACCTCACAGATCTAGTTTCATCGCTCTCGAGACCTCAGAGGTAGTGTTCACCAGCTCTTACGTGGTGTAGACAGTGGGCATGGATCCAGGTTCTAAGCGCGCACCTAGCATTTGAGGGATATATACAACATCAAATCAGGCTTAGCATCGCTGGCCCGCTTAGCTCAGCGGTAGAGCGCGTCACTAGTAATGACGAGGTCGTCTGTTCGATTCAGGCAGTGGGCACACATGATCCAGCTGAACACGCAACAGCGTGTAATATTCTTTTGCCATATACACGACATGATGTTCTTTTTTTTCTCCTTTTGAAACTCGAGCGAAACAAGCCTTCCTTCCAGAGCTCATTGGACTCTAGTGTAGGTACCTATCTATCCTATCCTTTTGCACGCACACAGTCGCTTGGAAAGTCGTCTCATCGCTCGGAGTTGGTTTTGCTATATCTTCCCTCACACCGACGGGACGGACCCAATCGTTAACATAGGTAGGCAGGCAGGTACATGTAGTCAAGCTGTAATATTCCAGAATCCAACCCGTGATCACAATGATAACTGGGAGGAGTAATAGACTCTCTAAGCTCAGAAGGAAGTCTTGTTAGTATCAGAATTTGCTTGGTGATTGGATTGAGATTGAGACTGAGACTGACTGACTGGCTTGCTTTCGTAATTCGGGGGCATTCGTCAGGTTCGATCTGTATACCTTATCAACGATTTCCTCCCTGCGGATTCGGATTGGTGAGGTAGGTAAGATAAAGTAGGTACAGTACAGTACATGTAGTGTGAAAGGAAGGTCGCTCTAAAGACTCGAAGTGATGACCTGCTTGCTTGCTTGCGTGCTAGAGACTTGAACGTTCCTTTGGAGACAATCTGCCGGGATACCTGAGATATCCTTTCTGTCCTCTCTCTCTCTCTCTGGTTGGTTACTGTTACCTATATCTTCCTTGGGCAGATCAAACAAAATGTAAAAGGAAGTCAGCAAGCCCACTTGATGATTTGACCAAAGAAGGAAAGAAACACCATAAGAAGTTTTAGCATGATTGCCATGTATGATTCCGCACAAAATTGAAAAGCATGTCTCATTGCGGATTATTGCCCACCACCAGATGGACCGTTGTTATTGTTGTTGTTGTTGTTGTACATATCATTGGAATCATCTATTCCTGTCTTTTGCAAGCAGGAAAAAAACCTCGTCGGACCTCTGTTTTTCGAGTCACACGACACAAACGACTTCATTCAGTTCTCCTTGTCGTCGTTTTCGGCGTCTTCGACTTCGGCCAGATCATCCTCCTTGGGTACAACGTCCTTCTTGTTCTTCTTCGCAGCTTCTGCTGGGCCACCTGTCTTGGCTGTAGCCTCGGCGGGTTCGTCCTCATCGGCATCTGCCTCTGCCTCTGCCTCTTCATCATTGTCATCGACAGCATCTTCGCCGGCCTCAGCAACCTCTTCTTCTGCTTCTTTTCCCTCTTCGTCCTTCTCGGGGGCAGTTGCCTTGGTCTTCTGACGCTTGGCTTTGGGTTCTACCACAATCTACCATCAGTAACAGCACTCGCGCAAGGACATCGGTAGATGACCGGGTGAAGATGGGGTGAGTGAGTGAGTGAGTGAGTGAGTGGGTCGATACCTGGAGCTGCAGTCTCCTCCTCCGGCTCCTCCTCTTCTTCCTCTTCTTCTTCCTCCTCCTCCTCATCCTCATCTCCCTGAAAAGAACCCTCACTCTCGTACCTAATATCAATGATGATCAGCATTGATTCCCTCTCACTCATACAAGCTCATCGAATCCGTCATGCGACACAACCCCGTCTCACGCGACGCGACCGCAGCATTGCAAAAGCCAGACTTCCAATGTTGCGCAGTCTCTCCACTACCACCACCATCTGGGCGACTGCATTGGGACTCGAAAATCAATCGCACATGGTATGCGACAACAGGAAAGTCGAATCCCAAAACAGAAAAGAAAAAAAAGACACTTACTCCTCTTCCTCGCTGGCGTCGCTGTCCTCGGGGAGCTCGACGAGGTCGGCCTGGCCGGCACTTCGCTTGGTTCTCGTGCTCATTGTTGTGGTCGGGTGTGTGTGGGCGTGTGTGTGTGGTGATGGTTGGGATGGATGAATGAAGAGATCGGGTAGCTGAGGTGAGGTGAGACGAATGAGGTACAGTCCGTGTGTAGGTATGTCGATGTCGAGCTGGAAAAGGTACGACACAGTAAGGTAGGGTAGGGTAGGGTAGGGTAGGGTAGGGTAGGGTAGGGTGAGGTAAGGTAGGGTAGAGGTAAGGTAAAGGTAAGGTAGGGGGAAATAAAAAAAAGGAGTTGGGAAAAGTCAATGGGTAAAAAGGTAGAGAGGGAGGCTGGGGAAAGTGAGGGTGATGATGAGGGATGATGAGGGTGATGAGGCTGGGGGAGTGGGAGTGGGAGTGGCCGACGAGTGGGAGGGGGTCCTCGACGACCACACTGCTGGAGCTGGAGCTTCCGTCCCGCGTCGCGGCGTCATCATTATTAAAGACATTAAGAGCCGATTCGCGTCGCGAAAATAACGCGCTAAAAACTATCTCCTAGAGTCCTAGGTAGGTAATCTCTATTCCTGGACGGTTCACTTCGCCCCTTGTATTGCTTCCCCCTTTCCTTCCTGGTTCTCTCTCTCTCTCTCTCTCTCTCTCTCTCTCTATCTCGACACGAGGTCATCACAGTCACACAGTGTAAGATAGTAAATCGTGTCCAAGCTGTACAGATACATGTTGACGATTGTGGCGCTCTTGGCTTCTTCCCCCCATCAGCCAACGAGTCATGGACATTAATACTGTTCTGTGGTCTATCATAACTGTGACATCTGTTCAGCCTTGTACCCTTATACTGACGATCTGTACCTAGGTATCGTAAGAGAAATTCTGGCGACAGACTTTTTTGCCCAACCTCTTCCTCCCTCCCTCCCCTCTCTCTTTCTAAGGAAAACGCCTTCGCTGCCTGATTTTGTTGTTAGTTGTTACAGAAGTCGCCAAAATGAATTTGTGATGCCACATGATGGGGCTGCCGTTGCGGCCTTGTTTTGTTTTCCTGTGCTGAACAATTGATTGCACAGGGCATAGTCAGTCAGTCGTCGTCGTCGTCGTCGGTACACTCTCCACTCCGCGTGCTGAGCTTGTGGTATCTTGGCATTTCTGCCTCCTCCTCCTCCTCCTCCACAAAGCGGCTATTAGATAGTTCGGAGCTACTTCGCTTCCCCTGGCTTCCACATCACGTCAAAAACGAGCTCAATCTCCATATCGGGAGGTTGGCTTCTCAGCTTGCGGATCAACTGCTTCACGCTCGCTCGGCCTCGCGTCTCGTCATGCACAATGCGAGGTAACACTTGCCCACCGGGACCGTGAAGTTCAGTCTTGGATTTGATCCGAATCTCCTTGATCACATCACGGTCCCGGAGCAGCTCATCGGGACGAGCTTCCTCGACCATGTCAAACAGCTTCTGGACAGTATCAAATTCCTGCATCTCAACGTGATCCGAGTAGTCAAGGTTGCGATTCCAATTGATCTCGACCAGAATGTTGTCGAGCGAGCGGCCGGAGGGTAGGTCGTGATGCTCATCTTTGACTTGCGGGGTCGAGGGCGCGTCGGACTTCTGATGAGCTGGTGGCCCAGGTGTGGGACGAGGTGTGAGCGCAGCATCGCGGCCAAAACTGTGAGGCTGTGAATACATGTGCGGCGGCTGTGGCTGTGGCTGTTGCTGTTGCGCATGAGCACCGGGAACCCAGACGCCGACGGGATTCTGGATCCAGCCAGGAGGCGGTAATCGCTCGGCTTCATTCTGCTCACTGGGCATGCGTGCGCGTCGTTCGAGCGCTTCTAGTTCGAATCGCGCGTCGGGGTAGTCCACCAGCAGCTTCTTCAGTTTGTCGAGTCTGTGGCGAGGCATCTTCGGCCCCAACTCCTCTTTCAGCTTGAAAATGACGGGACACGTGGCAAGGTCGCCAAGTACATCTTCGAAATATACTGCATCATGGTCGAGAGGATCCGGCGTAGCTACGTGTGAATGTGGCATGGCTTCTCTCCTGTCGGCTGCAAGCTCCATGGGAGGGAGAGAAGGCGCCATGCTGGGTCGACGATGGCCAGACGGACTCGGTCGCCGTGGCGCTTGTTTCGAGCGAGATTGTGGTCGTGGTCCCTGCAGTCCCAACGCGGAGAGGACAGGTTCAGGTAATGGCACATGCGAGGGTCGCACTGTGTTGAACGTTGTCGGAAGCGGCTGCCCCTCCAGACGAGGCGCGCCGAAGGCTGGAGGAGAATTCGCTGGGCCAGAAGGGAAGGTGCGGAACGGGTTTTGCAAAGTATGGGCAGGGAGAGTATGCGCATGAGATGGGAGCTGCAAGACAGGAGGTCGTGTCCCTCCTGGTGAAGATGCATTTACAGGCTGGAACCCCGATCGGAACTGTTCGGGCTTTTGTCCTTGGAACGCGGGATGATGCTGTCCATAGGGGGATTCGTAGTTTCGCGGGTCTGACTGCCGCCTGTCGTCTCGTTGATTTTCATTTCGTGGGCCATCGGCAGCAGATTCGTGGGACCCGGGAAATCCTGTAAGAGAAGGCAGCGGCCTCTGGTGAGGCGGAACGGGCACGCTGGGCAGCATTCGATTGCTGTTGGGTGCACTGCTCGAGGGTTGTTGGCTACTAGCAGCCGGCGATGGCTTGCTGAAAGGCAGCGAATCCATAGAATGCGCCATGCCATTCGGTGCGCTGGCGGCAGCGGCTATTGGGGGCGGTGCAGCATTGACTGGATTGAAGCCATGCGCACGGGGTAGCTCGGGTGGTTCTTGTGTGAGCTCGCCATTGATCGGTTGGAACGAGTAAGTACTTGGCACCTTTTCAATATCAGCGAGACGACCTACTGCCTGCTCACCACTATGGAGCTTCACCACTAATGACTCTCCCTGAGAAGAGCCGGCAATGCTTTCACTGCGTGCCCGCTTGAACGTACTATTCTCCTCCACGTTGACGTTGTTTCTCGGTCGTTTACGAGCACTTGATGGTTGGGAATTATCGCCACCTGTCAGCGGTAGACCATGTGGCTTGCCGTCCTCATCTGGCACTCTAAGCCGTCCCTCGCAGGTTAGCAGCCGTCTCACCTTGAACGGCTCGCTGTCGAGCAGAGACAGGGGCGAAAGTTGGACTTACGGTTGCGTATATGCTGCAAATTGCGACTGGAACTCATCGATCTTGCTCGCTGGCTGTCCTGGTGAGTCCGAATCGTCACGATCGGCCTCTTCGCCGCGTGAGTCTTCGCCTTCGTTGTCCCCGTTCGAGTGGCTCTGGAGGACTTTGGCAGTATGTCGGCGATGCTTTTGCAGTTGATTCTCGTGGTAATTGCATGCCTTTTCAATTACGAGCTGAATAAATCGTTCTTTGAGACTAGATTATGAATTAGACATGTTCATTTTCGTTGCATATTGTGGTCAATATCGCTTGATTATGCTACTCGAGCGCGCAGGAGAAATGGAACGAAATCACACTTTGCGGTGTTTGCTCTCAGCTGTCCAGTACATAGCAAGAACATGCGAGATGTACATTCTACTAGGTGTAGCCAGCAAAGGGTGTTTCTAGGGCAGTATGGACCATATACCAAGCCGCACATCGACACTTACTATTCGTAGTCCTCAGGAATGGTATAATGACAAGCCTTGGGGTACTTGCCCTCATGTCGCATTTCGCTGGGTTCCTCTAACCAGTGCGGGCGAGGCTCGTCGGGTCCTGGCCATATTTGCGGACCGTACTGGTCGAATAGGGTTGTCGCCTCTGCTTTGAGAGCGTCGGAATCACGGATAATGGTCAGGTCCTGGTTGACGTAGGCGACCATGATGAGCTTGATGCCTTTGAGAATGGCCTCGATGGGTGGCGAATCCTTGTTGCCCTGTCGTGAAATGCCACGTTCGCTCTTCAGACCAAGCGTCCTCTCAATGGACAGGACGTCGGTCTGGTTTCTGCCGTTCTTCATGTTTGCAGGGTGAGCGTCGAATAAGAGAAACATTGACTTCTCTTTCCGGCAATTCGTGGCAAAGTTTACGGCTGACGGTTGTAGTACGGCGCCATGGCATGAGTACAGAATGTGTATGGGAGGGGGAAGAGGGGGAGAGATGTGCGCGGGTGTTGTTGTTGTTATTGTTGTTGTAGACCTGTATTGTTGTTGTTGTTGTTGTTGTTTAAAAAACGTAATCCGGGTGGGAAGCAGGAAACAGAGAGACTGCTAGGAGGTATAGGGAAAACTACGATGTGGGCGACCTTAGCTAGTTTTGCGCTACCTGGAACAACTTAAGCGAAAAGTCATCTTGTGGCTCCGAATATAGGGCAAGGCGACCCTTATCACGCCATTGGCTCGTTTAGACCTGAGCACTGTTGCATATTCATCACTGATATCATAGCAAGGCTAGGCTGGAGCGCCATATAACTTTAGTCCTTCCATTCCCGGCGGCATCGACTCAGCTCCCACTAAAGGTACGAATGCTTGTAACCGTGACATTGTGTTTTGGTTGTGTATATGTGTGTGTTTTTTGTTTTTTGTTTTTTTTTCTTGGCTGTGTGTATCTATGTGTGTGTGTATGTGTGAATAGGGGTATACACTATACAGGTAACTACAGGTAACTACAGGTATGTGTGTGTGCGTGTGTGTGTGCATGTGTATACAGGTACAGGTATGTGTGTGTGTGTGTGTGTGTGTGTGTGTTCACTGTCCCCCCTTATCCTGTCCCCCTTATCCCAGTACCTGTACCTAGCTTTCGACGCTCGGCAGTGCATCTCTTTCGGGGGCCACCAACAATCATAATAATAATCATAATAATTACAACCATCACCATCATCACAATGTAATCATCATCTAGATCCATCCTAACCGGCAGCGGTGTGGGTGACCAGTCGCCTGGACTACTGCCCTGGCCAACAATTAGTACCCCGCTCCTAGCCCAACTTAGGTGACTAAAACTAGATAGTTCTCGCTGCCAGACTAGGAATAGAAGACCGCGCGCCCCAAGCCCCAAGCCCCTACAACTACAATGTACATTGATGTACTTTTTTTCTCTACCTCCTATGCCCGCTGAGTGAATGAGCAGTGCGCGGCGCGGCGCCCAGAGAACTCGACGCAACGTGAGGGTGATGGGAAACGGGAAATGGGTACCTCCTAGCAAGTAGCACAGGTAACACAGCAGAAGAAGCTTTCGATTGCTGAGTAGGTCGCAGAGTATGTTTGCAGCATGCCCATGGTGGCGGTCGATCGCGGCACGTATACCTGTCTCGCAACCATGTGCTGATGAAGCCAGTTTGGGAGTGTATCACGGTGTGCTGCCAAATCTAGCCTGTGCTACGCCCGCTCAGCCGACATGCCTCATTGCCTCTGCTCACTTTTCACTTTCGTTTTTTTTTTCTCTTTCCATTGGGCGACCCACGGCGCCCGCCCATACCAGCCGCCGGCCAGACACACTAGGAGGTACAGGTACTGTTTGACACTGCTGACTCAACCCTGGCACCTACGTAGCGTGCACATCATCAGTGAGAAGTCACCTACCTGTACTGGTAGAGGCTAGTAGAACAATTAGTTATTAACTTATTAGGTACCTTAACTATAATCGAATAATAATAACGAGACATTTCACGCCGTACCTCTACCGTCGTCGTCTTCTCCTCGGAGTCGGTGCCCCTACCTCCTAGTGAAGACGATCGGCTACGTCGGATCTACAACGCGCTAGCGAAAAGCTTCTCGGCGAACCCTGTGCTCTGTTGTGCTGGCTAGGGCCTACCTAGGAGGTGGGAGGTAGGTAAGTTAGGGGTGTACCTTACCATGTGTGCCTGAATACTACGAGGTACAAAACTACAAATACATGTACTGTATCTGTACACTCTCACTAGGAGGTAAGGTACGTGCAGGGTATGTGTCCTTACTGCATAGGTACAGGATGACTGATGATTATTCCATGTATGTACAGTACCGACCTCTACCGTCCATCTGGCATCATATCATCATATGATTCATACCAATTTACTTCCCTCTTCTATTGACGACGGGGCGTTCTCACCAGCTAGACCGGCACATACAGTACGGTAGCATGTCGCAGTGTGATCGGCCCTGACTGAAAATGAGAACAATGTGGGGAAGGGGGCTAGGAGTGTATCAGAAAGGTCGATAAGTGGACTCTTGTGTAGGAGACGATGAGATCTGGGCTGATCCCGGCAAGACAATTCCAGATCCGTTATCGTATTCGGGGCACGTACACGATACGTGGTGATTAAGGTACCTACTATCCTCAGGCTCCGCTTCCTGATCCTCTCACGTGCATTGTGGTTTCCCCCACCCACACTGATATCCACGGTAGATCCACTTTACCACTAGTCCCAACCTGGGAGCTTCTGGCGCGCGCGTGTGAAAGACGGAACTTCCAGTTGCAGCCTCCAGTCTTCACCACTTCAATCCCTCGACCATGACCACCTCCGGAGTACAGTCGGCTGTCGCGCAAGCTGGTGCTGCCGACGACAACGTCAAACTCCAGAAATCCCTCGACAAGATGGCTGGCGACTGGAACAACCTGCCCGAAGGGCACAAACTAAAAAAGTTTCACGCGGAGCTTGGGGAGATCCTCAGCTCCACTGGCTACAATGAGATGTATGGTGTCGAACTGCAGCCGCCAGCAGAAGGGTAAGAAAAGAGACTCGACACAAAAGACATTTCGTTCTGCGCTCACTCATTTGTCTCAGCAAGTCCCCGTCCCATTCGACCCTCATCATCCTCCAAAAGTTCCTCCGAGCCAATGTCGACGACCTCGAGAAAGCCAAAGAGCAGCTCACAGCCTCCTTGAAGTGGAGGAAAGAGTATCAGCCGCTAAAGGCACGCGACGAAGCCTTTGATGGCGAGAAGTTTGGGAAACTGGGTTACATCACACGCGTCAAAGGTGTCAAAGGATCCCAAAACGCGGAAGATGTTGCAACTTTCAACATCTACGGCGCGGCTGCAAAGGACTTCAAGAAGACGTTCGGCGATACGGACGCGTAAGTCATTGTCCACCTACTAGTAACACTCGAGGTGAAAGAGCTGACCGAGCCGGGTAGCTTCCTTCGTTGGCGCGTTGCGCAAATGGAGCTTACATTGAAAGAGCTCGACCTCAATGCCGCAGACCAGACCATTCCCGACTATGGCAAGGGACCGGATCCATACAAAGCTATTGCCGTCCACGATTACCTTTCCGTCTCCTTCTTCCGCCAACCCTCCGAGATCAAGACCGCGTCGACCAAGATCATCGACATGTTCCAGCGGTACTACCCCGAGACTGTGGGCCAGAAATTCTTCGTCAACGTTCCACTCGTGATGCAATGGATGATGGGTGCAATGAAGGCTTTGCTTTCCAAGGACAGTATCCAGAGGTGAGTGTCGCTTGCCGTTTCCATCTTGCTGACGAGCAGATGGACTTGTCATTGGGGCACTATTCTGATCTCATGTAGCATGACGTGGATGACCTACGGATCACAGCTCAAGGATTACCTTGGTGCAGATATCCCAAAGGAATACGGTGGAACTGGCGCACCTCTCGCCGAGACCGCAATTACGCCAAAGTATGGGAAAGAGGAGGCGCAGAAGGATACCCCTGCTCCAGTTGTCGCTCCAGTTGTCGCTCCGGTTGTCGTCCCAGTAGCTGCCCCTGCGAGTACTGATCCGCCAGCCGAGGAGAAGAAGGCTGAGGAGTCGAAGGTCGAGGAGAAGAAGGTCGAGGAGAAGAAGGTCGAGGAGAAGAAGGTCGAGGAGAAGAAGGTCGAGGAGAAGACCGAGGAGAAGGCCGAGGAGAAGGCCGAGGAAAAGAAGGCCGAGGAACAAGTGGTCGAGGAGAAGAAAGTCGAGGACAAGAAAGTCGAGCAGCCCCTCGCTGAGCCTGCTGAGCCTGCTGCACCTGCAGAACCGGCTACCGCAGAACCAACATCCGCCGCAGTGGTGCCAGAAGCAGCCACGGAGAATGCTGGTGCAACAGTGGCCACTGCAAACCCCTCTGAAGTCATCGACACGCCAGAGGAGAAGAAGGCGGCATAGTACGTGGCCGACAGCATTTCTCGAGCTTTCCGGCGTGAGCGTCCTCCATCCGATGCATTCGCGAGGTCGGCAGATCATCATCGATGACGAGAATCGATTGGCTTCCTGTCGACCTGTCCACCGGCCATATACCGAGGACTCTGGTCCTTTTTTGCTTCTGCGCCCTATACCCTCTGCTCGCCGCGAAGCGACTTAGTTCAGTGAGATTGATGTTTAGATAGGTACTTGTGCAAAGGATGGAGGGAAAATGAATGAACGTCGTTCAATCTCCTCTAATCAGATGTGTATGACCTGCGGCGCATTTCCCAGCCTTCCCTCGTCCTCATACATCATCGCCGCATTGACCATGGTCGTCTTAGGAGGTTCTTCGTGCCCCATCAGCCACTCGCACAGCCCTTCTTTCACACTATAGTACACAAATGCCACAAAATGATACCACAGCACCAAATTCGCCATACTCAGCACACATCCCTTCCACGTCACCGCAGACTCCCGCCTCAACACTTCCACCAAATGTCTCTCGGCCCGATCCCATCGCACCACTTCTTTCCCACCCCGCACTTTGCCAAACACATCCGACCGTCCCGCATGGATGTGGCCAAAAATGTGCACGAGGGGTTTCGTCCGTCGCACTTCATGCAAGAGAAATTCATCACCCATGGCTTCGACTCCGGGGAGATCCAAATGACATTTGGGAGGACAATGCGAAATGAGAATTTCCGTGTCCCCGGGGACTTTTCCTGTCCAGTGGTCTTGACTGCGTGGGTGTTGGAAAGCGTGCGCGGGACCTCCGACGTGGGGAATGAAAGGTGAGCCGTAGATTTTGATGGTTGTTGTTGTTGTATCTTTTTGTTGTTGTTCTTCTTGCTTTTCTGTAGTGGTTGAAGAAGAAGAAGTGGTCGAAGAATCACCACCACAAGGAAATTTCAAAATCACAAAACTGTCTTGCAAATAAATCACACTTCGCCAATTCACATCCTCATTCCGATCTGCAAGTGCCAATGTCCCTCGACTGCGCGGATCTAAATGACTATCGTGATTTCCCGCAATGACGATTTTGTAGGTGTGAGGTTGTGCGTGTAACCAATTGATTTGCGATTGGATTTCTTTGGGGGTTCCTGCGTTGCTCAAGTCTCCTGCGTGGATGAGAATGTCGCCGAAAGGGAGTGGTGAGGGAGGGATGAGGGTGTGAGTGTCGGATATGGCGATGATGGTGAGGTTTTTCTTTTTCTTCTTCTTTTGGTTTTGGTTTTCTATGTTGTTGTTCTTCTTGTTGTTGTTGCGTATTGCATTGAGGGATCGGATAGAGGAGAATAAGAGGTCAAGGATGCGGGCGAGAAGTTTGAGAGGGGAGAGAAGTTGTAAGTATAGGGATGGTCTTGCATAGGGATTTCGAGGCGGGTGTGTTGGTGCCATGTTGATGAGTAGGTATATTCATTTATACATACCGTACACCTGTCGGAAGGTAACTAGTAGAGGAGGAGCATGGACGAACCACCCAAACATGTAGGTAGGTACCTCCTAGTCTCAGTGCTCAGCTTGATCCTCGCACGCTATTCTCCATTTGGCAGTCAGTGTGTCTACGAGGTGGGTCTGATCTCTGAGATTAGGTAAGGCAGGGAACCCGAACATTTGGATCCTTGGAAGGTTGAGTCTTGGCAGCTCTGTGTCCCATCGAACAAGCATTACCAACCTCATAAGCGCCTGTCACGCCGAGAAGAGGCTACAGACTGAATGTACCTTACTACCTATATGTAGGTCTCAGGTATGTTCTATATACTGACACTTTGGGACTTTTAAAAAAGTGCAGAGTTGGACGGGATTGGTTGTTGGCGCTGTAAAGAATATCAAGATTGCTACAAACTGCATGACTATTAGAAGTGGGTAGGTAGGTTTGTAGTATTTAGAGTAGCGATGCGATGCCCTCTCCGCGTTCCTAAAAGGGGTTTGCTCAGCAGAGCGAGCCTGCTCGAAGGAAGCGCCCTAGTTGATGCGATGTCACAGGAAACTCCGGAAAGAACTATATTCCTTGGCCCTAGAAACTTGCAACGAGATCTTGGGAACTCAGGTAGGCGTCAGAAGACGCGATAACAAGACTGAGAATGTAAAATTGAACCAAGACCGATCATTCAACATCAGTCGCTGCGAATCTGCTCCTGAAGTGCCTCGCATCCACGCCCCTATAGTAGCGATCTCTTCCAAGGCACCTTTGCCGAATTATAGCTGTCACTCGACACCCCTGCGGGATCAGTGTCCAGTACGGCAACGCTTAGCTCCGGCAACGAGAAGCAAAAGGCGCCTTTAGCATTAGCAGTCACAAGGCTCGTTGTTGTGTTGACGATATTGACTCCTGTGTGGGGATCGTTATACGCATATGGGTCGCCAACCGAGTTGGTCAGCACAGTCAAGTTCGCGAGAGTGCCTGGTGCCACTTTGTCAAAATGGACAGAGAGCGCCACACTGTCGCCATTCGTCGTATTGTAAACTGCTCCTTTCCAGACCAGAGCGCCTCCCCGAGCCTCATCCTTCCCAGCGACCCAATAGACTGGACCGTAGCTGGAGTTCGACGTCGTTGGTAGCGTATGAGATATCGGATGATGAGAAAAGAGAGACCAGCAGTACCAGGTGACTGCTTTGGTGGTCATCTTGGGGTCTGCAGCGAATTGAATGAGAGTGACGGCCCATTGCCATTTATTTTCGTTCTTCAAGACAGGAGCGTAAAATGAGCCGGGTATGCGATCCGAGTTGCGTTCGTAGCCGATGAGCGACACTGCTTCGCCTACGGCGCCGATCCACCACGGATACTTGTACAAACCACCCTCCCACCGTGGCGGCGTAGCACCGTTGACGTGTGTCGCCGCAACTTCTCCTATGATGTGGCTTATGTCATTATCGAATCTGTCGAACTCGTCGATAAGCTCATCTGGTTCGCGGTAGGGGTGGTAGTCGCCCATTGCATCCTTGGGAAACACAAGTCCATGTGTAATGTTGGGGCCACTGGTTTCGCCTTCTGGCGCTGGATCGCTCGTTGCCGCTGAGGCGATAATCTGGATGTCGGGATATTTTGCTTTGATTGCTTCATAGAATAGAGGAAAGCGGTACTCTCTATAGCTGTCCCAACCTTCATCGCCGCCTTCGAGCCAATCCTCGTTCCCAATCTCGACATAATTGAGCTCGAAGGGCTCAGGATGGCCAAGCTCAGCTCGCCGCGCGCCCCAAGGCGTGTCTACGGAGCCGCAGACGAACTCGATTTCGTCCAATGCATCGTCAATAAACGGCTGGAGGTCGTCTCGCGGAGTGATTCCACCGTCGAGGGCGAGACCTGACCAGACCGCAAGCACAATCTGAAGATTCATATCTTGTGCCCATTCAAGGTATTCGACCAGGCCGAGACCATGAGTCTGCTGATAGCTCCATACGCCCGGGAAACCAGGTCGATATCTCAGCGGCCCCAAAGAGTCCTTCCAGTCCCAACGCGTAGCGTTGGTGTTTCCTTCCAGCATGTTACCGCCAGGAAATCTCAAGAAATGAGGATTCATGTCTGCCAGAGCTTGTGCAATGTCGACACGCAGACCATTCTTGCGATTCTTGAATGTCGGAGGGAACAGACTGATCAAGTTAAAGTCCAATGTGCCGTTGGGGGTGCCTGTTGAGTCGAAAGTGATAGCGAAGGTATTGTTGGAGTTTGGAGCATCCTTTTCTGGTACCAATTCGAATGCATGCTCGATCCAGTCGTCGGCAACAGCGTGAGACATGATCTCGACAGAGCCAAAGACATCATCTGTCAAATTGGACTGAAGAGATGCGGTGAAGGAGCCGGTGTAGTCTCCCTTGACCCAGAACGAACCGGTATACTTCTGTCGTCTCACATCCATGCCCCAGTAGCCCTCGTTCTGGAAGCCAATCTGGCCACTGTCATCTTCGGCTGACACGCGCAGAGAAGACGGGAGAGCATCTGATAGTGGTGCACTCAGGTTGGCAATGCTGAGCTTGGCATTGCCGATAGGAGCATAAGCATCTGTGCTGACGGGGTATTGCGGGCTGGATTGAAAGGCACGATTGCGGATGAGCTCAGCATAGAGACCGCCATCTCCAGAGTAGTTGATATCCTGAAGTCACATTAGCAGTATTATCAATTCGGGAAGGTACAGCGCTCTGCTCACCTCGTGGAGGAAGCCGTAGCCGTAAGGGTGCCCGAATTTGCCGGTCACGTTGCCGCCAGACAAGGCGACCTCGATGTGTACAGCAGACGTGGAGGCAATGCAGGCGGCCACCAGGAAACCCTTGAATGTAAACATTGTAGGTTCGATGTCACGTACAGCGCACGCAATGAAAACAACTACAATAGACTCAACAATGCAGGCAAGTCTTGCTTTCAAGTACCCGTGGACGTCGAACACGCTCGGGTGCCCAGCAATTGGCAATATACACCAGATTGAGATTTGGAGATTTTGGAGTCGGCCATGCTGGTGAAGTACTGGGGTCGAGAAGCATTGGTTCGGGGTGCAGTCGTATCATTGGAGGAAGACAGCGTTCCTGAGCGGAAAAATCAGAGACACGAGCAGTTCCGTACTTTGCATTCATCCAGAAACCTTGATCGTGGTATGCAACCCCACTTGCAATGCGGAGAGGATGGCGAGAGCTTCGGGCGATTGGAAGGCGACGCCGCGACGGGGCAGCACTTCACATTCATCATAATACATCATGATACATGTCGTTGTCGTCGCGGACGCCTGCAGTGTATGAGTTGGCAGTATATGAGGGAATGGAATAGAGTGGAATAGAATAGAATAGAATAGAATAGAATGGTGTAGGCATGTATCCATGGGTGTTGGTGATGCTGGTGTGTGCCAGGTGGTGTTTGGTGATACGGTGATACTCATCACGGCGTAGAGGGCAGGAGGCATGTACAGTAAGGTACAGTACCTGGTACAGGCAGAATTCATCGTGCTGGCCTTGGCTGCCTCCTTGGCATGAAACGTCGCAGAGGAGACGCACCTTCCCAGTCGCATCGTACCTTCCAACAGGACCTAGGTATCTCCTACCTCCTACCTCTTATTACCTCCTACCTCTGATCTGCTACATGTATCCCAGAATTGAACCTGCACCATCACTTGAGTCTTGAGCTCACATCATCTATAAACGCCAAAAGTCCCGAGGTCACGAAGCTTCACAGTAGGAAAGGAGGTAGGAGGTAGTGGTAGTGGTAGTGCCACACTTCACACCTTCTGTAGCAGACGAAGCGCGCAGCGTGATACAAAGACTTTGCTTGCCATGTGATTCTCTTTTCGACATGTGCAGACCTCGAGACCGACTTTTGCATGCCCACCACCTCCTCCGGAGACTTGGCCAATCAATTTTTCGCCCGAGAAGTCGCAAAAATGGGTTCGTTGAACAGTCCACCGGCCTCCCGGTCGTGAGCTACGCGCCACCCGTCATTGCCGCCAATTTCCCGATGTCGACATCGCAACGAAAATTGTCTATGAGAGATATTTTCATGCAGTATAAAAAGACCGACATGTAAGTGACAACCCATTGGCTCTTCGCCTTTGCGAACGTTCGCAAAACCTCTGATTCGGCCGGCTTCCCCAAAATGCACTCTTTTCATGGCGACTGGCAAGATTCGAGTAAATTGCCTACTCCTCACAGCAGCATAGAAGACCGAGATGCATCACTCGAAGAGCCGCAGCTCAATGTTGGCGGCCATGGCGGCACTCAACGACGCTTACGAAACTACCAAGTTACTATGATTGGTTTCTGCAGTGGAATTGGAACAGGACTGTTCGTGGGAACTGGTTCAGCCTATGCTTCTTCTGGTCCCGCTGGTCTGTTACTGGCGTACATCATCATTGGAGCTATCCTTTGGTGTGTGATGCAGAGTATTGCTGAGCTAGCGACCGTCTTTCCTACCGCTGGATCATTCCCACATTGGGCAACTCGCTTTGTAGACCCGGCTGTGGGATTCAGCTTGGCAATATCGTATGGGTATTGCTACACCATCGCCATTGCAACAGAGGCCTCCGCCTCGGCCATCATCGTCAGCTACTGGACCGATATCTCGCAAGCTGTGGTCATCAGTGTCGCTCTGGTCTTGATACTGGCCATTAATCTGATGAGTGTTCGCTTCTTTGGCGAGACTGAAGTCATAGCTGGTTCGATCAAAGTTCTCTGCTTCGTGGGCTTGATCATCGTTTCTATTGTTATCACAGCCGGTGGAGGCCCTAATGGCCACTCCATTGGATTTCGTTACTGGAACAACCCAGGACCTTGGGTCGACTACAATGGCATCACGGGCTCGACTGGCGCGTTCTTAGGTCTGATGTCCGCCTTCGTGAACGCTTCGTTCTCGTTCATTGGCATTGAGACAGTAGTCATCACTGCTGCGGAGTCGATCAATCCTCACTATGCGATTCCACGAAGCGCCAACCTGGTCACCTATCGTATCGGATTCTTTTACATTCTAGGAGCTTTCCTCATTGGTTTGATCGTCGACCCAAGAAACGCGGATCTGGTCTCCGGTTCTGGCAATGCAGCTTCGTCACCTTGGGTCATTGCTATCAGAGAAAGTGGGATCGTTGCTCTGCCTTCAATTGTGAACGCCTGTATACTTGTGTCCGCATGGTCGGCTGGCAATTCATACTGCTGGGTGGGCTCACGCATGATTGTGGCCATGACCACAGATCGTCAGCTACCTCAAATCTTCGGCAAAACGAGCAAGAACGGAGTACCGTACTGGGCAGTCCTTGCTGCCTGGCTGTTTGGCCCTCTCGCATATCTCAGTCTGGGCTCCGGTGGTGCATCTCAGGCTTTCGGATGGTTACAGAGTCTCAGCACAGTGGCTGGCTTGATCGCATGGGCAACGCTTTGCTTCTCCTATCTTCGCTTCTACGCAGCTATGAAGGCCCAAAACGTCAGCCGCGACAGCTTACCATGGAAAGGACCACTCCAGCCGTTCACAGCGTGGTTCGGTTTCATCGGCAGTACGATAATCACCCTGATTTGCGGCTTCCCCGTATTTTTGAAAGGAAACTGGTCCACGTCAGACTTTGTGGCCAACTACATTGGCATACCGATTTTCATCGTCCCAATCATTGTCTGGAAGATAGTGCATAAGACAAAAGTGAGTAGAAGTGTGCGAGAATCCAAGTATTTGAGACCCCCTGCTGACATCGGGTAGTTTGCGAAGTCCACCGAGATTGATCTGTTCGCGGGACGCTTGAAAGAGCCCGAGCAGGTTCAGTACATTAAGAAGGCATCAAGATGGGCTTGGTCTTATGGATGGTTGACTTGATGCAATCTGTAGATTTGAGGGTGGCATTGTGCCTCCTATGGCTCCTTCGACAGTACTCGTGCTGAGCAGGGTCGGAGGCGCCTTGACTTCTTGAGTGGTAGGGGGCGACTCGACTGTGTCGTCGACACCAACAAGAGCCCTGGGAGTCATCATGCTTTCTGCAATTCCTGACCATTCAACCCTTCCTTTATGTCAGCTTCTTCCCGAATCTTCAGTGCTGGATACCTATCCATTCATCTCTCAGGCAGCCTAGTTATGGCCTCAGGGCTCAACTGACAACAGCATATCGAGCCAAGACTCAAAGAATACGATACCTTATATACCTATGGTGAAAAGGGAAGGTGGTGGCTGAAGATGGTTGTGGTTCCCCACATTCTGAAGTGGGTCTAGCAAGTCAAAATTCATGGTCTCCGCCCGCCACATACCCGACAACATGTACTCTGTTCATACGTTTTCAGATTTCTAAAGCTCTGGTATTGTAAACATCGTTGTCATGGCTCTCGCTCCAGGTTCTCTTCGCGGTGTCACTCAGTACGCTATTGCTCTCTCGACTTGCTCACCAATGCTCACTAACAGTCCAAGGAAAATCCTCCGCCACAGCCTACTTCGAGTCCCAGCACGAGATGTCCATGGCGCTACAAGATCACTGAGTACGAGCTGCATTCGGAATAATGTCTCTTCAACCTCGCCGCAGAGTGCCCGCGTTACTCAGGATCAGCCCTTCGACCCAGCAGGAGGCTCACCCAGAGCATGGACAACATCTGCCAAACCCGACCACTTCTTGAATCCCGCTACCTTTAGCGTCAGTAATGGTCTGTCAGGCGCCTCGGCTGCTGCTGGGCTTGTAAAGCACCCGCTCCCCAACTTGGATGACTCCAGCTCGACTGCCTCGAGATCACTACTCTGGGAACATGGGAAGCTCGTAATTTATGACACTGTCGAGAACAAAACGACAAGCATGTAGGTGACCTTGATCTCGTGGTCTACTCTCTTCCTCACGTGCAGTGCTGATGATGTTTCAAGACCTGGCCGGTGGCTCAGGTAAGTGGGTGGTTTGTTCCCATTCCGTCGCCCTATCTGATTCGCCAGGGACAATTGTGCGTGCTCACAGTGCCGCAATACGGATACGGCACAACGTCAGATTAATGTTTTCAAGGTATGATTATACCTTTGAGACGTTGACTAACTTGACTTCCACTGACATAGTAAAGGGTAATTTGGACACTTCCATCTCGGACGTGCAGCTGAGTGGAGACAACGATGGCCGAGTAGCGGTTACGTGTGAGTAGCTCTGGATGATTGCTCTGTGATTGCTTCTAAGTGATGTCTGTGTAGTCGGTGATGGACATCAGAGCATATATCCCGCTCGGGCTTTGCTAGAACGAAGGAGTAAAAACGTCACAAAAAGCAGGAATGGCATTGTACCGTGAGATTTGACCAAAGGCTTGCTGAAATCGATTGAGGGAGGCTAAAAGATGTGTAGGATACAGATTTGGACCTCCAAGATCGGCTCTGATCGACCTGCTATCCCATATACCGAAGTAGTGAAAGGGCCTGGCATGGCGGCACTCTTGCACAAGATCGTAAGAGGTTCTGCATACTCAACACTTCCATCTCTGGCTGACGCCTGAAAGCGTATCTTTGGGTTCTGCATGGTCGAAGACATGCCCGCAACTCCAGAAGCGACGGAAGGCTTTCTCGAGTCCATCGGCCCTATTCGAAACACGCATTATGGTACCCACGTGCCCTCCTTCATGCTGATGTAGCAAGAAGCTGACGAAAATCCAGGCGGCTTCTATGACTTCACTTCAGACCTCACCATGAAAGATACAGCTTACACCTCAGAATTCCTTGAACCTCACACAGATAACACATACTTCACCGAACCAGCCGGAATCCAAGCTTTGCACATGCTGTCGCACACAGATGGATCTGGCGGCGAATCCTCCTTGACAGATGGCTTCAATGCTGCCACACAATTATACGCTCAAGACCGGGAAGCATATCTCACCTTGTCCGAGATTGGCGTTTACGCCCACGCGTCCGGGAACGAAGGCATCAGTATCCAGCCATCTCAGGCTTTTCCCGTTCTCAACCACGACCCCGAGGCAGGACATCTCACGCAAGTGCGGTGGAATAATGCCGATCGAGCTGGCATAGCAGCAGACTTTGCGGGGGTGGAGGAGTGGTATGCTGCTGCGGAGAAGTTTGATCGGTTGTTGAGTGATGCGAGAAACCAGTATTGGTTTCAGCTGCAGCCAGGTCAGACCTTGCTGTTCGATAATTGGAGAGTGTTGCATGGGAGAAACGAGTTTACGGGAAAGAGAAGGATGTGTGGTGGGTATATCAATCGGGACGATTTCATGTCCAAGTATCGCATGACAAACATGACGAAAGAGGATGTTGAGATGTCGACCGTGTCTGGGTAATCTACCGTATACGGGGTATAGCTATGTATAGGCTATAGGTATGAGAGATATATATGTATTCCAAAACCCGAGAAGCGGGATTAGGCGAGGTGAAGCATAACTCCGCATTCCGGTGTAATGCCTGCCTGCATGTGCTTGTCAGCTTTCACGACTCCAGCTGACGTGTCTGCCTGATTGCGCTGTTACATTTATCGAGTACAGCTTCCTCCTCTCTTTCCTTCTTCTTCTTCTTCTTCTTATTCTCATCATCCTCCTCCAGACTGCCGAGCATACCATTGCATTTACAGTGAGTGAAGCTGCGACAATCATGGCGCGACGCGACAGTGCCATCGACGTCGTCAAGGACACCAACGACGACCATAAGCCGCCAAGACCACGACAATCGCCGGCATCGCTGCTATCACGGCTTCCCGACGAACTGCTGCTGATCATCTGGGAATACTCCGTCATCTCGCCCGAGCCACTCGACCTCAACTGTCCCTGCGACAGTTCCTTTGGGGGATGGACAGAAGCCTACTACAACGAACGCGAGGCCTGGGACCTGCGCCAACGCTGTCCGCCCTGGCAGCCCGCTCTCACTCGCGTCTGTCGTAGTATCCGCGCCGATGCATTGCCCATGTTCTACAAACACAATGCCTTCCGCGCCGGCTATTGCTACGAGTGTGATACGGAGATCGTCACGGATTGGTTAAAGGTGATTGGACAACAGAATCGGGAAATGTTGAGGGAATTTTACTTTGTCGATGCGAATCCGAGTCATGATCGATATAGTCCCAAATGTTTGAAGAGGGTGCTGAGGGGGGACGTGGTGCGAAGTCTCGGTGGAAGATTGCAGAGTACGTACACGAGCGAGGCGTGTAGGCATGATGTCTCCTTCGTGAGGAGAGATGGAGAGGAGATGGAAGGTGTGCAGAGGTTGTTTGAGGAACTGCTGTGGAAATGAGGTCCGCAAAGCGCAAGCTGAACTGATGTGGAAATGAGGTCCGCAAAGCGCAAGCTGGAATGACAAGTCTGGGGCGATGACCTTGCTTGCACAAGCAGTTGGATAGCTTGACCCGAACGGAGCATTGCACAACTCTGATTTGTGGAGTGACAGAAGGTGGCCTGCAGTATGGGGACAAACGTGGAATCTCTCTGGAATCCTTCCGATAGGTCTGGGCCTGTATCTGGAAATGCGTTATGGGAATGGGCTCAGTAATGAAGATGGTTCAACTCAGTCAGTCACATTTGTCCGAAAGTTGACTTGCGACATGCACAGTTGACCCGACTGCAGGTTTGGAAAGACTCCAAGCGTCGACGAGCACAGCTCGAGTTTCTCATGTCTTTCTCGCCCAGTGGGAGACGGTTGACTGCCAATATGCCTACCTATGGCAACAGCACGTCATTAGTATGTAAATTACATGTAAATATTTAGGTAAACTCGCGACTAGGTACTCTTCACGTCATGAGATGGACTGCTGCGTCATGTTACGGAGGTAGCTTGAATGGTGAGGTGAGTGATGAGGTGAGTGGTGAGGTGAGCGAAGGAAAAGGGGATCAGGCGACGTCAGGGAAACTTGCATACCTCAGGTAGGTAATAATACTCTAAGGGTACAGGTAGCCGGGTAGACCGATAGGATCTGGTTGGAACTAGGGATGTCTTTTTTCTATACGTCAGCAGTAAGTAGGAGTCACCTCCTAATAGAGACGTGATCTCGACTAGTCATGAAATTTGACATGGGTGAAAATCGTTCGAATTGGAGTTGGTGTGTGTGACTTTGTGTGATCATTGATGTACCTCCGACAAATTAGATCATTTCAAAGGCTAGGGGGTATCTTCTAGGTAACTTCTCATCACCTCCAGGCTCAGCTACCTTCTACGTGTAGTAGCAGCCGCTTTTCTCCTGCAAAAAGAATAAAAGGTACCAGGTATGAAAGAACCGAGATTCATGATCCTCATTTATATACACACAACTGCACAGCTTACTACCTCTACCTCTTTTCCTTCCCATGACAAAACAACCGTCGTAAAGTTGATAGTCGCTAGGTAAGGTACAGGTACAAGTACAGCTACAAGTAACTCTCCCTTTTAAATCCCACCAGCAGGTGCATAACTCAACCGATTCCTCACATCCTGACCCGCAGCCACGCGTTCCTCCTCATCACTAAACCGATCCGCCTTCTCAATAATCGGCGGTGGTTTTTCAATCCTTCTTCTCAAAATATGCCTTTTAACGAAATATGGCAGCCAGGTTTTGGTTTCATAGGCCAAAAATTCTTTGGTCGGCACGGAAAAGACTTGGTCGATTTCTTCGAGTGTGAGTTGTTTGGTTTCGCGGACAAAGGCGAATATCATGAACCATGCGATTAGATTGAGGGCGGCGTAGAAGCCGAAGGCGCCGGTTTGGGTCATTACTGTTGTCATTCGGGGGAATGTGAGGGAGAGGATTCCGGCTGTGGAAGGGGGGTGAGGATGTTAGTTTTCGTAGTCTGATGATGATATATACAGCCCTTGGGGCGATGATGATGATGATGATGAAATCTGGAACTTACCAAAAGTGTTGTTGATGCACACAGCCCATGCCATACCCTGCTCACGCTGGATGGTAGGGAAGACTTCTGCAGAATACTGGAATGCAACAGGACCTTCTCCCAACGAGTATGCGATCGTGAACAGGTACACGAAGAGCACGACGGGTCCGATTTGCGCTCCTTTGGATGCCGTGTCGGGAACTAGGAGCGAGAGACCGGCTGCGAGTAAGGTGATGCACATGATGGGGAAGGTAATCAGTGTGAGGGTCCTTCGGCCTTTGGTGTCGATCAAGAAGAGAGTGGGGATTGTGAAGACGACTTGAATCGCACCGTAGCCGAGCGAGGCGTAGAGTGCTTGAGTGGCAGTGTATCCGACATTGGTGAAAATGGTCGAACTGTAGAAGGAGATGACTAGGCATGGTGTTAGCTCACCGAACTCCGGGGAGGGGGGCCGGCCTTTTGGAAGAAAAGAGTTCTGTGGCTTACTGTTGATGCCGCACATTTGCTGTGCAATCATGACTGTGGAAGCTCCATAGTTTGCTCGTCGAATGCGAGGAATGGAGAAACAATCCCAAAGTCTGCTGAAGTAGGTGGTGTTTTGGCTCAATTTGCACTCCTCCTCGTAGATGACAACCGAGTAGTAAAAGTCTCTTGCCGCGATGATCGGATGCGCTCGTAGTCTACTCATCGAGGTGAAGGCGTCTTTCATGCGTCCATTCTTCATGAGCCATCTGGTGTTGCATCAGTCAGAGTCTGATCGACGAAATATAAGTGAGAGTGAACGATATAGGGGCATACCTGGGACTTTCTGGGCAGAAAAAGATGCCTACACCGAGAATGAAAGATGGAATGAAGGCGGAACCAAGCTGAAGTCTCCAGGCAGAAACGACAGTAACATCCTTGACAATAACGTTGGCGCAGAATCCTGCACGAGTATACGTGTTAGTGCTCCGAAGCTGATAGATGTGAAAGGCACATATCATATGATAGCCTTACCCAGGAAGATGCCGATGACGACCCAAAGCTGCCAGAACATCACGAGAGCACCTCGGATCCTAGCGGGAGCCATCTCAGCGGAATAGATGGGGACAGTGGCATTTTTGGCGCCAATTCCGATACCCATGACAAAACGAGCCGCGAAGAGTCCTTGCCATGACTGCGCAAACCCGGAGCCGATAGGGGTGGCAGTCAAGCAACATGCAGTGATGAAGATCTCGCCTCGTCGTCCAAAGTACTTGTTGAGAGGGTCGACAATGAAGGCTCCGCTAATCATTCACGATATCAGTAAACGTGTTGGGAATGAGGCGCGGGAACCGAGTTGGGGAACTACTCACATGAGACCAGCAGTCAAGAAGATGATGGAGTTGATCAATCCCACGATCCACTCATCGCGCTGGTTACCCTCACGAGCGATTCCAAACTCCTGTGGGAAGCTCAGGTTGGCGCCGTTCGAGCCCGTTTGATCCCAGCCTTGTGTTGCAGCTCCAATGGCACACAGCGATATCGAATACCAGAGCATCGCAGGCCCATGCCACTTGTGATCGCGCTCGTATGCCAAGGCATTGATTTGATCCTCGTCGAGTCCGTCGATCGCGGCGAAGCTGGTAGGATCGCGTGCAACGAGGGCTGCTTGGCCAAACAAAGTCGCCTTGTCTTGCAACCCGTTTTCCTCAGCAAACTTTCGAGCAGCTGCGACAACCTTTTCCGGCGAGTCTCGCTATACAGAGTTCAAGCAAAGTCAGTTAGTCAGTCCGTTTTGGTCTTGTCGAGTCTTGTCATGTCTAGCACGCGGCTGGGCATGCTAGGCGTGAGCTTGCCTGCTTGCTTACTTACCCGCAACGGATTCTCGACGATGTTCAGCGCAACCGATGCGCGCCGACCACTGGTGTCAGCTGGGCGTGCGGCAGACTCGTGGTACTCCGGCGGGTTCTTCTCGTTGTGCTCGACTCCAGTGTCGGTGACATAGGCTTTTTCCGCCATGATGAGAGAGAGTATAACCGGGCTGGTGGTGATACCTCTTGGGGGAGCAGCTCACAAGAATTGACAAGAAATCAGACAAGCAACAAGGGCGCCCAAGTCGAGGATAAAGCTCTTTATACCGGACGCCGCTCCCGGGGACGGACTGGGCACAGTGGCACAAATTCGTTCTAGTGAGAGCTACATTATTACTTTCTATTCGCCGCAGGGATTGACTGCCCGCATCCCCATGCCTCCTCTCCAAAATGCCCCCGCCAAGCGGCTGTGGGGTCTCCAGGTTCATATTACAGGTAGCGTTACTGCGCGTGAAGGAATGCATCCAAGCTCGGTGGACCAATAAGTGCGCTGCAAATCAGCCATCTGTTGGCTCGCGGGCCACGAGATGAGTTGCCAAGGCGATGGAGGATATGGAAGATGATGATATCCATTATTTTGGCAGCCGCTTTGCACCGAGCGAGTCGCATTGTCCGTCAGCTTCGTCGTCATGTGTTGTGGGCGTTGTGGTGGTTGTTGTTGGTTCTCCATTCACTCATCTCAGGCACCAAATGAAAATGCACAAAGGGCGGTCTTGGCCTCGTGTGCCGGGCCCGTGAGAGGCCGCCAGCCGAGTTTCGTGTTTTCTAGCTCTAGCCCTTGTTGCCCTTGTCCCTCAAAGAACAACCTAGTCTTAGTTCTACCACGCGACGCCTCATGGCTTGATCACATGCGCTCTATGCCCAATGCGGGATACCGGTCAGCGACAAACGAGCGGCTGATGAGGGCCGAATCCTGTGCCACTGCAACTTCGCGATGGCATGCTGCACCATCGGGAGCGCTCTTGAGGGGCGGGATTCCAGGCAACGAGGGCCCTCGGGCGATGAGAGCGCAAGTGAATAGTGTGAGAGAAAGGTTTGGTCCGAGGCTTCTACTCCATGTACCTGAGCTCGCCTACATGTTCAATTGGTGCCCGAGTGGTACCGTTTTCACGATCAGTTTGTGACCAAGCATGATTGATGAATTGACCATCGATTTGGCACATGGACTACAGACTACCTCCGTAGGCTGTCATCACTTCGTAAGCCGAGTAGAGAATCCAGAGTATGGATAGCCTGCAAAGCTGATGATACGAGACATCGATGATTCAACCATTGTTTTGCCCCATCATAGCTTATTCTGACTGGTGTGTCTATATTCATAATGCTGTGTGAGGTCAGTATGGGTTGACTTGGACGAATATCGAGGAAGACGAAGGTGCTGGGTTCTACTTACCCAATCCGTGCGTGCCAGATCAGCTTTCAATTAGAGAAATGTCAGCTTCGTCATTAGCATACTTGTGTTAGACACCATGTGAGCTTACCTCTGACTTGATAGTTCTCTTCGGCGTCCTCTACAATCTGCATATCCACATCGACAACCGCCATGCCTGAGCACAGCCATGCAGAGGTTAGTGATGAATATTTCCGACATGGGATATGCTAAGCGAGACATCATACCTTCCGCGCAACTACCGAGCCTCGTCAAAGCACCCGCGTATGGGACGCAGACCTGAGAAAGGCCAGCATAGCCCTTGCCCGGCGGACCTCCGGCATTGGAAAATACGATTGCTTAGGGAAATTAGACTTTTGTCTGGTCATTGTGGCGTAACTCAGGGACGGGAGCATAGCTTTAGCACTCACCGCATGTGTTCTCAAAACATCGTGCAGTCAACATCGAGTCCAGGAACAGCGCCTCTGACACTGGGTTGAGCGCGAGGCCCGCCTTGGAGCAATCGGAAAGTGTCCAAAATGACGGGATGATGAAGAGCTTCGCCCCCTTCGCTATCATCTCTCTAAAGGCTTCCGGAAAGGCGAGGTCCCAGCATATCAACAGGCCGACTTTGCCGAGTGGTGTATCGAATACAGGATGTTCATCCATAGAGCTGCTGGTCAGATGAAGTCTTTCGATATCACCCCACAAGTTCTTCTTCTGGTAACGACCGGCAATTTCGCCTGTGTTGGTAATGAAGTAGGCGACATTGAGCAAGCGTTCGTCCTCGGTACCGGCGTCGTGAAGCTCGACAATGGTCCCTGGAACGATGTTGATATTGCACTCCCTAGCAAGAGATATGTAGCCATCGAGATAGTGCTTCCAATGGGAGCACGCTTCTTTGAACTTCTCGTCGGCCGGCACCCAGTTGAGTAAATGATACTCAGGCAGCACAGCGAGCTTCGCATTCTGCTTGGCCGCCGCACGAATGAAGTCACAGGCTACGTGGAAGTTGCGGTCCATAGCCATCGGCTGTTTATGGCTCAGCTCGAGTTAGGAGGAGGTGTTGGGAGTAGGTGATATGATACCTTGGGCCACATCTGGATCACGGCCACTCTGTGTACGGGCGCCATGACGGACGGGGATAGACGCTGGCAGCGTGCCGCGATAATATAGATTCTGGGAAATGTATCACCGAATGCTTACCGAGCGTCCAATGCGGAGTTGGCTGCGGTGGCCTTGTTGGGAACGGTATTATGTATGCTAATGTCAGGTAGGCATGCACCGGTCACAGTTAGTAGAGTTGAGAGCGGCGTGTAGAACAATCTACGAAGTCAGTTCAACTTCCAAGGTTTTCAATCTCTAAATGGGGCGACGAGAGGGGTTGGTGCAGCGAAGTCATAACGCAAGTTACGCAACGCGGCGACGCGCGTGTCAATTACTGATCTAGTGTTGAACCCTAAAAGTAAAGACGCCAGCCTTGGCGGGTATTTCTCAAAATGTGTGTGGGGTGGGCGGGAATATTCGAACGACTCGTGCTTGTCTCTGCCTCTAGACTGCAAACCACAAACACCATCATGAGCCTTCGACAAGCCCCGTCCTACCAACAGGGCGCGCCGCCGCGGCAGGTCGATGACGATTCCGACGTCGAGGAAGAGGCATTGGCCAACGACTTCCGCGAGCAGGCCAACTTTGGCGGAGACGACGGATATGGCCTGGAACAGACAGAGTCGTTTGGAGGAGGCGCACAGGACCTACAGGCGCAACTTCAGGCGGCAGCGACACCGCTCGAGTACGGCGCATCGACAGAATTGAAGATTCAGAGCTACGACAGCTACTGCAACCTGTTTCACTTCATCTTGAACAGCGAAGGGCCTGTGGACATCGAGGTGCCATCAGTATGGATATTCGCCCCAGAAAGACGCGGACAAATTGATATGCTGACGGTGGTGTAGTACTTCTGGGCATGGGATGTCATTGATGAGTTCATCTACCAGTTTAACTCTTTCTGCTCTTTCCGCCAACGCGTGGCTTTTCAGCAAAACAACGAGGAGGAAATTGCGAACTTGCGCGAGAACCCGAACACCTGGGGCTGCTATTCAGTCCTGAACGTCCTTTACTCGCTCATCCAGCGGTCACAGATCAGTGAACAGTTGGCAGCACGGAAACGCGGCGAGGATGCTGCTCTATACGCTGGCGAGTACGGCAACAGGCCGTTGTACCAAATGCTGGGATACTTCTCTATCATCGGACTACTCAGGGTGCACTGCTTGCTCGGTGACTTTAGCCTGGCCCTCAAGACACTTGACGACATTGAGCTCAACAAGAAGGCCATGTTCGCACGTGTGATGGCTGCGAATTTCACTACGTACTACTACATCGGCTTCTCCTACATGATGATGCACCGATATGCTGATGCGCTGCGCGCCTTCAACCACATTCTCATCTACGTCTCAAGGACGAAGAACTTCCAGAAGGGTGCTCAGTATGACAGCATCAGCAAGAAGAACGACCAGATGTACGCATTGGTCGCCATCTGTGTCGCGTTCTATCCAACCCGGCTGGACGACACTATCCACACCGCACTCCGCGAAAAGTATGGCGAGCAGCTTACTCGCATGCAACGCGGTGGGCCGGAAGCACTTCCCATCTTTGAGGAACTGTTCCGCAGCGCTTGCCCCAAGTTCATCTCGCCAACGCCTCCCGACTTTGAGAACCCGCACTTGAACGTCGATCCAGTCGAGCACCACCTCGCGATATTTATGGAGGAGGTGAAGAACAACATCTTCACTCCCACTGTGCGCAGCTATCTCAAGCTGTACACGACAATGGACCTGACCAAGCTCGCTGGTTTCTTGGAGGTTGACGCCGACACTCTCCGTAGCTGGCTGCTGGTCAACAAGCAGCGCAGTAGACAAGTTCGGCACACCGGTGATGGTGGGCTGCTCGAGGGTGATATTGTCAACACCAGCGACCTGGACTATGCGATGGAAGGTGACATCATCAACGTGAGCGAAGCAAAGGTCGGCCGCAGACTGGTAGACTGGTACCTGCGCAACTTGGCCAGGACGTACTAGACAAAACGAGATGTCGTGAGACGGACATGCTGCACACACACCTCGCGGCGTTTTAGGTTGTATGAGCTGACGGCAGTCATGAAGGGTAGGGATAAGTTACGCATAGCAAGGCGTCCCGGCACGAAATGCACTTGCTCGACCATTGTCAGACAAATTGGTCTCGTAGCGAATGAAATTAAAAAAACGAACTACCATACAAGTATTATGAACAAGTGCACCCTTCTTCGTTCGTCATCCCTTGTTCGTAGTTCCTCGTTCTTCATCCCTTGTTCGTAGTTCCTCGTTCGTCGTTCATCATTCGTAGTCCCTCCATCCTCGTTCCGCGTTCCTCGCTGCTCGTTTCCTCCGTCTTCACCGGCCAGCATTGTCGGAAATCCCCACGGCCAACGTCTTCACCCTGAAAGCTCTTATTTCAATAAAAAGCAGCTGACCAGCAGCTAGCCAGAGATTGCCTCCACGAGAAACGACACTTGATCGCGACTGTCGTAGGCTATCTATCCACCTGTCACCGAGATATTTTAACGTCTTGGGGACATTGGTCGAGTGCCCAACGCCGCACGCCGCGTTTCTTCTGCGTCTTCTATCTCCACCGCTTTCGTGAAGCTTCGCACTCGCTCCACGCTTTCATCCATAAGGCGCCACGCCTCAGCAAGAATGGCGTGGAGTCGCGCAAAGCGGTTCGAAATTTCGGAATCGTTCTCCATGAGCTCCAAATTTTCGGCGGCCTGGTCTGATGAGGCGTTGGTGGCAGGGTCATTGCGCTGGATCGGCGAGTGGGAGAGAGGCATGTCGGGCAGATTCGAATGTGAAGGTGTCTTTGCTGGAGTGCCTTGCTATGGCAGAGATTTCTGCTCGGTGCTGTGTGGTGAGGGTGGGCAGGACAGTTTTGCGTCAGGTAGAGGAGAGCGAGAGAGCGTGTGACTGTGTTTGCTTCCTAGTCGAATGCTTTATGATTTCGTTTACTGAGTGACCGGCTTCCTGGTTCGCAGAGGGAACAAATGTGATTGTTGGGTTTGGTGGAAGAAGGCAAAGCGCGCGTCTCCGCAGGCCTGTAGACAGTCGTTGTGTTATGGTGCGCGGGCAGTCAATGTGTTTGTGTTTGGTAAGAGGTCTAAGAAGATCGAAAGATGACTCCAACATTGTTTTCTTCTCTTTGATCTCCACGCGCACGACACTTCCCACGCACTACACAATCCCCGCTACAGGCGTCAACATCCTCATTCATGCCGATATTTCCTAGTGACGAGAAAGATGCCATGGGTCGTTTGTGGATTATGGAGAGTTGTAATAGACGCAATCCGTGTGCGGTACACATCATCAGGGGATCTCACAGGATCTACCTATTTGGGACTCGAAGTTCAGACCAGTTTGCAGCTTGCTCGACTGCTGTTTCTCCAGCACTTGGTGCATGGTTGCAGCGAAGTGATGATATTGGAGGCCAAGCAATGCCATCTTTGCTTCCAGGTTGTTTCTTCACACATGGTTGCAGAGTAAAGCGTGGTCATGGCATCCCTCTCGTTTCTCCCGAGTGGCAGCACAAAATGAGACTGGGAAGACTGAGCAGCATCCTCTATGCATGCATGTACGAGGGGACATATGTCTGGCCCCTCTTCGTTCACTCGCGTATCGGTCCATCAGGATTAGGGTTATGCTTCAGCCGCAAGAAGTTGGGCCCTTTCAAGATCCGCTCGAAGATCGTCCACGCTCAGTGGAACTCGTCTGCTGCCCCAGCCTGACCTCTCGGCGAGCGCATATGCCTTGATGCTTTGCAGTGCTACCACTAGGAAGCCAAGCTCTTCGCGGTCGACATCAAACACTTCCCACCAATCCGTTTCTGGCAGCTTGGTATTGGTCTCTCTCGCGGCGAGATATATCGCAGCAGTGGCAAGAGCCGAGGGCTGATGTGTCAGATACAGCATTTGTGGGCTCAGCAACGCACTGTTCAAATGAGCAAAAGCAGCTTTGACCACAGTCTTGCCTGCTCCCGACTGAAAGGCATCTAGAGTCTGCAGATAGTTGATGCACAGCGTATGTGGCAACGCCACGTGAGTCTGATATCCCAGCACACGCAGGATACGGGCCTCAATGTCGTAGAGAGCATGTTTTCGCGCTTCGTAATGTCCTTCTGGCAGATGCCACGAGGCTCCAAGCTTGCTTTCAGACTCGGTCGAGGCCAGCTGCCCAGGTTGCAAGCTCGACACATACTCGAATACAGTAAGTATTTGCCTTGCGCTCACAGGATGTGCTGAGGGTTTCGCGGTCAGGTACAGAGCTGCTGCTGCGACATTCTGTGCCATGGTCAGTTGCGATCCTCCACTATTATGAAGTCCAGGGGATATATGTTGAGACAGACCTTTGAGTCATTCTCCAGCAGACTGCCACCATCAGGCCCCGTCCAGAAGCGTTGCAGAATGACAATACATTGCGCTATGATCTCTTGTGGCAGACGGAGCAGGATCCCTGCGGCCTGCACGAGGCGTGAGGTCTCGAACCGAATTGAGTCTTCGAGGTGTCTCGGTACACCGTCTAGTTGACTTGCAGACGTTTCAAGCTGTAGTGATGACGCTAGGGGATTTAGGAGGTGTGAGAGGCCCGAGACCGAGGGCTCTGGCGCCATGATCGGCGTGCGGGAGAGCACCTTGTTGTTATGTGGCTGCTCGCGTGGGAGTCAAGGGCTGCTCGGTGGTGGTAAGAGGTAGAAGGTTAGCCGCCAGGCGAAGATGACGAAGACGCTAGGTCGGCCGGTATGTTGGTATGAATAGATATGTTGGTGGGTAGTAAGCGCGCGGCCTTGAGTCGGCAGCAGCAGCAACAGCAGCGAAAGAAGTCAGTGAAGGCTAGCTGCGTCTTGAATAGGTCCGGGCCGTGGAGTGATACCAGTGACCAGTCTCGTGGGGAGGAAATAGGTCAGGATGGTGGGAGAGAAAGTGGGAAATAGGCTGAGCCAAGGAGGAGGAGGAGGAGTGGAGTGCACGGTATGAGGCGTGAGGTGGTGGTGTCGTCTGGTGAGTCTCTCTCTCTCTGTCTCTCTCGCTCTCTCTGGTGTGAAGGTAGGAGTTAGGAGGTATCAAGTATGGAAGTAGACGCGCGAAACATACGAGGCTTGATCGTCGTCGTCGTCTGATTCGTGCATCTCGGCGCCCGTGTGTGCATATGGAAGCGCCCGAGCGAGACCAGTCCGCCAAGACTCCAGCAAAAGCACTTCTCCCTCGCCGAACTTCACTTTCGATTCATTGCCTACAGCGCCTGAAACGCTGCCTGTTTCGCCCGCGCTACCGTCCACACTGGCCTCCACTGGCCTCCACTCCCTCTCCAGATGAGCCAGGACGTTGGCGAGCCGCTACAATATGCCCGCACAGGCGCATTCAAACCGCCCATCACGCTCGCTGTGGCAATGGACGTCTTGGGATGGTGATGGCTTGCAGCTGTCACTGAGACCATCCTCTCTAGCGGGCTCGATCGGTGTAGGAAGCTAACCGCTCATTGCCTCTGTCAGTCTCAGGCCCGGGGAACAGAGGCGATTCAGGCCAGAACGTGGTATGTATAAAGAGCCTCGTGTCTGCTTCATGGACCTGCTCGACCAGCTTCACTATCCTGAGCCCGCCTCGCATCTTTTTCCCCTTGTTCCTACTGTCCATCACATTCTTTCGCTCTGAGAGCACTGCATCATCTCCTTTTCGGTCTAGAAGATCATCTTCCACTCTTTGGGTCCGGTATCCACCACATTGTACATCACTTTACCTTAGCACGCAGCCCCAGACAAGCTCTTCAGCATGAAGCTTCTTCAGTCACTCCTTGCTACTGCCAGCGTCCTCGGCTTGGCCAGTGCTGCTCCCAAGCTCAATGGCCGTCAGGCTGATCCGTACACTTGCGCCTGCAACACGCCACCAAGCTATGCCAGCACAGTCACCGAGACCAAGGCACTCAGCACAGTGACCCTCACCTCAACCGCCACCGTCACTCACACCACACACTACTCGGGTACGCCCGAGTCGGACACTCTTTTCTCGCCCACGCAACCAAGCGAGGCGGCCCCACCTGGATATGGAGGAGCTACAACAACCGAAGCAGCATCGAGCAGCGGAACTGCGTTCACCCTGCCTGGCTCTACTGGCTCCTACAGCTACTCGGTCGTCACCATCACTGTTACAAACGGCGGCGGTGCGGCGCCTTCCGTCGTTACCTCGAGCTCGATCGTCCCAGTTTCTTCAAGCACAGCAAATGCCGTCTCGTCCTCGGTTGCGGTGCCACAACAATACAGTCAGAAAATTGTCACCATCACCGTCACCAACAGCTATGGTCAGCCGTCTGTCTCAGAGTCCACGACCGCTGTTCCGGTCGCAAGCTCTCAAAGTGGTATCATCATCACTCCCGTCGCTAGCGAGACTAGCCAGAGCTCGCTTGCATTCACCACTGGCACTGGCATCCTCTCTGGCGGCGGCAGCTCCAGCACAGAAGTTTCGCCGGTGGAGACCTCTCTTGCTCCAGGGTACTCGGCTAGCGTCACTCAGATTACGACAACGTTCAAGACCACTTGCGCAGTCAGCAGTGTCATTACCACTAGCGGAACGACCATGACAACGACCTACGACTACTCTACCGTCTCCACCATCACCTCTACCATACAGTCCACAGTCACCGTTCGCCGTCCCAGAAGTAGCACAGAAGTTTCGCCTACTCAAGCCTCTTCTGTGACTCCCGTCTATGCCCCTTCGGGATACGCAAGCCGAAGCTTGACATACTCTTACTCCTTCTCTTCCAACAGCACGGTCGTGTCTCCAACGGGCACTGGTGTGCCAATGCCCCCTGCCGGATTCCCTGGCACTGGATATACCACGGCTTCATATTCCTCTACATCTTCAGCTACGGAGCAAAGCCCAACTGACACGACATCGTCTACTGGCTACATCACTTCGTCTAGCTCTGCCATCGTGCCCAGCTATCCCTATCCATCCGCGAACAGTACCATCATTGGCCCGACAGGGAGCGCACCTTCGGTTCCGTACGTTCCACCGTACAGCTCTACTGAGGTTTCCCCAGTCGGCACTACTGTACCGACACCTGAATACGGCAGCACGGTCACGGTCTCCCCTGTTCCGTCTCCGAGCAGCGCCGCGTACAGCTATGTGCCATCTGTGAGCTCGACTGAAGCCTTGCCTGTGGAGAGCACTTCTTCCGTTATTTCTCTACCGAGCAGCGCCGCGTACAGCTATGTACCACCTACGAGCTCGACCGCAGCCTTGCCTGTGGAGAGCACTTCCAGCAGCGCTGCATACAGCTATGTCCCACCTACGAGCTCGACCGCAGCCTTGCCTGTAGAGAGCACTTCTTCCGTTATTTCTCTACCGAGCAGCGCCGCGTACAGCTATGTACCACCTACGAGCTCGACCGCAGCCTTGCCTGTGGAGAGCACTTCCAGCAGCGCTGCATACAGCTATGTACCACCTACGAGCTCGACTGCAGCCTTGCCTGTAGAGAGCACTTCTTCCGTTATTTCTCCACCGAGCAGCGCCGCGTACAGCTATGTCCCACCTACGAGCTCGATTGCGACCTCGACTGTCGAGACCACTTCCTCTGTCATCACATCATCGAGCAGCGCTGCATACACCTATGTGCCACCTACGAGCTCGACTGAAGTCTCGCCTGTCGAGACTACATCTTCTATGAGCCCATCGTCCAGCAGTGCGCCATACAACTACGCGCCATCGTCTTCATCCACTGTGATGATCCCTGTGGCATCAAGCTCGCCAGTCATGCCTCCAGCTTATGGCCCGGAGACCACTCTTCCCTCCTCGACAGAAGTCAGTCCGGTTGAGACGAGCTCGCCGCCAGTCTATGCTCCCGGCTATGGTGTCCCATCGAGCAGCAGCACCACCCTGGTGTCTCCAGACATGCCAGCTCCCACCCCACCTGCTTACGCTAGGCGTGCTCGCGCCTTTCGTGTCTAGAACCTGATGTATTGATAGTCCTTGTGGAAAGTTACTGGTACACGGAACGTAAACTTGATATAGATCATTCTTGCTGGAAAGAGTATCAGGACTCTCGCTATCGGAGCAGCATAAAAAAAGGGTTGGAAAATTGTAACGTATATATGAAACATGAATCGAGTTGATCGAAATGATCCGATCACTAGCACATTTGTTCCCACTTCAGCCATATGAAACCCTCTTTGATAAATGCGCCCACCGCCCAGACAACCTCGATATGTGAAAACTTGACCACTGGCACACCAGCACATGTCTGCGAACAGATGGTGCAGGGAACATCACGTCGAGAGAGCCTGAATCAGTACAATTTCCACTTCCAGCGAGCCTTTGCGTTCTTTGCTGTTTCGCCACCACCACCACCACCATCACCATCACCAGCAACAACACTCCAGATCCTCTAGGTAGGTAGGTAAGTACCATACCAACTTCCACTTTTCCAAAAGCCAACCCAACCCAATCTCCTCCCTCCTCCCTCCTACCCCCCTCATCAACCCCCCACAAGAATTCAATAAGCCATCCCATCCAAAATCTCCTGTAAATCCCCTTCTTCCCCATTCTCACCGCCTGTCTCCGGGTCCAAAAATTCTCCCACCAACCATAAACTCCCACTGAACAGAGCTTGAATCAGCCAAAGGAGATTTTCGCGAGAGAGACCTGTGAGGGAGAGGAGGTCTCGTTCGGAGATTTGAGTAGTGGTAGGTGGGGGGGACATGGAAATGTTGTTGTTTTTAGTTTTTTGTTGATTTGTTCGTTTGTTGAGTTTTGAAAACTCTTTTTTTTTGTTGGTTTGGGTGTTGTGGTGGGAGAATTTGAGGGGATGGGATGGAGAAGGGGGGGTTTTTTTGAGGGTGTACGTAGGTGGTAGGTGGTAGGAGGTAGGTCGTAGTCCGCTGCGACTGAGGTGGTGGTGTGGTCTATGCTAGGGATTGGCTGAGATTGCTTGTGATTGGCTGGCTACCCACTTTACTGTGAGGTAGAGGTAGGAGGTAGTGAAAGTGGGGGAAGGCTGAGGACGGGAATATGTCTTGGCAATCGGTATAGCTACATAACGTACATGTACCTACCATACACTCGACGGTGACCTTACATCTTTTACACCTGTATGGTAGTAGTTGATTGTAGTCCGAGGAAGCCGCATTGCTTGACTTTGTTATAGACTGCAATCGTTGAGCCTCACAAAACAGTAAACAAGTCATGTCATTTCGTGGATGCACATCCTTATTATCTGCATCACTGATGCTGTGGCTCTGTCGTTATATACCGCTAAGATCCAATCTATACTCGGAACAAATCATACATCCTCACCCCACTGGCCTTGTAGACTACTTCCGTGGCCGTCCTTTTGGAGGCTTTCCTTGCCGCATCGTGCTCTTCCTTAAGCAAGATAGAAAAAGGACGTGTCCTCTTCAGGTCTTGTTACCCGTCGTCATAGCCTTGAGATCTATTCCTTCATTTGCAGTTACAAACGTCTCCAGTTGTGGCCTCGCAGCACGCTCCATCTTCTCACTCTCCATGGGGCTCCCAGGATCATGCTCAAAACTGAGATCGCCAATAATATAGGTCGGTATATTGACGGTCGTATCTTTGGTCGCCGATGGCAGGGACTCTTGTCGTTTGGGAACTGTAGTGGCGGCATCAGGGCCACTTTGACTGATCGGCAACGATGGCAGAGGCGCCGTGGGCTGAGGACCCGCGCTCCTCTCAAGTGGGCTTGTTGTGGGGCCCTGTTCAGCTCCAGTTCCAGCTTGCAATGCGGCCTGGGCAGCTGCAGCGCCGGGAGGTAACTCCTTCTTCGGCATTGGGGCGACACTCAAATCGATACTGTCAGGATTCTCGGAGACAGACTTCGATGCTGCGGCACCCTCAGCAGCCAATGAATCAGCAGGCCGACCAGCACCGCTTCCTGCTCCGTGCAAGATCGAGGACGATGGTGCAGATGTCAAGTTCTCAGAAAGCGAAGGAAACTCATTGCTGGAATGGCCAGTCTCGCGAGTGCTGGGAAAGTGAAGGTACTCCTCGATGATGTTGCTGCTGCTACTCAGCCGATGCGTGGGTTCTTCTCCACTCGTTGGGGGAAGAGCTGGTATCGGAGCTGTTGATGGAGGAGAGGTGGGAGGTGTGTCCTTTGGAGGAGGAGTTGGAGGCGGACCAGTCGAGCTGTTTCGACTCGCGGTTGGACGCGACGACGTAGTCATCAGGGGGTTGTTGAGAGAGAGCTTGCCGTTCGTCTCGTCGGATCTGAGAGGAATGGCTGCTTGGTGATCGAGAGTGGGCTGAAGGTTGACCTGTTTTGAGGCGTGAGCTGGACCAAGTTCGGCAGACGATGGAGACGCCTTTGATGCCCGCACTGCCACAGATTCTGATGACGACGGTACGCGAGATGCAGTAGATGGAGAGGCATGAGGCTCTTGACCACGTGGCTGCGGCTTTACTTTCTTGCTCTTGGCATTTCTGCCATTCGTTGCAGGCATCTCGTGCACGCTCGGGATTTGCTCACTTTGCTGTCCTGGTGGTTTGCTGCCTACCGGCGCAACCTTGGTGTCGTATATGGTGTGCCGCATTTTGAAGGGAGCAGATACTGGCTGTTGACTCTGCAGGCCCGCGGCTGCGACAGGTGCTGCAGGGCTGACCCTCGCATCAAACACAGGATTGCGGATCTTAAATGGCGCAGGTGTAGGACGGGTCGCGCTGTCCACAGGGGCGCCCTTGTCTGGCCAAGCTTGAGTAGGCATACCGTCGGCTCCTAGTTGTCCAAGTCGTGAATCCCGTGATCGATACTCGCGTGTCTTGAATGATGAGCTATGCGTGCTACTGCCGGAAGGCTCGAGCGGACCAACTATATCTTCTTCGGGCGAGTCGAGGTCCGAAAGACGAGTGCTCTCTGGGATACCACCAGAGACCGGACGCGTACTTGACTTTATAGTATTCGTCTCAGGTGTAATAGATTGGGACGCTAACGGCGCCGGGATGATTTCATTCTCGGACTTGAGCACTGATACCGGCGTCTCCACCAGGGAAGCTTTATGTCCCGCACTGCCGCTGGACTCGCGGCCGGAGCTGGTTGGCAGCTCATGCGCAACTACTCCGAATGCGTTAGGCATCTCGAAGTCCTGGTCTGCCCTAGAGCTATCAGGTTGCTTGACGCTATCCAGCGTGGTTGTTGAGGCATCGGGAGAAGCAACCTTGCCATCTCGGGTAGTGCTCTTGACTTTGAACGGATATGCCACGACGCCGTTGTGTGGCCGCGAATTGCCGGCGTTGAGATATGTGTTGTCCGATCCTGGTACTTTGAACGTGCCCTTGGCTTTGCCAGCTTCAGATATCGAAGAGGGCCGCTCCCGCGCTTGAGACGCAGCAGGAAGGGTCGGCGAAGCTCGCCCTTGATTCTGTGCAGAAAACATTCGTCAGCCCGACGTGGAGAAGGTTTGATCGCCGTTCCTTCCTAGCGCAGCGGCGAATCATGTCCCTGTAGTCTAGAATTCGTAGGCACACCGACTTCCGCGACCACGCCAGCGCAGTCTGTGGTAGCCAGACGTTTCGAGTGATATTCGGAAGTGATATTGGGCAGGGACGGGGACTTCACTTACTTCAATGTCAACTCCTGCGTCGTCACCATTCGTCCTGCCACTCTTTGAGTTTGGGTTCAGGTTACTCATCATCAATGTGCCAGTGCTCATGGTGCTGAGCGGCCTCGCATAGTTGACCTTCATCGAAGCCGCACTGGAACGGCGACTGAGGTCCCAGAAGCCTCTGCCTGAAGCGCTATCGGAACTCAGCGGCGACACCACATTCATCGAGTCGCGATCGCGATCATTGGTAGCCTGACCCTCATCCTTGACCCGTCGATATGGACTTCGCGATCCGTTACTTTTCGAACTCCATGGGGAGGTAAGCACGCTGGCGCTAGATCGTCGTCGCCGCCGTCCTTCGTCTGCTTCGGAGAGAGGCACGGCAAGCTTGTCGTTGGTCGCGGACCCTCTTGCTTCCCTTCCAGAGCCCGCACCTGCTAATGCATTGGCTGTTCCCGTGTTTTTCACTCCATCGAAGCCTGCGGCACTCGGCAGAGTAACAGTGCTGGCAGCCTTACTCACAGGTCGGTCTATTCCGCTTTCCTTAACATCATTGACCTGTTCCTCGCGTTGTATTGTGCTCTCGTCGTGTGAGGATCCCCAACCAGACCACATCGCAAGGCCCCATGATTTGCCCTTCTTCTTTTCACCAGGAACGCTGCCCTTGGTCCTGCGATTGACGAGCGCTGCAGCTGGCGGGTGCTCTCCTGGCTCCATTTTATCGTACGATTTCATCTCTTTCAACTTCTTCTTCTGCAGCTTTTTGATTTCACTCGCAAATTTCTGTTCACTCTCCGCCCTCTTCGCCAGCCACTTACGGACTGGTCCCGATTTGATGGCTCCGATCGTATTGCGGTCCAAGTGCAAACAAGCGATTTCTGATACTAGTGGGAGGGGAAAGACGACGCCGTGTCGGTTTACACGCTGACGGATCATGTGGTCCTTGAACGGTGGTAGGTCGTCGCCTGCTTTGCCAACTGCTCCGATGGAAGTCAACTTGAATTGCGTGGAGGTTACGCCCTCGGCACCAATACTGCCGAAAGAATGGCTGCCCTTCCCATACTCGTTGGGATCCTCGTTGTCGCTGATGATCGAAACTGCATCGTCGTCGAGAATCTCGATGGACCTATTCTGAGCTCGAGCAAGTGCCCATGCACCAAATTGAGCCACAGAACGGTACATGTACTTTGCTGGTCGAGTGAAGGAGAGAGTGTGAGGCACATGACATAGATCCTCCCACACTTGCAACTGCACATCCGTCCCGGGATATTGATTTAGGACCGTGCGCTGGGGATCGTACTGGTCCAAGACAGCCTCGCTAGGTGGATATTGTCTGGGGTTTGCTGCCTTGTGGGCAAGATAGATTTGCTCGTCCCTCAATAGCTCTGCTCCGCCAACCTGAATCAGCATAGGAGGCAAACCTCCGAGCGAAGGCTGCTGTACTGGGGATACTAGAGGGTGGGCTAGTAGGTCGTTCTTCGCGTACATCTGGAACTGCTGTCGAATAATCACAAGCTTGTCATCAATCGCGATCTCAAGGCGTGGGCCCATTCCCGGAATTTGGTTGATTTGCGTGTTTGGATCCTGCCCTTCGACAATGGCTTGCGCCTCACCTGTTAGTTCTGTTGTTTTATCGCGACTTGTCTTTGAGCCCGTGGCAGCTGCATCGGTTGCAGGGAGTTCCACGACGTCGAAGGGCCGGTCTACGGGCTGTGTGAACTTCCTCTCCTGCTTTTTCGGATCCTCGTCTGTAGTCGGAGGTGGTGGCCAGGCCATTGATGGCTTGTGATGAAAACCATGCGGAGGAATATAGTCTCCCACACCATCGCCTGCCACTGAAGGAAACGAGTGTGCCAAATCCACCCACGGTGACAGCAGTATCGTGCCCGCAGGTAACGGACAGCCCTGGTCTCGCAGCGTCACGAGCATGCTCAGTACCATGCCGCCTCCGGCACTGTCTCCGGCAAACAAGATCTGGCTGGGCTCGAAATGTTCGAGGAGGTAGAAGTAGGTCGCAATGCAATCGTATAGTCCGCACGGGAAAGGAAATTGCGGTGCCAGGCGGTATCGTGGTGCAAGTACTCGTGCCTTCAACTTGCGAGCGTGCCGTTGCATCTGGTAGCGATGTTCGTCCACAGATCCTTTAAGCAGGTCCATGGGTCAGCAGGTTTCTCACGCACGCACGCACGCCCGCCCATTCAGTCGCATCAGCATCTTACCAAAGTAGTACGCGCCTCCGTGCACGTAGAGAATCACGCGATCGCACGGCCGTCCCTCCCGTTTGCGCTCATTGTGATCCTTCTTCATCTCAATCCACTCGGCATGCAAAGCACTCTCTGGTCTCCTCCACTGCCACCATTTCTCGCCTCCCACCTTTTCTAGTCCATGGCTGCCAAGCTGCTTGCGTATCACGTTGGCAGACCTCGTCAGGAACTGAGGTGGTACCTCGACGTCTTGAGTGCGCACCCATGTCGGGACAGGAACCCATTGTGCTGTGAAAGCCTGCAGATCTTCGACCGAGTGCTTCGCGCTGTAGTCCAAGAATTGTCGAATCAGTCGCAGGCCTTCGTGGTAGGAGATGTGCGCAGTCGGCTTCTGTTTGAGTGGTTTTCGGTGCAGGTAATGTGAGAAGTATGTCTCAATGACCGAAGGGGTCACAGCAGTGGCCACGCCGAAAGTGTTGAAGGGCATGGCTGAAGACCTCCCCTGTCGGTCTGGGCGGTCGACCGGTCAGCGTGGGACCCGTGGGTGGGTGAGTACGTGGAGTCGTCGTTTGTCGTCGTCGTCGTCGTCGTCGTTGTCGTTGTCGTTGTCGTCGGCGGCGGCGGCGTCCGCAGCTCGACTATTGTACAGGAAAAGAATCAAAATTACTGCAGTATGCTCATCACTTCTCGTCTGATTGTCTGGTCTGAGCTGGTCTGGCTCGAGTCCAGTTCGTGCTCAGATGCACATTCAATGCCTCCACCACGCTATGTGCCTCGGAAGCCCGCGATTAAACGCCATGCAGGTGCAGTGTGACAAGAGTCGTATGCGCCCCAGCAAGCCGATACTGGATGGATGGGGTTCTGAAGGAGGAGGAAGAGGCGAGGTTGATGGACGCCGAGTGGCACTGGAAGGCTAAGGGGGGGAGACGATGGTTGTAACAGGTTCCAGAGGCGCACGCTATGGACTCTAGTCGAGAATTAAGATCAACATCAAAACCAGAAACTGCACCAGTCATGCAACGGGTGCAGGTGCGGTAAGGTAGTAGACACTTCAAAGGTACTAGGAGGTATGAGGTACCACCTCCTTTCATGCAATTCCAGTATGAGCATGCGTATCATGATCGCGACAATGGATGTATACCGCATCACTTACACTTACCTGTACCTTACCTAGGTACCTTACGTAGAGAACGACAATACGGTAACAACATGACTCCATATCGGCATATCTCTGGCCTGATCTCATCTGATCTGATTCCCCGGAGAACATCCTGGCTCTGCAGACACCCACTGTCCCACATCTCTGGTTTCTAGACTGCCCGTTCATTGTAGCCTAATTGCGTGGCTCCATTTATTCTTAGTGCCAAGCCTGAATGATTTTAATGCCGAACGGAAAATCTCGTGGACTACGCTTGCCAGCTACCAGCACAATACGATCTCTACATACGCGTAGCCAGACGTTTGCTGGTCGCATTCTCACAGCTGACTAGATTGGTCGACCAAGACATAGCGCAAGGCTGGTTCAACATCATGACCTCTCAGTCCTCATCCTCGGGCTCAACGCCTGCTGTTCCAGGCGGCGCAACCCCAGAACAACTCGAAACAGCCTTCGATAACTCCATCTGGTACCTCATCTCCCTCTGGCCCGCAATGCGCGCTGCTCTTGAAAACAACTGGGGTGGCCCCGACTCTTCCGATAAACGCGACTGGTTCGCCGGTGCGGTCTCCGATCTCCTTGCCTCCCATCCTGACGAAGGTCAAGAATATCTCGAAGATTTCTTGGTGCAAGTTATGGGGGATGAGTTCGAATGCAATGTGGAAGATGAGAGTGAAGCTGCTGTTGCGGGGGACATCTTGAAGGTGAGAAGTAGATTGGTGGCGGAAAGGAATCTACAAGCTGCGCAGGAGGTAGAGCAAAGGTGGAGGAATCGAGGGAGCATGAAGCATGATAAAGTGGTGGTGCAGGAGATTGATCAAGATGCTGATGAGGAGGAGTTTGAGGGCTTCGGAGACGACGATGAGATGGAAGATGCTCCACCACTGGTCAGTGTGCAGAGAGCGCCGAAGGAAAAGGTAATTCCAGAGGTGGATGACGATGGGTTTACGAAGGTTGTTGGGAAGAAGAGAACGGGCTGAGCGGGCTTTGGGCATCTTGGGAAACAATATCATCATGTTGGAAGAGAGGCCTATGCCGCTGCACGCCTTCAGCTTGCTCCGCACTGCGCCAACGAGTTCGCCTCGGAAACAGCCTGGCTATAGCAGCTTATCGGCAGGACTGCCATATGGACGTCTGGCGGGGGCACGACTCCAAACTCCCAAGAAGAGGGAGCATATCTGGAGCATGTGGAAGACAGGAACATGATCATAGACGGCGCGAGAGATGCAATGCGCTGGCAAGAGCCTGTCGAGGTCACGCTCGCGCGCTCCTTGGTCATAAGAAGATACAGTGCCTTGCACTGTATAGAAACGAGTTCCACTTCTCGTCGTCTGCATCATGTCTTCGGTTTCCCGATTTCACCTTTTCACTTTTCCCCATCGTCTCCTCCACGAATGAGGCATCACTTTTCTTTCAAACGCCGGAGGATGTGCCGCATGTACCTGCTGAGTCCGCCTACGTATGAATGAGAGCGGCTTCGCCATCTATAACAGCACAGGCCATGGGCAAGGCCATGTATACCGGATGTTGCGGGTACCAACGCCACTTGCGGCAAGACAATCGCGTGGCGTCCCCATGTTCTGCGGCTATTGCGGACTGCGGAGTAAGGACCCCAGCAAAAATGCTAATCTGCTTCATCTGATTGGACCTCGTCGCAAATCGCCCTTTTCCCCGCCGCGTCGGGATACAAGAGATGTTTGTTCGGCAGAAGGGAAAGCGAGAGTTGCGGCAGACATGAGGCTGGCCTTGCGCATTGACAAGCCGCTCCAGAGCTTGGGGTCGCCCGCTATTAAGATCGAGTGGAGTGTACCTCCGTAGCACTTACGAGTGTGATATAGATTCCTCCTTCTCCTTCGTCCTCTACATCTTCATCATACACCTATAGATCATTGCGGCCATTACTACACAACAGCATAGACACGATGAACCGCGATAGCAATGACACCCAGAGTGTGAAGCTCTCCGGCGAAGAGATCGCAAAGCACAACAGCCGGGAATCTTGCTGGGTGATAGTCCATGGCAAGGCGTACGATGTCACAGAGTGTCAGTACTTGTCCGTGAACGTGGCCCGGCTTCATGCTAACAGAGTCTCTCAGTCCTACCCGAACATCCCGGTGGCCCCAAGATCATTCTCAAGTATGCCGGCAAGGACGCCACAGAAGAATACGAGCCTATTCACCCTCCAGATACCCTCGACAAGTTCTTGGATAAGAGCAAGCATTTGGGAGAAGTGGACATGTCAACAGTAGAGAAGGAGGAGAAGGAAGATGACCCAGAAGAGATTGAACGACAAGAACGGATCAAGCACATGCCCATCTTGGAACAATGCTACAACTTGATGGACTTCGAAGCGGTGGCACGACGAGTCATGAAGAAGACAGCATGGGCATACTACTCAAGTGGTGCCGATGATGAGATTGTGAGTTCACCGATCAATCACAATTCCAGTCCCCCACAAAAGCTGATGTGACATGAAATGACAGACTATGCGAGAAAACCATTCTGCCTTCCACAAGATCTGGTTCCGTCCTCGCATCCTCCAAAACGTCGAGTCCATTGACCTCTCCACCACAATGTTAGGCACGAAAGTCTCCATCCCATTCTACGTGACCGCCACTGCCCTTGGAAAGCTCGGAAACCCCGAAGGAGAAGTCGTATTGACTCGCGGTGCACACAAGCACAATGTGATTCAGATGATTCCCACATTGGCGTCTTGCAGTTTCGACGAAATCGTTGATGCGAAACGGGATAACCAAGTCCAGTGGCTTCAACTCTACGTCAACAAAGATCGAGAAATCACCAAGAGAATTATCCAACATGCTGAGAAAAGAGGATGCAAAGGATTGTTTATCACAGTTGATGCGCCACAATTGGGTCGTCGAGAAAAGGATATGAGGAGTAAGTTTTCGGATACGGGATCCAATGTGCAAGCCACGGGAGGCGACAATGTGGATCGATCACAAGGTGCTGCCAGAGCAATCTCATCCTTCATCGATCCCAGTCTGTCTTGGGAAGATATCCCTTGGTTCTTAGAGGTGACGAAGATGCCGATCATTTTGAAGGGTGTACAACGTGTGGAAGATGTCATCAGGGCGATATCCGTGGGTGTGCACGGTGTGGTACTCTCGAATCATGGAGGTCGACAACTGGATTTTGCCAGGAGTGGCGTTGAGGTTCTTGCGGAGGTGATGCCAGAGCTCCGACGACTGGGTCTGGAGAACAAGATTGAAATCTACATTGATGGTGGCATTCGTCGCGCGACCGACATTATCAAGGCACTCTGTTTGGGAGCCAAGGGAGTCGGGATCGGAAGACCTTTCCTCTTTGCCATGAGTGCGTATGGTCTGCCAGGTGTGGACCGGGCTATGCAGCTACTGAAGGATGAGATGGAGATGAACATGCGGCTGATTGGAGCTACGACTGTGGACGAATTGACGCCCGACATGATTGATACGAGAGGCTTGAGTATGCATACTGCGAGTGTTCCCGGCGATACGCTCAGTTTGTCTGCATACGATCACTTGGTTGGACCGGTTTGGAAGAGCGGGGCGAAGTTGTAGAGCGGCGGATATATGAGCTGCTCCACGATCATGCTCGGCAGTCTGTTTGGGAGGGAGACCGCATTGTTAGAAGACGGCGGGTCGTGTCATGTGGACGAGAACGCATTGTATCTGCTCAAATCAGTAGTTTCCCTTGTAGAAGTATTGGTAGCGACACGCTGCTGTGCATGAGTTATTGATTGTGTCAAGACCGGGATTTCGCACTATGTTCCCTTCATCGAGTACCATTGTTCCTCCTCTTCGTGCTTGGCTGGACATGTCATTCTTCCTCAGCTCATCTCGAGTCTATTCGCAAGTTCGAAGGGTGAATGATGCACAACCTTTGACTGGCGTAGCTATTACGCCCCTCTGTCTCTCTCTGCTCCTCTGGCTATTCTCGGCATATTACGAGTATAGTCAGTCCCCTCTCGGTCTCAACAGCCTCCCGCACTACGAACGAACAGCCGTCAGATACAGACTCATACAGTGGCCACCTGATATACCCGAGTGCCAACCGGTCTCGCATCAGCCCACGGAAACGAGCAAGCCAAGGTTGTATCTCGGTATGGTGCAGAAGAGCAATTGCAGCAAGTGAGGTGAGGCACGCGTTTGTATGCGAGCCATGATTGGAGCATAAGACGAGTGGAGCCATGACAGCAATGGACCTCTCACATCTCTCTTCCCGCCCACGCCTTGTCCCTTTGACCATCATCACCAGAACTTTCGGGCTTCACCCATCCATCGATGACCTGTCCCTGCAGGCTGCCAGCTGCTTGTTCTCTCATCAGATGTCGGGAGTCTGTCTTGGTGATGATTTAGCCGGTCTTGAGGAGCTCAGGAGTCAGGAGTCCAGGACAGGACAGGACAGGACATCACTGCTGGCCGAGCGTGGCCTCCCATGTGCCATGCTGATAGGCTAAAAAAGACATCTCTGGACGACGCTCCTCTCTCCCGACAACGACCTCCTCATGTACCATGTCCAAGCCTGTCTCCCTCGCGTTCCCATCCATAATGGTATGCACATTGCACAAGCCAAGCGGGGCCGTGTCGTTCGCGAGAGGGAGGGGCCTCTCCCATGTCGTAGTATACCTCCGGCAAATTTGCGAGTTTGCAGATACACTTTGCTGTATGCGGATGCTCAGGGCGATGGGGCTGCGAGCTTGTCGACACTATCCTAGTCTGTCTATGTACCTGTGCCTCCCTGGGATCGGCGCGGCTTACCTGGTCTGCATATGACGGACTGGCCGACCATCAGAAGGTACAACAGAGAAGGTATGTATTTGCCAGCTCTTTTCTGTTATATCCTCCTCAAGCTTGCTGTACTACCCCCCAAGCTCCCCACCCTTTTCCTCCCTGTGCCTTTCCTTCTCGTGCTCTCCTCGATCTCCTGGGAATCGGCATAGGCACGCGAGCTGAATACTCGCATTCACTGCCGCGACCATGGCATCGCTTCTCAGCTCACTCAACGACCGGCTCGCCGACCCCAAGTACCAGCTTTCCGTGGCCTCGATAGGCGGTATCGTCTTCGTGCTCGCTTGGATCCTGCTGTTCTTCACCGAGCTGAGTACTCTCCAGAAATTGTATAACAATGCTGGCTACCTCGCCCAATTTGTCTACGCATGCTTCTTCAAGCCCCATACTGGAGACGGAACCGGAAGTCAGCAAGATGCTCTCGAAAGCTTTTACAAGTCTCAGGCGAGTATCTACGATGCCACACGATCGCGGCTCTTGCAAGGAAGAGAAGACATGCTAGCTCTTGTAGCAGCCCAGGTCAAGCATCGACAGGGTACCGGTCAGGCAACCACCAAGCCAATTTGGGTGGACATTGGTGGTGGTACAGGCTGGAATATCGAAAACATGGGTCAACACGTCGATGTGCCCAACTTCTTTCACGCTGTCTATCTCGTCGATCTGAGCACTTCTCTCTGCGAGATTGCACGGAAACGATTTGAAAGACTGGGCTGGAAGAATGTTCACGTCATATGCGAGGACGCCAGAATCTTCCGCCTCGCAGACTACGAGGCTGGGATCGAGGACGAGAAACGCGACTTCAGCATTGGTCGTTCTGCATACGGAGACGAGGCACGCGACAGTGTCGGTGCAGACGTTCTCACCATGTCGTACAGCCTGAGCATGATTCCAGAGTTTCATCCGGCCATTGACAGCGTTGCAAGCCTACTGGCTCCCAATGGAATCGTTGGTGTGGTCGACTTTTACGTCCAAAACAAGGTCGAATTTGCAAGCCGCAACTACACTGGCGGCAGCATCGATAGGCATTGCATGTGGATCAGCCGTGTCTTCTGGAGGACTTGGTTTGAGCTCGATCGAGTCAATCTCGAATCTGCTCGACGCGACTATATTGAGTACAAGTTCGGCACCATTCTCAGCACGAACCGGAGATGTCACCTTCTCGGCTTCCGCATTCCCTACTACATCTTCATCGGGTGCGCTCGTACCACAATCAATCCACTCCAACAAATGGCAGTGGTCGACGCGGCCGTCACCGAGAGTCCCTTTATTGCCGCACTCGACATCCACGCGCAGAGTCTCGTCCGCAAGACCCGCCGCAGTTCTAGCACGGAGCGTCGAAGCAAATCTTACGATACAGCGGTGGTGAATCTCGCTGCCAGTCTCCCACTGCCAGCCGCGTACTATCAGAACAACAAGACTCGTGTCTACTACGACGACACTCTCCCGAAGCATCGCCAATTCAACGAGGAGTACATCTACAGTTTTACCTGGGAGGACGCTCGTGTCGATTCTCGCCTGCTCAAGATTACATCCGACGATGTCATCCTGGCCCTCACGAGTGCGGGTGACAACATTCTCAGCTACGCATTGGAGCGACCCAAACGCATACACGCTGTCGATCTGAATCCCGCGCAGAACCACCTTCTCGAGCTCAAAGTTGCTGCATTCCGTGGCCTGGACTACCAAAATTTCTGGAAGCTGTTCGGCGAGGGCAAGCATGATGACTTCCACAAGCTACTCGTGGAAGATTTATCGCCACATCTGTCGTCTCACGCATTTGACTTTTGGCTTCACGCAGGTCCTTCGACTTTTGATAGTCGTGGCAAGGGACTCTACTTCACAGGCGGTAGCCGACACGCTCTCAAGCTCATTTCGTGGCTCGGCAGCCTGTTGGGTATTCGCAAAGACATGGACAAGCTTGGTGAAGCACAAACACTGGCTGAGCAACGCGAGATTTGGACCAAGCGTGTTCGCAAAGTCCTGTTGTCGCAGCTTCTGGCATACTTTGTTGTGGGATCAGAGCGATTCCTCTGGAAAGCGCTTGGTGTGCCTGGCGAGCAGCGGGCCATGATTGAGGAAGACTTCAAGCTCCAGCTCGATCGTGGCGATGCTGTCAAGGCAGATCGATCTGGCGAGAAAAGCGGCACGGGGGAGCCAGGTTCAGTAGGCGCCGTGAAGAGCGGGCAGGCGATCTGGAACTATGGTGTCCAGACACTTGATCCTGTTGCAAATGAGACCCTTCTCAGCGAGGACAATCACTACTACCTGCTATGCCTACTCGGTGAGTCCTCTATACTCTTGGCGGAGGAGATAGAGATGATGCAGCAAGCTAACATAAGCTAGGTCACTATACCCGCCGCTGCCATCCGACCTACCTCACCCCGAAAGCCCACGTCACGCTCTCCGGCCCTGGCGCCCTCGAGAACATCCGCATACACACGGACGAACTTGCCGAAGTGTTTGCTCGCATGCAACCCGAAGCCCTGACCATTGCAGTTCTCATGGACAGTATGGATTGGTTCACACCCGGTGGTCCTGAAGCTCCCGCGCAATGCAAGGCTGTCAATCGCGCTCTCAAGCTGGGCGGCCGAGTCCTGATTCGAAGTGCCGGTCTCAATCCATGGTACATGAGAGTGTTTGAAGAATATGGATTCAGCCCGAAGAGAGTTGCGGCGAGAATCCCTCCGGGGACGTGTACGGATCGCGTGAATATGTATGCCAGTACGTGGATATGTACCAAGACGGTGGGGTTACCCTTGGAGGATGAGGAGGTGTCATGAGGCCGGAGGGAAGAGAGCTGAATGTGGAGGCAGATGTATAGAGTCTAGATTGACGATTTGATGATGGGTAGGTTGTTGTTGATGATTCAAGCATTTTTGAAAGAAGACGCGAAATACCTATGACGATACCAACCAACCCAAGCAAGCCCTTTTCCTTTTTCTTCTTTCTTCACGCAAAACGTATAGATATACTGCACCCCCAACCCAATCCTTCCCTCACGAAACAGCATCCCACCCAACCTCAATCTTCCCCTCAATACACCCCCAAAACTCCTCAATAATCCCCTCCTGCCCTTCCCCACCCCTCACAGCCAAATACCTCCTCTGATCCACCCGCGGCTCCCAATCCCCCTTCATAGCACCCACCATTCTCCCCCCAGCCTCCTCCAAAACGACCCAAGCGGCACAAACATCCCACGCCCACGTCCCCGTTTCCCACTCCAAATCCAACCAACCACAAGCCACAGCACAAATATTCAACGCCGCGGACCCCAAACTTCGAATATCGTGTACGTGTGCTCCTCCGAGAGTTTTACTCGCGCAGAGTTTTCGAAATAGTCGCGCTTTGAGTTCGTAGTCGGGTCCTGTGCGGCCGTGTCCCCATTCTAATCCGATGAGACAGTGAGAGAGATTTTGAAAAGGAAGGGGCGTTTTGAGGGGGAGTTTGAGACGGGTTTGTTTTTCTCTTCCTTCTTTTTCTTCTTTGCTATTATTATTATTACTATTACTAGACCAAGGTCGAGTAGTCATATATGCTCCTCTGCCTGTAATTCCCGAATAGAGAGTTTGAGTAAAAGGATTATAGACGACTCCGACGACGGGCTTTTTGTCGACTGCGAGGCCGAGAGACACGGCGACGTAGGGCCATCCGTGGAAGAAATTGGTTGTGCCATCGATCGGGTCGATGATGAAGGTGGGAGTGGAGGAGAGAATGTCGCCGGGTTGGTAGGTTTCTTCGCCCATGAATCTATATTACAAAGGTTAGGTAAGGTAGGTAAGAACGGAAGTCAGTCAAGTCAGTCAGTCGGGGAGAGTATTTATTTCTCTTTTTTTTTTTACTTTTACATTTTTTTTTCTGGTAGCACAGGACATCCTCATAGATTCTCATTTCCATTCTCAACCTCCCCGAATTCCAAAAGAAGGAATAAAAGAAAAAGAAAAGAAAAGATCAAACGCACTCAAAACCAGGATACTTTCTCCCCAACTCCTCCATAATCATCTTCTCGACAGCCTGATCCGTCTCCGTCACCAAATCCGCGCTATTATCCTTCTTCGTGCCGTGTCCCGAAACGGCAGGTTGGGCAGAAGTGATCATCTCGCCCGCTTGCAAGGCGATTTGGACGAGAACGTCGTGGATTTCTTGATAGTCGATTGCTGCAGCAGCACTGCTGCTACTTTTACCATCACTCATCTTGGATTGATTGATTGATTGGGTCCGGTGATTGATATAGGTGGGAAACAGTGGGCGAGTGATTGGTTGTATGCGTAGGGGAAAAAGAAAACACAAACGAGTTACCAGGTAGGTGGGTACTTAGGTATGACTGCATGTCAAAAGTCAGAAGCGTCCGGCATTTATATTACTTCACAGAGCTCAGTCGGCATTATTGCCCTACTGTGGACTCGGAGGTTGTGGCGAGGTGAACCTTGTTCTCGCCCATTGCCGGAACCACGTGCGTCAACTGCATGAGATGTAGCCTAAATGACCCAATCGAGTAGGGAACGGCTACTCAACATGGAATGCTTTTGCATGACAGTGGCCGCCAGTATACTGCGACTATAGCAGATCCATTTACGGCGTTTGCCAAAGTGGCTTTGAAGCACGGGGGTATCCAACTTTCGCGAGAAAAAAGAAAAAAAAAAGAATCGATCCAATGCAGCCATCGTGCCTCCCACCCTTCATCACTTCATATCACTCTTTTCCGTTTTCTGATATCGTCAGGCGCCCCTTCGTCTTCGCCCTCTCGCTCGGCAGTGTCCGCGGGATTGAGCAGCGAATGCACATTCGAGGCCATGCTGCTTCTCCTGCTGCCATCTGTCAGACCTTTGAACGGAAATCGAGCTCCTGGAAGTTGCCATCCAGCGTCGCTTGGATTGGCATAGCTGGGAGGTGCGAAGCTATTGTGAAAGCTCGGCGGGCCAGATTCGGGGGGGCCGGGTGAATGCGGACGAGATCCTGGATGGAGCACACGTGGTAGCTCGTATTGTGCGAGAGTATCCCGGATCTGTTGATCGCCAGGATTTGCAGCTGTGCGGGGAGATGATGGCCATGCACCAGACGACTGACCAGACTGGTGAGGTGAAGTGCCTTGTCCATATTGTCCTGGTGGAGGAGGTTGACCAGCTTCCCAGCCAGGAACGCGAATGTCTGCTGATGTATGTCGGCGTGGCAAATTAGAAGGGGGCGATGTCATTGTGGCCAGTGGGTGCTGCTGCTGTTGAGGTGGCTGTGCCGGTGGTGGAGCGGGTAGCGCGTTGCTGTAGGGAGGCCTGTGCGATGTGGGGGAGTATGCGCCGTTTCCGCCAGTACCGATTGAGCCATATCGGCGAGGCGACGCCTGTAAATACTGCGGCACTGGTGCACGCACTCCAAGAGGTCGAGTCGGTCCTTGAAGTGAAGGTCTACGCGACTCGTCGAACGGTCTCTGTCGCGGAGACATGGGTACAGCAGGCTCCATGGGCGCATGCTGGTTGTTAGATTGAAAGTAGGATTGGCGATGCCCGAAGAGAGGCTCTTGTTGCTGATGCGGCTCTTCCAGGGTCCGAAGTCCGTCAATGTGCTGTCGAATGTCGTTGCGCATGGCATATACATCTCGATGGACTGGGTTGTCGGGATCCGGTACTACGGTCAACAAGTGCGAGGACAGCTCGTTGCTCCACTGATGACATTTTGCCAGACCTTCGAGCACAGTCTGATACTTGACGTTGATTGCAGAAAAGGCTTCCTCTGACCTTGCCAATCTGGCATGCACGTCATGCAAGTGCCAGTCTAACATGTTCAGCCTGGCCTCAACTGGATCGGGCATGGGCTCCATTGGGGCGCCTGGTGGTTGGGGCGTGGGGACTTTGGGTGCGGTAGAAAACGAGTCGCGATGGATCAGCGCGTGTCTTGATGCTCTGCGCTTAATGTCGCGAAGACCCACGAGGTCACCTCGCTTGAAGTTGCCGTGGCCATGTTTGAATTCCCATAGAGGAGAGTCGGGTGAGCCGGTATGAAAGACATCGCTCACTAATATCATGTCAGCGACGAGCCACATTTCGGGGAGAGCAGCTTCCTTCCACACCTTTGTGAAATCCATACATGTTCAGCTGCCTCACGAAGGATGATATGTTGGTGTGCTTGAAATATTGCCTGTCAAAGCATTAGACGCTCGATATGCACGCGGCGGACATGGTGGCTTCCAATGGACATACGCTAAGACTTTAGAAAATTCGGACGAGGGAGACATGACGAAGCTTTCATTCGTACTCGACCATGAGATAAGATGTTGGATGCTTTGATCTTCCAGCATGCTGCAGGCAAAAGTCAGCTTGCGTGTGTGTGTGTGTGAGAGAGAGAGAGCAGAGCCTCAGACGAGTATCACGAACTTGTAGAGTTTGTGGATGAACGCAGTCTGAACGACCTTGGGTTGCTGTGCTGCAGCTGCAGCTCCCGTTGGTTGCGCGCTGCTTCCATTCGTATCATCTTGGTCACGTTGTTGTTGATGTTGTTGTTGTTGTTGCTGCTGCTGCTGCTGCTGCTGCTGTTGCTGCTCGCGAGCTTTATCGCCATTAGGACTTGCACTTGGGGGCCCCATTGGTGCGCTGGAAGTTTGGCTGACTTCCATGGGACCTCCTTGTGATGGAAGTGATGCGGATGGAAGAATAGGTATGCTTTTCGGCAAGTTTGGTCGATATGCTTCAGGCTCGCTTTGGAAAGGATCTCTTCTCAATGGCTGCTGGAGTGAGGCCATTGATGAAGCGCGCGTTCAGAAGAATGCTCTTTGGCGTTGTAGTTGCACGATCACTGTATATCGAGAGAGCAGCTGATAGGCCGAGGATTCGACCGCTTGTCGCTCGTGCGCGTCGCCTTTGATGTCTGCTACCACCTCGCTGCTGATTGTACTGCTGCTGCCACCCGGTCGCTTCCTGGTAGTCGATCTCTCCCGGCGAGCATCCAAAGCGCTCATGCCGATTCCAGGTCGACAGTACTGACTCTTGTGGGGGGAAAGTGTGTATGCGGTATAGGCAGTGTTGCGACTTGCGCCCAGGGATCTTCGGGGTCACGGCTGATCAGTCGGCGGTGTTTCGCGCCGTCTCATGGGCAGTACAGTATCTTTGCACGCTAGTTTTGGGGCCTTGCGGCGGCGGGGCGTATGTCGTCGAGTATAGCGACGGCGGCGGCGGCGATGGACGATCGAGGAGAAGGGGGACGGAAATGGCGAGTACCTAGGTACCTGTAGGTGTAGGTACCTAAGGTATGTCAGGTAGGGTGTTCTCGGCTTCTAGCAATGCGGTGTGGTATACAAGAATGTTCAGGGCGGTGGGCTGCGCTGGGCTGCGAGAGGGCATGGAAGGAAGGCTCCACAGCGATAATAATGATACAGGCACAGGTGGAGCTGGGCTCGGGAGAGAGAGAATATGACGGGATGGAAGAAGAGAGATACCACTACAGTGTACTACTAACTGGGTAGCTACAGTAGTGTCTGGTTCTGCTTGCTTGCTTGCTTGCTATTAGCCAGACCCTGGGCCAAGATGCACCGACCGCGAGCCGACGGCAGAGAGCAGTTGATTAGTGTGCGACCGCGTCCCCTATTCATTTTCTCGCTCATGTCATGCTCAAGGCTCAAGCTCATGCTCATGGCCTCACATGCCATGCCATGCCATACCATGCCTTGCCATTGCTCGCCCCCGCGACGAGGCATCAAGAAGGACGGGCCGCTGCCCTCGCAATACAAGCACAAGTAGGTACATGTAGGTACTGTACTGTAGCTACAGTATACAACAAGCAATAGTATAACAGACGAGTCATCGCCTCAGAGGCATACATAGTTCGTTGCCGGACGCGAGAGTGCCGGCCGTGAAGTATGCAAGGTACTGACTCGTACATTGGAGTTGGAGATGCTTCCACTGCTCCCACGACTCCAAAGCTTTGGCTGTGAATCCACATGGACCTACTGCCTCCTATCTCCTACCTCCTACCTCCTACCTCCTAGGAGGTATTTCCAGGGTCGAAGACGGCCACCAGTACTTCTACCTCCAGCGAACAACAACAGTCTACACTCCACAACAGCAGACTCAGACTGCGCAGACGGCGCGTGCATCCGAGCGGCCAATCAGCCTCCACGTGCAGGGTGTGACCGCGCCGCCGGGTCGGGTCTTCATCCGGCCCAGGGCTGTATTGGTCGAGGACGTATATATACTCCCTTCTATACGGGTTGATTAATCTTGATATGAGAAGATCGTTCTCGGCTCATCATATACCTGACCTGTAGGCTGTAGAAGTTATATAAAAATATAATAAAATAGCAATAGCAAGGTCAATAAATAGATCGCACGGACTGGACCAGCACGGTGCTGGGAGGTAGGAGTACAGAGTTGGCCGCGCACCAGCCGCGCCTCATGCACCTGCAGCATCTCCCATGTCATGTCAATAACTTTGTGTGATAATAATACTCCACTAAAACGTGCCTTACTGTACTGCATGCAGCAGGAGCGTAAGTTGTAACGGTCGCTCCTGCAGGCCGGCTCCACTCCCACGGGCTCAACAAGAAGGAACATTTCCATCCCACTGCGCTCGCACGTGGGAAGGAGCCTCCTGGAGAGATCGCTCTTGCCATGTGCGTCCCTCACAGTACCGTCCCTACCGTATGAGTACCCGGATCGTCGCGTCTATCCGCTCCCAAAACAGATAATGCCCATCCTTGACCGTGGGTGCCCAGCAGCGTCTGCCCCAGATAGATCCAACAACAATAAATGATAAATCCCGCCAGACCAACAACAACAACAACACCACCACCACCACCACCACGCGTAGAGCGGCACTGCGGACAGCAGACTTTTCTCGACCGCCGACTGGCAACCGCTATCATGACCGCAACAAACATCCGGCATCTCGTGCAAGCTGCCGGCAACGATGAACGGCGAACCATGTCAGTTGCCGTCGCAGCGTCGCAGTTCCACGTCGCGGGAACGATGAAACACGACAGACAGCAGCTCACCGCGCACTCCTTCTACGCAGGTTACGTGAGCTTGCAGACGCCCTACGATGGCAAGACCGCCTCCTCCTCTCCACCCTCTTGTCGCAGAAGAACGATCCGGCGAGGCAGCTGCCCACAGAGTTGATGATACACATCTTCGGCTATCTGCCCCTGTTCGACGCGTGGCGGCTCCAACTCGTGTGCAAATCGTGGCACCTCTGCCTATCCGCCGACGCTACCCAGCGCGCTCTTCTGGCGAGATGGGAGACTCATAGCCCAGCGGACTCGGCGCGCTCATGCGAGCAGCAGCAGCAGCAGTCGGTGACGGACATGGTGAGGCACATGCGAGCTTGGTGCCTCAATCTGCCGTTCTCGACAGCCAAGATACAAACCGGTCGTGCTGTTATGCAGCGCGGCCTACAGTCGCAAGCGCAGCGGACATTGGCCTTGAGTGGTGGGCGATTAGCATTCCTCGACAGTGATGTTCACCTCGGCGACGTAGTCGTGGTGCGCAACCTGCTGTCTGAGATGCCAGACTATCGTCTAAGACCTGCAGCTAGAGAGCGTATCATGGCTCTTGCACTGACCAAGAAGCTTGTTGCGTGCCTTACCTTCGCGGGGAAAATGTATGTCCAAGCTTTGCCGGACACTTCAGGTCCGTTGAAAGCCATCACGTTGCCCTCGAGTTCCGTCACAGCGTTTCACGCAGATGACAATGTGATCGGACTTACCGTCGGCAACGCTGGCGGCCCGACAGGCTCCCTATTGTTGTACAGTCATGCCACTGGACGAATGGCCCAGCAGACGATTCGTTATCCATCTCCCACCGAGACTGCACCTGTTGAAGGCTCCCACTCGCCTCCAGCCAATGCTTCACCGGGCGTTCCGCGCATAGCACCATCGTCCATGCTAGTGAATGAGACTACTGGAACTACAGACCTCTTCTACTCTTCTGAAGTGGCTTTGGCCCATGGTACTGATGACCAGTCAGAGTTTCTGTGGTTCGCGCATCAGCGATATCACAACAAGCCTGGTCAGCTTGGAAGAACTGATCTAGCGGCAGTAGAACAAGAAGACGTGTTGCGGTTGCCCATGCAACCTGACCTTATAAGACTTGAAGGTGGCGCTTTGGCAGCACCTCATCCTACCGGTTTACGCTCACAGTGGGCTTTCTCCACTTCTTTTGCAAAGACCATGAATCACGTTCGACCACTGACTTGTATGATACCCATGTTCGATGCCAAGAAGGGAAAGCTATACAGACAGCACTACCCCTTTCCGGATCATTATAGTCCTCAGGACATTCGGCGCTTGTCAATATGGAAAGGAGCTGTACACACTCACCCTCGTCTTAGTGACATCACACCAATATACAAAATCAGGGACGACGCGTCGCCTACAGAAGGACTACCACCGTTAGTGCAGCTCCACGCCGTCCTTCACGAACGTGCAATTCTGACTGGACTCATATAGGTCTCGACGATGGGTGGATGCAGTGGCACTCCTGGGGGAGGCTCACGGTGAGATGCAAGAGGTTGCACTCAACGATTCGTTTCTGGTCCTGAAATCGATTAGTTCACCACCGGAAACATCTTCTAGTCACATTACTATTTGGTGCTTTGAGAGTAATTTTGATTGGAGAATGGACGGGAAGACCGAGGTTTGGGACTGGGATCTCAACGAGATGGCGAACAAGGCGAAAGACCTGCAAGATCCACATGGCACGGCAAGAAGACATGTCAGCTGTGAGTTGCCCGCAGAGGTAGTAATTAGGTCGTTGCCGTAAGAATGTCCTAGCTGGCAGATTTCTGCGATATGCAAGTGATATATGCGAATAGGCTGCGAGGGAGAGATACTTGTTGGAACAGAAAGAGGAGAGGAGCTGTTCAGAAGTCGAAAATGCAACAATAGGATAAATAAGGGTACAGTACTACGCTCACAAGTTACGAAATGGTATCATCGACAAGAAAAGAGTACTCGCGGCGCATCGGTAACATAAATTCTTCACAAGTCGCCGCCAGTCGTATATGATACCCCAACATTTGGAGATGAAGGGGCGTCCGCCGAGCGCCTCCGACTCGCTCTGATCCGCATCTGGTGGTACGCAATACCCCGAGAATGCAACTTGGCAATGGCCTTTCGATCGAGTACGACCTTGTCCCAATTTCTTGGGAGCCTTCTGTCGGCGAGCAATAAAGTGAGCTTCATGTTCCGCGCCTTGAATCGGATGTCCTCTGCGCTTCTTTGCATGAGCTTCGCTTCTCCTGTTTCTTCGAGAGATCGATCAATGGCTTTGAGACTGGAGTAGCTGATGCTTTCTTCCTCCTCCACATGGTCCACAATGAGATCGATCAGTGCGCTTTCCTCTTCGTCTGTCCAGGGTTGCCGAATTTGAGGTGGGCGTCTCTGCGTAGAGCTGACGCGGTTGTATGCGGCATCTTCCTTTGCCTGTCGGTAGAACTCGCTCGACGGGACTTCGGGGTCTTCAGGGTGTGGTCGTGATCGTGGTGGAGGGATCGATGCGCCGGGATTCTTGCGTTGTCTCTTGGCAGGGCTCGGCTGTGTAGACGCGTACTGTCTCGAGAGCTCTGTCCCTGCCCCTGGGCTGCCTTGAGACGCAGTGGTAGCGGAGCGTTGCGGCGCTCTCTGTGTTGCCTGCTGGAACGCCACTTCGGCGCGCCTTTGCGCAGCATTGCTGTAGTCGCGGACACTGTTCTCAAAGCCAGCATCCGGTGTGGGCTCAAAGTCGTCTAGCGCCTCGTCTTCCATCTCTGCATGAGTGCGTTTGGGTGCAGTCGATGTAGTCTCCGGCTGACTATCTTCGAACATGTTACTGCTGATGCGCTCCGCATTGGCCTGCCGATCGATCAGACGAGCCTTTTCCTTTTTGGCATTCTGTCTCTGGGCGGCATTGAGCCTAGCGACGGCTTGTTGCGCAGTCGACTGGGGCGCCAGCTCAGGCTCCTCGTGCTCTTGTGCCTCTGAATAATCTTCGAGTTCTTGCTGAGCTCCAAAGTCGTGGACGATAACGTCCTCACCTTGCGGAGGGGCAGTCGGTGCGGACATGACCGCCACGGGTGCAGGCTGTTGCTGCGTGATCTGCTTCTCCCGTCCCTTCAGCAGGGCCATGGCGCTTTTTCCACCCAAGCTTTGTCTTGAAGCCTTGCTAGTCATGGTATACTCTTGCTTCATCCGCTCAGCCGTCTTCTCGCTCGCTACACGGTCGGCTTCTTGCTCGAGGCCCTTCACGATTGCTCCAACCCCGCCCGCAGCTTCTATGTGTCTATCCACTTCCTCGGCGCGGGGCCCATAGTACCTCAGCGTGTTAGACCGAAAGTCATCCCAGCGGAACTGGGTTTTGAGATGTCCATTAGAGGCAGTGGCATCTATACCATCTTGGTCAAAGGGCGCCTTTAATAAAGTGAGACGCTGTTCGACCATGTCCATGCCTCGTTCCCGATCGTCTTCGCTGGCTGACATGAAGCCAAAGGCCTTGTAATGTTTGAATTCCTCATTGCCATCATTGAAGACGTTGTCAATTTCCTCGTGGGGAGAGAAGCTTGCGCCGCTGTCAATGGCAGAGTCTAACCTCCTGATGGTCACATGTGCGGCGATCTCTAGCCATAGCTGGAGAGCATAAAAATCGAGTTTGCCACCAGCAATGCAAGCTGGAAATGCCATGTCCAGGCTCTCCAACGCTCCGGTCGCGTCCTCGGTCCAATCGGACGGATCACAAAGGACAAGCACAGCTCGCAACATGAGCGCCATATTGATTTTGTACAAGATGTTGTCCGGTCGCCAAGAAGCAGGCTGCACATCAGCCACGGACTGAACCTTCAGCAATGCCCGTAGGACGTGAGTCGGTTCGACGTACTCGACGCTCGTCAGAATCGGTCTCAGGATGCGTAGAGAGTCCCAGCGTGTGGAGTACAGCTTGTTGTGCTTGGAGCCAGTGCGCTTGATCTCCTTCCACGTCTCTGGTGGTGTTTTGAGGCCGCTTGGCAGGAGCAGCTGCGCCAATCTATCCGCGGCTGTGAGAGCATCGGGCAGCACATCACAGATCACGTCAGGGTCAAGCTTATTGATTTCCTCTTGCGAGAACGATGTCTTTGCAGTGGTGCCCGAGAAAGCCGAACCGATGGAGGTGCGACGAGTCTGAAGTTCATTGCGCTCCTCCTCTGCGGTCTGTGCTTCGACCTGGTCTTCGGTGTCCGCCTCGTCCTCTTCGCCAATGCCATTCTCGTCGACAGTCGGCAGTTCTGGTACAAGACGTCAGTGAACATGTGCGATGCAAAGCATTCGGCGGCAGCAGCCATGACGGAGCGAGGGAGGACGAGAAGCAGCACCTTAGGCACCCCACAACTAAGCATGCACCCATGCACGCCAAAACCGATGGTCGCAATCTCACGCTTGGTTAGTACCTACGCACCTTTGGCTGCATTCTGGGCATTGTTCTTGCGAGCATCGCTCTTCGCAGTTGCGACGCGCGGCTCTGCGGAACTCTGTCTGCTGCGAGTTGTACGCGTGTTGGCAGCTTCTTGTGGTTGTGCGCTCTGACTGCGGGTGCGACGGCTTGTTGGTCCTGGCGCGACGGCCGTCGCTGAATACGCCTTGGCCATGTTCATGCAGTGGGCACAGCGAGCCTGCGTCCGTCGCTACGACGACCAGGAGGATAGAGCTGCGCGGGCGACTGCGCGCAACGCGTTGTTGTGGATGGAAGTACTGTTTGTGGGAAGAAATGAAGGGTTGCACCCTAGTGGCTTATGTAAAGCGACGGGAGCAAGCGGCTGCGCGAGGCAACCAACCAGAAATGCTAAAAAGAAAAAAAGAAAAGCGTTCCGGGTAGACCGCGTCACCGTAGGAGGTACCTAGTGAGAAGTTGAGAACCCTCTACCAACTCACTGCACAGAGTCCAGACGACACTGCGGTGGAATATACCCAGAACCCAGTGAATTCGACTCCATGAAATACCTTGTTGTATACAGGAGAGATGTGTCTTTCCCCTCAGCTTCGCAGAGGTGTGGTACACTGCGTTTCCCACAGACTGCCTTTAGTCTTAATCATCCTTTGCGCAGCGAGCGGGTGGCGGATGAACGGTCGGAGGTCCCCCTGAGAGGCGAGAGGAAGAGAAGAAGAAGAACAAGAAGAGGCTTGACCCCAGACTACTTCATACAGGAGGTTCTCGAGTCTCACAGCATGGAAGGTTTGTCACTTCATCGCTGACTACTGCTCACTACCACATACCTACTGGAACTGACTCTTACCCTTCCTTACCTGTACTCTTCTTGTGCTATTCTTCCCATCACTACTACTCCTGTCATTGTTGTTTCGTTCACCATTGGGCGTCGCCTATCATTCAGTGACGTACGGCACCATCGAATCTGTTCTGTTCCATCTCTCTCCCTGGACGTCGTGTCAGATCTGATCCGCTTTTGTTTCTCACTACCTACCTGTAGGTACCTACTTACTTTACCTACCTGACCTACCTACCGACTCTACCTATCTACCTCTCCACTGTACACTCACTGGTCGCCCCCCATCGCTCTGCACATACGCACACATACACCATGCGGATACGACGCGCCTCACCTGTTCTCCTCCTCCTCGCTCCTTCCCTGCTCGCAGCGCAGAATGTGATGCCGAAAGAGGGCACGGAGGTGCTGTCCAACGACGAGATCCTGGCATTGAACCGAGTCAAAGGCGCAGAGCCCGTGCGAAAGGCGGCCGCCGATGCTGCAGCGGTAGATGCACCCAACTCGAAGGCAACGCGCATTTACAAGGGTACGGAGGCTGCGCCAGTGGATGGACTAGATGGCAAACCACACGCCGGTCCCTTCGTGGATCGTCCAGCAGAAGCAAAGGGCGATGCTGCTGCCGCTGCCGTCAAGGCAAAGCCAACATCTCTCAGCAACTTTGCAGGCCAGGACATTCCGGAGAAGAACGATGGGGTCATGAACGACGACACTCGCATGCCGCCCAAGAAGGGCACCACAGGCACCGAGGGCGGCATCAGCACCAAGGATAAGGCGCGCAAAGATGGCGATACTGTTGCAGAAAAGACTCCCCAGACGCCCCAGAAGGCACCGACGCTGCCCCATAGCGAAGAGGAAGTCATGAGGAGCAGTGACAAGTCAAAGGCATCAGACAAGTCCTCAAGCGAAGAGAGCACGGATGCCATCACGGGTGACAAGGTCACTACGGCGAAGAAGGGCGGAGACTATGGCGAAGCAGGATATGGTTTGGAGAAGCCTACAAATCTGCCACCCAAACCGCACAATATTCCACACCCGGAAGCGAAAGTGCCGACCACAGGCACGAGCGACGATGAATTTGGCCCACCCGTCAATCCATCGGGAGGACGAGACAAGTGGCTGGTGGACACAATGCCTGATACCGAAGGCAAGACGAACCTCAAGCCCGCGAAGCCCGCGACTGGCAGCAGTGGCTCCTCCGCACCTGTCCCGCCGTCCACCATCACCAAATCCACTGCAGATATGGAATGGCACGAGTGGTTCCATTCTTTCGTGCTCTCCTTCACCATGATCATCTTCTCCGAGATTGGCGACAAGACGTTCCTGGTTGCCGCCCTGATGGCCATGCGCCATCCTCGACTTCTCGTCTTCAGCGCTGCAATCTCTGCTCTCATCGCCATGACGGTCCTGTCAGCCGTGCTCGGACACGCGTTTCCCGCTCTCCTCCCAAAGACGTACACCACATTCGCCGCAGCCATTCTGTTCTTCGTTTTTGGCGCAAAGAGTCTGCGAGAAGGATTGGCGATGGATAAGGATGCTGGCATTGGAGAAGAGATGCGTGAAGTCGAGGCGGAGCTCGAAGAAAAAGAGCATAGCATGAGACACCGGAAAAACAGCAAGAGTGATCGCAGTCTATCGGCATATGAGCTCGAAGCGGGACGGGGGAGAAACAAGGGCGAGCTCTCGCCCCCACTATCGCGAAGTCCTTCGCCACCGAGGAGCAGAGGCGGAGCAGGTTTGGAGAATCTGCTCAGTCTCGTGCTCAGTCCAGCGTGGGTGCAGACATTCATCATGACCTTCCTCGGCGAATGGGGAGACAGGAGTCAAATCGCCACCATAGCCATGGCGGCCGGACAAGACTACTGGCTGGTGACGCTCGGTGCAATTGCGGGCCATGCGTGCTGCACTGGCATGGCAGTCATTGGAGGTCGAGCCCTGGCTGGACGAGTCTCCATGCGAGTCGTCACCATCGGAGGCGCCCTTGCTTTCCTCGTCTTTGGCTGCATATATCTGTACGAGTGCCTGGTCGGATGAAGCAGCAGCATCAATTTCCATCATAGCCTCTCTAGGCACGTTTCCTTACAAGTCAATCCACGGATTAGCGACTGGCGCAATGGCGGGGAGGGAAAAGGCGGCGGGCGGATCAGTGCGAGAGTAATTTGGGAGCGAGGACTGTAATCTATGCTCAAGGCGAAGGAAGGACAACGATAACAAGAAGAAGAACATACCAAACAGGTACCCAACAACAGCGATTGGCTGAATCAACAAAGAGAAGGCTGTGTCTGAGTAGATGATAACCATATGGAGTAGGACGGGACGTCTGTTCTTTTCTTTTCTATTTTGCATAGCGGATCTAGGCAAGAGACGGAAAAGCGTCGAAAAAATTCCTTGTGAAGAAATACTCCATCAAACGTCCTTTCGCCTACTGTCATTACTACTTACTACCTTACCACATACACCAAATACTTACCAGTGTTATGTATATGCTGTACAATCCAAGAGCTCTTCTTTCCATCTTCCTAGCTTCGAGTTTCCTTATCCATGAGAAAAGAAAAAATCTACCACTTATTATAAGGGTGCAGATATCGAATCTCAAGTGATAGATCCAGGTACATTTCAATTTCTGCAATGCGTAAAGGAAGAATTTTCAAATACATAAAGGTATCTTTTACACTACCTAGAATGTGCACTCCATCTATCCGTATCTGTTCTGACGCACTCCATTTTCATTTTCATTTTTAAACAAGGTATATATTTAACTTTGAACTTGGTGTCTTCATCAATAAAAGGGGATGTGGTTTAGTGGTATAATACCTCTTTAGCATGATTCTCGACGCCAAGGCATAAGCGTCGAGAACATTTGATGTTTAGAGGTGGTCCAGGGTTCGATTCCCTGCATCTCCACTTTTTTGTTTTTTATCTTTGTTTGCATTTTGTGTTTTGCGTTTTGTATTTTGCGGGGAAAGAGGAAGAGATGAGAGGAAATAGAAGGATTGAGATGCTGTAGGTGGTAGTACAGGTAGTTACCTAGTAAGGTAGCCTGTTGGGGACCTATGCGGGAGAACAAAGGTGACTGACTGTACGTGTGGGTGGGTCAAACAAAGTTAAGGTCAGTCAGTCTTTTGATGGAGCTGGTAAACTCGGAAATCGAGAACGCTTCCTCTCCCGCGCGAGAAGAGTGAGGGACTTTGGCTGATTGATTGGGAGAATTGGGGGTTCTGAATATCTGTTTTTCATGTCAATGTAGGTATGTGTTTGTAGATATTCAGAAAACTGGAAAGAAAGAATCCTCAGTCACTCCCATTCATCTACATACATATATACCATACCATATAGCTGAAAGGTACATACGAATCAATCAATCAATCAAATCTAGTACGTGACCTTCAAACCCTCCAACTTCCCAGCATCTCTCCAATCCTTAATCATCTTAAAATACTCCAAACCATTTCCTCCATACCACCAATTCCTCACATGTTTCTCCGTCACATGCCCCTCATTATTCATCCAACCAGGCGTACAAGTCGCCTCAAAAGTACTACGATTCTGACCCGCCTTCAACACCTCCTTCAACCACGCCTCTTCCGCCTCTTTGCTCGGCTCCACACACTTGGCGCCTCGCCGAAGCGTTTCATTGATAATATAACTGAGATGAATCGCTTGCTCGTGAATTCCATACAGCGCATTCACAGCCAACGGACCTTGTGCGGTGGTGATCCAGAAGGCGTTGGGGAAACCATTACTTCCCCAGGAATGCAAACCGATGGTGCCATTGGCCCATTTTTTCGAAATCGGTTCGCTGCGTCCATAGACGTCCATTCCGGCTCGTTGCACCCAATCCGTGGCTAATTCGTAGCCTGTGGCGAAAATTACGGCGTCGACTTCATATTCTACTCCGTTGAATTTGAAACCCGTTTCGGTGAATTCGTCGATTCCTTTGCCGTCTGTGTCGATGAGGTGCACGTTGGGCCGGTTGAAAGATGGCAGGTAGCCGTCGTGGAAAGTGGGTCGTTTGCAACCCCATCCATACCAGGGCTTGAGTTTCTCGGCGACTTTGGGGTCTTGGATGGTGCTGTCGACGCGGTCGCGGATGGATTGCATGCGTTCGAAATTTTTGCGGAGGATTTCGCGAGGAATGTCTTCGGGTTTGGCGCCTTTGGTGGCGTTTGTAAAGGACAAAAAGACACGCGACCAGTTGTCGTCGACCAAGTCTTCGTCGGTGGCGCCTCCGAGAGACATTTTGTTGAAGTTGTGTTGTCGGTTTTTCTGCCATCCTGGTTTGATGTTTTCTTTGATCCACTCTTCGGTCGTGTCGCAGTTGAGGCGTGTATCGACTCCCGAAGGCGTGCGTTGTACTACGAAGAACTCTTTGGCATTCTTCGCCACGTGTGGGATGATTTGCACTGCTGTGGCGCCTGTTTTTTTCCCCCAAAAACAGTCAGAAACATGATAGCCAAACAAGCCTCAGAGAGAGGCAAGAAAAAAAGTGGGCACACTCACCTGTTCCAATAATGGCGACTTTCTTATCCTGAAGCTTCGACAGATCCTTGCCGCAGTACTCATAGTCGAATCGACTCGAGTGAAAGGCATGACCCTTGAACTTCTCAATGCCCGGCGTACCAGGAAGCTTAGGACGATGCAGTGGACCCGAGTTGAGCACCACAAAGCGAGCGTAAATGGTATCATTATGATTCGTAATGATCCTCCAGACACCCTTGTACTCTTCCCAATGAATACTCAAAATCTCCGTTTGGAACAACGCTTTCTCGTGAAGACCGTAATGCGTGGCAATCCGTTCCGCGTGCTCCAACAGTTCCGGTTGATGCGCGTACTTTTCCGTCGGAACATATCCCGTCTCTTCGAGCAGAGGCATGTAGATGAAACTCTCAATGTCGCATTGGGCGCCGGGATATCGGTTCCACCACCTACATCGCAACAAGAACCACATATCAATTTGTCTGTTTTTTCTTTTTGATATAATACACCTCCCCTCTCACATCATCCCTGCCGCGGGAATATCAGTCACGGGGGAATGATACTTACCAAGTACCACCGAAACCACCACACTTGTCGACCATGAGGAAGTTCTGAATGCCATACTTCAAGAGCTCGGCGGCCGTCAGCTGGGAGCCGTAGCCACCACCCATGATCAACACGTCCGTCTCCCTATAGACGGGCTCGCGAGGCGTCTCTGCCTTCCACGGGTCCCCTAGCCAAGAAGCGAAATGGCCATCGACGACACGATATTGCGAGATGTCGCGACCAAAAGCCAAACGCTTCTCTCGTTCGGCATCGTACTTCTTCTGGGCTTCCATAGCCTTGAGGGTAGTCTCATCGGCGTCTCCATTGACGAGGTTCACCTTACTCGCCAGGTTGTGGGCCATGTTTGCTTTTTATTCTTTTTCAAAAATATCGCGAGAATGGAGGGGGAGAAAGGAAGAAGCGTAGGGATATATCAGTGATGATGATGATGATGATGGATCATGGACCTTACCACAGCGAGGGGAAGGGGGAGCATATATGGTGTCTTTTATCATGTCCTGTTGCGCATCCATTCATACCTACCGAAAGTGAGATGGGGGACAAAAAAGAACAACAAACACACAGAAATCACTCAAATCCTCGTCCACGCTCTCGGCGGCCGGATGCAGCGCATTGAAGTCATATCCCGTGGCGTGACGTTTAAGACAAGCAGAAGCTGCAGTATCAGTGCTGCATAATAATAATAATGTGAATATGCACGTGGTATAGATGCACGCATGAAACTTTGCTGCTGCTACAGGCAGGCAGTACAGGAAGATAGGGAGATATTGGGGGGTGAAAGGTTACAGGTAAAGCTGACAGCTGCCCCCAGACTCAGCAATAGCATCTCTCCGCAATGAAAGGGGGCCCCCTTGCCCCCTTTCCCCCCCTTGTAGAGTGTAAGAGGTATGTAGAAACATTGGGCGGACAAATCGGAGACAAAAGGGCCGAAATCATAAGTCCAATGCAATGTGTAATGACGTGTGAGTAGCTGACAACCCAACATAAGGCCTCTCATAAAGTCGACATTAAATCGACACAAAAGAACCAGGGCAGGCTACAGCTTTTTACCTCCTAACTGGTTTTTACAAGACGTAACGCAGGACTTCGGCATCGCTTACGGATCTCGGGAGAGAGGTGGAGATGGAGCCCTAATTCACCCCGCTATCTACTCGTGCGTGTTTGCATGTGCCGTGGTGGGACACTGTGGGGCTGTGAGACCCTTTGACCCTTGTACCTGCACCTGCCGAGGCTGCCGTTGATGGCCCTTTTTTCCCCTTCCCGACCGCCGAGCTTTTGTACATACCTCTCTGCCAATGGAGGCAACTCTAGTACCTACGTAAGCCTCGCAAGGACACTTCACGAGGTTTTCCTCCTTTTGTGCAACCCGAGCATCAAAAAAATAAAAATAAAAAATAAACTCCAGCTACATAATCTGAACGTGTGCCTGTGGATATGTATGTTTGTGTATAGGTACCCTACCTTACCTTACATATACCTTTTATGTACCTTATACAGTGCATATACCTACATATAAGCATGTGATTGCTCTGCCATGATCAGCACAGCTGTGCTCTCTGTCCACATTCATTGGAAGTATTGTTAGATATCCATATATCATTTCTTCCTCCCGACCTGCATGCACCATGGCCACCTTGGATGCACTCTTTGAGGAAATTGTCACCAATGACAAAGGCCTAGTCAACGTAGCAGCAAAAGCTGTCGATCGAAATGGTAAGGTCTTTTTTTAAATGGCTATTACACACGCACTCATCATTCTACGCGAGAGGGACAACTGAGATCTGACGGTGTTTTCTGCTCAGGCAATGTCCTTTATCAAAAGGCTGCTGGACGCCAGAAGCTCAACTCTGATGAGCCGATTCGGTCGGATGCGGTTTATTTTATTGCATCGTGCTCGAAGTTGATTGCTAGTATTGCTGCTATGCAATGTGTGGATCGAGGCCTTTTGGGGCTGGACGACGATGTAACGCAATGGCTGCCGGAGTTGAAGGATGCACCCGTGATATCTCTGAGTGAGCCATTCAATCATATGGAACCTACAGGCCAGGCAAGGTAAGCTGTCTGAACTCAGTCCGTGATGCTGCTTCTTCTCCTCAAAGTCTGACTCGAGAGTGCAGAGTTGAAAAGGGCGATTTGCCCCAAATTATCACGGAGAAGAGAAAGGGTATCGTCACGCTACGGCACTTTTTGACGAATACATCTGGTTTCGCCTACGACCAGTTCGACCCGACTTCATTCGTATGGCGAGCCTCTCGAGGCCAAGGTCCCCAGACGAATTTGTGCAAGATGAGCAACCTCGCCGACCAACCCGTCGTGTTCGAACCAGGACAATCCTGGGCATATGGACTGGGCTTCGAATGGTCTGGAGAACTAGTCTCTCGTCTAAACAAAATGTCATTCGAAGACTACTTGCAAGAGAATATATGGAAGCCTCTCGGCCGAAACAGCACCACCTTCCGTCCCTGGGAGCATCCTGAGATCGAAGCTCGCGAGGCCGGAATGGCAGTACGGACACCAGATGGCGGACTCGCCCCCGTAGGCAGTATCCTGCCACGCCCCGCACCAGATGACATGGGCGGTATAGGACTCTACAGCACCGTCGACGACTACGTCGCCGTCCTCGCCGATCTCATATCCCCGCAACCCAAATTGCTGAAGCCCGAAACAGCAGACGAATTCTTCACACCACAACTCGGCGTCGACTCACCCGCGTGGAAAGGTCTTTTGCAAAGTCAACACATCTGGGCTCCCTTGACAGGACTCGCACCAAATGCGAGCGACGAGGTATTGCGCAAGATGGATTTCGGCCTCAGTGGCGTTTACGTTGTTGAGGATACGGATTCTTTGCCTGCGGGGACCCTTTCCTGGTGGGGAATGCCCAATTTGACGTGGTTTGCTAATCGCAAAGTCGGTGTTGCGGGTATGCTTGCGACGCAATTGCTTCCTCCGGGGGATCAAGTGCCGATTGAATTGAGTGGGAAATTGAGGGAGGTTGTCTTTGCCAAGGCTACGTGAGCCACACTTTACCTGTATGTAGAATCGTAGATGCAGTTTTTTCGGCAAATAGACAAAAAGCTGTAAATGTACTTGACCCCACGGCATCAGTTCTTCTACACAACTCCTCCTCCTCCTCCTCCCCTCCTAAACTAGATACTAAACCAGATAAGGAAGTTCCAAGCATATACCTCCAAAATTTTCCATCTGCCGTGCCGTAGGAGATAGGTATCCGCCAAGAAAAAAAGTTCAAAGAGTGGAAACAACCTTCCAATGCCAAGATTTTTTCCGCCCGCCCGCCTTGCGCCTAAGAAAAGAGGGGATACTCTAGTCTTCCTTATCAAACAAACAGAAAACAATCAAACATTCAAGTGCCGTTACCTGCTACTGTACCTCCTATCTCTTGGCCCTAGCCTAGCTACCTAGTCATTCAAGCAGGGGCATGGAGCAGGGGTAGGGGTAGGGAGGCCTGTACAGTACGTATGCTATAGAAAAATCGTGGCGGGGATATACATAGATACATACATAGATACATGGTATGTCTCGGCAGTTGCGAAATCGATGAAAAGCTGGGATGATGGTAAGGAGTAGGAGACTTCACTTGTGACTTACTTTGAATTTTATTTTTATTATTCATAATGATTATGATTATGATTATGATGATTCGCTATGCAACAAAGATGAAGATGAAGATGAAGATGAGATACAGGTAGTAGTTAGTTTTTTCTTCTCAGAGGGGGTGTTTTCTTTCGTAGAGACTACATAGAGAGCAGGTTACATAACGCTACCTTACCTACCTACCTACCTCTTAGGTACCTTACCTTATGTACCTGTAGTGATGAAAGATGGGTTGGAGATTCAATACAGCTACCTATTGCAAAAATCATGATAATGTAGAAGAAAAAGAAAAGTGAATCGCTTGGGTCGTGAAAGAAGTATATGAAATAGATAGATATATATGGCAATAACGCTTGACGAAACTCATCATTTCCCGTCTAGAGATTGCTGTGCGAGAGAGAGAAAGATGGTTAGCATATCGCGGAAAAAAAAAGAAAACGTGATTTGAGGAAGAACAAAAAGAAGAGGAAGAAAACTTACAAACAAAGCACGATCGGCTTGAGCAGCAGCAAATTCCTTTTGAATAATGGGCACCTTGTGTTTTCGTGGAACCAGCATGACAGGCATATCCTCACCGGGAGTGCCTGGAAATAAGCCCGACCAGTCTCGAGTGTCCAAGGGAAGTTTGGCATGAGGCGCAATCTTCACCTCAAAAGTCCAGAGAATGCGCATGATGGCGACGGTGAGAGATCGTTCGGCCACATTGTAGCCCGAGCATACTCTGCGACCAGCACCAAAGGCAAAGTGATCTCTCTTGGTCGCATCCGGGTTGTTGAGACTTTCCATGGTCGAGGTGGGGTCATTGAGATATCGTTCGGGCCAGAATCGCTCGGGATCTTGATGTCGGTCGGGGTTGTGCTGGACTGCCCAGGCGTTGAGATGCAGGAAAGATCCTTTCGGGATGCGCATGCCTTCAAAGGTGATGTCGGCCGACGTGCAATGTGGCTGGCCCAGAGAAACGGGGGGTCGCCAGCGGAGTGTCTCCTTGACCATGCATCGAATGTACGGGACACGCTCGTGGTCTTCAAAGACGGGAATGCGATCGCCCATGGCCTCATCCAGGAGCTTGTATGCTTTCTCTTGCACCTCTGGGAAGCGCATCATGGCTTCCAGGAAACACCAGAGCGAAGCCTGGCTGGTGTCGGACCCGGCAATGGTCAACTGCATGCATACATAGGCACCCTCTTCCTTGGTATCGAACCCGAGGTGCTTTTCATCCTCGACAATCTTGCACATGAGAGAGTCCTTGATGAGAGCTCTCTCCTTATCGGACATGGCTTGCACTCGGTGCATCTTTTCGGTGATCCAACGCATGTCCCGACGGAAACGTTCGCGTCCATTGCGCTCCCAAGGCTTCAAGAACATCGGCAGTCGGTTGAGGAAGGGCAGGATGTCTACCACGTAGTATCCAGGTATCGTGCCGAGAACCTGTGCTTCCGCAGTCTCGTGGATGTATTCGATGCAGGGATCTGACAACTTTGGTATTTCCAGTCCAAACATCTGAGTCGCGAAATTGCTATAAGTATAACGCTTCACGGCACCCCACAACGCATTGCTGGATGTTTGGAGCTTGGGGTCCGAAACGACCTCGTGCAAGAACTTCAACGTCTCAAAATTGAGGTACGGAAGGCCCTCGTTTGCGCGCGCAATGCTTCCCACATTCGACCAGGTTACTTTACGTTGCAGCTTCCACCGGGGACTGCTGGAATCGAGTGTCAACAGACTGAGGCCATTACTGATATGATCTCTGCTGACAATGGTCGGAGGGCGATCGGCGGATTGTCTTGCTGATTTGTCGAAGATTTCCTTCACAGCGAGATCGGTGTTGACCATGTACCTTTAACGAGAGCAAAGAGGTCAGCGTGGGTGAGCGAGTCGGTCATGTGGGCGAGTAGTAGCAGTAGTAGTAGTACATACTGCGTAAAGAGCCCGATTTTAACCCGGTAAAGTGGCCCATATTCTTCAGCCCATCGCTGGAACAGGAGATGTTCTTCTCGAGTCTTGCCTGCTTTCTGAAGTTGTGGCAGATTTCCAACAAGAGGGAAGCCCGGTGGCATTGGAGGTAGAGGGAGCAACTTCCGCTCGCGGACCACTTTTTCGATCTTTGTGACAGCGAACACAATCAGACAGGCCAGGAGCCCGAAGACGAGCAATTTTTGCCTGGCGACATCCTCAGAAATCCACGCCATGTTCGTGTCTGCGTATATCGATGATTGCAGTTCCCAAAAATCCGCAGTGGCAGATGCATTGCCGGTTTATATCTGCTCAGGGCAGTCTTTTTTTTGTTTAGAAAACACATCACCCCCCCTTAGGCAGTCCCTGGCCGGCAGTTTGTTTGTACACGGCAGTATACAGCTGTGCAGCAGGCAGCGGTGCAAGTGAAGCTATATTTCGTCATGGGCCACGGCACTCGGGAGAAGGGTGTTGCATGTGGACAGGAGGAAGTCCGATTGTACTGCCCAGGGCCAGCATAGGTGTGGAGAAGGCCTGCAACGGCCGTGTGCATACACTGCATCATCTGCATGCATACATGTACTATTGAGGCCCAGTCCGTTTATGTGCACAACATAATTAAAGGCCGACTGCATGCAATTTGATGCAAATGATGCAACCGAGGGAGGGAACTCCACTCCGGGAGCTCGGTCGCCGGTACGTGGGCCTGCCGTCTGGGCAGTGGACGGCTGGACGCACTGGTTGGTAGTGGGCCAGTGTCTGTGGCTGTGGCCGTGGCTGTTGGCTGTCTCGCGCGGTGCTTTCCCGGGGAGAGGCAGAGAGAAAAGACATTGTTAGTAAAAGGATCGAGTGTATTGGTCAAAAGAAAGACTCGGGTAGATAGTACGAACTGGAGCAGCGGGTGAACCGTTGAAGAACAAGAAGACTGCTTACATAATGGTTGCATCTGATATCGGACGGGGGAGTTTCGTGATAGGCGGCAGGCCCTGCATATACTGTATAATATCCCCTGTGGTCATGGGAGGGCGAGGGGGCTGAAAGGGACAGCAGACGTGGGAAGAGAGAGATTCAGTCAGAATCGACCATAGATAATGGAGCGTTTAATAGTAGTAGTAGTAGTAGTAGTAGTAGTAGTAAACCATAGTCCTGCAATTATGCGAGGTCGCTTGGCCTCACCATGCATTCGAAGAAGATAAATACCTATAGGTGTGGTCCCTCACCAGCACACCCATATGTCGGACTTATGCACAGAGCTATGCACAGAGCCACTGGACACAGGAACCGCCATTTCCACACGTGCACTCTTTAGGGGTGAAAAGGGTCGCGTTATAACTCATGGGCCATTCTGAACGCTGTCCCAGCAATGCCCTTCCTCCCGATTCACGCATTTCTGCTCCACAGCGACGAGCAGCCCATCCATCCATGGAGTTGTCGCACTCTCCTATGACTTGCTCAATTGTCCCTGCTCTTTATGAGTCTCTCGTTGTTGCACCATCCACTCCATAATGCTCTCATAGCATAACACAAACTGTCGCAGGCTCTGTACCATACTGATGCGCTGATGCCGAAAGTCCTCGACCGTCTTCTCCACCAGATCCACATCGTCGCGCGTCACCCAAGCGCTTTCGGGTTTGCCCTCGGGCTCGGGATGCTGGGAAGCGAAGAATCCACCATTGCTGCCTCTCCGCATCGCATCATTGCGCTCCGTATCTGTTCGGGACTGCTTCTTGTGCTTTGGGCTCGGGTCAATGTCCATGGGCGTGTTCTCTCGCGATGACTCGCGACTGAGTCGCTGACGCTTGATCATGTCAATCACGCTGTCGACAGTGCAGAAGGTGCCTGTGCGTCCGCATCCAGCAGAACAATGCACAAGAACAGGTCGTTCGCTGTCCTCTGCTGCGCCGGCCCGTGCAATCGAGCTCGTGGCGCGAACGACGGCATTGGTTTGTTCCACCAGGCCGAGAAGATGGGCAGGATGCGCGGGAGCACCAAAGTCAGGCCAGCTCGAGTACTGGAGCTGCGTGATTTCTCGCATGGGCTCAAAGGGAAAGCGATCGTGCCTGATGGTGAACTTGCGCACAATCACAAATGGCTGTTCACTGTTGCCGATCTTCTCGTCCGAATTGTTGATAGGGGCCAGGGGCACACCGGGATTTTGCGACTTCGTCGTCTGGCGCTGCACTGAAGGCCTCTTCTGATGCGCCTTACGTATCCGAGTGGGTTCCAGCGAGGCACGCTTCTCCGACAAGAAGTCCAGATGTATCGATCCGTAGCTTCTCTGGTCCCAATAGTTATGTGCTTTGACTTGAGCACCCTCCTTCTCGGCCGTGAGCATGACTACAACACGTACATCTTGCTGCCACACTACATTCCAGAAGTCGTTAAATGTGGCAGGAATGGGTGCCTGTGTCGAGATGTAGCGTTTGTTGCTCCACGAGGCTTTGATGTGACTGGCGTTGAAGTAATCGCATCCATGGTTGGGAATGCCCTGCAAACGCACGCGAGAATGCTCGAATGGCCAGATGTTGTTGTAACGATTCTTGCTGCCCTTCTCCAAGCCAGCGATGCGGACTGCATCTGAGGCGTCCTGCTTCGTGGGAGTGCCAAAGTGAACCTTTCCGGAGAGTGCATCCTCCATGCGCTTTTTCTCCCGACGCTCAATCTGCTCAAACCGATTTGCCACCTTCTTTCCCTTGTCTGACTTGGCCGCCGCGATTTTGATCCATTCTGGGTATTCATCCTCTGCAGAGCTCGTCTCTTCCGCTGGATGCATGAGCTCAATTTGTCCGACGCCGCCAATCAGATCCATGTTCTGCCTGATATTGCCAAAGAACGGGTTAGCTGGATTGTCGGTCGAGGGCATGGGACATCCTCCCACGGCTGGCGCCACTTGCGGGCCATCGCCGTTGACTCCCTGAGAATCCCCTGTCGCAGAGTACAGCCCACTCTCGACATACTTGGGAAAGCGCTTAGCAAATTCCTGAAATCCGCCCTTCACAATGTACAGTGTACCATCGTAGCCTTCCCCGCGAAACTTCTTGATCGTATTGAGGCAAATGGTCGCATCTTTGAGCACAGCGCAGTTAGCATCGTACACGACGATATAGCTGCTTTTCCTCCAATTCTCAAACTTGGCCCGCTGCTCTTCATCCTTGAAAGTGTCCGCAAGCTTCTGTACATTAAAGGACGGTCGTTTGAGTAATGTTGTGGGTATGCACAAATTGAGCGCTGAACTGATATGCGAGTTTGCATACTGTGTCTGTACGCGCAGATCCAGAAGCAACATATTCTCGTTCTGGGTGTCGAGAAGGTTCACAATGTGCTGGGGTGTGGCGAATACTTCGTCGCTCGCATCCATGGATGCGGGCAATGTTTCTGCACGAGCCTTGTGAAGATTATATGACTGTGCCATTTTGTCAAGCGGCAACTGTAATCGCATATTACCACCGTCAGAAGGCTTCGGTGAGGACTCGTCCATCTTGCCTGGTGACATGGCATGGTGCATGCTGTCCAGGATGGGTGGCGAGGCGCGGCGTTTGCTTTCTGTATGTGAGCTCGGACTATGCGTTCGCTTGGGCGACCTAGACAGTTCACTCGTCGATGCGTCCAACACGGCGCGATGTGACGCCGCCAATACGGGTATCTCTCGTGGCGCTGTGCTTTGGCGTGAAGAAGTTTGACTGACGGAGGCCCGACTAGTCGTTCTGCTATGACCAGGCCTCGATACCAGGCTAGGATTGGGGTTAAACCCCGAGCCTGGAAGACTGATCTTGTATGTATTCAGACCGCCACCAAGGCTGAAGCCCTTGCCGCCCTCCGACTGTTTCTTGAAGGCTTCATACTCTGCACTTTGATCCAGCGGTACCACGCTGGGTGACAATGCGGCAGTCGAACGGACGGTGGAGGAAGGCGGACTCCAGTTGTTCTTGGCATGGTTGTCACTCATGTATGAAGTTTCGTCGGCCTTGAAGCCAAAGTAGTTGGGCGAGGGCGTGCCAGGCGCATTGCGGCGCTGAGGGCTGGTCATGCGCGGCGACAAGAAGGGAGCCATGTCTGGGTTACCGGCGGGTGTGGTGGAGGAGCGAGCCTGCTTGGCTCGCTGGGAGTGATATCGGGGGGAGGTTGCAGTCTGTGTCATGTTGTCCGTCGGTCGAGGGTGTTGGGAGGCGTAATCGATAGTCGATGACCGCAACGGTGGTCAGCTGCAGTGGCACGGCGCACCGCACCACAGTTTGGGTGCCGTGAGGAAGAGTGGGTCGAGCGAGCGTGCGTGCGTGATTGCGTGCGTGCGTGCGTGCGTTGGTCGAATGTCGTCGTCCTGAGGAGAATAGGTACGGTAGGTAGGTAGGTAGACACGAGAGGGTCGAGGAGGGAAGGGTCACGCGAGGGACGAAGAAGGTGAGGTTGTTCGATGGCGGCAGCGGCCCTCAAGCATTGCTTGCTCTCTCTCTCTTCTCTCTCTCTCTCGCCGACTACGGTAAGCAGGAAGGGAGAGGAGAAGGGAGGTAGCTGAGGGCTGTAGGCGGTAGGTAGGTAAGGTACCTATGTAGGTATGTAGGTAGTGCCTTAGTAGGGCGGGAGGGAGGTACTGTATGTAGACTAGGAGGTACCTCCTAGCAGACAGTGGCCGACGAGGATGCGGGTGTGAGGCGAGTGTGCAGCAGCAGAGTAGTAAGAGTGCACCTGCAGAGCGTCTGGAACGAATACAGCAGCAAATGACGTCGCGCACCGAGCGAAAGGCAGGACATGGGCTAGACTACTCTCGTCGACGCGGAATGCAAGAGTCACTCTCGGGGCTCAAGACGGCGAGGCCCGGTGGGTGGCGGCGGCGACAGCGGGGAGCAGCGAGCGTGATGTACCTCCTAGGTGATGTAGGTGAGGTACAATAGGTGTAGGTGTACCTTAGGGTAATGTGGTAGAAAAGGGGAGGGGAGGCGAGACGAGAGGTTGGGAGGGTAGAGGTGGATTATTCATTGATTACAGAGCGTAAGGTAGGGTAAGGTCAGGTAGGAATTAGGATAAGCCTACTAAGAGGTACATCTAGAGACTAGGTAGGAGGAGGCGGAGCCTGAGGTGAATAATACTGTGATGGGATCTGCGAAAAGCGAAAAAAAAAGAGGATGACACTCCACTGCTGGTGGTTCCCTATCCACCCTAGGTACCCTGCATATAGCCTTGCGGTATAAGTAGCGTGCTCAATGACGTCGCTCGAGAAGAAGGGCCGTGCGGGCGCGGTGAGTGCCTTGTAACCTTGTTCCGTCCTGTGCTCTGCTCCATAATACCTCCTGTAGGTGAGGTATGATTATGGGGCATATGTATGTTCCCCCTGGACTGAGTGAGTGAATGAGTGACCACGACGACTTGCACAACACCATCCTACAACAATAACAACGACGACGGCGACAACATGGCGGCCCCATTCAGATCTGGCGCGCACGGTGATCAGGGACTCGAGATCTGCTTTCTGTCGTGTGCCCAGGAGTCCAATAGGCATCTAGATCCTCTACCCTGAAACACCTTAACCCACGCCGACGGCTCCATCCTGGACAGCATGACTACTATCCGCCACTCACGACCGCGTTCCAGACTGCTTCCCGCAAGACCATGCAACACGTCGCTCCGAGATCTGGAAAGTATCGCCCGTCTATACCATCATTGTGGCCAGGGTCTTTTGTTGCCATGCCATGCCGTGCCATGCCATGCCCTGCCCTGCCATGGCATGGACACCACACCACCACATTATTCATTCATCTTCCCCCGGCCCTACTCTCATCACACGCGTTCGGAAAACAAAGCCTCCCTGTCCAAAGTGAAGAACTAGTCAAATGAAGAACTAGGCTGGCTAGATTTGCAACCCACGAGATTCTTTTGATGACATTCGCGCCAAACTTTGATTCTATAGCTCTCAAACTAATGCTTTCTCGTACACGTGCCTTGTCAGTAGTCCGGTTTCTGAAAGAGCTGCAAGCTGTAATGAGCTTCGACATGCAGCAGTCTCGCAATATGTCCGAAATGTCTGAAAAATAGCCGAGACCTGTGCCAGAATCTGCAGTTCTAACCCTATTGCTATCGAGTACTACTAGGAGGTACTGTACTTCCTATTACCTCGACCTCGGACCACAGTACTCGAGCCCTTGAATTACTTTATTCTTGAGGTACCTCCTATAAGGTACTCAGTCCAATTATTCAGCTATAGCTTATCCGGCCCTATAAGCGACATCTAAACCACCAAGATATACCTATCCATCGAGTGGGGACAGTAACTTATACATACCTACAGCTTGTAAGCTCAACTCAGCCCAGCTACTTGTAGTAATTCTACGCGTGCACGCCAAACAGACCTGTAAGACCTCCTCCTCCTCCTCCTCCTCCTCCTCCTCCTTCCAACCTAAACGCCAAGTGCGTACCTACCTCTACCTACCTCCTAGACCCAAGAGTGTTTTGCACAAGTACCTACCTACGCAGCTAGGTATATGCCCATCCATCTGCACAATGTAGGATCCCCAGGGACGCTTACAGTTTCCCAACTCTGCTTTCCCTAGTCTACCTACCTAGTGCCTATCTAAGGTATATAGTTGCCAAAGAAACCTAAGATACCTTTCAGGTAAGGTATTCTACCAGGTACCTAGGTAGGCAGGCAATTCATAGGCAAGCTACCTCCTAGATGTATTCCAGAATTAGGTACCTTACCTCCTACCTACATGTACCTAGCATTAGGTATTACATATACCTAACCTACTGGAATAGAGCCGATAAAAATAATAAATCGGCCGAATTGTTTTATTGTACATGTATGTATCAAGGTAAGGCAAGGTCAGGTAGGTATCATTCGTCATATGTGTGGCAAAGCCTGTGATGAGCACATTCACAAGGCATGGAACTCTCGTTGCTACCTCGGAGTGGAGCCGAGTAGATACATGTAGGTATCCACAAGTCCATGCAGAAAATGGACGTTTGCTCGCAGTTTTTCGGATAGTGGTGGCCGTGAGAGAGCTCATCATGTCTCTCTTTCTCTCTCTCTTTAGCTTAACGATGCATGGGACCTAAATGCAATGGAATGTCTGCCTGCGAACAATACCTTACTGACGTTGAGCTTGGGTTCACTTCGCACTGCGTGCTAGGGTACATTTAGTTACTGTATCTGGTCTGACTGAACCGCTTCATCTTTGGCAGATTCTACACTATATGTTGGTTAGAAGGGAACTGCACTAGTTGTGTCCGGCACTATTCTTCATGACTTCAACAAAACCATACTTCGCTAAAGAAGACCGAGGAACATCCTTGCTGTTCTATGGCCTGCCATGTCCATCACACGAGTATTTGAACTTCATACGGCAAGCCAGCATCGCAAGCCAAGCTCACCAAGCAGTATAACCCCCGTCGACAGTCACCGCACTGCCTGTCATATAGGTAGACGCTTCAGAAAGGAGGTAGAGTATTGTGCCGTTGTATTCTTCGGGGACAGACAGGCGGCCCAACATGTTCTGACTTTTCATCTCCTGCTCAAGTCGTGGCTGATCCTGGAAATTCTGACGAATCATCTAGCCCGAAACATCAGCGATGCATGCAAACACGGACCGTGCAGCCACCCGGAGACACATACAGGAGTGAGGCAGTTGCCTGGCAATACGGCATTGACGCGGATGCCGTACTGGGCAAGTTCTGCAGCCGAAGTCTGGACGAGCGAGACCACTGCAGCCTTCGATGCATTATAGGGTGCGCAGCACAAGCCGCGATTTGCGACTCTGGCGCTCATGGATGCTACAGGCACCAGGCAACCAGTCTTCTTGTGCTTGATCATCTGCTTCGCGCAGGCTTGGATTGAGTATAGGACGCCGTGAAAATTGATGTCCATGACCTGGCAACGTGTCAGGAACACACCCATCTTGATCCAGCTCGATATCTTGCCTTCGATGCCATTCCTGGAGCGTAGTCGAGGAGACTAGCGACGTGGTTGATGCCAGCGGCGAAATAGCCACCATCAATGCCGTCATGCATATCTGCAATCGTGGCCATCGCCGAGTGCTGTTGTTGATGGCTCGTGACATCGAGCTGTATGTAGCTCATCCCACCTTTGCCCTGATCTGCGACAGAAGCCTGGACTTCGAGCCACTGGTCAGATGGTGCATCTTTGACGTCCAAGCAGTAGACTGACTTCGATCAGCATAAGTTGCAAGGTCGTTGGGTGCAGTCTTGATTACCCTGGGCTCCGTGTTCTGCGAGATATCGTGCTTGGGCCAGACCAAGTCCACCACCAGCGCCAGTGACAGGAAACACCTTCGAGCTGACCTATACATCTCGTCAGCAGTGCTACTCCGCGCCTTGATATATTTATCTATCTCACGTCAAATCCTGCCGGGTTTTGGTTCTTGGAATTTGAACGTTCTTGCTCTGGAATTGACGCTCGAGTACTAAAGATGCGTCTGTTCTTCTTCACCGCAGCAGAGCTGATGGTAGCCTTTCTGTCGAAGGTGGTCGTGGTGGTGGTTGTGGTGGCGAGATGTTCATGTTTGGGATTCTTGACCAGTCGGGTTGAGATCCGTGGCAAAGAGTGGAGCCGCATGGTCGGTCTCGTCTTGGAATGTTCTCTGCTTCCTCTTCTTCTAGTCGTCTATGTCCGGATTGTGTTGTGCCGAAGGTACATTATTCTACTTCTACCTTATCGCGAGAGTTAGGTAGTCGCGTAGCTGACAAGGCCTAGTGGAAGAGCCTCATCAGTAACACCTGCCTGTGGAATGACCGCGAGTGGTGCCTGCCCGCTGCAGATTTCCGCGTTCAAATGGTCACAAAGAGCCTTGGGAGGACCACACGTGGAGGATGCATTCCACAAGTGAAGCAAGCCGCACCTGGAAACGGTAAGACGACAAATCACAGGCTGTTGATGGTGCACGTGAAGGATGAGTTCCTGGCTGCTCGAGGCGATCGTGCGACTTCAAAGCAAGCTGGCGAAGTATTAGGTGGTTCGACAACACTTCACCATGACCAGCGTCTCTTGCAAGACGACCCTAAGGAAGGAAAAGCTGCGTGGCGTTCTGACTGCTGACATTTCGCTCTCGTGCCACTACACTGTTAGCTCAATACTGATGGCCACTCATTGAACATGTTCTCCAAACTGCCATCTCACTTCCACTCCCGCTGCCCTTCCGCGCGGATATCCTGAATAGTGTCGCTGGTGCCTCCGCAGGAGTAACATGGGAAACAACGCAGTACTCTGCTTAGACCCGGGGTATGGTCAATTGTGAGGCATCCGAATCACCTTGGCGACTTCTTTCCATCCAATAACGTCTTCGATCGTACTGATTCCTGCAACGAGATTCGTCCTGATTTTGACAAAAACCCCAGGCAATCCATCCCCTTGCGGGGACTGCAAGTCTAATTCGAGATGTCGAGACGGATGTCGACTTTTCCATAGTTCTGGCTGCTCTACGAATGCTCACCGGCGTTGTAGCAATCGGCGTAAATCAATGAGTTGCTGTTTTGGCACAGAGCATGAAGCTCTTGAGCGGATTTTGTTCCGGTGTGAATACTGTATAGGCGCGTGGTCTTTGTCGATGTTGCTGGTCTGTGCTGGAGTATATATATGTATCTCTCCAGCCGGGCAGCGACCTATGAATCTCGAGAGTCGTGCTGGATAGATTCAGTCAGAAGAGCATGCTTTGAGACGGGTACTGTCAAGTCGAGACGCGGAGAACTGGTGTGCAGAAAGCTTGGAGCTTCAGGTTGCTGCAAACGAGACCGATTGCAGAGCTCCATGGGACATCAGAACGTTCTCGTGGATCTCTTCAGGAGACAAGTCCTGAGCCGCCTTCGTGCATAGATGCTGGACTCCAGTACTCGACCTCTTCAGCCTGGTCGTCGACCCACACTAGACTGTCGGTGACCAAGTCGTCAATGACCGCAACAGCTCGGGCACGTTCCCAGTCCAAGTTTGCTTGCAGCATAGAGACAGTGACGAAGCCCATTATCTGAATGACTTCCAAGACCGTGGCCTGGTCGCGGTTGAGCTCTTTCGGCACGCTGCGAATGTACTTGACACTGCCCAGCGTGACCACCTTGAACTGCCCACCGAGCGGCTCCAAGCACTCCAGTGCGCGTTGCACATCGTCATCAGTGACTTCCATGCCTCCGCCAACCAAGCCTCTGCCCCCAGCAATCCTCTTTCTGGCCTCGGAAAGTGCAATCATCCCGCCATTCTCCGCTCTACTCTCTCGACACACCTCAACCAGGCGCACGCCGAGCTCAAAGTAGAAGTCATTCACGCTCGTCCCCAGCATCTTGGCCCAAACACTCCCACCCTTCCCACTTGCGTCCTTTGCCGCTTTGACATTGCTGCCGGCCAGAGGGTCTACACCGATGGCATGACACATGCGCGCGAACTCGGCACGGAAGATGGGATTGCTGCGGATGTCTTTGGCATGCGTGAGGGAGAAGTTGTGCAGCGCGGCCTGGAAGACCGAGAGCTGGTTGGCGAGTGCATCGGCATGAGATGACTTGAGCGACGCACCATGGGCGGCATACTTGTCGGAAGAGATGGCAGCATTAGAGAAGGCGGAGAGACCCACGCCGCGCCGGTTAGACGACATGGCTGAGGTTACATGTTCTTCTCTATCTCGATGATGTTGCCGTGGTCGGCTCAAGACTTGGCGCGGGGGGAGTGAGAGATCGCATAACTCGAGAGTCCTGAATTCAGGCATTCAGGCAGCCGCCAAGAAAGCCGAAATCTCCCGCTCCACACAAATTCGTTTCGACCTGTGCGTCTGCACTCTTTTTCTCTGCATCGCCCAACGACCGACATCTCTCGACCAGGACCACCTCGATCATTCACAATGGCCCCAACCAAGCAGGTTAAGACGTATGTTCATACCTGAACGCGGAAGAATTGCAGCACAGTCGGCCCGCCGCCGCTCAGAAAGAATGCTCGCTTGTGGCAGAAATGCCTGAAAAGCAGCACAACACATACTCCAATTCCGTCTCAGTCCTGCGCGTAGTCACACTGTGGCTCGTCAGAATGTGAGGCGGTCGGCTGCGAGGAAACTCCTGCCATAGCCACTCGAAAGGGTCGGCACTCTCGCCTGGCGAGGTCTTGTTGGATGCGATTTGTCGCACCGATCAAAGTCACTCTTCATTGAGTGCTCAGCGGAGAATGCATGAGAGCCAGCAGACCACTGTGCCGCAATTCTTCGCTTCGAGCAACATAGCCACGTGGCCGACTGACGTTTCTTCCACAGTTCGGTCGCCACCAAGGACCAGATCCTCGTGCCAGAGACTCTTCTCAAGAAGCGCAAGTCGCAGGAGAAGGAGCGTGCCGAGAAGGCCGAGCAACGCGATGCCCGCAAGAAGGTTAGTCGACACTATCGCCTCCGCCCCGTGCACAATGATGAAGGAATATCCACACTTAGAGACTAGCTTTCGGGCGATGTTGTCTTCTTGTTAACCATCTTTCGGGACTGATCGTGACGACAATCGCACCTGGATACACTCCGATGGGCACTTGGGAATTTCCTGCTGACTGTTAATAAACAGCAAAACAAGGAGAAGCGTGCTCAGATCTTCAAGCGTGCCGAGTCCTACGTGAAGGAGTACCGCGACCAAGAGCGCGAGAAGATTCGTCTCTCGCGCGTGGCCAAGTCTGAGGGCTCCTACTACGTCCCAGCCCAGCCAAAGCTCGCCTTCGTTGTCCGCATCAAGGGTATCAACAAGATCGACCCCAAGAAGCGCAAGACCCTCCAGCTTCTCCGTCTCCTTCAGATCAACAACGGTGTCTTCATTCGCCTGACCAAGGCCACTTCTGAGATGCTCAAGATCGTCGAGCCATTCGTCGCCTACGGTTACCCCAACCTGAAGTCTGTTCGTGAGCTCATCTACAAGCGCGGATACGCCAAGACCAGCCAGAAGCACCGCATCCCTCTTACCGACAACGCCATCATTGAGGAGCACCTTGGCCAATACGGTATTGTCTGCATGGAAGACCTGATCCACGAGATCTACCAAGTCGGACCAAACTTCAAGCAGGCCTCCAACTTCCTGTGGCCATTCAAGCTCTCGAACCCAACCGGTGGCTTCCACAAGCGCAAGTTCCTCCACTTCATTGAGGGAGGTGACCTCGGTAACCGTGAGGAGTACATCAACCAGCTCATCCGCCAGATGAACTAAGTATATGTGCCTCGACACCAAAAAAAGTACTTTACGGCGTAACGTATGGAAGGCCGAGCGGCATGGCATGGGCATTTGGAACAATGCAAGGCGAATGGCGTCGGTAGCTCGTACGGAATTCAAGACGTCGTGCATACCTTGAAATGTGATACCCAGTTTTACTTCTTGCCTCTCATACATCTTTTGCGCTTCCCATCTGCTTGGACATGCAGCCCGCTGTCACCGAGGATGTATGTTCATGCTGCCGATTGGCCATGCAGCCCCTCGTCTACTGCTGGCCATGTTCACATCTTGCATAATAATAGTGAACGCATATTTTATGTCCGTTGTACTACCTTACTTTCTCAAGTGCATTGATCGTACAGTGTACTGCGGGATTTTCGTTATCGCGGACATAGGCACCTCTCGGCCATCACTTGGCATCGCGCTAGATCATATTTGTCATCGAGATCGTGTCACGCTGGCGGCGACGATGATGTGAAGCTCTTTATGATACAGTGTACTCCTACCTCCTAGGTGCTCACCCGCCAGCACCATAGGGGTTGCGCAATGGAGTACCCGTACCTTGCCTTGTTCCACGAAGTTCATCGGCTTATCAGATCTGGCCCGGTCTTATCAGATTTGACAGGCCCCGAAGAAGTGACCACCGCCGCCGAAGGAGGCCGAGAGCACTTTCGCAGACTCATCGCCAGCTTTGCGTTCTCGAAGGTACTCATCCTCACATATCAAGGTGTAATCCTGGTGATTGTACTCCTAGCTGCCGCTTGGAGATGGTACCAGAGAAGCAGTCGGTCACGGAGGAAGGGACAACGGCGCGAGCATGGCCTACAGCAATATGGATGTGCTGGCAGCAGATGCACAGGTGACAATGTTGAGATTGAAGAGACGAGTGAGAGGATCGCCGGTGCTGGCACGGAGACATACGCTGCACGTGCTGCTTCTCAGGCTCAGCGATGTGCAGAGGGTTGGTCAAGTAACTCTTCTGCGAGCACGCGTGTGGGCTCTCCCAGCAGTAGCAGTAGGACTGGCAATTCCACTCCTCCTGCCATAGCCGTGAAAGAGGAAGATGACATCGGAGTTCTGAGCCCTCTTCTGGCGCGTGCAGATCGCTCGTCCCGTACGACCCCCAGAGACACCTCACGCATGTTCAAACCATGGAGCTGGCTGCGAGCAGCATTGATGTATCAACCCCAGCCACTGCCTCTCCTACGACGAGTTCTACCAAACAACAGCACAACCCTCATGGTACTCTTCCTTCTCGGCTTGAATCTCTTCTATCTCCTCTACAAGATTGACTTTAGACACCTCTCCTCAATCGACATCGTCAGTGATCGAGCTGGACTCATGTTCGTAGCCAACCTCCCATGGCTCTACCTCCTGGCCGCAAAGAACCAGCCCCTCAAAAAGCTCACAGGCGACAGTTACGAAAACTTGAATCTCTACCATCGCCGCCAAGGCGAGTTCATGTGCTTTCTCGCAGTAGTGCACTTTGGTGGCATGCTGAGCGCTTGGTACAACTTCCTGCGACCAGAGCCATTCAACTTTAGTCTCTGGGACTTTTTAACCATTCATCTTGTCCTTTGGGGTATTGGAGCTTGGTTTGCGTACGAAGTGCTGTATCTGACGAGTCTGAGCTCATTTCGGGAGCGGTGTTACGAGCTGTTCTTGGCCTCACATATCGTACTGCAGGTTGTGGGCTTAGGAACGCTCTGGATGCATCATCCCCATTGTTCGCCATATGTGGCTTCTGCACTTTTGATATTCGTTGCGGATAGGATCGTTTGGAGACTGGGTCTCAAGTCGTTCAGCTTGAGAGCAGATCTGCAGGTCATGGAAGATGGAGAAACAGTCAAGGTCTCTGCGAACTGGCCTGTTAAGTCGAGCACTGGTATGTCTGGCTTTGCGAAGCGCCTTTTCGCAAGGGATATGCAGCATGGATGGGAACCCACTCATCATGTTTTTCTGACGGTCCCTGCATTGGGCACGAAACATGGTTTGCAGTCGCACCCTATGACTATCGCCAGCGCAGCGCCAACACTTGGAGAAGACCGAAGCGGCAATGCATGGTTCAACCTGATCATCCGAGCGAAGGGTGGCTTCTCTCGCGACCTACTCAATCATGCTCGAGTACACGGTGATGCTCAAATTCGACTCGACGGACCTTATGGCTCGCTGCACGCGCTTGAGATGCTGCGAGCCAGCGATATAGCTATGATAGTGGCTGGTGGTAGTGGTATTGCAGTAGCTTATCCCATGCTTTGGGATCTGTTGCATCGGAGAGATGAGCGTGGTCAAAAGGTCTGTCTGATCTGGATCGTGCAGGATGCCAGTCACGTCTCCTGGATCGGCAACGAACGCCTCGATGAGTTGCGAGACTTGGGATGCCACGTTATCATGCCGCCCCCCAGTCGGAAATCTGGGCGGCCCGATGTCAAAGCATTGCTCAGAGACACTGTTGACGAGCTGTCTGCAGAAGTGAGAGATCAAATCGGTGTGGTGGTATCAGGACCCGATGGCATGAATCGTGATGCCAACAATGCATGTGCAAGACTTGTGGCGCAAGGGAGGAACGTTGAAATCGCCGTTGAGAAGTTCGGATGGTGAGGGCAGTCAGGCTCGAAGGTACATCTATCGATGATTTATGAGTGCTATGACAGGTACCTGGGAGTAAATTTTTCTGCGAATTCTCGTGGCGTACCGTAGACACACAGGGTATAATAGGTACATACAGATTACAACACAGGACACGATTCAACATGCTCTGCACCTCATGTGCAAATTTGGAAGGCCCCCGCCAGGCATCGCTCCATTGAATAGAATGTCGTTTTATATCCACAACCTGCCGTGGAGTAGTACTACACAACAAGTAATGTTCTGACGAGGTCTCTTTGCTGCTGAGCCTTCAATTGTCACACAATGTACAGTTCTCACTTGAGTGGAGCATGTGGTCCGCATGCTCATAATATCGCTCAATGCGCGTCGGCGGTGCACCTGAGAGGCCATCTACGTGCTCTCTCTCTCTCTCTCTCTCTCTCTCTCTCTCTCTCTCTCTCTCTCTCTCTCGTCCTTGGCCACAATACCAATGCATGGACCTGACTGAACTCGATCTCACAGGCTGGGCCGAGGTATTCTGAGCATGTCCTAGCCCATCTCATATCATATCAACACACACCTCCTGATCTCTCTCTCTTTCTCTCTCTCTCTCTCTCTCTCTCTCTCTCTCTCTCTCTCTCTCTCTCCCCCTCTCATAGTAAACTCTCACTCTTAACCTCCTTAAAACTCTTCGTCGTCCCCTTCAATTTCCCCGCCGTATCATTATCCAACCTCTGCGTATGTTCATGTATATTCAACTTATACTTCTCGCCCACCTCCCCGACCTTCACCCCTTGCACGACATTCTCTCGCAAAATCTGCGCCACGCCCTGCGCATGTTCGACGCCTTGCGCAGCTTCGGGACCGTTGGGGATCAGTTTGGCGCCGGTGCGGAATTCGCTGCGAGCGAAGGCGCGGGAGGTGCGGAGCATGATGTCGTCTTCTATCATCATTGCAGGAAGGATGAGGGAAAAGGGTATGTGTGAGTGAATGGTCTTGTTTGCAAGTTCATGGAATTTTTTCTTAAGCAAAGGGACGAGTGGTTGTTGTATGGTACCTACCTGAAAAGGCTATTTTCGTCGCGCGAAGAAGATGGCGATAGGTGGCGAGAACGGCGAAACGGTTGGTGGCTATTTCCGCGCGGCTGAGTGCTTGGGAAGCCATTATAATTTGCGAGTCAAAGAGTGTTTTTGTGGTGGTTTATCGTGGGCGCATTTCAATATGCTACAGCATTGAATACAAGGAGCAGATCACACACTTGGGAAGTTGAGTTGTGCATGTGAAAGTTGGTGGAAGCACAGACCATTTCACGTGCACACCGTTCTTGATGAACATCTCCTTTTTCTTTTCTTTATTTTTGATGTTTTTTTTTTCTTTTTTGACTTCGGATCGACAACAGCCACAAAACGCCAGTAATCATGGCGTTCCCGCACGCAGTGGGAGGTAACACGTCTTCAGCCCTGCAGCGAGCTGCTGATTTTCCGCTGGTACAGGTAGGAAATATTTCCAGAATATTACTTTTCCTTTATCTCCCAACGTCCATGTCCATTATTCCCTCTTCTCTCTGTGGGTCATGTTCCAACTGCCATACTGGTCAAGACACAAGAGACGCACCGTCATGTATCGCCTCGTAGCATGCGCCCTTCTTCTCGCCTTGCTGGGCCTCGTCTTCTTTCCTACCTCTGTTGAATCTCATGCCGTGATCAGAGAGAGGCCGACGAGAGGGTATCGAGCTCGAGAGGCCGATGCAATCCCTCGGTATGCGCCAGACCAGGAACCTCTCGAGAGCGAAGAGCAGGCGTCTCTGGAGGAACCAGAGGCTCCAGTACGGGAGCCCGAGCAACCGGTCGCTGAGAAGAAGAAGAAGAAGAATAGCCCACCGCATCAAAGACCCATCTCCAATGTGAAGACGACAGACAACAGCATCGAAAATGCTATCTCACGTCTCAACGATCTCATTCCAGACGAAGTTCGCATGAAAGGACTGCTCTCTCCCCTCACCGAAACCGGAGAAGCACTTCTCCGAGACCTGGCGTATCGTACCCGAGCATTCACAGAAATCCTCTCCGTGTGGGAAACACTACATCTTGTACCCAATGGCCATGAGCTACTCCTACGAGATGTAATCCCACAACTCCGAGCCATGAATCTCCCCGCAGCGAGCTTCGCCGACGCCGTACATACCTACGATCGATTCCGAGCATATGTGAACAAATTCGCCGCTGGCCTGTTTCCCTGGACCATGGCTTTCTATGCGGATCACATGTCACTGCATGCGAGTTTCTACAGTGGTGGTAAGGGAATGGTGCTGACTGCGGGAGATGCTCAAGCGCAGTATTTGCTCACTACGATACCTTCTTTTCGGAGACTGGGCTGTGATTTACCCATCGAGGTGCTTTACCTGGGCGACGAGGATCTCAGTGAGGACTATCGAGAACAGTTGGAAGCTCTGCCGGGGGTGTTGACGCGAGATCTTTCGCAAATGGTGAATGATGAGGGCTGGACCTTGAAAGGTAAGTCTCAGTTCCCTTAGGGCGGCGACAGCTCTGCGGATCGATCTACCAAAAAAAAAAAAGCTAATCCCGTATTTCAAGGCTGGGCCATGAAGCCCTTTGCAATTCTCATGTCCTCGTTCCGAGAAGTCCTCTTCGTCGACGCCGATGCCCTCTTCTTCACCAATCCGCAAACCCTCTTCGACGACGAACAATACACAAGCACAGGAGCCCTCTTCTTCAAAGACCGCAATCTCTCTCCGGAAAAGAAACGAGGCTGGCTAAAATCCATCCTTCCAAATCCAATTTCCGACCAAGTCAAAAAAAGTCGCATGTGGACAGGAGAAAGCGGACACATGCAAGACTCGGGCGTCCTCCTCATCGACAAATGGCAACATTTCGTTCCTTTACTCCTCGCCACCAGACTCAATGGTCCCGATCGCGATGGAAATCCCGCTACCGGCAAAAAGGGAGTTTACGAAATGGTCTATGGCGACAAAGAAACTTTTTGGCTCAGTTGGGAACTTGCTGGTGATTCCTCGTATGCTTTTCATGATAGTGTGGCTGGTACTATGGGAGTTTTGAATCACACGTCCGCTGCTGCCAACAACAAGAAAAAGACAGAAGCCATGTGTTCCCCCCAACTCCTACATTTCGATCGTCAAGGTCGACCTCTATGGTTCAATGGCTGGTTAGCAGCGACAAAAGACGACGAGGACGAATTCAATTTCCAAACCTTTGAGGCGTTTTTGCGAGAGCCGAGGGAGAGAGGCAAAGGGAAATTATCTAAACGTGATGATGTTTGGACAATTCATGCTTCGAATGTCGTCTGTTTGGAAGCTGAGGAGCATTTCCCATTTACGGCATACGAACAGGATATTTTGGATATGTTGGTTGATTTGGCGAGGGAGAATTTGGAGTTGGAAGTTTCGCCGTCTTGAGGAAAAAGGGAAGGAGAGAGGGGTTTCTATTAATCTTCTCTTGTATTTTTGATTGTCAGACTTTTTTTGGTCAGAAACCCCCTTTTTTTTTATTGGAAATGAATAAAGAGAAATGAAGCACCTCAGACTCTCTTCGAATCTCATCACGAACCTGTCCGAATCCCTTCTCTTTCTCCACTTCCCCTCCACTTGGGGTTGAAGAAGAAGAAGAAGAAGAAGAAGAAGAAGAAGAGAAAGAGGAGAGGAGGAGGAGGAAATCTGGCCGAAGCTAGCGCCTCTCGCAACGTATCCAAATCCTTTCCGTTGGAAGTAGGCTTTCCAGGTTTGGCAGCTAATTCAGGTCCGTGAAATGGCATGCCCTGGTATTGGGGGGGCTGGAGAGAGGAGTAGACATTTTTTTGAAGTTTGATGCTGAGAGGGTCAATATTTTCCCTGTCTGGAGGCAAGAGGAAGAGGGATGGCGTTTTTTGATGAAGACGCAGGACCTTCGAGGGAGCGAAACGAGGAACTCATCGTACTTTTGAGAAGGAGGGGTTTGAAGTCGAAGCAGGCAGGCTGGATGGCTGGCAGGTAGTATAGAATCCAGATTGAAGGAATTCAAGAAAGCGATTTGCACACACAACTGGTATTGGAAGCGTGATATTTTCGTAAGACTGGATAGAACATGATAGTCAGTCTCTGATGACACATATATTATTCAATTAGGAGGTATTTTCCATGGGAGCTAAGAATTATTCCCCGTCGCCAACCCCCAAAAGTACGCCGCCCAAGCCCCCAGAATCAACACCAACAACGCACTAAAAAATCCCGCGCTGACTTTACGATTCAACCCCAATTTCCTGCCCGTCTCATACGCTTCGCGCTGCGAATTAATCTCCTCGCCGGAGCGTTGTCGTTCCTTTCTCGTCCACTGCAATCTTCTCAAATCATTTGTGAAAAAACTCCAAACGAACAATGTCACACTGACGACCACGGCGCCCGCCGCCAAGATAACATAGACGATGACGACGTGATTGTAGGAATTGTCATCGTGGTCCTGGATGACTCCTGTGAGAATGCGGATGACGATGTTCATGCTGTTGTTGACCACGACTTTGATCGCGTATGCTACGCCAAAGGTATCCTGATACCAGATGGAAGTTCGCACACCATCGATGATGGATGTCGGGCCCAATGTCGATCCGATCGCGTAGACTCCAAATGCGGCTGCAGTGCCCGAGACTGTGGGCCCAAATGCGGCGAGACACATGGCGCAGAAGCAGGTGAGGCCGCAGATGAGGAGGACGGTCAGGCGGTTGCCGTACCAATCGATGAAGGCTCCCAGGAGGGGCACGAGGAAGAAGCCGAGATATCGCGCTGATGCAGTGTACCAACCGGCTTTGGTGCCGTCGACATCGAATCGCTGCTCGGCCAATTCGGTGGCATTCTGCGCAAAAACCACGGCCATGGATGTCTGGAAGGTGGAGAAGCAGATGAAGCCCCAGAAGGCCATGGGAAGGTGCAGAGCTTTTTTGATTTCAAATTTCTTCGTGTTCTCCCGAAGTTTCTCTCCCGTGGCCGGGTCTTCGATGCCATCGCTGTAGTGCTTGTCGCAGTATTTTCGGAAATAGTAGAAAGCTCCCGTGGCGAAATTGGTGAAGATGTTCATGAAAACGGCAGTCCAATAAACCCAGCTAAAGTCGCCGGTGCCCTTGGCGATGGGGTTCGCGGTGGCGGTTCCGACGAATTGTCCTATTTTGCCAATTGCAAGTTCGAGACCGAGGGTGGAAGCGAAGCCGTCCGAGGGAGCGAACCAAGAGCTGAAGATCCTGTATTGGGCCACTTGTGTTGCGATGTCTCCAAAGGATTGCACCACGATGCCGCCAATCATCAACTTGTAGCTGCGGACAGTAGTTGCTGCTGCGATGATGATTGATCCCAGGCTGTAGACAATGTTCCCCCACACCATGATGCCCGCACCACCAAAGCGATCGGTCAGCAGACCAGTGAACAACATCAGCACTGTGACCATGAAATCCTGAGATGCTTCCCTGATGCCGTTGCACTTGCAGTCAGTCTCGTCTCAGACGTCTCTTCGGGAGCTTTCAGATTGAGAAGGTACGTACAGCACGGAGTATTGAGTATTGTCGATATGTAATTCCTGACCATGCATGAGCAATATGTCTTTACGCCAATCGTTTCACTAATACTCACCTTTTTCAACGTCGATTTCATGGCTCCCGTCACCCCAGAAGACCATTTGGACCCAAAGCCAATCAAGGATACCATGAGTACTGCAATGATCTTCATCCGCATTGGAACATGAGTGGAGCGTCCACGGGCGCTGCGAATAGAGAGCGCATCGTCAGAGACAGCAGCTATATCGAAGACACCCGGCTCTTTCTTGGGCATTGGAATGTCATTCTGAGATATAGGATCTGTAGCAAGCGGTGGTGGGTGCCCAAGGGCCATTGTGTATTGAGGGAGAGAGGGAGAGAGAAAGGAACAACAAACGGTCCTCGAATCTTATCAGATCCAACGCGAAAGCTTTATGAAGTGAAGTTAGCCGCTATCGGCCCCGTATTCTACAGAAAATGCATGATTGGGTTGCAAAAGTTGGCACTGCCAAGCGAACCAGTAGGCGTTAGCATGTGTTCGTCTAGCAGGCCCGAAGTAGTACCACGGCGAAGCAGGTCGAATTCAGGTGGGATATCCGGGCAGGTGGATGTAAGTGAGGTTGAGCGCAGGCATGTTCGAAGCGAACAACAGCATTTTGATAATTGTTGACTAGGGCTTGCTGGTACCGCTTCTCGTCTGTGACAATATGTAGGATAGCGTAGAAAAGGAAGACGGTCCGTCTCAAGATGTCGGCGATGTTGCTGGCGAACTATGATGCCCAGAAGCATAATGCTTAGTCGCGATACAGTAGAATAACCTAGTAAGTATGCTTGAAGGCCTGCTTGGCCGGCCTGCGTTGGGCTCAAGACCGCAAGCGAACTCGCCACGGAGGAAGAAGCAGAGTAATGCGAGTCTGCGGCTACATGTACATGTAGTCTGTAGGGCGCTCCCATAGTCGGAATGAATTGATATTTCCCCCCAGTGGGTTCATAGAAGTGAGTGAGTGAGCAGCCATGGGAAGTCCACCGAACGGACGTCGACGTCGAGATGAATGTGGTGTAATAGTGTACGGGATGCTGCTCGATGGTAGTTCAATACACGAGAGTGAGAAGAGTAATCAGTAAAATTACAGGTAGTTGCAAGGTACAGGTGCGATATCAACGAGGAAGTTGACGCCAATATGTCCATGACGGAAAGATTCCGCCCTCGGACATGATGCATCTCCAGGTGTTCGATGGTAGGGTACATGTAGGTGACTAGGTATAGTCAACATCCAATCCACCGCATATCACCATGCTTCCTCTACCACTTCTACGCCAGATTCGCTCACGTTGTTCTCACCGACTGGGACTGAGAAGTTTCGCCTCCCAACACGAAGCCCGTCCCGGCATCGACTCCCAGACATTGGTCAAGCTGCAGCAACAGGAGCAAGCCCTCGCCGCCCGAAATCGAACTGTGCCGCCTCGAGGCTCCGATAAATGGTTTTACTTGACTGCCATCGGCCTTTTACTGGCCACTCCGCCGATCGTGTACTTTTGGTGGCAGCACCGAGCTGAGCACATGGGGAAGAAGAAGCAGGACATGATCAGGCAGATTGAAGCCAACAGGAAAGCCTTTCTCGAGCAGCAGCGATGAGCATCGATCGGATACATATAGGCATCTACTACTTGATTCTCGCTCATTGTGGCAACATGGGCCTCCAGATAGGGCTTGCTGCTTGCAGATGGACGTGGGAGAACAGGGTCGTCCAGGTCGCCGCTCCAAGCAGACGAGAAGGTGATATATATGCCGCCCAGTGGCAGCCAGACAGACTGGCAGGCAGGCAGGCAGGCAGGGACAAGCAGGTATCCACGGCCAACAACAACAACAACGACAACACTCGAAATCTATGTGCGTGCGCCCGAGGAGGTCCCTGTCCACCGTTGCCTCGCACATGGCTTCACACACAACATTGTCACGAGTGAGAAATCTCACTTCACCCAAAAACCTCGCTTGCTCCCGCCTGCCCAGGATTGCCGCCTGACATGCGCACAATAACACAATAGTACAATAGCACGCCAACAAACAAATTTACTGGCTATTGTCACCAGCCACCAGAGAGATGTCTACCGAAATCACTTCTTCATTGCTGCTGTCTCAGTCTTCTTTGCTTCAGACTTCGCAACAGTCTTCTTCCTGTACGACCACAGATCGCGCGTCGCCCGCGGCCTGCACTACGACGACGACATGGCCTACGTCTATCTTTCACTCGCTCTCCTCACCGCTGCATTCTCACTCGCTGCTTCTCTTACCTTCCTCCTCATTCGTCCAGACAACCAGAACGATGCTATGCGCTGGTTCAACGTGTGCTGGGTCGCCATCTCTGGTGCAGTACTCTGGCTTGTCATCAGTATCTTTCTCGTCAGGCTCATCCAACATTGCCGCAAGCGAGGAGAACACAGCAAGTGTCAGTTGTCCGGACGATCGAGTCGGGTTCCATGTGACTGATATCTCGCCCAGACAACACACATCGAAGAGACACATCTGAAGAACGCCAATCCATAGATGGCAGACCAGCGTTCAAGATCAAGATCAGTCGACCCATCGAAGGCAGCTTCATCCACTTCCAGGCAGAACAGTCAAACTCAATACGTAAGTCTAGAGTGCTTCTCCAGAATTGTTCCTTGGCTGACATGTACTTAGCGAGCACGATATCTTCAGCCACATCGCTGCCAGAGACGCCAACGCACAAACCGCTAGGTTCTTCGCGTTTTGGCCTGAACATTATCACACGCTCGGAGCCGGACACGACCCTGGACCTTCCAAGCATCTTCTCGCCCTTCAAGTTCCACCCGCCAGACGACGAGGCTCTGTACCAACAGCATGGACGCCCAGCGAGAAGTGACTCGCTCGCGGCACTGTTAACACCCAGCACCAGCACCATCGCTCAAACGCTCGAAAATGCTCTTCCCATGCCCTTCCATGCGACAGACCCTCCGCCACGCACCCCTTCACCCGTCAGTCACTTCAAGATCTCGCCAATGGTGCCGCCAAAAGCTGGTAGCAGTCCCTCTTTACCAGCGGCAGCCTACATTTCGCCAATCAGTCAGAAAAGCCCAGTGTCAGACGAGACAGTTCCTTCAATCACAGTCCCAATCTCGTCTCCAAGCGAGAATGCTGAAAACCAACACCAGAGTGTTGTACTCAAGAGAATGGGCAAATCTCTGCCTTCTTTGCCTGTGATGTACAAGATGAAGAAGAAGAAGAATAAACGCGGCGAAGGAGATTGGTATCGTTGCCATTTGAGCGATGGAGGTCAAGGCCATTACATGAGTAGTGCGACTATTTGAACAGAACGGAATGCAGAGCAGAATGCAGAGCAAAGAGATCCGTAGCGACTCACCGATGCGATCAAGAAGTTTTCGTCTTTGCTGTACATGATACTTGGTTGGTTGACTAGCACCAATTGATTTCATAGCGTGTTTTGTATGGATGGTACCCGACAGTAAGGTACCTACGCAGTCACAAACAGCATTGACGTATCAGAGAGTGCGCGCTTCCCAAGAAAGAAGAGACCTTGAGACTGAAATTCTCCATTTCATATATTTCAGAAGCATAAGTTTGCAAAAACATCACAGCGCCATGCCGTGCCATGCCAGCAATGCTATCCGTGCCTGTTGTATAAAATAACAACAACGCCAACATAGGTACTACGTACCTTACTACTACCACTTTTACTTCCGACGTGCAAAAAGCCTACTGAGCTCTGATCGCATTACCAAGCGCACCACCGGTGAAGCCAGATCCACCACCGCGCTGACCACCAGCAAAATCGCCACGACCTCGGCCTCCTCGCCCACCACGACCTCCGCCGCGACCGCCACGGCCACCGCGTTGTGGTTGTCGCTCGAATGCGTTCGACGTACCTTGTGTCCGCTGTTCCAGTACACGCTCGTTGCTTTCGATGAGATTCTGCGCCTTGTCCGCAAGTGTGAGCGACAAGCTTTGCAGTCTGCTGAGCTCCACGCCCTTGCGGAAGATGATGGCGCTGTTGACTTGGTCCAGTGCAGCCGCGAGGTCCTCGTGGTGAATCATCTTGCTGACAATCGCGGCAACCTTTCGTGGCTCAAGCTCGAACATGTCGGCCAAGTTCTGGATCGAGAGCGTGTCATAGAACGGAGCATATGTGAAGAGATACGTTCGAAGACCCTCCTCTTGGATTTGACTTTCGAGCATCTTCTTGATCTGCTCGGCTTGCGGCAGAAGATCCCAGATCTTGATGGTGGTGATGAACTCGGCGGACTTCTTCCACTCGCCAGCTGCAAGAGCCTTCGACGCCTGCATGACGTGGTCGCGGGTATTCTCAGGTGGTCCTGTGAAGATCTGGCGCTCGTGGTATTCCAGCATACGTCGGTACGACTTGGAAATGACACGCTTCTTCAGGTCGGGCGATGAGCCAGACTGTGCGAGCGTTGGGATCTCAAGAAGCATAGAGCAGGTCAAGTAGACACATTCGAGAAGTTCGAGGTTGATGTGCATGTGGAAGGGAAGCTGTCTCTGTCGCTCCAAGCGCTCTTGCTCCGGGGTGATCTGTGAGTAGCGCTGCATCTGCAAACCTTGAGCCAGAAGCTCTTTTTGCCGTTGGCTGCCGCAGATGTCTTGAAGGGAAGTTTGACATTCGTAGACAAGTCCCGCCCGGAAAGCGCATAGACCAACCTGCGTAAGTGTTCGGTTGTAGAGAATCTGAGTGTTGACGTCGAAGCTGCCGATGGTCTCCTGTAAATGCGACATGAGCATCATGTCACGAGCACGGTAGTAGTGATCGTGCAGTGCCAGGTAGTAAATCTGGCAGAGCATGGCGCGTCCCTTGATGATACCCTCAGCGTGCTTGAAAAGGTAGCTTGCAAGAGTTTCGACAAGAGTAGTGATGTCTGCGCTCTTTGATCGAGGCGTGATGGTCGAGTCGAGCTTGGGGGAGATCTCCTTCCAGCTATTCTCCTCGAGGATCGTGACGACCTGTGCAGGCTTGAAGTAGACATGTTCGAGGCGGCGCATCACGACACGGTTGACATTCTCTTGGGAGGCATCCAGTTTCGGCAGAGACTTCAGTCGCTCGGCGTAGATCGAGGCGCGGACAATGTTGGAGTAGAGAATGCCCTCGTCTTGCAGACGCTCGACATATTCGGAGGTGTGTGGATCGACGTGTTGCAAGACTCGTGTTAGTTCATCGTCAAGACGCTCAACGAAAGAGATCACGCTGCCCGGAGTCTTGAAAATCTCATCGTCGGTAATAGTTGGCTGCTTCTCATCGTCTTCCCACTCCTCGGCATGCTCGATCACTACAATGTTCTTGTTGCTCTCAAGAACGCTAAGCAGTTGTGCGATCTCTTGCGAAGCCAGCTTCCACTGCTCTTGTGCCATTTGCGAGCCAGTTCCAGAGGTCAGATCAAAACGGGTGGCGATAAGTGTGAGAAGCACGCGTATCTTCTGGTAGTCGTTGACAGACACATCTGAGAGCTTCTCCATGATGCGAATTTGCTCCAAACGGTCTGTGTTCTTCCTACCACGAGACTCCACAATAGAGCGCAAGTGCTTGAGGATGCTTTCCGGTGTATACACCATGGCCTTGCCGCCGGCACCGACCATGGTGAAACCGTCATCGTCGCCCTCCAGTGCGTCCGCGTTGCTGACGAGCGTGGTCTTGGCCTTCTTGGGCTTGGGTGCCTTTGGCTCCTCGACCACATCTTCCTTCATGTACTCATTGGGGTCCTTCCTGAAAGCCTCTACCTCTGTGGCGTAGTCACGGTTGTTCTTCTTGATCTTCTGGCGCAACGCGTTGAGACCCTTCTGTGCGATGGGGTTCATCTTCTTGCCCGGTGTGACCTTTTGCTTCTCAAATGCCTCGGCCACGAGCGTCTCTAGCTCTGCGATGGTCTTGACATACATCTTTGGTGCCTTACCGTCCATATCACGAATGAGCGTGGGCAATTGGCGGTTCATCTTGTCGTAATTCTCGTTAATGGCGTTCCAGTCGCTGATCTTCTCGCCATTCTCAATCAGTCGAATCGTGCCTTCCAGCTCGTCAAGTCGCTTGTCTTTTGCAGACTTGACGACTGTGACTTTGTCCTCGTCGCTCTCCTCGTCTTCCGATGACACCTCGCGCAAGAAACGATTGGCGCCAGTCTTTCCACCCTCATCATCGCTGCTGGACGAATCATCGTCATCATCATCTTCCTCTGAGCTCTCTTCGCTGCTCTCCTCCTCAGCCTTCTCCTCGTCGCTGTACAGTTCCTCCTCGTCGGAGCTGCTCTCGCTGGAGCTGTCTTGGCCGTGGAAGAATCGAGACATCGCGGACAGAGGTGATATCAGTGAGAAGCAGTCGGGCGGCCCTTGCCTTCTTATGCACGCGTGTGGTGTGTTGTGTGAGTCAGGTATCTGACTTGTCGTGCTGCCGTAGAGAGTGATTGTGTGTGTTGCCGCTGCGAGGTGGGATGGATCGTAGAATTTGTGGTGTCTTGGCAAAATTGACTGGCCCAGAAACAATCCTCCTTCCACGCGACTCACGACTCACTGACAACAACCTATCAGACGCGACTATATGTGCAAACTGTTGGGAGTATGCTCGAAGACGATGTCCAGCCGTGCACCGTGGTCTGCTTCATCGCACACAACGAACAAGAGTACCAACCACAATGTGCATTCCTGCATCACTCCCCTTGCCCTTCAAGCGTTCGATGATACGAGACCTTAGCACGGCGTAGCCTGCATCCTGTGATTACGAAGAACAAATCAGTTCCCAACTGACCGGACATCCAGTGACTGCATCCTAATTTCCAGGCGGTCCGGAGAAGAGGCTCACAAGAATCAACATCTTCTCAGGTCCTGACCGCTTGGCAGCAGGCTTTTGCACTGCTAAGGCCTGAGGATTTTCATCATTGTTGCTACTAATTCTATCTGCATCTAGCTGCACAGTTTCCAGCGATTTGGAGAGAAGTGGGACGCCTGTGCTATGACCGCACACCTTTGATCACACGAGCCTAATAAATCGAGCCTGCTCGAGGCAGCCTAGCTAATGTTATATCGCAGAGAGGCTGACGGCGACCATCTTGCTTGGCCCCGTACGACGCCGTTGCAGGCCGGCCTCAGAGTCTTGCACCTCTGGATGTACTTCAGTTCGAAGCACGTCGTGAGTCGTCAATGCCTCGCCGATACATCATGCGAATCATGCTTACTCCTCCTTCTCGATCACCAAATCAGAAAAGGTCACCTCAAGACCTTTCTCATCATCCTCTCCATCCTCGGGCGTAGGCTTTGCAGCATATACGCCGACCCACAATTTTTCCTCGTCTCGCCCTTCCATGAAAGCCCACTTGATCTCCCGCATCGGCTAAGAACAGGCCAAACATCAATTTCATGTATTCAAGAACCACGTAATTGTAGTCGGACTTACCTTCATCTTCTCCACCCCGTCCTGCGCCGCATAGATCCACAGAGTCTTCTCCTTCCGCTCGATCTTAAATCTCGCCTTTTGGTGAAACTCCTGACTCATAGGCGCCAGACTCCAATCACTGAAACGATCCGTCCCAACAATTCCCAACACAGCACTCAACTCGAAGAACTCAATGCCCGCTTTGATCCATTTGCTCGGTCTCACAGGATTCTCAGGACTTTCATTCTCGGCCTTCTTCGTCTCCCTTTCGGGACTAGGTGTTGCAGAAGATGGGAAAGCTATAACCAGACCTCCTTGATCGTACTGAGTGTGCCAGGGAGCGTAGACGGTGACGGCGATGGATTTGAACTGTGATGCTGGCAGCTCTTGGAAGACGGTGGGCGCATTGAAGACATCGTCCGTTTCTGAGCGACGCCATATGTCTGTCTTGGGTGGTGCGGTTATGGCGAAGGGTTCTGTTGAAGGGTCTTCTTTTGGTACCGAGGCACCGTTTATTGAAGACCAGTCGGAAGTGGACATCTTGCTATTAAATCTATTGTGCTTTGCTATCACATAGAGCTGATGAAGTATCTAGCTTGATATGAGGTGGAGCACCTGTGCTGTTCTTTTGTACCCGTTTAGAGGCGTTTGTTTGATTTCAACTCAGGTAGATCCTGGCCGACGAATGGGGTATACATGTAGTACAGGACGTACGTGTATCTTCTAAACGTGGCACTGATACCTCCTATTCTGACGACATGATCGCTTCACCTGCATACAGCAAAGCCCCTGCGGATAGACACATGTAAATCAGGGCTACAGTACGTGTATCCGCTAGCAGGATCATCCTACCTCGGCAATAGCGTTACGCCACGACATAGTAGTCAAGGCAGCAGAGAGTAATAGGAGGTAGGTCGAAGCAGACATGGCTCCTCCAAGATTATTACCCTTGTATGTAAGCAGGATACGCAGTGATTCTCTAGCGGGGGGCGGGGGACATCCTTCCTACTGCCACCTCATACCGCTTGACTCGCTGACTGGATGGCATATCACAGAGCGCCTCCAGTTCTGATAGGTCCACCAACATACTCTCCTTTCCTTTGCTCTCCCTCAAGACCAACAGAGAAGCCTTCCCAGCTCGCTGACCCGTGTCTACACGCCAGCCTGAGCTGGTCGCACGCCGCTCTCGCGCCTTCATGAACAGCAGTCAAACTGACCGAGACATACTTCCAGGAACATTCTGTCATCTGCAACGAATAAACAAGTAAGGTAGCATCACAGATTCGGCAGATTCAGCCTTTCCTCCTGCTGCTGAGATTATTGAATACTGGGACCAGAAAGGGGATTGCAAACGACGCAGTCTTGGATAGATGAACCTGAGTATCGGGAATTTCAGGGTCGGATACGTTGCGTGCAAGCATATGACAGGCACATGTTGAGCAGAAGTACCGCGTGATATTTTTTGAAGAGACAAGAGGCAATGGGTAAGGTAAGCTTGAGCAGAACCCGATCAGGCTAGAATATGATCACCTTGGCCTAAGATACATGATGTCGATGCACGTTGCCTTGAAAACACGGCTTTCTGCTGCCATTCCTGGGCAACGTGACGTTGGATCGGGTATGTTCGTGCCAAGAGACATCATTCATGTAGGTGCTTGGTACTGTATATGTATTACACGAAATAGGGTGGAAGGGCGGCGTGTGGTGTCAAATATATGAACTCGTGGATACTGGGCATCTGAGCAGCGTCCTTCGTAAAAGGCTCTGCTCGGAAACAGCGATAGCAAAGTCGTAGGTAATATCTGCGAATAGAGGGACAATATGCCAGAGGTGAGACAATGTAGGCGGCACTACGGTACGTTGACAAGTTAGTTATATCAATACCTGAAGGCTGAAGGTAGATAGGTACCTGACCTTGTATACCTCCTATCTACCGGCTTATGGGCGGGCAAGAATCGGGCTCCGAATCTCGAAGTGTGTAGTAGGAGGTAATTAAGTACAAGAAACTACTAATTTGCAGTGTAGGCAAGGAGGTTGTTGATGATGATTGTCACTCCGATCAGCTGATCCCAGTGCACCATTCTCGCTCGCGGCTCGGTCATCGAAAACACATTTTTCTTATCTCCTTCATTCACGCATCCTGTTCCGAAAACGACCAAAATCCAGTGTTGGAACCACACACCACACTAGTGCCCAATTGAGAAGATTAATGGAATACTAATTAATAAGTGGATTAATTGAGGTCCGAGGTCTAACCTCTTAAGAAGAGAAAAGAGGGGGGTAGGTATCCCTAACTCTATATACATATACTAAGGAATTAGTAGCCCCTGTTATCTTATATAACTTATGTTATATAATACTAGGGCACCTATATCCTTCTGTCTAAATATACCTCCCTTAGCTTAATTATATAAGGAAAGCTGAAAAAACAGATATAGTAACCGTCTATCTTAATCTAATAATTAACTATATCTATATCCTTACCTACCTAAGCCCTAGGCTCGTCCGGAATAACTAGAATAACCCCTTTAGGAGGTTCTTTATAAAGCTATTAGCTCGTTGCTTAGTAGTCCTAATCTATTCTACGGTTAATCGTCCTACTATAGTTTCCTACCTTACCTAGTACTAATAGATATCTATATATCTTAAAGCCGTATTAAGAGAGCTATACTTGTAATTAGCGATATCTACTATACGTTAGTTATTATAGAAAACCTTAGTTCTATCCTTAACAGGTTCCTTATTTCCTAGAGGAAATACCTTGTTAAATTCCGAGAAAAGTCGAGTCTACTAGTATCTATTACTAGCAATTAATAAGAGTGCTAATAACTCTGCCTCTACGGTTGATTTAGTAACTGTCTTCTACTTAGTTGCTTGCTAATTAATAGCACTACTATACATTATTATTAAGAATCCCTATAAACTCTTCCTGTCTAGGTTATTACTAAATAAGGCATTTATATATAGTTCTATTTTAGGCTTTTCTCTATAGAAGTGTAGCTTTATGTCCTTAGTACTATAGAGGTAGGCAATTAGGTAATTAGTAGCTTCTATATAAGCTTAGCTTAGATTCTTCAGAAATTAAGAAAGAGTAGTATATACCTTTGCTATATTAGGCCTTGCTAGAACAGCTGTATAACTAATTGAACTAATCTTTATCTAATATCCTTTAATAAAGTTAGGTCTAGTAGTATTACTAGTAGGTACTAGTATAAGTCTAGTAGGAAGTAGAGTATCCGGAAATCGAGCCCTCTTATAAATACTAAATTTAATATTAATTTTCGTTAAGTAGGCAGTCTAGCTTAGAGTTAGGATATTAGGTAATTCCTCTATCTCTATACCTAGGAAGAAATTGGGGTCTTTCTAAGTAACCTTAAAGTTAGAAAGCAGGTACTAGTTAAACAAGATAGCTTAATCCTCCCTATCCCTCTTATAAATCAACCTAATATTATCTATATAGAAAACTATAAGTAGACGAAGATCTATGTTTACTATTAGGCAGTCAATTCTAGGAACTAACTTAAAGCTATAGTCTTCTATTCTTATAACAAATAGGTTATACTATAAGCGAGGTAACTTAGCTAATCTATAGAGAGCCTTCTTAAGGATAAAGTAGGTATCTAGTCTAAATCTATACTCCTCTATTCCTTCTAGGATAGAACAGTATACTATATATAGGATAGTAGTATTTAGGAAGGTATTTACTATATCCTATTGCCTAGTTTTCAGATTCCTTATAAAGGCTAGGGTAGTAATAGCCCTAAATACCTTGTAACTAAGTATAGTAGTATAGGTTTTATAGGTTAATAGCAATTAAAGATCCCTACGGATACAGAGCCTAGCTTTGTACCTAAGAATCTTACTAGTTAAGAGGTCTGTTTTGTAAGTAAATACCTAGACTAATAGTACCTTATAGCCTTTATAACTAAAGAATACCCTAAATGTCCTCTTGCCTATAAGCTTTCTAGCTTTATCAAATACCGCTTATCTAAATTGCTAATAATAGATATACCTTTCTATCTCTCTCTAATTAGTAGAGGGTAATAGTAAACTAGTCACTTAGTAAGGATCCTTAAGAGTAGGTAGAGTATAGACTTAGAGGGACGTAGTAGCTATATAACTCAACTTATCTAGGTACTCTTCTAACCGTCTAGTTCTATAGTTGATCTATCGTCTATAGTTGTCTATACTATACTAATAAGTACTCTCTTCTACCTCCCTATCTAAGGCAGGGTACTAATAAGAGACCGAAAAAGCGGAGGGTAATAAAGAAGCGGGTATACCCGGTAAGGCCCCCGGGGCCTGACTAACTTAGTTAGTAGCTATATTGTCTTCATCTCTAGCGGGTGTTTCTAGTAGTATTAGGTATAATAGTTCCTATTCTAGTATCTTACCTCCCTGCTATTTACTACCTCCCTAAGGTTAGACAGTAAAGACCGGAATATTATTAGCTAGAAAGGGGTTATCTATACCCTTAGAGGTTAATGATTCCTTAGGTATTAAAATAGAGTTAATTACAGTCTAGTAAATAGTAGTAGGAACTAGTTCTCCTAAGGTTTGTCTATTAATATCTAGAGGATTATACCTCTTATTATCCTTAAACACTATATCTCTTGTCCTAATTACCTTATTTAGGGGTAAAGGTATCTAAATCCAGAAAATATTAGTAGAGGTATACCTAATTAGGTAACTAATATAAGCTCTCTCCTCTATCTTGTCTCTCTTAGCAATATCTCTACGGAGAGCAAAGGCCTTATAACTAATCGGGTAGAGATAGCTAAGGAAGGGCTTCTTAGTTATAACTTTCTTAAATAGAGTTATCTAATTAAGCTTAGTAGTAGGGGTCCTATTAAGAAGGTATACTACTAAATCTATAAGCTATAGCCAAAGGTTCTTAGGCAAATAGCTATTAATCCTAAGAGTCCTAGATTTAGTAACAATCTCTCTTCTAGTAACCTTACTTACTCTATTCTAAGCAGAGGTATTAGTAGTAGTAGGCAAAGTAGTAATACCTAACCTAAAGATAGCCTTTCTAGTATTCTTCCTAATAGTAGCCTCTATATTAGAGCGAACTAGAATAGTTTTAGTATTAAATAACACTTCTATCCTTTTGAAATATCCTCTAAACTTAGTAACTGCTTGTAGCTTAGTTGCTATAGGTTTACTAATATAATAGCCCTCCTAGTTATAGTACTAGTAGCTATAAAACTTGAAGACTAATCTATTTAGTCTAGGGAGAGAAGGGGGTATATTAATTAGGTCCTATAAACAGATAGCTATCTTAGTATTCTCTGCCTTAGGCAGTACCTCTCTATACTTGTCCTTCCTTCTCGAAATTACTGCTTTAGCCTTAGCTAGTAAGTAGGTATTACAATTAACCCTATTTAGAGTCTTTTTCTCTAACTTAATTACCTAGTAACCCTTAGATATAGGTTCTAAGTGCTTAATAGCCCTTATAGATAGGTAGCCTAGTAACTAATACTATTGATTAGCCGTTGCTATTAAAGGTAGGAGTAGTTTATAACTAGACTATATAGTAGTAGCAGTTTAAGTTACCTCTTCTATTCTAGAAGGTAACGTTAAGGCAGGTAAGGTTAACTTCCCTATATTCTTAGAGTATAGGGTATATACAGACTTTACCTCCTTAATTCTAGTACTAATTCTAGGTAAACTAGTAGTTCTAGCAATACTTCTTAGTATAGGCAACCGTTTAATAATCTAGTAACTATATCTGTTACTGTATTTAGGGGTAAGGTATGCCTAGAGCCTAGGCTCCTTATATAATTAGCTAGTAATTAACCTATCTAGCCAGTTTCTAGTATTATAGTAAATACCCTTCTTATTAAGGATCTATAGTAAGACCAAACTTATAAAGAATCCCGGAATAAGCCTTGCCTTAAGAAGAGTAAGCTTCCTAGTAACTCTATTACCTATATTAAGATTAATAGTAGTATCTACAATTGCCTTAGGTTAGTATCTCTTGTCCCTAGAGATTACTATATTAGAGGAGGTTAGTAACTCGGACTTAACGATCCTTGCCCTTATAGCCTCGTTAATAATATAAACATTAGTACTACTATCTAGAATTATAGCGTTGTAAAGGCGGGTATAGTAGCTAATTAAACTAACAGATGCCTTAGGGGTTAAGGTCGATTCTAGAGTAGTAGTAGTAGTAGTGTCCTCGACCTCTACGGCTATACCTAACTTATTCTTAGTATCTTTGTCCCTCGACCCTTAACCTTAAGCGGTATTATAAGCTTAAATCGCTTTGTCTACTCTTTCCTTTAAGCCCTTGTCTTCTTTAAATCTCTTCTTAATCTTCCTCTTAGTATTATCTCTTAGCTTCTATACCTTAGGCCTCGGATACTCGGTATTAAGGTAATAGTATTCCTTCTATATATAGTTCCTACTATAGAGGCAGAGCTTTCTTAAAGAGGAGGATAATCGAGTTAAAGATAAAGATTCGGCTGTAGTAGCAGATAAGATACTAGTAATAGTAGTTCTATACTTGCTCTTAAATTTAGTATTACTATTATACTGAAAGTAGGACTACTAGGCTCTCAATTCTAAATAGAGAGATGTTACCTCCCTATTATTTTGCTTATTAAGCAGCCTGCCTGTCCTTATAGCTATATAGTCTCTATATATTAGAGCTATAGAAGACAACTATACCTAGGTAGATTTATTATCTGCTTGCTTACTAATAGTATCTCTCTTTCTATACCAAACGAACTAAAGGTATATATAGTTATAAATAGACTTTCTATATAGTAGGTAAAAAAGGGTTTCTAACTCTTTCTTTAATAACTAAGTAGTAGTAAAGGTATTAGGTTTAGTATATTCTAAGAGAATCTTAAGTATCTACCTAATTGTCTTATAATTGATTATCCTATATTAAAGGTCTATAGAGAGAGACTAGTTAATAATTGATTTAATCTTCTAATACCCTCTTTACTTAAGTTCCTATATATCCTTGTTATACCTATACTTGAATTAAGCTAGACTAAGAGCTATTAGGATAACATTAGTAGGTAGAGATACAAAGTCAAAGACAGGTTGTCCTTTAAGCTATATTAGGTTTTCTAGATCTAGCTTAGCTGTCTCTAGGTTAATATTAGCCTATATCTAGAGCTTTACTACCTCTCTCTTAATATAGGTAATCTATACATTCCAGTCCTACTAGGTACGTAGCTTAGCAATCGACGTCGTCGTTAATAATAAGGGTTTAGGAGAATTAGCTATAGTATCTTCGTTAATAATAAGGGTTTAGGAGAATTAGCTATAGTATCTTCGTTGAATTCGTTAAACTACTCTTAATACCTAGGATACGAGCTACTAGGTATTTCTTTAACCTCTTAAAACTTAGGACTCGGGGATCGGTCGATTATAAGCTAATCTAATAGGCTCGGGCTTTCTTCTCTTCTTCTAGATAAACGGGTTTAGGCAGGTATAAAGTAATAGTATACGGTCCTCGGGTTTTTCTTAATATAGCGGATTTTAGCTAATCTTAGGTACTTAATTAGGTCAAATAGAGCAAGCCGGGCTTATAACTGTTAGAACTATATACTATACTAGTACCTAATTAAGAAGATTGATAGAATACTAATTAATAAGTAGATTAATTAAGGTCCGAGGTCTAACCTCTTAAGAAGAGAAAAGAGGGGGGTAGGTATCCCTAACTCTATATATATATACTAAGGAATCAGTGGCCCCTGTTATCTTATATAACTTATATCACATAATGCCAGGGCACCCATGTCCTTCTGTCCAAACATCCAGCCACGTGCTGCGTGAGATATAATAGACGCAGGTCCTCAACCAACATGCAGCCCTCGGAGGCTAAATTCAGCCATTGCATCCAATCAGAAGGCTAAATAGACGCTTCTGCAGCCCTTCGGGAACCTTGTTGGTGAATTGCAGTAGTTCTAGGTTTGCACTCCTTGCATAACTCGTCATCGATATGCGGGTTGTACCATGGCATTCGCCTAATTATTCTATCATTGACTCGTGAGTGAGAGAGAGAGACTCGAGCACGCAACCGGTATGGAACAAGCACACCACCCACACCACTCTACCGACGACCCGAAGCCGACGGCGGTGGTGTGTCCTAGTAGTTACAAATTGCCATCGGAGCGGAGGTAAGGGACTAACTAGCCTTGTCCAGATTGCGGCGATTGGGACTCTTCGATGATCTCAAGACTACTGCCGTGTGTTGTTATTATTCCGTGCCGCAGTTCTTTTTGTTATACAGCCCTTCAGCACTGCGAAAACAGTCCTCATTGTCTCCAGAAGAAAGAGATTCTTGCGACCTCTGCTACCTACCTTACTTCTTCATCAGTACTACCGACTGGCTGTCACCTCTGATTATTGACACCTCGCCTTTCGACTGCCGAAATCACACACCCTGCTGCCTGCCTGTCGGTCTGCCTGCAGCCAGGATTTGCACGCGACCACCATGTCCAGCACAGATAAGCAGCGTCTCTCAGACGTTCTGCCCCCTCTGATCTTCGGTACCGCGACCTTCAACTACCAATACAATCCCGATCCATACGATCTCGACACCGCAGGCCTCGTTCGCAGAGCCCTAGAATTTGGCATTCGAGCCTTCGATACATCGCCATACTACGGTCCTTCCGAAGAGATCTTGGGAGCAGCCCTCGATACTCAATTCGTGCGCGAAAACTTCCCGCGGCAGGATTTCTTCCTGATCACGAAATGTGGGAGGCTCGCGAGTGATGAGTTTGACTATTCGAGGGAGTGGGTATACCAGAGTGTGCAGCGCAGTCTGAAGCGCTTAAAGAGCGACTACCTGGATCTGGTGTATTGCCATGATGTGGAGTTTGTGTCTGAAGATGAGGCTATGGAAGCTATCACAGAGTTGAGGAGAATACGTGACGAGGAAGGGACGATCAAGTATATTGGTATATCTGGATATCCTCTTCCTGTGCTGTGCTCGATTGGGAAGAGAGTGCTGAGGGAAACAGGCGAGCCACTGGATGCAGTGATGTCGTATGCGAACTTTACACTACAGAATCAATTGCTCGCTACGCAGGGCATTCGAGAGCTGCGCGAAGCAGGCGTGGACGTGGTACCCAATGCTTCACCGCTAGGTATGGGACTGCTCCGAAGAGAGGGCGTACCCGTGGGCAGCATGGGCAATTGGCATCCTGCTAGTGACGGTATGCGCGCGGCCGTGAAGCGGGCCAGCGACTTTTGCGACAGGCATGACGAGAAGCTGGAAGTGATTGCGATCCGCTATGCGCTCGAAAGTTGGCTGAAAATTGGGGCTGAAGTTGGTTCTCGCGGTGATCCCGCTTCTGGCGTACCATGGCAGAGGGAGTCGAACGCGCAGATCGGCGGCAACAGGCTCGGAGTCACTGTCATGGGAGTCAGCAAAGCCAGCGAGCTCGACAAGACAATGCGCGTCTGGCGGAGTATACTGGATGGCCTGGAGAACGGCGCGGAGACGGCACGCCTGGCTGGCCGATGGAGTCGCGACCACGAATGGAGCATCAATCGCCGGAAAGCGGTTCAGATTCTAGCAGATGGCATTCAGGAACATCTGGACGAGTTTCTGGACTTCTGCTGGGACAGTCCCGACAAAGACTTTGTAAACAAGCGTGCAAAGCAGCAGCACAGCGTGCTGCCACCCGCTGACGATGTCGCTATCGCTCCGATCACTCCTGCAGCCTCACCACCGTCTGATGAGATGCTCTGACACCCTGTGCAAGTAAGGTAGTGACGCGACCTTGGCTCCCCGCTCGAGCGATGACACATCTCGCCATGTGCACACCGGGAGGCCTTGAAATTGTATAGATGCATGAATATGGAGGAGCTATAAGTGCAGCCCGGACCTTTTCAGGCGGGCAGGCAGGGAATAGCATGACTTGCATAATGTTAAGGCGCATGAAAGACTGTTGTCGCTATAGGCAAGCGCCTTATGTTGCAGCGCAGATGGGGCGTCTATCGACGATAGCGGCTGCGTGGATGAAACGAAGAAGTAGTTCGTGAGACACGGTCTCGCTGATTGAGTTGTGGCGATGTGTGAACTATTCTCATATCCCGTTGACCAATGCAGTGGACTGCTGCTGCTGCTGATGATGATGGTGATTATCTTAGTGCTACCTTATATTGATGATGATGATGATTGTACTGTGCATGGCGGAGGCACAATCTGTTGGGCACATGTTGAGGAAATGTCATGAGCCCACCACTGGAGGCATTCCATAACGTGGAAGCCTAATGATGAGATGGTCTAGTCTAGTTCTAGCGGGAGAGAGCTTGTCATCGTTTGGCACCTGCAATCCATGGCATGCGCGTCCAGTGACATCAGCTACTCTCGCAGACTTCACTACTCGCACATGTACTATTACTCTTTCTATGCGACTCTCACTGCCTGCCGGCCACGGGCTACCATTGTCAATTAATACGCTGCTCCTCGCGCACTGATATGGTTATGAACTACCTACCCATTCTCCTGCTAAAACGAATGGTGTAGCGCTCTCGCTGAAACATCATCCGCCGGCATCACCCCCTCATACTGGGTACGCTCTGACGAAACGGCCGCACGTGCTGAACCGGCAAACTATCCAAGTTACAGGGAACCATCAAACAGCTGCCTGAGCTGCGTGGGCTAGTCGTCGTCTACTTCTATTCCGATCTCATCTGTTCACGCACTCGTATTGCACCACCGATTGCAGCAGCAGCAGACAAATGCCATCTCCACCTCCAGCATCCTTACGATATCTCGACTGGATGCTGCGCTGAGAAAGAGTAGGGGCCGCGCTGTGCTGACGACAAAATGGGCAACAGCTCGTCCAAAGATGAGCGCAGGTCCGCAAGACCAAACCAGGCTACCACCCAAGCACAATCAGCGCCTCAACAACCATCCGGTGAACGGCGAGTATACATCAGGGCGAGCGGGGTCGCCAGTGCTCGGGGAAGCAGCCAGAATCTGTTTCTTCGCCTTGGGCGCAGTGAGCGAGATGGCGACGGTGAAACGGCACAGCCAGAGCGGCCTCGGGAAACAAAGCAGGAACGAGAGGCACGAAGAGCAGAGCGCGAACGGCAGGCACGGCTGAAGGAACGGGAACGCAGTATGCGAGAGGAACACGTGGATGGAGGGTATCTCGTGACTGTAGGCGTCTACGTTGGGCCCGAGGATTTCAACAAACAGATTGTGAGACAGCTTCAGATCGAGCGGAAGCTGGCCCCATTCTGGAGAGGACTGAATGACCACTCCGATGCATGGACAGAAGCACAGCTAGTCGCCGCTGCAAAGGGACTACCTATACCAGCTGCGGACGAAGTGCCGCCAGAGATGGGCAGGACCGCTTCTCAAGCCTCGTCGAGTCCTCGTTCTGATGTGAATGTCAACAGCTTAACCGTACCGATCACCAGCAGGTCACAGTCATATCAGTCAGACGTGTCTGCCTCGCTGTCTGCTTCTCATCCCGCATTCTCCTCGAGGCCTTCGTCGCCCACCAATGCTGGAAGTTCTATGTTCCGAGGTCGAGCGAAAACACTCGCATCCTTGGCCAGCGGAACCAAGAACCAATCATCAGACCTCACCCCGCAAGAGGTCCGGTTACCTAATGATCCGAATGTCAATGGACAGCCTCTGGAAGCATATCTCTACAAAGATGCCATAGAGTGTCCGATATGCTTCATGTATTATCCACCATATCTCAACAGGACACGATGTTGCGATCAGGACATCTGCTCAGAATGTTTTGTACAAATCAAACGGCCAGACCCACATCCACCTGAGCACGAACAGCCTGGACAAGAACGGCCATCAGGGGAGGAAGCTGAACAACTTGTTTCCGAAGAGGCAGCTTGTCCATTTTGCGTAACGCCACATTTTGGCGTGACATACGAGCCACCATCATTCCGACGTGGATTGGCATATGCACACCAAAATGCCGGATTGAGACCTCAGGCCCCCGCAATGGCATCTTCTACCTCGCTGCAAGCGCCAACAGGACGTCGTAGGGCTACGTCTCTGTCAGCCAATGCGCCTGGGGTGGTCACTACTGATACTGTACGGCCGGACTGGGCGAAGAAGCTCTCAGATGCCAGAGCAAACGCGCTTCGAAGATCGGCAGCAGCTACTGCTTTGCACAATGCTGCATACATGCTTGGCGGACAAGGAGATTCAACCGGTCGTGCGGGCTTTGGCCTCGGCAGGCGACGGAGAACGTTGTTTGGAGATAGTCCTGGTGCTAGTGGCAGTGGATCGCCACACGAGGGTGAAGGCAACGATATCGCAGGTGGTAGAACAAGCTCCCGACGCACCAGGGCTGAAGATCTGGAAGATCTCATGATGATGGAGGCAATAAGACTGTCTCTTGCTGCAGAGGAGGAGCGGAAGCAACGAGAAGAGAAGCTGGCTGCTAAAGATGCCAAGAAGAAGGCGAAGTTGGACAAGAAAGAGGAGAAGAAGGCAGAAAAGATGGCAAAGAAGACGGGCCGAAGTGGCTCGCTATATCAACTTGGTACGAACGAAAGCGCAAGCAGTTGGGCTGGCACTAGTGGGATGGTGCGTTCGACAAGTAATCTAGGTGCTCAACCCACGATACCGGAGGAACAAGTGCAGGGTAAAGGGAAGCAGCCTGCTCATGACTTTGCTGGGTTCAACCCCTTGACAGAGCCCACCTCGACGCTAAATCGGCGTCCATCATCTCCTTCCACTGCCGAAAGTGCACAGCAGCACTTAGAAGCTCAGCGAGCACGGTTCGAGTCCCATTCCAGTCCAATTCCGGCTCCCGCTAAGCATGGCCAACACCTCCGCGATACATCAGCAACGTCTGGCGTTTCTTCCGTCGCGTCGTCATACTCGGGCCAGAACTCGGGTTTCTCCTCGCACAATGCTACTGGCGTCGATGTCAGCGCTGGACAGCTGGAGAGCACTTCGACGAGGTCGGGGACGAATGCTGTGGCCGGCGGCGAACCTATGCTCAACTTTCGCTCTCTGACAGCGATGATTGAGTCAGACGACAAGTCTAATTCGCAACATCTTGAACATGTTGAGCCATCAAGCCAAGCAGCCGAACAATTGAAGGAGCCGTCTCCTACTGGCTCACCGCGTATACCACCCACATACCTTTCCGGTGATGGTAATCGATCACGAGGCGACAGTGGCGAGTCGTCCAGCTCGGCTCCACCACCAGTGTATGTCGAGCAACATAGCGAGGTCAAGCACGACAATGATGTAATCACGCCTGCACCTCAGCACTTTGCTGTACACCATCCAGACCATAAGGAGGCCTGTAAAGTGGAGTTTGTGGACCATGGACACGAACGCGTTGGAGAGACGTGACTGCTAACGTCACGGACACCGTGATCACAGGTCTACCTTGCAGTATGAGGCCCTGAAGAATACATAAGCAGCAGTGGGGCGTTCACAGACTGATCCGAAGCCATCTGGAGATTTACAGTGTTGGGCGCGACGTTCACTAGCGAAGGCGAAGGAAAGGATGTCAATTCATTTGTAGAGGCATGTCGATTCACGAGGAGACGACTTTAGTATTGAACTCATTAAGAATCTCAAGGTACGATATCACGTCCTCAACCCGTCCATCACTTCCATTTCGCCAACGTGTAGTGTTTTCCACTTGTCCCTCCCACGGACTGACTGTGCTATGGCAATTGTAGGAGGAGGAGAGACTCGAGAGTACTTGTAATAAACAAGCACTGCAAGAAGCCAGTGGGAGAACAGCTTTACGATAGTAATATTTCAATGGCGAGTAGGTGAAAGAACGTGAAACATGGGACGTGTTGTTGTGACAACTGAACTTGCTTCACTACCTACGGCATGTTCCGTCAGCAAGTCACTATTGGCGAAGCGACTTACCACAAGAACTTCCTCACCTCAACTTAACAACAGACACCCCCCTCCACCACGATGGCGAACAAGAAGCGGAAAGCGCATGATGCCATCACGGCCGACATGGACTACACCGCGCCACGGCGCAAGGCTAGTTCCGCCCGCTCAGCTCCTATCACAACCCCGACCCGAATCACACGGCTGATGGGCCTTGATGCCCCACGTCGAGCTGTGTTCAATACCGCCGAGTTGCTCGAAATCATTCTTTTGTTCCTGCCGGCGCGCTCAGTCTATAGCGCGTGCCGGGTCTCGCAACAATGGAATGCCCTCGTCAGGACCTCCATCGCGATCCTGCAAAAGTTGCTGATCAAACCGTCAACGCCGAAGCAAGCATGGCAGGTCAGCAACCACGACTGTTCGGTTGTCCCTGCCGAGACGCCACCGCTTCTCGAGCTCAACACAGGCACTGAGACTCCGGTCGTCGTAAACCCGGTGATAATCAACCCTCTTCTCGCCGCTCCGTATGAGTCACTTGGTTGTCTCATTGCCCCGTGGCCAGTATGGGATGCTGTGAAGCTTACAATATCCGACAAGACAATGAATAAAATGAACCTAGGTCGACCTGCACGAAGCTCGCTCCTTTCACAACTCACCGATCCGCCATGTCAGAAAGTGGTGATCAAACGTCGTTGGCAATCCAAGGAGGAAGTAGAGCCTGGAGGTCGGGAAAGAAGAGACACTGGTTACATGCGCTGGGCCGTGCAAAAGTCCGCAGAGGATGGCGTTACATTCGGAGATCTGTTCCATGCCTTGCAGAGCCGTGGCTCCAATCATCATCATCCAACCACGAGCCAAGCCAACTCGTCCGGAGCCTTGAACACTAGGCCAAACGGTGCACACGAATGGTTAAAAATCAGAGTCTTTGATCTTGAAATTTATTTGTATGGCGTCGTGGTTCCACCTGAGGGTTTTTGGCGGGAGATGGCTGAAGTCGGCAGAGCGAGCTTGCCGGAGTATCCAAACTAAACACATGACAGCTTGGTCGAGACTCAGGACGAAGACGGGCTCCCAAAAAGAGACAACAGTGCGCTCGCGCATCCATGTGCAACGGATGAGCCCACCCCGAGCGACGACTCGAAGATAGGTAGTTACGATTGCTTTCTGCTCTAAAGTCGACGGAGTAGAACTGCAGAGGACCTCTCTTTCCTTGGCAAACAGCACCAGCCCGCGCTCGACGGGGGAACAGCTTGGTGTGCACTACTACCTACACAGTCAAAGTCTTCAACACGAGTAGGCCGAGAAAACCACGTCAGAGCGAGCATACCAACCTCAAAACAAACCAAACTTACAACTGCGTATAAGTCTTCTACCTTCTCGCGCGAGCTGACACTATCATGTCTTCCAACACATGTCCAGAGCACAGGGGAAATTTTTCCATCCCGTATCCCACACCACAAGTGATCCCCCTTTTCCACGTTCCAGTCGTACCACACTCCACAAGTCTCTCTACCTACCATCAGCAGACCCGTTCTTTCTCCTGCAACGCCTTGAGCTTGATACCCACACTCAGCGCCAAACACCCTCGAAGCAAAGAAACAAATCAAACCTGCCTGCCTGCCTATTCGATCATTAAATCACCAACCACACCGCTGCCTTGTATAGGAATTCTTCCCGTCTCTGTCTCTCTCCATATATCTATCTATCTATCCATCCACCTCATCCATCACCTTTCTCGAACCACTCGATACTCATCATCATCAGCAAATCAACAACAGCTTCTTAATTATTATCATCAAGCAAATCATCCTCAGCAAATCAACAACAACAGCCTACCTACTACTACCCACGCATCATCCAATTTAATAATGCTCTTCTACCAAGTAGGTAGGTACTTCCCAGTCAGTGATTTTGGTTTAATTTTGATTTCTTGACATTTTCTTTTTTCGTTTTGGCAATTGTTGATTGTAGGGACACCCTCGGACAGGGGAAAAACATTGAGGAAAAGGAGTGAGTTGAATGAATAATGGATAATGAATATTCGGACAAACACGGCGAGAAAGGAGGTTATTATCATCAGTCATGAAATATCGACTGGGAATGGGAATGGCTGCTGATGTGTGAACCTGTTTCGACGATGAAAAAGTGGTCATGAGTGAGTGGGTGTGTGGTGATGCCTCTTTTCCCCATCCCCCTGATGAGACGCCAAGGTGCGTACTATGAGTGAGTGAGAGGTATGGCGTCGAGATTAGAGTCAAAAGCTCTTTCCATTCAAGTGCAAACGCTATCAAATCTCGAAACAACGTACTTTCATCCCTCATGGGCACCTACTTCATATCCACCTATTTTCCTTTCCCAACGTTCAAAGCGGGGCTCGCTTTGATACGATGAATAAACCTCTCGCGAGGAAGAAGATTCACTTCCATCTGGGTATCATTGCTATTCTGCAAATCAAATAATGCAGCCATTCGTCTCTTTCGTGGTCGCGCAGGAGTAACGCGTCGCCCATGGCATCTCGAGATGTCTCACAGACCCATCATTGTCCACTTTGCTCATGATCTTGGAGAGTTCGAGTGTATCCACTGCCGAATTGCGCTCTTTCTGAACTACTATTATCAAAGAAAATCGAGCAGCTGGTAGCGATAGGCGACACGAGAGCCATCCAGGATTCACAGGGCCGCCCCCTAGGCACCGCCATTAGTCTGCGTTGGAGTGGCAGCATCGCCAGCAGATGCTTGTTGCTGAGCCTGTTGGATCTTGGTTGCTTGTTCGATGGCAGATTGAACGACTTGTTGTTCTTCTGGGCCAAGCATGCCGTATAGCTGGGTGTAGAATTGTGGCTGTGTGGTATGCATCGCTGGGAAAAGGTCAGTAACATTCTTGAGACGGAGAGAGGTGTCAACTCACTCTCCAGCGTCTGCTTGAACAGTTGGTACGGCTCCATTGCGTCCAGTGGCGTCTCCAACAAGCTCTCCTCTTCTAGTTCGTCCTCGCCCTCGTCCTCGCCAACTGCTGCATTGAATTTGCTTGCTTGCTGGCTAAGGAAGTCGAGATACGCAGTGCTTTCGTCTTTGACGTCTGTGGTCTCTTCGGTCTCTTCGGCTTCCCAGTCTTCAGCTTCCCACTCCTCTTCTTCCTAGACAGACGTTAGTACTATGTACCATATCACGCATGATGGTATGCTTACCTCTTCGTCGTCGTCGTAGTCACCAGACAACCCGAAATCCTCATCCTTCTGAGCCTCTTCTCTGTTCTTGAGTGCAGCAGGAAGAGTCTGGAAAAGGCGCACAACGCCCTGTAGCAGTCTAGGCCACCCGGGTTGCACACTTTGTGGCACTTCATCGCCACGCAACGACAGCAACGACGTGATGGCGCCAATCGAAAGCTTCTTATCGTGTACACGTGTAAAGCTGTCGATGCTGGAAAACCACAAGCTGAAGAACTTATTCGTCCAGCCGTTCGCCTCCAGCACGCTCAGAGCAAGTCGTGGATTATAGTAGATGCCGTTGATGACCATCTCCATCAGGTGAATCTTGTAGGACTTCACTTTGAGATCGTCATTGGTAAGCACAGTCATGGCTAGCTGGATGAATTCAGGGACGTAGTTATCAATACCAGTCCTGAGATTGAGCATGAGGATTTCGGCCAGCTTGCAGCCGCATATCCGGTCGACACCCCCCACTTTGTCGTCCTTAAAGATGGTGCGGACCATGTCCACGATCGCATCGAGGTGTTGCGGACTTTCGAGTAGTTGCCGCCATCCGTAGTTGACAAAGTTCTCGAGCGCAGGAAGCATGTCCTCTAGGTAGAGCTCGGCACCAGACTTGAAGGTCCGGTGGATGAGTTCGAAAGCTTGCCACATGGTTGGCGAAATGACCTTGGCGGCGAATGTGCAGCTATCAATGATTTCAAAGACTTCGTTGTACAGATCGTACAGCTTGTGTTCAAGGGTTATCGTGATGACAGGCATCAGGATCTGCTCCAAGTGTGCGAGGACGTCGGGTGTGCTCTCCAGCGTGAGGATCAGTGTCCCAATCGTCTGCAATACACCGAGTGCTGTTATGCTCTTGTCGTCCAGGAAATCGCCGTAGTTGTCTTCACCATCCTTTCCTTGATTTCGTTCAATGAGTTCCCGTACGATCCTCACATACGTGTCCCTGAGTTGCTCGCTAAGCGCGACAGCGAAAGGTGTGAGCTGCTGAGCGAAGACTTCAACGAAGTCCTCCATGACATTGGCAAGTGCATCAACGTCGACCTCATTAGCAAGTTTGAGTAGTTGCTGCATGATCTGTGGAATGTTTTGCTGCATCATCACCCTGATAGGGTCGTGACGGATGAGAGGTTGAAGTGCGAGTGCAGCCTCGACTCGTACAGGCAGGTCTGGATCAGCCATGGACTCGAGGATGTTGCGGTAAATGATGGAGAGGTTGTTTGGATCCTTGAAGTCCAGCGACTCAAACTTCTCCAAGGTATCGCAGGCCCGAGCTCGCAGAAAGCCGTGGGGGCTGCGAAATTCTGGAAAGACGTGCCGCACAAAGAAGTACTCAACTTGGTCTGCGATGGGACTTTTCTTGCCCAGAATGACATTTGCGAGCGTCCCAATCATACGCAGCGCACCTTCCTTCTCTCGGGGGTTCTTCTGATCATCTGGAGCAGCCTCGTACTTGTTCACAATGTTGTTGATGAATGCCAGCACCTCAAAAGTCTGCTTCCTTCGCGCCTTCGTCAGTGTCACGAGGAAATTGGTTGCAGCGACATCTGGTGCGGATACTTCTTCATAGAAGTTCAGTTTGCGATGCAGATACTCCGCAGGCTCCTCCTCAAATTGCTCGAGATCCTCATCGGTCTGGCACAAGACCGGGAAGATCAGATGCTCAATCAGAATAGGCATGTGTGGCTTGAGGTGATCCCACATGGCCTTGGGCTTCACGCATTCGTCCAGAAAGCCCAGCGTATAGGACAGACATGGCTTGCTCAGCCAGATCTTTTTGCCCACCCAGAGCTCGATCTGGCCCAGGTATCCCTTTAATATTTCTGGAGCGAATGTTGCAATGAAGCTCTTCGCAACTGCCGAGTAATCCTCGCCGTTTCCCTTTTGCAAGCTCGCCGGATTGCCATATCGGACAAAGAGCCTGTTCAGATTCACGTATGCCCACTTTTTACACTTCCACCAGTGATTGACCTCGCGCTCGTCCAGGTCTTCCATCATCGAGTTGGCTGGCGGAGTCTTTGCAACGACGCGCAGAAATAGCGTGCACCAGTCCACCATGGCTTGGTGCGATCGTAGCTGCTGTGGTAGCTCAAAGTATATCGCGTGCTTGTAGGCCTTGAGCACTGTCCTCAACATCTCTCCCGCTTCGAGGCTCTCCTCATTGACCAAGCTATTCCCGATGTTCAAGAGCTGGGGGAAGGTGGCCTCCACGATCTTGTCAAAGTCGCCCCTACTGTCTCCCAACTTGAATCGATATGTTCGGCAGATGGCCAGCAGACACTGCAAGCCGGCGAAGACCGACGACACATCTTGCGAGTGGAGAAGGCTGTTGGTGACGTCGACAAAGTCCGGCCATTGCTTGGGGAAGTCGCAGTGCAAAATCTTTTGCAGGGCAACAATGAGCTGGGGGCGGATGTTCGGATGGGATTTGGCGATGACGGGAACCAGTCGTTGGCGCACAGCGGCCTTTTCGTTCTCCTGGATCGCAGTAGATGTGGGTTGCACCTCGTCTACCTTGGCCCAGCCCTTGTTGACGCGGTTTTTAAAGTAGATGGCGGTGGACTGCCTGACACCGTTGTCCTGCTCGGCCTCGAGGATGTTGAGCAGGGCATCGAGGAAGCCGGTGGCCTCTTCAGCCGACTTCAGCTCGACTTCGGCCTGCTGTCTAACGTCGGCATCGGGAGTCAGGGTGGCCTGGATACGCGTCCGTAAGGCGACAGCGTCCATGGTGGGTGGGTGCGTGCGGGCGTGTTTGCGAGGTTGCGTTCGTGCGGGCGGGCGTGCGTCCGTGGGTGCGTGGGTGCGGGCGGGCGGGCGGGCAGACAGGTGTGTTTGTTGATCGTGAATCGTTGGCAAGACTGCTCAGCTATGGCCGACGCGTAGCCAGTTTGAGCGTGGTTCTCCAGCAGTCGGGCGGAGAGCTGCCACGCGGGATGGAGGTGTCCAGGGGGGAGGGGAGTGTTTTAATGTTTTTCTGGTTTATACAAGGCACAGGCAGCGGGAGAGGTGGGTTTCGACAGTCACTCTCGAAAAAGTTGTAGAGAAGTGGAGAGCGGGCGGAAGAGCTGCCCAATCCCAAGTATTCTCTACTTTTCAGCCAAGACCAGGATCTCTGGTTGTGGGAAGTGCGTTTACTGCTCCTGCTGATGCTGATGCTCGGCAACAATAACCACCTCACTGCCTCGCCCGTGAATTTCACTTTCCTGACGCAAGAGGAGAGAAGAAGAGAGAGAAAGAAAGAAAGTGGCAGTAGACGGGCGGAAAAGAGATGAAGAAAGGAAGCACCCGCCGATGAAGTTCCATGTGGCCCTCGCGTGGCTTTAAAAAAGATCGTCGTCCCTTTCTCCCACCACACCGATGACGGCGCAGGCATGTAAGGGAGGTAATGTATGTATGTGTCTGCGCTTCATGCGCTCGGGTGGTTGGTCGGAAAGGGGGGGGGGGGGGGGTGTGTGTGGTGAATCATTATTAATGAGGTAGGCGTCTATTGCGATGGTGGCTGGTGGTGGTGGTGGTGGAGGTGTGGTTGTGGCCGTGTGCCTCCCGAAGCACACATCCAGGGCGGGCAGTAAAAAGACACGCAACCAAGTGAAATGAGAGAAGTTGAAATCATCGGGGGGAATCCTGACTGGAAGCCACCATCGCACGTTACTCGTCGTCGTACCAAAATTTCCTCAGTCGAGAGACAAAGGTACTGATGATTCGGTTCATGATTGATCGATTAGTAGGTACATGGAGCGTAGGTAAAAGGGAGCTGCTGTTCCCGCATGAGTCCCTTCTGCAGACAGACCCCTATATCCGGACCAGCCACAGGGCTGTCATGGCTTCTTCGGGATGGTACATGGAGGTGGGCATATGCCACTTTCGGGGGCCTTGCACACGTCAGAGGCGTCCACGCGAGAATGGAGAAAGGGCTTAGTGGGCGTGGATGTCTTAGACACGTGCGACTTGCAGTCTTGAGGCTTCTCTATTTCTGTACTCCCCCTACTGGAGATGGAGGTACTGTACCTGACAGGCCACGTTGTGGACCCTCCTCTACATGTATTTGCACGGTGATGGCTCGGCGCCGCCTTACTCACCTGTCCCGGAAGCGATGGCTCTTCCACTCCATCACCCAGCCTTCCTAGCATCTGCACATCTCACATATACAGACTAGCCGTAGCGCAGATATCCCTCTTGATCAGTTCTTGACAAGTCTGCATCTTGGTGAACAGTGTCGGATCGCCAATGATCCTCGCAGCATTCTTCACCTCTCGACACGTCTCGTCTAATCTCGTGATGACTCGTACAATCGTCCCTTCCAACACATCCGTCAAGTCGGTAATCCTCGAGAACGGCATACCCCTCGCCCATTCATACACGACTTCCACCAGTCCAAAACGAGGCCGGCTCACGAAATCGTTGCTATCATCCGAAGACAGAATAACTTGATGCAGCGTCTGGTAACGATTGACTTTCTCGGATATGGCAATGATCGTCTCTTGGCCTTTCTCGAGAGCCGGCGTCATGTTTGGTACCGAGTCGGTCTTCTCTTGGAAGACGAACGACGAGAGCAGGGCGACGATTTCCTCCGGTTCATAGTCTGCCAAGACATTCTCGAGCACCAGTTCTGTCAATACCAATTCGTCCGCAGAGTGGATCTCGCACGCGACTTTGCCCTTCAATTCCACTCGCGACTGATCGTCGATGAAGCCGAGATCCTTGAGAACATGTATGCGTTGTTCGTAGTCGGGAAGGAGCTGAAGATTCTGGTCCGACATGAGCTGGCGAATGGAGTCGATCCTGTCGCGAATTATCCATTGGTCGTGGGCCATGGCGAAATGTTTGGGGAGGTGGGGACACTGGATGCACTCGCGCTCCGAAGCGGCGAAGGCGGCTTTGCTGCGGTCATCGAGGAGGGTGCGGATGTTCATATCTTTGAGGTATTTGTAGTAGTCAAGCTCGTTCCACGATGAGGAAGTCCATGATGAGCAAGTCGTAAGAAGCTCGGCCTTCACTTTGGCGAGAGCCTCTGGATCGTGCTGGAGCACCCCACTGACATCCATTGAGATATGCGTCCCGGTCAGCGCTTGTATGTCGTCGAGAGAGATCGTGACCGTGCGAAGTTGCATTTCGTTCTCCTTCTGAGGTAGCTCCACGAAGCGGCGGCGGAATCGCGGCAGGAATGGCAGGAAATCTGGGTCTTGTCGCTTGCGTTGATTGCGGTAGAGCACCTCGAGGACGTGTACTGTAGGTGACGAGCCTCTCGCGGCTCCTTCGCGAAGCAGCACACCAGCAGTACGAACGTTGTTCTTGCCTCTGAACACAATCAATCGCTTCGGCTGAAACATTCGGCGGCCTACAGGCGTCGACAACATCATTAAATGCAGACTGGCAGTCAGCTTTTCGTACTCGACGCTCGCAGCCTGACAGACGTCAATGTCTTTGTCGCAGATGTCGCAAGACTCTCGCACGACCTTCTCAAGATCCGCTTCTGATAACTTGATTTGCTTTTGATGTTCAGGCAAGAGTGCTTGCGTGGCGTTCTCGGAGAACGATCGCTTGATCATCTCCTCAATCTTCAAAGCTTCCACTCGAAGCAGGTTGAGGATCATATTGTAGGTCAGGCGAAATTGAGATCTCAGCTTGGTCGGCTCTCCTAGCATCATCTGTCGCAGACGAGCTGCAGGCGGAGCCTCATCTGCTCCAGGACTGACCAGGATGACATAGCCGACAGTGTCCAGTCCTCTTCTTCCGGCACGACCAGCCATTTGCGTGTACTCTCCAGGTAGGAGATCGCGGAACGACTTGCTGTCATACTTTCTGAAACCAGAGAATATTACTGTTCGCGTAGGCAAGTTCAGACCCATGGCGAACGTCTCGGTCGCGAAAAGGACCTTGACCAGAGTTTTGGAGAATAGAATCTCCACGCACTCCTTGACTATAGGTAGAAGACCACCATGATGGACTGCAATGCCACGGGCAAGCAATTCGCGCATCCGCCGGATCTGTGGCAAGGTGCGATCATCAGGCTTCAGTCGTGCCAGAGACTTCTCCAGGATCATGTGAATTGCGCTCTTTTCTGTCGCTGTGCAGAAGTCCAGGTTGGAAAGCGCATCTGCATTCTCTTCGCATCGTTTCTTCGAGAAGACGAAGATTGTGCAAGGCAACAGCTCCTCTTTTCGCAAATGTTGCACGAGATGCACCCATATGTTCCGGTCTTGGGCTGCTGTCGTTCGGCCACCTCCACGCCCAGTACGTGCGATGTTGCCCTGTCCACGGATGGCAGGTGCACCTCGTCCACGTTGCTGAGGGCCTCCACGTTGATTGCCACCTCCCCTTTGCTGACCTCCACGGCCTTGAGCGGCACCACGACCACCTCGTCCCCCTCGACCAGCAGCAGCAGCAGCATCTTCCTTTTCCTTGGCCTTGGCTTCTGCTGCAATGATCTTGTCCCGGCCGCTCATTGCATCATTGGCATCTTTCCAGCCTTTCTCGAGGAAGTGCTTATTGGCATCAACAATCTTGTGCATCTTCTTATCTGCCCACAAGTAGTGTTCCAGTGGCACAGGCCGCTTCGGGGTGGAGATGACATAGATGTCTTTCTTCTTGGTGCGGCCAACCCAGGACGCAAACTCGTATGTGTTTGGCACAGTTGCAGATAGGCATATCAGGGTCACATGCTCCGGAAGCATAATGATGACCTCTTCCCAAACAACACCACGCTCCGAATCATTGACATAATGTACCTCATCAAAGATGACAAATTCCACGTCTCGAATGAGATCGGCTCCACGATAGAGCATACTCCTCAAGATCTCTGTGGTCATGATCAGACAGCTAGCTTCCGGTCGTATCTGCACATCTCCTGTCAGAATGCCGACATCATCGAACTCCAAACGGAAGTCGCGAAATTTCTGGTTACTGAGCGCCTTGATGGGAGACGTATAAATCGCTTTGGTCATGTGTTTGGCCGCCAAGGCGATAGCGTACTCTGCAACGACAGTCTTTCCTGCAGAGGTGTGGGCTGCAACAAAGACAGAGTCTCCGTTCTCCAGATGATATACGGCCTCTTTCTGGAAAGTATCTAGCTCGAATGGCCAATTCCTCGCCATTTCAGGCACAAGTTCTCGGAAATTAGTGATATCGCGGTTGACATCCACCATGTGCGCCCACTCGCGTCCACCTTGCTTATTACGCGCAACGGCAAGAGGACCATGAGCCGCCAGGGCAGGGAATTCGATAGGGAGAAGCGCATCGAGATCTTCTTCGGCCTCACCATCTTCGAGCTCCTCATCAACGTCACCATCTTCTTCCTTGGGCAGCGGAACTCCATTTCTAAAAGCCTCTGGCAGATCAGACTGCTCCTCCAAAGCCTCCTCGACTTCTTTGGCAGCTTCGTCGTCCTGCTTGGGCTTGTCGCTGACGCGCAGGCCTCGGCTGAAGCCCGGGGGCACTTCCAGCAGTCCACCTTCGGCAGCGAAATTGATAATTTTGTTTAATTTCTCAGATTTACGAGAGCCATCAGTATCCTGCTGTTTCTGGATGAGCTCGTCTTCGAGAGCGGCTGTGGCTTCAACAGCATCAAGACCGCCCGGTGCGAATGGGTAGTAGCCAGCTGCACCTCGCACAAAGTCGGCACGATTCGCAGGCTTCCGTAGAAGAGAGGTAGAGTTCTTTGCTGTCGCACTGTTGGCCGGTACAGTCACCTCGTTATAGCCCGTGACGCGTCCTGCGAGGCCTTCCCTCGTGAAACGAATGATTGTCCTGGTCTGGGTTGGTCCTATGGCGAAGAGCTCGTTGTAGTTCGTCGGTGTATCCCATCGCTGCTGCAAGCGATCTAGCCACTCGGGACTGAACGACGTGGATGGTGTAAGGAATTGGCTTTCGAGGTCGGCCTTCACTTCCTGTGGCGACTTCCGTATGCGTTTTCGGGGTTTGGCCTGATCAAGCAAGTCGTCAATGTTTTCACTTAAACCCTCAGACGAGAGTGCCAAGCCATTCAAGGCCGCAGTCAAGCTGTCGGCCATGATGAAAATCCAAAGAGGGCTCAATTGCTGTGTTCAAGTTCTTTCCCGTGTTCATGTTGTTTGGTGGTGCTCAAAGTCAGTGACGTTGAAGAAACAAGGTTCGCGCAAAGCACGCTAAGCTGTTTTCAAAACCGCTCGTACAGTCAGGTTACTCTAGTCACTTCTCACATTTTCCTCGAGATTTGGCGTGTCAACTTCATTATAGAAACATTAGTGAATATATTCGACGCTTTGGCTAGATTTGCGCTAATTCGAAGCCTACCTACCTAACCTAGAACTGCAGGTAGCTTATAGCAGAATGCATTCTATCAATGCGGATGTCCCACATTTGATCCCTCGCCTCGAGACAACCCTCTCCTCGACCTACGCCTACTTCAACCCGCCTGATAGCAGAATACTCTGTCCAGTCATGTAACCAGTCCTAGCAAGCATAGTGACCACATTCGCACATTCCTGCGTGGAGCCTGCGCGACCGACCGGAATATTCTTCACGTCGCCCGGAGTGCCTTTCAAGAAATCCTCATCGGGAATCATGCCTGTTCCTGTAATCATTGCTGGTGCCACATCATTACAGGTGATTCCATCTTTGGCCAGCTTGATCGCCAGATTCTTCGATAATCCTTGAATCCCTGCTTTGCTCGCAGAGTAGTGACAGCCGTTGATCGAAGTCCCCCCGGCCGCAATACTGGAGATGTAGATAATTCTACCCCACTGTTTCTCCTTCATATGTGCGACCGCCAACTTGGTCAGTACGAAACTGGCGCGCAGATTGACGTTGATGGTATAATCCCATTCGGCTACGTCGATGTCGAGAATATCGGACACCCGCTTTCCGTAGCCAGCATTCGCCACCAAGATATCTGGGCCTTGCTCATGCTGCGCCTTGATCTCCGCGTAGAGTCTGGTCAGGTCGATGTCAGATGCCTGTGGGCATGAGTCACGAGTGTAAAGCGAATTGGATTTAGTTCCTCAATGGCTTACCATGTCGACTTGGTGGGCAGTAATTTTGCGTCCGGCAGCATGCGGTTCCAGTTCTTGGATCAATTGATCTACAGAACCTTTCTGAGTGTAGTAAGTCAATGCCAGAGATGCTCCATTAGAGAACAGGTCCCGAGCACATGCTGCGCCTATGCCGCCAGATGCTAGAGTTCGGTCAGCATGAAATCTCGACACTAGCCGGTTTGTCTAACCCCCTGTGACGAGGGCGAGCCGCCCAGAAATTGCATTGTCGATAGGCATTCGCGAAATTAGTAGCACTTGAGAAGCCTTTGGTGCAGGCGTGCGACGATTTAGTACATGTGCTAGAGAGCCAAGAGATTCAGAGATCAACTGTGAAGTGATGAGTGGCCGAGTATCAGCAATGAGGGGACGGGGCGGGGCTGTCGGCTAACTGCATGACGCAAAATCCTACATATGCTTCTGCAGGCGTAGCATAGTGCACTTTGACCTCGACCGCTCCCTGCTACACTGGACTACGCACGGCACATTCAACTGTGTCTCAATCGAAAATGCTTTTCGAATAGTGCTCTTCACGACGGGGGCCGGATAGTAACACAGCCTTGCATGCGTGACATAAAATCTATAGTGATACTTCAGCTGGCACGAATCCTTGCTGGGGCATGTGCGTGATGAAGATGACCCGAGGCGCTCCAACAACCCAACTGAGAAGGATAGACCAAGACTAACCGACGATACAACGACATGTGGATCTCACGCCGAAGTGGAAATGCCAAGCCTGGTGAGCATAGCGCCAAACATGCCAAACAGAATTCAACATCGGCTGAACGACAGGATTCGCGGGTCAGACAAGCTCGATCGTCAAACTGAGATCAAAATGACCGACCCGAATTTTGTCCGAATAAAACCAGACCTGAGCATTGGCAAGTACAGACTGCGAGCCGTCATTCGTGTTTGCAGGACGGAGAAGGTATTGTAGTGCTGTGGTTCCACATTAGGGGCATACCGGACCGAGAACTTCCTGATAGCACATCTGGTCAGCCAGAAGATACTTTGCTTCAGAAAGATCGAAGAGCTACCAAACGATGCTCATTGAGGGACCCCATACACATGAGTAGCATCGCAGCAAGAGCATCGCCCTACCAATCGGGACAGAATGAGCATCTGCAAACTAGCAGGGCGAAGCTGATGCAAGAGAATATGCACGATGCCAATGATCGTACTCGCCTTTCACTTGCCTTCGCAGTGGCAGCCGAGGATCTCGAAACATCCTGTGCCGTATTCCCTTGAACGCATTCTTCACGAGCAGGCTCGGCTTCAGTCTCGCGTACATCAGCCTTTGCCATAACGACATTATGATCAGACCAGTGCTTGCATGAAGCGCACGATGGAGCGCGCGCCAAACAGAGACAGAGCTCGACCAGATGCTCTTGATGTTCGGGAAGGCCAATCTGACTGAAGTCCGCATTGCGTACAAGCTGGCAGACGAGGAACACACTTTCGACAGCAATGCTTATGTTAAGACCGTGCCTATCAAGGCGGGAGGTCGCAAAGTTGATGCGATGTTGCAACGCATCGTGGACGCAGAAAGCTGAACCGCTATCCCTCCAACCACAACGAAGAAAGCGCATGGAATGGTTATGCGGGCTTCCCGAGCACGACACACCCGGGCAGAGTGCTTAGCGGGGCCCGCAGAGTCCGTAGGGAAGCCCTAGTAATGGTTCTGATTCAGATAGGGACTCTGCTTGCTATTTGCGGACTTCAGTCCCGGCAGTCAGACTTTTTCCCATACAGTGCTTGGATCATGTTCTCTTCCTGGCGTTTCGATCGATGAGCGTCACAAGACAATTTTGTCGATATCACGTTCATCGCTTGTTCTCCGAAGGCACTGAAAAGCCTCGCGTCATGAAGTCGGCACTCTTCCCAATCGGCTTGCTCTGGTCTCTCGTTGAGAAGAGGCTCTTCACGTTCTCGTTCTGCATCTTCTTCTTCTTGCTCAACTCCTGCTCCTTCAACACCTTGGCCGCAATGCTTGCTGCAGAGGAGTTGTTGATACCACTTGAGTCTTCCTTTGTCTTCTTCACCTTCTCCTCGACCTCTCCATTCTCCTCCTTTCCCTTTTTTCTTTTCTTTCCACCACTGCTCTTCTTCAACGAATGTGCTAGTCCCTTTTCCTGCAGCGTCTTCACTCTGAATGCTAGCCTCGCGATATCTGTCGCTCCAGTAGGCAAGATGGGAATGACATCGTTGGTCGCGTACTCTGACTCACAAGTCAGACACTTCTCCCCGGACACTTCCTTGATGGCGCTGCCAGAAAAGGCATGTCCGCATGGGACCAAATACACCGCCTTCGATCCCGGACCCAGCTTATCGCCAGTGATAGGACATTTCCACGCTTCTCCCTTCACAACGCTGCTCGTTGCCGCCGTGTCTATCTCGAACTTGACTTCGACCACATCTTTCAGGGACTTTATTGCGCCTTGCGTGATGGTATCGGCATCTTCTTTCCGCGCACTTTCCACCAAGTATTCCAATATCGTCGATTTGTTGTACAACTTCCCAGAAGAGTCCGATACCACCGGCTGCGTCAGAGGTTCTCTCGAGATGGGATCTGTGGTCCAGTAGTATTCCTGCTGCTCGTGCTGCACTTCCTTGACTTGTGTCGTGGTCTTGTCCTTGGCCGCTTCTTTGACTAGCTCGCGTCGAGTCGGGATACTGCCACCATCGTTACCCATCGTTGTAGTGTACCAATACAGGGAGGTGATGGCGATGGTGGTGGAGGAGGAGGAGAGTGTCAGGTGAAGTTCCAAAAGATGTCTGGCACTGGCAGCGGCTCCACATGTGCTTACCTAATGCCTCACGATAACGCCTCCCAGGGTCCACGGGTTCCGTCTGAGGTCTCACTTCCTCGGCCAGCGTTTCCCCAGCCTTCTCAGCTCCCGTCGAGCCGACATGTCTTATCCTTCCTGGAGAATACGTCGAAACACGCATGTGATGACAACATGTATATACATACTGTAGTCCTGCCCGGTACAGGTACTCTCTTGCTCCCTCCATACATGTAATCTGAGCATACCTTAGTTGGCGTTGGCATTGTTCTTCGGCTGCCTCCGAGGCCAGTCACTTGCCAAGACCGACTCTCCCTCCCTCAGTTAGGCTCTACCTGACCTTACCTTCTGGAGTCACAGGACACGCGACTCACGCTCTTGCCCATTCTGGGAATATCAACATCGAACCACACGTCTTGGCCAGACACAAACCTTTTGCGTCTCACTGTCCCTCACCATGGCTGCTGAGATCGATAGACATCTGCAGTCCAAACGCCGACGCCTGTCGAGTTCGGCTGACATGCAGCACGCTATAGCGCAGCCTGGAAGCATCAAGATCAACGTCACTGGCGCTTCGATTATCGATCACGAGGATGAAGACTCTTCGCCCGACAGGTCGCCCACTTCAAGTCACGCAGACCACTCTGAATCGGATGGAGAGCTCTCTTATCAGCACCACAAGCGTGACATACGATTACCAAACCATACAGCAGTCGTCTCACATGTTGCAGCAGATATTGGCGGTAGTTTAGCCAAAGTGGTCTACTTCACACGCGAGAATGAACATGAATCCACTTCTGGTGGCCGATTGTCCTTTCTCTCATTCGAGACGGAGAAGATAGATGACTGCATCGACTATCTCCGAACTCTACAGACGAAGCATCAACGAGCCAATGGAATGGACAACTCAACAAAGCTCAGTATCATGGCAACCGGTGGCGGCGCGTACAAGTTCTATGACAAGATTCGATCGACTCTGGGCGTTGAAGTGGAGCGTGAAGATGAAATGGAATGTCTGATCAAAGGATTAGACTTTTTCATCACGCAAATCCCGAACGAGGTGTTTACTTATGACGATACGAGCGAAGGAGGACCCATGCACTTCCAGGAACCCAAAAGCGATGTCTACCCATATCTGCTTGTCAACATTGGAAGTGGGGTGAGCATGATCAAAGTCTCTGGTCCTTCCGAGTACCAACGTATTGGTGGTACGTCACTGGGTGGTGGAACGCTTTGGGGTCTTCTGTCTCTTCTCACTGGCGCAAGAAACTTTGACGACATGCTTGACATGGCCGATAAGGGTGACAACGGAGCTGTTGACCTGCTCGTCGGTGACATATACGGCGAGGGCATGGGTTACGAGAAGATTGGTTTATCTGAAAAGACAATTGCATCGTCTTTCGGCAAGGTCTTGAAGCGGAAAAGAGAAGCGGAAAGGCTAGCAGAGGATGGCAATGGTTGCAGTAACGAGAAGCTGACGAGACCGAAGCTGAAAACGGAGAATGGCGTCCGTGATGACAGTGTAGGGAGCGGTCTCATAGGTGATGGAAGGATGTTCAAGCCTGAAGACATCAGTAGAAGTCTGCTGTATGCGATCAGGTAAGCTGGAATATGAGGATTCCTGGTCCGGATTTGAGCTGACTCATAATAGTAACAACATCGGACAAATTGCCTTCCTCCAATCAGAGCGACACGACCTGAAGCGCATATACTTTGGAGGATCTTTCATCAGAGGCCATCAACAGACAATACACACTCTATCATTCGCGATCAATTTCTGGAGCAAAGGGAGCAAGCAAGCGTTCTTTTTGCGGCATGAAGGTTACCTTGGAGCTGTTGGCGCCTTTGTAAAGAGAAGACCTGCGAATTGGGGTCGAAGTAGAAGTGTCGAACCAAATGGCGAATGATGATGAATCATTTCGATACCGCATCTGGCTTGACCTGACTTGATGTAGACCCGAGCCCCTCTCTCAATGGCCGCATGCACAAGTTCCCCCTCTCCTGCTCAGGTCCTGGTTCAATATCGGCTGGGATTCTGGAAGCAGTGGGCAAAGCCGATGACAGCATGAGCGTACAGAGAGCGTGTTCATGATATAGTAAGGCAAAGACTCCAACAGCAGCTAGGTAGAGGGCAGGGAGTTCCTAGCATCGGAGATGTGGCGAATGCAGCAAGACGACTCTGTTGAGGTAGATGTAGGCAAGAGGGCGAACCACGACGCGGAGGCAGTTGTCCAAAAATGAGGAGGCCGAGAGCACTGGACGATGATCACCTTAGTCATTGATACGACTGTACCAAGGGCCCAGAGACTCTCCAACCTGATTGACAATTTAAATTATTCTTGAAGGAAGATCAAGAAAGAGAGTTGATAGGGATATAACAGATGGAGAGGGGACTGGGAGGAGAAGTTGTAGGCTAAGTAAATTACTGTACTTAGGGTAAGGTAGCGTAGCGTACCTAGGCTAGTGCCCTATATTGTCTTAGTAATATGTGTTAAGGTACAGGTACCTAATTATGGCGCGGAAGTACGCTGGACCATAGATGATAGCAGAAGCAGAGCAGACTTGGATGGTTTCCCCCCACCTGCGATAGAGCAGCATTGAGGAAGCTCGTAGGAGGTATCATGGTCACATTTCCGGTTGCGTGTAGGAGGTAGCTCTCCCTTTACTCGAGTGTGTGGGATGATGGCACTGGCACCCTGCCTGCTCATACGGTATCGGCGAACGCCTAAGACGACGTCGCACGACTCCATGGCTCGGACAGCAGCGGCGGCGCGGTGGACAAGGCTGCCGTCGGCGCGTCGGTGCAGAAGTGCGATCCTGCTCGGAGATGGACAATACTCACGAGTGTCGACACGACGGGAGAGTTTTGTAGGTGGTAGTAAGAAGTTGATGTTCTATCGGATTGGCGCGGGCCGGGAGAGAAAAGTGCGCTCGATGAGATCGAGTAATCCACCGGATCTTATACCGGGCCCTCGCGGCCATTCACACACCTGCATCCCTACTTTTAGGAGATGGCACACTGCCCACGCGACAGTGGAGTCCACGCTACCTGCTTATGGCTAGACGGACATGTCCAGGAGTGCACGACATTGGCTGCAGATTCGGCCTTATCTTTCCACCCACAGAACCACCTCTAGATTCAGTGATGCAGCACTCCGGCCCAGTGAGCATGCAGAAATGTCACCTTCTCACTTTTCCGACATCTTCGGGAAAGGCCTGCGAAGAGCACGCGACTACATATACCACCCGGACCGACCTCATCTGGACCTATTGCTCTCCGCACTGTCGCACAGCAAGCACTACCTGAGGTAACAAGTACGCTACCACCAGTGCACAACACCCAACAATGGCCTCCGACGGGAAGAATGCCTACTACGCCGAGAAGCCAAGCTCGAGCGCTTCCGATTTCGACCACCCCGTCGCCGCTGGCCAAGTAGGAAAGCTTCGAAGCCGCCTACCGGGATTCAGCCTTGCTGTACACCAAGAGGAAAGCAGTTTTGCTGCCACCAAGAATGCCTCCAATGCCGATTTCGACCCTATTCCTCCCTCCAAGCGCACCTGGACATGGAAGGCTTACATTGCCTACTGGTGCGCTGATGCCTGGGCTGTCTCGAACTGGCAAGTCGGTAAGTACAGCTATTCTTGGCGGTAGATGTGTCATACTACTGCCAAGGCTTGTATCAGCCAAGTATATGCGCCCCAGACTGACTGGTGCCGGTGCAGCTTCATCCATGATTGCCGTCGGTCTCAGCTGGAGAATGGCCATCGGTGCTTGTGTGCTCGGAAACGCCATCATGGGCTTGGTCATTACCATCAACGGCAGAATCGGCGCAACTCTCCACACTCCCTTCCCGGTCCTCGCCCGTATGCCGTTCGGCTATTACTTTAGCTACTTCGTCGTCCTCTCCCGCTGCGTGCTGGCTATTGTCTGGCTTGGTGTTCAGACCACCACTGGTGGCCAGTGCATGGCCGTACTGTTGACTGCCATCTGGCCAAGCTTCAAAAACATTCCAGACACGATCGGAGAAGCATCACAGGGAATCTCAACCGGCGGAATGGTCGCTTTCCTGCTCTACTTCCTGCTTCAGCTGCCTTTCTTGTGCATTCCTTACACCAAGGTCCAGTACTTCTTCGGATTCAAGTCCATCATTGCACCTATTGTCTTTCTGGCCATCTTCGGAGACACCTTGCGCAGGGCTGGCGGCACTATCAGCCAGAGCGAGGTCGTAACCAAGGGCACCACAGTCAGCGGCTCTGTCCTCGCATGGGCCTTTTTCTCCAACCTCAATGGAGTACTGGGAAATTACGCAACCCTCGGCTTGAACATTGCCGATTTCTCCCGGTATTCCAATAAGCCCAGTGCACAGAATGTCCAGGTCATTGTCATTCCATTCATTTTCACCGTCGTTGGCCTCCTCGGTATCTTTACAGCTGCAGCCTCAGAGACCGCCTACGGCAAGATCATCTGGAACCCTATTGAAATTCTCGACTTGTGGCTGGAGAACGGATCCCATGGGAGCCGCGCTGCAGCAGCGTTTGCGGCAATTGGATTGATCATTGTTACCTTGGGTATCAACATTTCGGGTAAGTGCTCTCCGTGTTCAGCTGCGACCACCAGAACCCCTGGGTGGCGCGGTCACTTGTGTTGTGGGACAAAAAGAGACTAAATTCAAACGCAGCAAATTCCATCTCTGCCGCCAACGATCTCATGGCCTTTTGGCCCAAATACATCAACATTCGTCGTGGTCAACTGATTGCCGCTGTGATTGGAAGCTGGGCTTTCGTCCCGTGGAAAATCCTCGCATCTGCTGCCAAATTCATCGCTTTCCTCGGAGGATATACCATTTTCCTCGGCCCAATGACCTCTATACTCATCACTGAGTACGTACACCACACATTCTGGCGCTCTTTCAAATTTGATCGCTAACTCGTGCTCCAGCTATTTCTTCGTACGAAAAACCAACGTCTCCGTCCCCGACATGTACAACTTCCATGGAATCTACCGATACTCTCCCAAATTCGGTTCCAACTGGCGCGCAGTCGTCGCATTCTTCTTCGGTTGTATCCCTCCTCTTCCGGGCTTCGTGGACAATATTCAAAAATCCGGCGGCTCCACCACCAGTGTTTCCATTGGTGGGCAACACTTGTTCGCCATTGGATACATTTACTCCTTCATCACCGCTGGTGTCTTTTACTATCTCTTCAACGTGTTTGCGCCTCATGTCGAATCACAAATGGATTATCCTGTTACTGGAGAGGAGATTTTGATTGAACAGGATGAGAAGAATCTCTCGCAGCGTCGGGCGAGTTATGCGGAGAATGGACGGCCTAATGCTCTTCGGAGAGCTTTTCATGTATGAGTCGTTTTTTTTTTCTTTGCTTTTTGGCTTGGATGAGAAACTCGAAAAGAAGAAAGAGAGAGAGAGAAAGAGAGGGAGAGAAGATCTACCATATTGTTACGATGATGATGAAGATGAAGTTTTTTTCACGAGAAATATACGACAGGAAAGGCACAAGACAGCGAAAAAGTGCGCTGATGGATGGAGCGAGTTTGATTTTTTTTTCCTTCTACTAAAGATACCTGACCTAGCTAGTTGTGATGATTATACACATATAGAGGGAGAGAGAGCGATTGTAAGAAAAGTACCTACCTTACCTTATCTTACCCTTTCCTTACCGATACATGTACCTACTTAGTCAAGTAGACCGTAGACTGCAAGTATCCGTCATCATCAGAAGAAGAAGAAGAAGAAGAAGAAGAAGAAGAAGAAGAAGAAGAAGAAGCCTACCTAGGAGAGGCAGTAGGGTACGTAAGGTAAGTAGTGAGGCTTATAGCAATACGGCGGATATCCCCGGAATTAGTTACCAGACTTCCAAGGGACCAAGATCGTCAACTCTAGTATTTGGCATACATACGAGGTCTGTACAATATTTTCACAAAAAAGTCAACTGTAAAAGGTACAGGGAAGGGGGAAGGGGGGAAGTCAGCTTGGAACAGGACTGTGTTGCTCTCTAGATGTACATGTATGTAGCTTATAGAAGAAGAAGAAGAAGATGATGATGATGATGATGAGTGAGAAAGAGAAGAGAGGGTGTCATGTGATGTAAGGTACCGTAAGCCTCAGCGTAAGGTATGTAAGGTAATGATGGCCTAGACCGGGGCAAGTTTGGGGCTTTGAAGCTGACCTGCATCGTTATGACATATACCTTACCTAGGTAAGGTATGTACTGTGAGCAACGGCCCCGGAGTCGGGAAGTTGGAATTGGAGTTATACACCATCAGCTTACCTACATACTTATACCGTCCTAAAAACCCGGATGTCGGGCTACCATCTAGGAGGTACTTGCTACTGTTTGTTTTTACCTCGAGGTATTGGCAGTGGCGAGTTGCCAAGGTAGTAAGGTAGTGGTACAACCGCTAGGTAAGGTACCAGGTATGTATTCGGTTCGGTAAAATATCAATACCTTATACCGGAGGTAGTCCGACTCCGCGGCACGGTGAGGAAGCCGGAATCGATGGATTATATTCATGGGGCAAAACATGATTCTGTATCGTGTTATGGTCGTCATTAATAACTTCTTCTAAGGTACTATAGTCTTCTAGAGGTAAAGAACTCGGTAAATGTAATTGTAAGAGGTAGGTAGTTCTAGACGGAAAGCCAAACAGCCGCTTCCAATACAACCAATCGCCGTCCCAAGTCTCACACCAAGCCAGCACTTGCACTCTTTGAACTCTTGCGCAGACGCCGTTTCACTGCCGACTTGTGCCTTGGCGACTCACCTCCCAGAGCCTAGCGAACTCTTGCAAAACGGCCATGTCGTTCAGCATGGATCGCCATGTCTTGAGCGCCTGATAAGGCGTGCAAGCGAAGCGCACTGATTCCCTTCTTTGTTCTTCTACGTCGTCGTTTTATTTACATGGTCGAGCGCGTGTTGTGTGCCACCACCACCACCACCACCACCACACACTCCCACTAAGGTATCTAGATACCTCTACCGCCCATCACCGCCGCCATCACCACCACTGCCGCCACCACGACGACGCTCCAGGCCTCGTGAAGCGGGCGTACAGATCAGGTACTGTACGCTACGGTACATACGACACCGCATCCGAGAACAAACGAAGCCGCTTGGGCGTCACGGCTACGCAAACACCGGTGGAACGGCGAACAAGATGGACTTCATGATATGGCAGGCATTCGTGCTGTTATTTTTGGCTTGGACGGCGACTGCTCAACTGATCCTCTCTCCGAGCAACACCACCACCACCGATCCCGCCTACCATTCTGGTGCCGTCCAGGTCGCAATCTGGCATCAGCCGACCGCTTCTCCTGTAGCTGCCTTTCTGGTGACCGCGTTGACGCAGGCTGCTGCAGACAACATCCCATCTGCAGGTCTGAGCGGCCATACATTCGTGGTCAATGCGAACAACCAGCTCACAGTCGAGTCAACCGATGTCGCACTCATCGATTGTGATCCCTCGTCTGGCAATATCGGCCCAGAGTACATCTTCAATACCGCCACGACCAGAAGGGCGCTCGCCATCATCTTGTACTCTACCACTGCGCAAACTTGCCACGGTTCGGGCTTCGGCACTTATGCGAACGTGTATACTATGAAGAGCTTGGAGAACTCGCAATCGCTCATGGCAGCAGTTGATACCGATACGGCCTATGCATCGCTGATGTCGAGGGACGCCGTCAGTGGCAACGGCACCTCACCTGGCGGTACCACCAATGGCCAGAACCCGAGCCCTCTGGGGCCTTCGCCGAGCACTGCTGTTGCCATGATCATTCTGTACTCCATCACCGGCGTGATCACTGCGCTATTCCTTTGCATCATTATCACGGGCGCCGTGCGAGCGCACCGACACCCAGAACGATATGGGCCACGCAACTTGGCTGGTCGTCCACGACAGACACGAGCACGTGGTCTCGCTCGAGCCATGTTGGACTCTCTGCCCATTGTCAAGGTGGGTGATCGCACTGATCATCCGGCCAAACCCACGGAAGTAGAACTCGAAAGTGGCCAGCACGGCCAAGTGGAGTCTGTTGGCGATCGAACCACGACTCCTACGGCACCTGCTACTGCTGCTGCTACGACTGCCTCGCCGGATGGCGAGACTCCACGCAATGGCACGTCTACTGAGGATGCGGCATTGAAAACAACGGGCAGTGGCATCGCCGCCGCTGCAGCCGCCACCGGGCGCAGCTCCACAAATGCCGAAGAAGAATCGAAACAAGGCTGTAGCATTTGTACGGAGGACTTCAACGTGGGAGAGGATCAGCGTGTACTGCCATGCGACCACCGATTCCACCCCGAATGCATAGATCCATGGCTCTTGAATGTCAGCGGTACATGTCCTCTCTGTCGAATTGACCTACGCCCAGCCGACAACCCGGAAGATGCAGCCGAGGTTGACGAGCATGGAAACCCGATAGCCTCTTCGGATAGACTTGCGCCTCCACTCGATCATGCAGAGGGTAGCCGCGCCGCGCGGGTGAGAAGGAGTATAATGGTCGGTATCCTGGGCTCGCCTCGACCGGAGAGAATGTCGAGAGAAGAGCGCGTCAGCGCGCTAAGAAGATATCGCGAGAGTACGTCCGCAAGAGGAGCTGAGCAGGCACAGGGATCCTCCAGCGATATTGGTGAACCAGAAGAAGAAACTAGCAGACGAAGACGATTGAGAGATCTGTTCAGGATTAGGACGAGAAGAACTGGAGAGCCAGAGACGGTGCGCGAAGAGCCTGCGAGTCAGGTGGCAGCGAGTTCTGTACCTTCGACTGAGGCAAGGACCTCATAAGGTTTGGTCATATGAGGGCGTTTTCATGGACGGCGACATTGAGCCGATTGTGTGCATATTTGCAACATGGATTTTGGGACGTGAAAAAATTTGTACATGATGTAACGGGTTATGATGAGCATGTATGATGTTACATAGCATGGGCGATGCGGGCATAGGTTGGAAAGTTCGCAATGCTACGGAATGGGATGAGGACGTCACACAACGAGTGCAAAACTTGATGAAAGAATAGAACCATTTTCTGCTGGAGGAGACGGATTTTTTTCAACTTACTTTCCTGATCCCACTCCACTCACCCTGTTTTTGTTCTCCAGATAGGAGGTACCTTATCTTCACTTCGGCAACCCAGCCATTTTCTTTATTCCGACTATAGTATTTACGTAATTGAGATACATGTACCTTTTAAAAGATGCAATGGTACAGGTAGGTGGGGATTGGGAAGGATATGACGATATATGTACAGTTGGTCTGTTTGGTGGGTAGGGTATGTTGGTTGGTTGGTGAATACATGTAATGTGTGTTGTTTGGAGTGGAAAGTTGGGGGGATGAGATAATGTCTGTACCTGTACTTGTAGTGGAGTAGAGTAAAGTAAAGTAGAGGTCATGTTGTCTGGTAGGTAGGTTAGTAAGGTACAGGTATGTACCTACCTACCTACCTACCTCTAACTGGATATCTTATAGTGCTTCGAATAGTATATAAGGTAGGTACCTCTGAGCTGTACTCGGCAGCATTAGTAAGGTAATAGTACCTAATGATTGCAAGAGGGTCATATCGTCGAGAATTCCTCGTTTTCATTCATCATTTTGAATTAATTAATTACTGTACTCATCAAAGATCTTCCTCCCAAGCAATCCTCAAAGCCTCTTTATCCTTTTTTGCATTACGTGCTGCAAACCACTTGCGTTCGAATCCATTGCCTCGATCTACTCCATCCCATCTCCAACCTGGTCGGATACTATATCGATTGGGTTCAAAAGCTCCCTGGTATGTTTTCCCGCTGATTTTATTCTTGCCGGTCTTGCTGCTACTACTGCTGCTGCTTTTCTTCGTCGCGAGGAGCTGCGCCATGGGATCGTTCCATCTTTCTCTTTCTTTTAGTTCGGTGTTCATTTTCTCGTCGTCTGCTCTTCGGGCTACAGGCATGATTTTTGCTTCTTCTAGATCTCTTTTTCGCGCTTCCTTTTCTCGTCGTTGGACATCGCCTTTTCCGCTTTCGGCTTCCTCTTTTGCTTTTCTTTCCTCTTCTCGCGCTTTTTCTGCTGCCTCGTCTTGTTTTTGCTTGACATTGATCATGCGTCCTGAAGCATCTCGATAGATGGTCTGCTGTGCCAGTCCTCCAGATGCCAGATCCGCATCTTGCATCGCTTTCATTTCTGCCTTTTGCTTCCTCTTCAACGCTTTCGAGACTTGTGCTGCAGTCTGCAGACCTGCTAATGCGCCGTTTGCCATCACTGGACCGTCATAGTCTGCGCCGTTCTCTCCCACGAGAGTGGGGTCATCATCGTCCTGTTGCGCCCGCGCGCGTGATTCTGCTTGCGCATCTGCGAGGATGGCGTCTGCTGCTGCTTGCTCCGAGTCTTTGGGTGCTTCGGTGCCAATCTTGATCCATTTCGATTTCTTGGCGGGTTTGTTCAGTCCCCCTGCTAATGTGCCTACTATCGTGGGCGCGTCCTCGTCGTCTTCGTTGTTATGATTGGGGTTGGTCCAGGTTTGCGCCTCGTCGTCTTCGATTGTGAGACCTTCCTTGGAGGCTTTGTCCTTTCTCTTGCGCTTCTTCGCCGGTTTCTCTGCCGAGAGGTAGTTTTGCGCGAGATAATCTGCGAGTCCCATGGTGGAAATAGTGCTTGTCGCGAGAACGTGGCGTGTACAGCTGACGCGCACTCGTTCTGAGGTAAGCCGCGCGCGTCGGTTCTTGGCATGCACTCGAAAATAAAACACTGCACTCGTTTTCAAATCTACTATATTTTGTAGCGTAGTCTTGTAAAATATCGATAAAGGTAAGTTTCTAACATTTATATACTATGTTAGTACTAATAATATAGTAGTAGGATCGGGATAGTAGGTTTAGAGAAGTCGACAAAGTAAGTTCCCTTTAACCGTTACCCTATTGTTATAGTAACATTAGCTATCTAGTATTTAAAGAAGTCGACTAAGTTCCCTTTTACCGTTATCCTATCGTTATTATAACGTTAGTTCTTAAGTAAGGCGACTATTATTAACTATATTATCGAAATTTTTCTAACTTTCCTTTAACTATTACCCTACTGTTATCGTAACGTTAGCTATCTAGTAGGAGAGATCAATAATAGAGTCAATACTCGATAGTAGAGTCGGTATAGAAGATTTAGAGAAATTGATTAAGTTTCCTTTAACTATTACCCTACTGTTATTATAACGTTAGGTGTCTAGTAAGAGAAACATTAATAATAGAGTCAATAGTCGACTCTTCTATACTAATTCTACTAAGTTTCCTTTAACTGTTACCCTACTGTTATCGTAACGTTAGGTATCTAGTAGGAGAAATATCGATAATAGAGTCGATAGTAGAGTTAGTATAGAAGA